GGTGAATTGGTCAATCGTTGTTTTCTTTACACTTCTTTTTTCTTTCTTTCTCTTTCTTTTTGGTCTTTTTTTTTTTTTTACACCATGGCCCGGCTTCTGGCCTATCTCGCATGCTTTGTACTTTCTTCCCAGATCGTGTTGGCGCAGAAGCCAGAATCCTGCAACGAACATAAGAAATGCCCTGAGAGCGCCCCATGCTGCTCCCGTGAGTTACCTACCCTCTGTTTGCCGTACCAAAAAATATCGCGACAGCTTTACTGATTTCTGGTATTTTTCCTCTTTTTCTGTCCGTAGAATATGGCGAATGCGGCCTGGGAGCATACTGTCTCGGCGGCTGTGATCCCAAATATTCATTTTCTCTCGAGTCCTGCGTCCCTGCTCCAATATGCAAAAGTATGGAGTACAAATTTGAAAATTTGGACAGTGTTGTCCCAAGAACAAAATACCTCGGCGATGCAGACAAGGCAGGCTGGGTCTCGAGTGGGAAGCCTCTTACCACCAATGGAGATCTAGTGATGACCATGGCGCCAGATACCGTTGGTACCCTGTTGTCCAGCGCTCACTACGTGTGGTACGGCAAAGTTTCTGCGACATTGAAGACCAGTCGCGGCGCAGGCGTTATCACTGCCTTCATCTTTATGTCCGATGTGAAGGATGAGATTGATTTTGAGTTTGTCGGAGCTGATCTGCATACCGCCCAGACCAATTACTATTTCCAGGGCATCACTGATTGTATGTTGATATCTATATCATTTCCCCCCACCGCTCAGTGTCAGATTTACCAAAGTCATTGGGCTAACCTCATATTCGGGTAGATACCAACGGAAAAAATCTCAGTGTCGACAGCAACACCTTTACGGATTATCACACCTACTCAATTGACTGGAAACCAGACTCAGTCACCTGGTCGATTGATGGAAAGCCTTTACGTACCTTACTCAAAAAGGATACCTTCGACAAGGGAGACAACAAGTACCACTACCCCCAAAGTCCCTCCCGACTTCAGCTCTCCCTCTGGCCTGGCGGAAAAGAAGGCGCCCCGGAGGGAACAATTCAATGGGCCGGTGGACTTGTGGACTGGAATCATGAGGATATTAAAAAACACGGGTATTACTATTCGCTCGTCTCTGAAGTTAGCATAGAGTGCTACGATCCACCTTCGGGTGCGAAGATAGACGGCGACATTTCATACATCTACACGGATGCTGCCGGGACCGAGGACACGGTTAAGATTACGGATAAACCGACTGTTCTCAAATCGTTCCTTGGCTCCGGCACTGATATGGGTAAAAACGAATCGAAACCAGGTGAGACGGACGTCCCTGTGATTCCTGGTCTCAACGGAGCCGGCATTGGGGCCAATGGCCAGATCCCATCTGGCAACGACAGTAACAACGGGCCATCCACTGATTTCACGGGTCCAAGCGATAAACATGGGTCTAGCGGCGCTCCATCTGAAAACGAACGCGTTCTCAAGGGATCAATCTTCGCAGTTCTCGTGGCCGTCATGGTTTTGGTCACCATGTAAGGATAAGAATTTAATACTATTTTTGGATACACTATAACTATCAATGTACGACTCTATGGATATATATTGCTTTTATGTTTTGGGCATATATTATTCCTCATAATAATTTATTTTTTGTTCCTGTTTTCTGTTCTTATCTTGTCCTTTCTATTCCCTGTTTCCTTCATTATCTCTCATCCTTGTTGTGCTGCCAACATCGAATTAATCTCATCCATCTCCTGACTTGCTTCATGCGCCCGGCCTCTGCCCCATCCCCCTTGAAACCCCTTTCTCTCTCGCTCCTACTTGAATAGCGGATGTATCTCATGTGCGATTCTATATGTGGCAATCCTGCTCGAACGTTTTTGAGCCAGCATCAACAAGTATATCCCTTGGTACGAGATAATCGCTAGTTGTAATGTGATTCCCCCTGCCCGCCCAATATTCTCATAAATCTATTTTGTCCTTTTCTTTCTTCATGTACTTCACAAACATAAGTTTCTTGGATAAGTCCCTTCTCCTTCGATCATGAAAATTTCCGAAGCAAAGTTAATTTTGGCTGGCTCCTTGTGCTGATAAAATGATGAGGAACAACCTTGGCCACACTCCCTGAGATATGTTTGTATTGCCTCTCTGTACCAACCTTAGGTTTATATTCCAGTGTTTTCAAATGGCAGGAGAATCGGCATTTCCCGGAGGGCTAGGTGATATCCTTCAGGCTACAAGAAGGCTTCAACGTGATATTCATACCGACATGATTGTGAATGTTTGCTGGCTCCTTTGCGTGACGCTTGAATTCAGGATATTGGATGCACTTTGTGTGCTTCTGCTCTTGTAGTGCTTCAACACCCTCTCCAGCAAACTTGACGAGCAGAACATGTACACTTATAACAAACCCATCCTACTGGTGCTAATAGGACATGTTCCTTTTGAGCCTAGCGGAAGATTCCAGTTTGAGGAAATCGAGCAGTAAGTGTATTTTCCGTCCATTTTTGTCGCTGCAGGTTGCCGCTACCAGAAAGTATATGTTTGCTTTTCTTTGTATCCAACGCCCTTTCGTGAATAAGTATAACTTTGTCATTTTTATTCAGTGTGGCTTTGTTTGAGCTGTGTCTGTTTGAAAGACATGCCTTCACTCACTTCTGCTGATTTCTTGCTCCCCCCGGGTTTTTTGAGTAGTGTATTGTTTGCTCTCTACTTCAGCAGGCTTGTTCTTTACTACAATGCAATGTGCATTGCCTCTTTTCTATGTTTGAATTCTCAGTGAATTCCCTTCTCTTGCCTACTACAGATGTGTCTCCATGTAATCTCATTGTGCTGGCTGATACAGGCAGTCCATTGTCTCCCCGCATCATGACTCACCCACCTTCCCTTACCCATCAACTGGTCAACCGTGATAAAAGTGTGTTGTAGCATTCCTTCTCTCGGCTACCACCATCATGGCTATGGAATAGGGAAATCCTTCCAGCAGCTATTGGCACATAGGTAGCCATATGGCTTCTCAAGGGACTTCATCAGAAAATCTATCTATTTGGACTTTGACCTGGCCACTGGCAGTCACGAGACAAAAAATGGATCAAATGAACAGCAACTGGAAGCCAATAGAAAAGAAAAGGGAATGGGGAATGGCTAATGATTATGGCTTCCTGCCCAACATGCTCTCTCTCTCTCTGTTTTTGAGGAAACTTTGCTATCAACTGCTTCTTCATTGTCTGCCTTCCATTCTCCCATTCACAGACTTCATTCACTCCTCTGTGTTTTTGAAGAAAGCAAGAGAGTGAGGGAGCACAAATATAAAATAGGATCAGCATGGAAGAAGATTCCCTTCTTCTCTTTTTTTTAATTCCTCTTCTCTCTCTATCTCAGAACTTTCTAACTACTTTTCTTTATTCAACAATCTGATTCAGCCAAGTTTGCTTCTGAGTTATAACAAAATTTAAGCTGAAGTGCTGTGCTCTTTCTATCTATCTTGTTTCCCTCCTCAAGTGCTCCATTCTCTTGTTTGATCAATACATCATCGATCGGTTTGCAAGACAGGGGGGAGGGGAGACAATAACTCCCTGAAGCTTCTCGATTGAAGGGAGGAAGCTCACGGTAGATCCCGTTGAGGCTCTCACGGTAGATCCCATTGCGGTTCTCACGATCAACTTCTAAGCCAAATACCCACCACTATCTATGGACGGATGATTTTGTTGCATCATCTTCTGCCGAAGCTCAACTCTCTTCCTTTCAGAAATTTTCAAATCGAACACCTCCTCCTTGACGCAAGGGAAATCTCACTACACGGGGAAAAACCAGTTCATCCATCAATCAATATCCGCCACACCGTAGAGAACGACATAACAGTAAATCCATCCAAACCCCGATTTCCTCCTCCCCGCAACAAAACCGACCGAACAAAGGGAAAGCCCCCAAACGAAAGGAAACAGAAACAGCAGGTTCAAAAAAAAAAAAAAAAAAAAAAAAAAGAGGGGGAAGGGAAAAAAAATGTGCTACTATCACGAAATCAACTACTCCTGCCACCACATCCTCTTCACCCTCATCGATTTCTGCCCAGCTCTCTACCGCCAGCTCCAGCGCATCAACGACCCACGCGAACTCGCCCGTTCCGATGTTATCATCCCCTTCGAGGACCAGCCGCGCTGCGCCCCGCTGCGCAGCTATGAGAACATATTGAGCTCCTCGCGGTCGACGAGTGAGTGTGAGCGGTGTTTGGGGAGGTCGCGCCGGTCAGGAGACTCTTGGGAGGTTTGGACTAGGGGGGCCCGGTAGGGAGGGGGTTGGGGAGGTTGGTGTGTGTGGGGGCGTGTTTTTTTGTGTGTTTGGATGCCGTTTTAGGGGAGGCTCTGAGATGATGGTTATTTTTTTTTTTTCGGATCCCCAGGACGGGGTTGTTTATTGTAACTCGCTTTTATCTTGACTGGATACGTGGGGTGGGTGCGTGGAACGGGGTAAAATGAAACTTTCCTTTCTCAATTTTGTTCTTTTTCCCCCTTCTCTTTGTGTGTGTGTGTGTGTGGATTTGGATTTGGATACTCTTCCAAGGCGGCGACATTTCTTGGGATTGGGATGGTGATTTGCGTTGTGATTATTTGGGCCATAGAATTCCAGGGTGACGATCCAGGAGTTGTGTGAGATTTTTTTTTTTTTTTTTTTTCATGTTTTCCTTACTTTGTCCTCAGTTCGCCCTTCTCTTCCATCTCAAGTATGAACACAAGAGGAATTCAATTATAACCGAAAGAAATTTGTTGAATTTATTTATCTACCTCCAATCAGCCAATCTTTGCAAACCATTATTGCCAGAAATCATAGGCAGTTAGTTAGCTAGCCCATGGATGGCATGCGAACACTATATGGAGTATCGAAATGATAAAATTGATTGGATATTCCAATTATACCACCCTAGGTGTTTTCTAAGTGGTGTCTTTATGAAAACGCGCGAAAAAAAAGTCCACTGTAAGGTAAATAGACCGGGTAATCTATTTGGATTGAAGTTGGGGAAAGGGATATAATATATCTTAAAAGTTTAAAATCCGAAAAATTGACGACAATAGAAAACATACAAAAGACAACAAGTAAATGCCAAGGCCGAGAGACGTTCGAGATCAGGGAGCAGAAGAAAGAAGATAAAGATAGAAACGCCACCGAAATGCGCAAGATTGAGGATTAAGTCCAAGGGGTAGAATAGAAAACGGCAAGAGTGATGACAGGATATTTATGATGTGTTTACCACAGATGGAAATGAGAGGACGGAAAGTAGAAAAGAAGGTCTAGTGCTTCGTCGAACCACAACTGCAACCTTCACTCTCCAGATCTTCATGATCAAGCAAAAATTGATCGGCGCTCTCGCCCCGTGTCCTTCGTTTGAAATCGCCATGGTATCTATCAAGTTCATCGACGACAACACCATCATCCAGCGGCTCGCCCATCCAGGGGTACATGTTTCCACTCCCATCACCGCTGACGTGTGGAGACGACTTGGTATCCTTTAGGCGCTTGGTGACATTATGTAGATCAAGTGAGAGGTATTTCTGGAGAAATAAGCCGACCTCGGTATTTTCATGGTTGCCAACGAGGGGCATTGCGTCGTGTGCTGATGAGGCATAAATATTGACATCGACACCTACCGTGTAAAATGTTAACATACAGCCTTGTGTTTTATATACAAAACGGTGGCTGAAAAGAATGAGAAAGAAGGTCAACTCACCTGAATGGCCATGCGTCGACCAGCCAATCTGGGCCCGTCGACTGACCATGTCGGCAAAAGCATAGGCTCCACCACCGTCCATGAGTTTTTGGACCTCAGCGTCCGTCGCATCATGAATGCCCAACCCGTCTCCGAGCAGCTTGTTGCGGATATAATTACGACGGTTTGGATCATCAGCGTTTTTGCCTTCATTAGCTAGATAATGATCAAGGGCATTTCCGAGATATTCAGACGAGTGGCTCGCATTTGCGAGAACACCAGGATACCAGAGATACTCGGGGTAATCAGCATGTAGCTGTTTTGCAATAGACAAGCCGCCTGTCTCGTGGTCTGATGTGGCAACAAGAATACCAGGGGTGGAATCAGTCTTAAGGAACTCTAGCGCCGCAGAAAAAGCTTTATCATAAGCTAGAACTTCGTGGACTTGAGCGACAGGGTCATTCCCATGGCCCCCATGGTCTATTCTCGAGCCCTCAATCATAATGAAAAAACCTTTCTCGCTATCTTTCGTAGCTTCACTCAGGGCCTTTAGGGCTGTTCGTGTCATCTCTTCAAGAGAAGGGTAAACATCAGTCATCTGGCTGCGGTCCACTTCGAAGGGAATGTCCTTAGCAGCCAGAAGGCCGAGTAAGGGTAGAGTGACGTTGCTGCCCATCTGAAGACTGTCGAATCCCGCCCGATCATGAATGTACGAGAATCCATTAGCTTTAGCCATCCGCACCACATCTTTATCATCGCGACGGCAGCTACCGTCTGCTGAGTTTGGTATAAAGTGACATCGTCCGCCTCCCATGATCAAATCAACCATCCGACCTAGAGGGTAATTCCCGATTTCCTGCTCAGCAATGAGATCTTCGTAGGATCGCATGTTAGCATGAGACGCAAAGCAAGCCGGCGTAGCATCAGTAACGCGGGTCGTTACGACTAAACCAGTCATATAACCGGCTAATTTCGCTGCCTCCAGAATGGTACCACACGGGGATTTATCCGGAAGGACAGAAATTGCGCCATTGTAGCTTTTCATCCCACACGAGAACGCAGTCGCACCGGCCGCAGAGTCAGTAACGAGACTGGATGAGGATCGGGTTCTTGATGAACCTATGTGGTGCTGGTCGAGAACAAGAATATCGTCCATAGGCAGTTTGCTTTCGAATTGTCGGAAACTTCGCGTCAGGGATAAACTAGCTGGGCCCATCCCATCTGATACCATAAATATGAGATTCCTCTTCCCTGATGGGTTCGTGCCAGGATCAAGCTTCAGTTTATTTTGGGTTTGGTGTTGGTACAAAACACCTAGCGTGATTACCGCGACAGTTGCGATGACCGCCCAGGCGAAGAGCCCGAGTTCACGCAATAGTGAACGATGGCGTTCTCCATTACGGTTTGTCGGCTGACCAGTTAAAAGGGCGTCCTCCTCCTCGCCGGATCGCTCTGAGTGCTCTGACGAGGAGCGTTGAGCGAGTCGGGAGTCAAACATGATGGAAGAGGAAGGGGTGGAGAAAATTTGACAATGCGTCGTTCGAAGGAGGTACCGAGGTTAGTCAGTTTAAGGTGGGTCTAAACGGCCAACAACAACATGATACCTGGCGTAGTATCATGAGTAGTCAAAGTGGTTAAGGAACTTGGAGACACAGAGCTGGCGGCTTAATGCTGGAGTAGAGGTTGGTTTGACCAATTAAATGCCATCATGAACTACCGTAGTAACTATTAGTCAGACATCCTCTAACCAATTTTAGGCTAACTAGAAGCAGAGGTACGCCTATCCAATATCCCAAAATCCAAGGCCACTGCACACTCTCAGTCAACGCTCGCAGTCAGATAGAATGCTCGTACCACACAAGATCGATGATACCATTGAACAAGAAAAAGGAGATTGATGTCAATAATGGTAATTCGTAATATAAGGTAATTTTTTACAGCCAGCAACCTATGCTCCCCGTCCTATATAACTACCGTGCCTTCCAGCCAAGAGGGATCAGGGCAGCAGCAACCTCCTGCACCCCCCTCTCCGTAGCTAGGAGATTAAACTGGGCTGCCGCATTCCTGGTATCCTGCACCTCAATTCGGATACCAAGAAGATTGATCTGTCTCCGTGTCTCCGGAGAGATTGGATAAACAGAGGCGCCGAGACCGAGTATGAGAAGATCTAAAATAGGAAGACATACAGTTAGCATTCACAATCCCATTACGAATGGATAGTAGGGGCGAACAAAAAGCAGGCCCTTTTCATGAAATAGAAAGCCTTCAACATGAAAAGAAGAAAAAAATAAAAGAAGGTAAAAAATAGAACTTACCGGGTTTCGGCCATACCAGCCTCAACACCCCCCAAACCTCCTCACTAACCTCCCACTGGCCCTTTTCGTTAATCATCGCTCGCATCCCATCCTTTCTCCCTCCCCCACTATCACCATCATTTTTCCCCGCCTCCCAGGGCCTCCATCGAAAAACTTCCCCATCAACCAACAAACACCCATCACCATCCGTAATCCTCATGCCATTACCCAGCTGGAACCCATCAGGAAAACAAGAATCAATAGCCGTGGACGGGGCGGCCACGTCCGCAAGCACATTCAGCGCACTGAGCGCAGATTCGCTGGCCTCGTCCCCGTCGGCCCCTGCTGCTTCATCAGTGGCATCGGTATCACGAGTTTGGCGGCGGCGGCTGTTGACGCTGTGGCTGCTGTTATTCCGGACAATCTGCGGTTGGGAGGGGGTTCCGTGGGGTTGGCTGTTAGAGGAGGCTTGGGTGGCGGTGGTTGTAAAGTTGTGTAGGGAGTCGCGGTATCGTTGGTTTGGGATGTTCAAGGTGATGGCGTACTGGGCCAATGGAAGGAGGGTTTGGCATCGTAACGGGTGTCTGTATATAGCTGGCGATGTGGGTATTGCTGTTGGCAATCGTATATGTGTTGATGCAGTTGGAGAGCGCAATGGCCACAGAAGCCGAGCGGCTGGGACCTGGGCGCGCATTGTCAATAGAACAAGCTGGAGGGCAGAGGAGGTGTGGCTGCTTTTTCCTTTTCATGTCGAGGCATAATTAGTAAATAGCATAATAGATATCAACGGTACGTATCCTGATAAAGCCAGAACGTTGCTGGTTCCAGACGAATAGACTGTTTTGCACTCCCACTGGAGCGTTATCGGGCCAAAAGTTGAGGCCGACACGGGAGAAATTTGAGAGTGAAAGAAATGGACCAGTCTCACAACGTATCATCTGTTTTGGCATTTCCAAAGCAAAAGCTATAAGTAGCTAGAAAGATACATGTCTTCACCTCTATAAATTGTCACTTTGGATTATCATCATATAATTGCGCATTGCAGGCCCCTTCGGCCTCTTGGTTGAGCAAAGAGCTTGGAACTAAGCACGCCTCGATGCGAAAATGCCAAGCGCGGGTCGCGGCAAACAAAGTTCCGCTCCGTGTGCATTGCAGTGATGTTATCACTCTACTCTATCCAGTCCATTGCTTTCTTGAGTTTATTGATACAGATACTACAGCACCATCAGGCCAACTTGAAATGAACAAATTGCTTCGTATCGAGGTGTCTAGCTATCACATCTATGCTGGTCTACTATATTCCGGCCACAGAAGTAAAAATATCCGGCTCCGGAGGATTCTGTTTCCTTTTGAAGAAGGGTAATTATTAGGTTCCTTATACCACTGTCCTGCCCCGAAGCATAATGGACTTGATAAAGCTGAGGGCCAAAAACACACTATGAGTAGCAGAGGATACTATGAAATCACTTTCAAATGTGATTCGTAAACAAAAAGAAAAGAATACAAGGAGCACGGCTTACCAACGACGCCCTGCCGAACAACCTAACGCCAGTCAAAGATTTCACAATCGCTGTTCCACAAGTCCTTGACTGAACAAATTTCTTTCCTCTCTCCTTTTTCCCCCCCTTGCTTAATTATATTACTCTGTTCTGTTCAACAATTCCCGCCAGCAGTAATATGGATTTTTACATCCTAAACGCTGGTTTGCTATCTCCGGGTATATTTCACGATGTGATGCCTACCGAGTATAACTGTCCGTTAACTGAGTGAAGATCTTTCTAATCTCGAACTCATGCCATTTCTCTCCTCATCTGATTGACTAGAGCTGTCATCGCCCCCAGCTGTAGACGCGCTGCGTAAACGTTGAGCACGGTCTTGTAACACCTGCGCCTCTGCAGCTGCTCTCTGGGCACGAATCTGTTTTCGCCACATACTCGCGTATCTTCCCTTCAGGCTAAGAAGCTGTTCATGGGTTCCGTGTTCGGCAACTTGCCCGTTATGTAGCACGAGAATTTGGTCTGCTGTCGTTATTGTGCTCAGGCGATGTGCAATAACAAGCATCGTGCGACCCTTAGACAATGTGGACAGCGCCCCTTGGATGTGTTCTTCCGTTTCCGTGTCCAAGGCAGCAGTGGCTTCGTCGAGGAGAATTATCCGGGGATCTTTGATAATAGTGCGTGCAATAGCCACACGCTGTTTCTCCCCACCACTCAAACGCAGGCCTCGCTCGCCCACCTTAGTTTGATAGCCGTCAGGGAAGGCGAGAATTTTATCATGGATACTCGCGGCCCGGCACGCCGCATAAACTTCCTCGTCCGTAGCAGACGGATTTGCGTACTTGAGATTATACATTAATGTTTCATTGAAAAGAACGGTATCTTGAGGGACAACACCAATATGTCGACGAACTGAATCAATAGTTAGATTCTCAACTTTGCGTCCGTCAATGAGGATATGACCCGACGAAGAATTGTAGAATCTGAATAGAAGGCGGAAAACAGTCGATTTTCCCCCTCCAGACTCGCCAACTAGGGCAGTGGTTGTTCCAGGGCGACAACGGAAACTCAGGCCGTTCAATGCGGGTTTTCGGGTATCGTACGCAAACTTCACATTTTCGAAGGTAATCTCGCCATCACAGCGTGGAAGTTCGCGTGTGTTGGGTCCATCAATGACAGTTGGCTGTTCCCGGAACAGTTCCAACATCCGCTCCGAATTTATCATGGCCGACTGAATAGAGCGGAAAAACGTCCCAAAAAAGTTAAGTGGCCCTTGCAGCTGGGCCATGTATGTCAATAAACTAACGAACTTCCCGACCTTCTGTTCGCCGGTTGCAACTTGATAGGCAGCGAGGAAACATGTTATCAGCAGCCCAAGCATGAAAACAGTATTCTGGCACGTATTCATTAATGTCAGCGAAAATAAGACATGATACTCGGCCTTTTGGAAATCGGTAACAGCTCCACGATACCGACCAAACTCGTACTGCTCTGCGTTGAAATATTTCACGGTTTCGTAAGACACCATCGAATCGTTTCTGTAGGAAATGGCAGTCTGTCAGTCAACATAGATTATCTGAGAAAACTTCAAACGTCAACAAGCAATGAGCTTACTTCACAGCATCTTCTTGTCTGCTAGCATTGACCATCTGACGGCGGATCGCAGCTCTCCATTGTGCCATGCGAATCGTCACGTAGAGGTAAATGAATGTAACGATAGCAACTACCAGGGCATAGTATACGTCGAAAACGATCCAGAAATAACCCACCGCAACGCAGAGGTCGATCAGCATTGGTACAACCTGGAACGTGAACTGTTCTAGGAACGTGTTGATAGAATTGCCTTTGCTTAGAGCTGACAACACTTCGCCGGTCTTTTTGCCCAGGTGGAAATCGAGACTAAGGCTATGAACATGTTCAAAAGCAGCGGTTGAAAGTTCCATGTATGAATACTGTCCGACAGGAATCCATAAAAAGGAACGCAAAGAACCGATTAAGCCCTGACTTCCCTGAAGCCAACGGAAGAGGACATAAACGCAAATTCCACGCCATGGAATGTAGAATTCTTCTCCAGTATCTCCCGAGAGAACATTGGTGATTCTACCAATTTGAATGGGAACCAGAACATTAATGACAAGTTGGAAAACGACCAAGAAAAAGCAAGCGACAACGATGAGTTGCAGTCGCCGAGATTTGGAAGGCCAGAGATAAGGAAAGAATAAGGAATAACCGCTTATATATTCCCACCAGCTGGTTGAAGGTACAGTAGTTGGTCGAACCCAAGCGTCCTCTGGTTTGAAATCCGGATCTCTTTTTCGGTTTGGAGAGGATGACCCGTAGTTATCGCCGTTTATTCCGCTGCGATGGCCATTTAACAACCTTGTGGTCTCTGAAGCTTCCCCGGAAGCGAAGCGTGCAGTAGCATCCTTGTGACGACAGCTCCTCCATCCGACGGAACTTAAGGTATAGAAAATCACAATCCCAAGCAAAGTAAGGAGCCTCACTACAGCAATGATTACTTCCACTGTTTCCCAGGACGTCATGATATTTCTCAGCGGGCCGCCAGCAGGATCTCCGACAATTGGTTCATGGTGAGGAGAAGTGTAAAGGGCCAGGCAACCGCCCAAAATTATCAATTCTAGTGGTATGGCAACTGCCCAAGGAAGTAGTTGTGCATAAGTCGGTGAGGGTGTTGTATCCAAGAGTGAGATTAGGATGACGGTGTATGCGAAAAAGGAAGAGACGATATAAATCTGAAATTCATGTGTTAGAAAATATAAACAGTAAGGTTGAATCAAACAAATACAGAAAATGGGATTCTCACCACTCTGGATTGACCACACCACCAGTGCATTTGCCGATACATGATGACGTGGGTCATCGTAATAGCTGCATCAGCGACAAATGTAAGCAAAACACCCACCGACAGCCACCTGAACGTCAATTTAGCATTTGGTGAGAAATCGGACACAGGAGGAGCGAACACAGCAGTGCTCCTCATACGCGTCGGCAACGGTCGACCACCAGGTCCTGTCCGAATGGCGGGAGGGTGGGCAGGTATTCTCCTGGCCGATATGACAGAACGTGATACGAATGCGATAAGGAAGACGACGACGATGATCACAGGGGAAATCGACCGAGTGTAATGTAGAAGCATCCTGATTTCCGGGTGTGAAAACGATGGCACGCTGCCAGCTCTTTTGGAGAAACCCATACTGCTCCCAAGCAGCAATTCCAATTTGGAACCCGCAAGACGAAAAGGAAAAAAGAGCCTTCCGAGTTCAATCCGCTTCCATGACCAAACCACTAGGGTTTCTCAAAATATAATTCCGCAGAAACGACCGATGAAGAGGCCAAATAACGACAGTGAGCTCTAGCGGAACGGAATCAGGTAAAACTGTTGTTGGGCCGTCGGGGAACGAAATTGTAAGCGGAAGAAGCGAATTGCCGATTGTCTTACTTTGGCCACGAACTAAACGGACGAGACTCTGGCCAAATATGGGGGTAAAGGGTTTCAAAGAGCGCAAGAGAGATAATGAGGGTAGAAGAAGAGTATCAATTCCCACGTCAACTCTGTGCCAGTCAAGGGTGGGAATTGGGCGTATCCCGAAAGCGGTAAACAAGCGAAAGGCTGAGGCGGATTGCCGAACTCCAGGAAACTGCGGCGGAGAGGGAGGAACTACCCGGCTACTGAAGCAATGCGGAGAAGGAACGGAGGATCGCGAGCAGAAACAGCATAGAGGACGATAGAGGCCCAAAAATTGAACGATAGGCAGGGCTCAAGGAGCGCTGTGATCGTCAAGCACGGCTATCTTCAGAGCTTCAGTTCAGAGGGATCGGTAATTACCTACAGAGCTCAGAGTTCAGCGGGACGGGGAGGTGTGAGGAAACAAAAGACGGTAGAGAAGAAGTGGAAGAAGCAGAAGACGAGCAGAACAAGCAAAAAAAAGATAAATTCCGTATCCAGGAAGGAATTATGGGGGTGTGGCGGGATTGGGCTTCCGAGGCGCTGGAGCTCAAGAAGTTTTCGATCTCTAGGTCCAGACGATCACCGGCGGCACGGGACCTGAGCTGAGGCAAAAAATCATGTATAAAAAGACATTGAAAATATACATATGACAATAAGATCAAGAGACGAATAACAGGATCCAGCAAACCTGAGCAAACAGCTTAAACTGGGTTCAATTAATCAATTGAATCAATGAATCAATTATGATCTTTGTGGATCACTCCCGCGCCTCCCCCTGGGGTTCTTCTTTCAGGCTTGTTCCCGTTCCTTTGCTTCCCTATTTTTCTCAACCCTCAGGTCCCCCTTGCTGCGTAGCGATTCGTCAGGCGGCGTCCTTTTGCAGACGAGTCGGTGAGCGGCCACAGAAGCTGCAAAGCGGTGAGGCCGCTCCAATGGGCCCCGGCAGAATAGGTTCCTCGTCGCCAATAGTAGTCGGGGAGACACGGAGGCCTTGGGGCTAGCAGGGGTGGCTGGGATAGCCGGTTCTTGCGCGTGGCCTGTCGGGCTGCAAGCTTTTCCCTGTCCTCGGTAACCACCTCAGCTGGAGCGCGCAAACGCTGAGGCTTGTACCGCCGCCGCTGCCGTCGTGGGGGGTGCTCTTCTGGATTTCGTTAGGGCGGGTCCGGTTCGTGGGGCGCGTTGCGCAATGCGCTACTGGTCAGCAGAGCATCCGGTCAGAATATCGGAGAGTAGGGTCACCAGCTGCGTGCGTACGGGTCATTACAACCCAGATGACGGGGGTTGGAATGGTCTAGCAGCAACGATCGCGGTGGGACAGCGCAAACTGGGATTTTGAGGGTATATGGAGATAATACATTTCCTTGTATATGCACTGCTGATGCAGTGAGTACAAGGCGCGATCTTTATTATTATGCCTCTCACTATCTTCGGAAATTTTGCCACAACTGCGACACTTGGAGTCTCTCGCGCCAACCAAGCCTACCAAGCCTTCTAATGTTGCTTTGTTGTCGATTTGTGTTTCATATGTAAGACTACTATTATATACCTACGCGTCGTGTGCAGTTTGTGTTGGCCAGAAAGGTCCGCTACATCTGTCTGTCAATCGGCTGTTGAACGAAAAATTCCCTTCAATTGCTGGCTATGATCTCATGCATACAGCTATTCCTATTTTAATGAAAATGATGCTGCGTTCAGTGTTCATACTACTCGTGGCTGCCATGGTCGATCTCGCATCGTTAGGCATGTCAGAAAATACAACCCTGTTTTAGTTCTGGGACTGGATGGGGGTGTGAAGTAAAGAACTTTTCGATGGAATGCATCATGCTACTGCAGCTAAACGTAATTCTGTGGTAAGGATGTCAGGAGCCCGGCAAATTGATGGAGGAGGCGTATTTTATCAATCACCGACAACAAACGCAGAAAATTGGTGTCGCATGAAGCATAAATATCATTCGCCAGCCAACGGGTCCAGCGTGGCCATACTTGTTACTCCCATTGCTAACTCGCCTGCATTGTCAGAAAAAAAGAATTTAATCACCGCTTGGATTTCAAAAAAGCACTTCGTTCTTGTCTTTCGATCATAAAAAGACCATAGGTGCCCAAAGGTATGGTTGCCCTATCTACCTAATCTTAGCATATCACCTCTAACTAATAGACAATCAAAAGATAAAAGAAGCAAACATATTCTATGTAGCTGAAAGATAAGATCTCTTGAGAAAACCCTATATCGAAGCGGTAAGGAGACAACATCCTCTCTTGTTTGATCAGGCACGAATCGCCCTGCCCGAACCCTGCCCTCATGTTTTTCTCACCAATGCCTTGCAAGTTGCGAACATCAACATTGGCAAACGCAGCGAAGGTGAAGAATCAGGAGAAATCAATGGTTTTCATCTTTTTCATCGTTTTTTTTTTTGGTCTAAAATACCCAGAACTCAATGGTCTGGTGCATCTTCAGATGTTGACCATATGCCGACCCAAGCAACGGAGTCTGTGAAGTTCAGACTGCAACACCTGCAGCTATTTATTTTATTATTTTAACTTTTTTCTTTATTTATTTTATTATTTTATTTTTTATCTTTAAAAAAAGGTTTATCGAGATACAGTGCCTCGCAATAAGTTTGAAACTATTGTGACTTCTCATAAAAATCCACTAGTCCAAAAGTAGTTTAGTAGTTGTACTCTTTATTGCAGTACTAGCTCTAATTAATTAAATTACATCTGGAAATCAAAAGATTTCCACTCAGTAAAGAAAACATGTGAGGAAGAAGATTAAAAAAATGAATGAGAGAATAGAGAATGGTGTAGATGAGTGGGAGAATAGAGGTAAATGGATGCATTTATGACACTATAACTATAACTAATTACTACAAGTTAAACTACTTTTGGACTAGTGGATTTTGATGAGAAGTTAGTTTCAAGCCTCACAAGTGCCCCACCTTCCACTAGGACCAATCACACATCTCTGACAATAAGGGTGTTGTACAATGCACTCTACATTTGCCCGACACACATACTCAGCACAGAAGTCAAGACGGGCAAATTGAAAACCACGATTATGTTGATACTTATAGACTGTATTAGATGAAAAGCTATTTTTATTAGTTCTAGAATTCTACACACAATTAGTAGATGTTTTCAACAATTTATTATAAATATTTCTATAATCAATAGTGTATATTATATTATAGTTTTATAACAAAACATTTGTTGACAATGTTTTTCATCTAAAAACAATGATTATTTTATTTTTTTTATCAATTACTAAGATTGAAAAAGAAAATATATATATATATATATAAAATTAACACTTACTTTACTTTCTTGAGAAAATGTGGTGATACAATTCAAAATTAACATGATTAATAGATTAATCCCAATTTGTTTCATTATAAGTTAAATAATAAACTAGATATAAGATACTATTAATGATATATTAAGATATAAATAAACTACTGCCATTACAGCAAAGTCATGGGGGAAAAGGCAATTGATATGTGCACACCTGAAATAGATACATAGCTAAACCAATATGGCTTTACCATATTGGTTCATTTACTGGTGGGCGTACGGCAAATACGACTGTATAACCAGCTCAATTAAAATTATTCAGTTCCTTCTAAGAGAGGTATGGATTTCATTGACAACAATTAGCAGTAGCTTTTTATCAAAATTACGATAATGTAATGAATCATCATTAAGCGAGTCGGCCAAATAAGTGAGTCACCTTGTAGTGCCCTATCAAATTTTTATGTAAAGATACTTGTGAAACAAACATAAATATGACAAATATAGATATCTCTACATACAAATTTGGTAGGGCACTACAAGGTGACTCACTTATTTGGCCGACTCGCTTATAGACTATGTTAATAAAATTAACTGGTGTGTTGAATCTCAAATACAACAAATGCATGAGGTTACAGTTGAATGCAGTTTACAGAAACTGAATAACTATACTATGTAGTTAATGACAAAGTTGCAAGCTTGATCGATTATGTTGGTATACCCCTGTGTTTTCGTTAGGGCCACCCTAATATTTTAGTGGCATTCTTACCTTCGTTCTGGGGGTATATGTGGCGTTGGGTGTGTTTTTTATTACAATAGAATAATACATATATAGAATCCATAATCACATTAATATCTAGTATAGTCATCATCTGTCTGTATAACTGTCTGCTAGAAGCTTCTATAGCTGCTTCTCTGTTATAGTGTCTCAGACGGCTCTAATCACTTCAAAATGCATCATAAGAAAGATTCTTCTCATTCTCATGATTCTCCTGTATCTACTGCTTTATAAGATTTTATATAGTTTCAATTAAATTTAGATCTGGTGAATATAATAATCAATCTATAGAGGTAATTCTATATTTTTAAAGATCTTGAGGTCTCTGCTGCATGTATGTATGTATAGATTTAATGTTTCGGGAGGCGCCCGCACCCCGGTGGCCTCCCGAAGGGCATGGGGATGTGCTAAGCTGGAGAGAGCTCTATATACACAGTGGGAAAGAAAACAGGATCCAGATGACAACTCTTGAAAAGACTCAGTTTGCAAAACTGCGCATTCACTTCTAGCCCGACATATGGCCATATGGTACGGTAGAATATTATCCACAGAAACAAAATCAAGGAGTGGAGTAATTGAGAGAAGTCACATATACCCCTCACTACTTTGCAGAGCCGTCCTTCCTTGAACGCTTTTCAACCAGCACGAATTTCCACAAAGCTTGTCCAGTTCGGCCTGTCTGCGGGAGACACCATCTGGACTACCGACCAGCTGCTTAGCCTGCGTTAAACCCAGATATGCATTTCCGGATGGGGAATTTACCCCGTTTTCAAAGCGTTGGACAACCCTGAAGGATTTTGAAGAATTTTTTTTTTTTGCTCTACTGGGAGTTATCTTCCCGGTGCTTATTTTTTTAATTCATCCGAGTTAGGTCGTAAATTCTCCGGTTACACATCAGTGCGTTCAGACTCGTTAATACTGTCCTTGTTAAATGGCTGAGTATGAAAATTCTACGCGTATATATCAAGTATGCGGTTGTCTTGATCGTTCACCATGTACTCTTACACTGCAAGTATTTGCGCTGAACAATTGCACCAAAGCAGCTTGAAACAGTGCAACATTCATAATTACAATAGAGTCACTGCAGCATTATTTCCTTTCATATCTCCCATTCTAGCTCAGGTTCCACTAGCAATTCGACCTTCCATATAGTATGTTTTTGGGAGACACAAAATCACACTTCACTGCCGCATCCATCAGATTTTTCCCCCCTATTTTTTGATTCCCATTTTTTCGAGCGAGGATCCTGGACAACAAAGAGCTGCCAAGGTCCTTTCTACATAAACCTGTACAGATGTATGTGCAGTACATTGATGATAGTTCGTTTTTGTGAATCATACACATAGATATACACATCTCTCTTGAGGAATAGGTGACTACCTTAAGGATTGATCCTTTTTGGCGTAGTGGTAAAAGCCTTCCTTAAAGATTGCATGTTTTAACAGTTTTTTATCATCGATCAATGCCAACCTAGGGTTACACAACATAGCACTGGTGAAGGTGGATGAGGGTTGTTTCCTTTTTACCACAAAGACCTCTTCAGCCTACCAAGACCGTCTGTTTTTGCAAGAAGAGTCTGGGGAAAGCCAATGTGGCCACTGGGGTGCTTTGAGCTCCATACTATCGTTTCTGCAATCCGGGTAGCGTACCCCTAACGTAACGGCTCCACTCGTATTGGTGGGGAAAGCCCCTGTATGGAACGAGCATATCTTATTTCTGCAGAGATGAATGAATCACTGATTCTCAAGAAAACGTTGAAAGTCTGCTTGAGAATCTAGATCTACGAGGCTTGGCGGGAGTAAGATGTTTGAAGATTTTCCCTGATAACTTGGACCAAGCCAATGATTTGACAACGCTTTTCTGTTTAGATCCTCAAGTAAACGATCAACTCCGTTCAATATATATTAAAGATTGCACAGAATGATATTCGCGCTTCACAAATGTTCTGTATTCCCTGAAGATTCTCTAGTGGTTATATTAGAACAGAATCTAAATGTTATCTTTAGTGTTGATCTATAGCCGGACGTATGGCTGACCAAAGTGTCAGCGCAAAGGGAGGCCAGATGTATGCACAATATGCAATGATGCTAACTAAACCTTGTTGGTGTTATATAGTATGCGAATGGGTCTCTGTTTGCTGGTGTTCTTGAATTACAGCCAATGACGGAGCTGTGAAATATCCACAGCTCGAGGCAATCTTTAACTCAAGGAACCTTGTAAGTTGTGGGGAACTTTCCTGTCAACGGCAAGCCAGAACTCAACTTCGTTTGTTGCGAAGAATCAGGCCCTGGTCAATGCTGGCGGCGGAACCCTGTGGGGTTGAGGCTGGAGAAAGGGGTTCATTTGTCAAGGGTCTGAAGAAAGAGGTGAGGGGTTGAACGACGAAGGCCTAGAACATAAATCTTCCGTTTTCGTAACGTTAAGGGTCCCCTAAGGTGATCTTCGCACTTTTCGCTCCCGAGCACCTTTAGTTCTGGGAGGGTTAATGCATGGAGATGGGAGAAATGTTTGCTGCCCCTCACCATGTATGTCTTAGAGCTTAAGCAGACCAATGCAGGGTCCACACATCTTTGCACACCATGGCTTTTCCCAGTAATTGATATATCGATATGCAAAACATACCTGGGATTCTAGAACATGGCATGTCTTAAACCTGTTGTTGTGTTGACTGACTCGGGAGTGGACTGTGGATGCTCATTCTCAGAAGGTTGACAATTCCTGCACGCTGATAGGCCAAGTCACGCTGGCCTGTCACCAGCGGCCTTGGCTTGGCTGACAGTCCTCCACTCCAGAACCTGTCTGGGCTTCACATCCCTATCCAACAACACCAGGCACCCAACTCGCCCGCCATCTCCGCCATCTCCGTAGACTGGTTATTCCCACGAAACTTTGCCACCTCCTCAGGGCCGCCAAGTGCTTCACCCTGCGCTTCAGTCACAAGACTTGTCTGGCCTTGCTTGCCTCGCTGAATTTGGTTGGTGTGGTCTGCCTGTTGCTCCCTCATCCACTGCATCTCACCCCCCTCCCCAGCTGCGGTAGAGATGGATCCGCGGTCGTCACCAGACTGCTCAGCCGCCTGGATCTGAGTTTCGAAAATGCCCGAGTCCCATCAAAACGAATCTCAGTCTGGTGCTGCTGCTCTCCCTACGACGTTAGCCCATTCAAACCCCCCTCCACCACCTCCGCCGCCACCACCACCCGCGCCGTCACTATCCTCCCAGCGATATACTAGAGCTACAAGTGCTTTTGCCCGGTTCGCACACCCTTTCATTTATGGCTCAAGGCCACCAAGCCCTCAGCCAACTGCTCCGCAGGAGGCGCTAGTTGTCATTCATCCTCTGCATCCTACAGCGCGGTAAGTGATGATGCCCTAAGGAGTGCGTGTTTCTATTGATCGTTTTGCCGCTATTCTGCATCTACAATACATTCTCATCTCTAACGCCGCCGTTTCATACGTATTTCGTCATGTAGGCCTAGTCCGTCACAAACAGTCACACTTAACACCAACATTCATATTGCTGCCCTTGACATTTCGCCCCAACAAACACATGCCGTTGTCGCCGGGCGTGGGATCCTCAAGACTATCCGCGTAACTCCCTACAGTTGCGAGGAAGAATTTGACCTGCGCGAGGCTATTTTATCGTATCATTCGAATCGCCAAGTTTCAGCGGGCACCTTATCTGCAAAACACAAGGACCAGCTTGCCGCGAAGGATGTGAAGTGGTCTCATGGTGAATATGACCGCATAATTGCTACGGCCGCTGCCAACGGACGCATAGTTTTGTATGACTTAAAAAGGCCAGGACTCGAATTGGGCCGGCTCCAAGAACATAGTCGCCAAGTTCACAAGTTAGCATTCAACCCTCATCGCGGGGCGTGGCTTCTGTCTGGTAGTCAGGATGCGACTATCCGGATGTGGGATCTGCGAATGGTGTCGGGCGAGAGGGGGGCGATGAGTTTTGGTAGTAAATTTAGGTTCAATGGCCATAGTGAGGCTGTCAGAGATATTAAGTGGTCGCCGGTTGATGGCGTTGAATTTGCGACTGCTACAGATAGCGGCGCTATCCACCGCTGGGATGTTCGAAAGGATAATGCCCCGCTAATGAAGATCAATGCCCACGAAAAAGCCTGCTTTTCGATCGACTGGCACCCGCACGGGAAACATGTTGTAAGTGGCGGCACTGATAAACAAATTAAGGTATGGGACTTTTCAACAACAGATCGGAGACAGAAGCCATCCTTCCAGTTTCGCGCTCCACAAGCTCTTCATAATGTACGATGGCGGCCCCCTTCATGGGCTTTGGAGAATCAAGAAGTCGCAAACTGGCAGTCTACACAAATCGTCACGTCTTATGACCACGAGGATCCTCGAATTCATATATGGGATTTACGCAGACCTCATATCCCGTTTAAAGAGATCGATCGCTACAATCGTCCTCCCACTGATCTGTTGTGGCATTCAAGTGAGCTATTATGGACAGTGGACGGCGATGGCACTTTTACCCAAACGGACATTAAATTTGCACCCCAGGTGATATCGCGCAGGAAACCTTGTGCTGTAGCATGGAGCCCAAATGGCGACATTATCACTGTGAACCACAAACGCCCGTCAAGGCGGGGGTTGAACATGAATTTAAGCCCGGCGGAATTCCTAGGCCTCAAGACAGGAAAACCAAGTAGCAGCGAAAAAGGGACTACCAGCCTCAGCTTGACAGATGATGGCCTGGATGAATCTGCTCTTTCGTCGCTAAGAAAAAGAACCAACAAAACTGCTTCCTCTAGAGGCTCTAAGTCATTGAGCGGAACCCCCCCGATGTCAGAAGATGGTCCTACTGTTATTTCTCTTGAGAAAGCCATTGCACATAGCGGTGTGTTTGAGCCGAATCAGATCGGAGCTATTGGTAACGTTTCCGGTGCAACGTTTGACCCGGAAACCTTTAGATATCTCGCTAAGCACTATTCGTCTCTAATGGGGAGTTCTGACTGCAAGAAATCGTCGTCTAGCTTGTTGGAAAATGTACAGATGAGTTTTGACAACAATGCAGAATGCGCAGAGGATGTCTCGTTATACACACTGGCTCAAACGTGGAGGATAATTCAATATGCTGTTGCCCATGAGTTAAAGGCTAGGGCGGAGCATCGTGCGTCTGCCCAGGAGAATAAAATCGAGAGCATAAAAGAGAGCACAAAACCGAAAATATCAGAAAATGAAAATTCTCTTGACAAATCGCAAACTTTGGAAGAGCCTATTCCTGACAAGCTCAAAAGCCGCCTGTTCAAAGGCGTGATGGAAGCAGAGGGGGCTCCCCGTGCACCGACAGACCATGAAAGCACGTCGAACATGACAACTCCTCTCGCTAAGCCGTTACCTGACTCTCCTCGTGTCGAGGAAAGCAACGGCGACAGATACCAGGGTTCAAATTCAGAGCATGAGTTAGAAAACATTCAACTACTACCTCCATCAGTGTTAAGTTCCAATGGAGGGGAAGCTTCCAAGCGGAGACCGCCACAAGATGGCTCGGGCGTTGAAACAGAATCATTTATTAATAATGAGCCGCGTCGGCCTAGGGCGCAAGGGTCGCCCAGGAGCTTGTCACCAGATCGTTTGTCCAGGCGAGACTTGAACCTTATAGACTTATTCAGCGAAGGTCGATCCGCACCTCGTGCTATTGCTGGCAGAGCAAACTGGCGTTTGCACGACCTCCGCGCCTATGAAAATCGTGACTTTGAAGAGGAAGACTATGACCAAAAGGTCGAGGAGAAAAGGGCAGCTCTGAGGGATTACAAAACCTTCCCAAAGAAGGTTCTGTCGCTTGACACTCCTTCACATGAGCATCTTATCAAAGCTCGTCTGCCCATTTCTTACACGCGTCATGATTCCGCGGACAGCTTTCTAATGTTTTCTGCCTCGACTGATAGCTCCCAAAGGACTAAGTCGATAAGCGAGTCCTATTCGGAACGTTCGAAACTAGAGGATACTGCTCGAAAAGGCTCTGGGGACTGGCCAGTTGCAGCTGGGAGCCCGTTGGGAAGAATAAACGAACTTGAAGTTGGGTCTCTTCCCAGATCGGCGGTTCAGAAAGTCCATAATATACGTCCTTCACAGGACTCCTCGTTTGTTAGTTCAGTATCGGAGTCCAACATGGTCGATCTTGAACGACCCCGCAGCCCTCTCCCATTCCTTGTAGAAACATCCGCTGTGAAGGACCCATTACAGCGCCAATTACGACAGGGCTCTCCTCCAACAAAGCCTGCGCCTCACCATCGAGATCATCCTGTACTTTGCACTCGTAGAAGTTCTGAGGAAGATAGTCTCTTGCTACCTCTCTCCCCTGACGAAGCTGAGAAGCAGCCGTGGAGTGCAAGTAAAATTATCAAAGAAGCCCTTAAACATTACTGCTCAAGCTCGCAGGTCGACATACAATCAGCTGCTCATCTCTTGCACAAAATGCATTTGCTCTTTTCTTCATGTGACGAGATTCTGCCATATGAAGAGCGTGAGCTTATTCTTAAATCTTATAATGAGCAGCTCCTAAGACATGGGATGTTTGTTGAAGCGGCAGAACTTCGACTTTTATGTGTGCCTGACTATCCATCCGTTTATGATTACGCGCAACAAGATACTTTCATCAATGTGTATTGTTTCGAATGCAAAAAGCCTTACGAGAACCCAATACGAGATAACCAACGATGCCACCGCTGCAATACCCCGCAGTCACTGTGCACAATATGCATGAGCCGGGACCCTCCTATGGAATGGACTTTACAATCTTCGGTCTCCTCTACCCCATCTTCTACTTCAGACAAGTCTTCTCAAGATGACAATAACTCCACAGTTGATAGTAACATTCACACCACTTACCGCCCTCACGGGAGCGCGCTCTGGGCCTGGTGCCAAGGTTGCGGCCACGGAGGACACGCAGCCTGCCAGACTACCTGGCTCAACAACATTTCCATCAGTGAGGGCGGCTGTGCAACACCAGGCTGTTTCCACGACTGCGGGCCAGGCCCACGACGCGAACAGAATATTGCTTCCCATGTTGAAGAGCGTAAGCACGTAAGGGATACCTTATCTGCACGGAAATTGGGTCGGGGTTTCGCGAAGCGGGATTCGTGGACTGCTGGCGAAAGCAAAGCTGTGGAACGGGTCCGAGGGATGCTAGGTATTGCGACGGCAACTAATACAACAGCAACGTCTTCTGCTGCCACGGGTATAGGACCGCCGGTAGATTCCCCTATAGCCGCTGATGGTGGTGGCACAGGGCCTTCTGCGATTGTGTCCCCGAAGAAAGTTAGGTTGGTCACCCCCAGTGAGCAAGGGGACCCCGGGGTCGGAGCCGGAACTGGGACTCAGTCGACCTACCACCGACATTCAATCTCTGAAACCTCGTTGACGACAAAATAGACTCAATGCTTTTTTCTATTTTAGTATTCTCGCCGAACTTTTTGGCTTCTCGTCTTGCCAAATGAAATTATCCTTCCATGCTTTTTGTGCGTTTACTGAATATCTTTCTCGTTTTTGTTCCTACTTGCATGGTTTTGGGCTGTTCTTTTAACATGGGATTCCGGACGTTTCAAGTACCGTGCATAGCATAGGCCGCTGTTAGGGGGATTGAAAGGAATCAATCCGCGACTCCAACTTGGAAGCGCAAGGTTCAACCTTTAGTTTTTCTCATTTGTTATTATGATTTATTTATTTTTACTTATTATTAATTTTATTTCGTGAGGGACAACGGGCAGGCATTGTTACCCCGGGCGGTTTCCTTTTCATTTTTGGGGGCACTCATACTTATTTTCTTGCTATATTTCATGTGCGCGCTTTCAGGATGGTTGACGGATTTGTGAATGTATTTTATTTTCTTTCATTTTATTTTTTGGCCCCTGCACATTTGCTGCATAGCGTTGTTGTGGAGGAAGGTGGCGGGAAAGGGATAGATAGTTATCAGTTTAAATACTTTCATGTAAATAATGTAATTTATCAGTGAATAACAAGTCATAATACCTTCCCTTAAATGCGTGTGAGAATTAGTGCAAATTATATAAATTCCTGGGCTGGATTATCTTATAATGGGCCGATATATTCTACGTAAGCGTGTTTCTCCCTTGTGCACATGAAGGGATTCCGCTGCCAGTCCAATCAATGACCAGCACGTTTTGTTCTTCTATCTCAATTACCACCCGTCTCCGTATTTAGAAGGGGGATGGAAGTCCAACACCACAGGTAGCTCCAGCACTCTCAAGAAAATCACACGAGAGATAGCAATGTTAGCAAAAAAGGGATATTTGTCCAATTGGATCACGGGGCATTTTAAGATCAGAGGAGGCTTTAAGATATACAAGTATAATTACTGATTGAGATTCATTGTTATACGTCACATCGCAAGCTAGACGACGCTCGTCACAGCTCCCCACTCGCCGCCTTCCTTTATACCCCCCAAACCTCTTTTCATTCCTCCCCACCGTTCCCAGCCTGTATTTTGCCTTAAAACCGCCTCCTCTTCTTCGCTGGTCCACCGACACCAGGCCCAGTACCTCCACTTTTATTTCTCGCTTCCAGCTGTTTCCTCAACTCCTCTCGTTTCCGGTTTGCTCGCTCCTCCGGAGTTTCGTCTTTTATTTCCTGTTTAGCTTCCACCTTTTTCTCTCCCAGCTCTGCTCGTGGTTGTTCTGAATCTCCTGGAGTCATTGCAGGTTTAGGGGGCGGTGACAACTCTGGCACCTCCTGGCTTTGCGATCGTTCCTTACGTGAGTTTGATGCAGCGGGCGCCCCACGGCCGCCAATCATCCCCAGCCTGCCACCTTGGTGTTTAAGTTTTGCGGGGCCGGGGAGGAACTCTGGTGGTGTTTCCCTTTCGTCACCGTTCCCATCATGATCGTGGTTGGGATGTCTTGGTTTAGCAGTTTTAGGTTCACTTGAAGGTGAGCTGGGTTCGGGCTGTTTCTTCTTACCACCTATCTGACCAATTGGCCCTATGCCACGGGATCTAGATTGTGGCTTTAACGGTGGGGAGGATGTCGGTACGCTGGGCTCTGGTAGTGTATGTTGAACTGGTCGCGAAGCAGATTGGTCGCCTTCATTTTCCGATTCTGTGGGCGTGTCGTTGTCGACAGCTTGCTTCGTTGGATTTGAATTTGGCGTTGTTCCTGGGGCATCAGAAATATCAGATGCCGTAGATCCGATCGGACTTTCCTGAAATGGTCTCTGCGTCTTTTTCTTCCCGCCGATGGCCCAAAGACTTCCCTTGGTTTTTGAGATTGTTTTTGGGTTGGTTGGAGCTTCATATTCAGCTTCAGATTGTGTGGATCCTGCTAATTCCATCAGTGATTGTTTCCGTCTCGGGGGATGTCTACCACCGATATTTCCGAGGCCCTTGGATTTCGACCTGTGCCTTGATGCTGAGCGAACGCAATTTCCATCTTCTTCAGAAGCAGTGGTTTCAGCGGAACTTGACGCCTGTACTTTCTTTTTGGGGGGATGGCCAGCAATGTTTGCTTTGTGTTTACTCCTATTTTTAGAGCTCGTAGGGGTTTCAAGGCTTTCTTCTACTGAATCTTGATCTGATTCGACATGACTTCTCCCTGTAGACTTGGGAGACTTGTGAAGGTTATCATGTTTGGTTTTGCTACGACTGGGGCTTCTCAGCCTTGGTGGAGTTTCCATAGTCTTGGATGAAAGTATTAATACGAAGCATTTGGAAAATAATTTGGGAAGTTGTATCTGACCTGAAATTCATCGTCGTCACTATGCGAAGCCTCACCCTTCTCTGCTGGAGGCGGTGATATTTCCGATACAGGTTTTTTTTGATCTTTGTCCTTTCTGGCTGTTTGACGAGCGTTGCCAAAAGAATCTGTGCCTAGCTTGTTCCACCAGTTGTCGGGAGCAAAATCGTCAATCTGTCGATCGGCAAATGAGGATGTGAACGACAGCTCGTTGGCAATATGGACACCCAAGTTGTAGTCAGCATCTTTGGCTTGGTATTCATTATTCCACAAGTTTTCATCGAATGGTGCAACTCCTTTGATAAGCTGGGATGCTTGAGAATACACGGATTCTTTACGAGAAAGCCGTACGCCTCCCATGCCATGAAACACCATGCTCAAGTCGACGCCAGAAGATTCTATTTTGTCAAATAATTTGTTGAGAGTCCAATCCTTTTGCTTGACATGCCCTATCAAGGACAAGATACGAGCCTCATGGTTCGCCTCCCCCTTTAAAATTGGAAGTAGGATGTGTTTAGCCAACGCATTTGGTGGCTGTTGCGAGAGGGTAAACGTCCACTCTAGAGGGACTAACGGAGTTGGTAGCTTTGTTGATGTGAGGAGTTTTAGCTTTTCGCCTCCTGGGTCACTTGTTAATAATAACGAGTTGCCCTCCGACCCTCGTAAGGCGTCAGAAATTTTCTGTAGGAAAACAAAATACTGTTCTTCATCTTCGCCGGGGTCAATGCTCGTGTTATATTTGGATGCGTTTTTAAGGATATCTTTGCGGCTCAGGCTCTGGGACCACACATGGGCCAGGTCTGTCACGTATATCTCACAACCTAATTTGCTGGTAAGGTACTTGTAGAGAAGTGGCGGGGCAGGGCTGTCACTTGGAAGCTGCAGCTTTGACCACTTCGACATATTTCGGTCCGGACGACTTATCCGATAGTCAGTGAATGTATTGGTGAGGCGTCCTGTTGGAATAAATTGAAGCCAACATTGTGTTTCAAGGTGCAGCAGGGAGCTCAAGGCGACAGCTGACCGATATTGCTTATTTCGGGAAGGTTGCCGGTCTCGGCTAAAATTCCAAACTTGGCTAAGCTGCGTATTCAAGTGACCTCCCTTGCTGGTCATAATTTAACCACCAGTGATTCATTTACCTCTGGCCCTCAGCATCCCAAACGAAGAATATACAACAAACGCGAAAATGTCCTTTAGAGTCGCTGATGGAGTTGGTTATAAGAGGAGCAGGTCGCGCTCCCCGTCGTCCTGGCGTCGCCCTGAGAAATTTCCTCGCCAAACGGATGGCGAGAGCAAAGCGAATGACCGTTCTCGAAAACCTCAACACAACAGTGTATCTGGGAGGTATCCGCGGAACATGAAAGAACAGACCCAGTTGAATCAACTTCAAGAAGATGAAAAAATGCGAGAATGGGTTGCCCAAGAAGATGATTTCGTCTTGAAGCAGGCAAAGAAGAAAGCAGAGATACGGGTGAAGGAAGGGCGCGCAAAACCAATTGACTGGCTTACGATCACTCTTCGAGTTATAGATCCCACGAGGAATCCTTTGGATGATGAGATAGCCGATTCCGAACTTGATCTAATCGATCCAGACGGTGTTTTCGAAGGGTTATCGCCAAATCAGCTGCGCGACCTGGAAGCAGATATAGACACTTTTTTGACACTGGAGAAACACCCTAAGAATCGGGATTTTTGGAAGGTTTGTTATCGCATTTCGACAGTGTTGTTAGAACAGAAGACTGACCTTCCTATAGACAATGAAAATTGTTTGTGGAGACCGTAGACAGATATCACAGACATCCGGTCCAGAGGGTCGAGCTATGAATTCCGTCGCCGACGATATCAACAGACTTCTTAGCCCAAAGTCTTACGAAGAGCTGGGAGCGCTGGAGATCCAAATTAGGCGGAAACTAGACTCAAAAGATCCTATCGACACGGATTATTGGGAGCAGCTCCTACGAAGTTTGAATGTTTGGAAAGCCCGTGCGAAATTGAAAAAAGTCTACCAAGCCGTAATTGACAGCCGGGTCGAAGGGCTTCGGAAAAAGCAAAGGGAAGAAGCAGCAGCCGTACAGAAGAAACTTACACCATTAGCACCTTTTTTAGTAACAAGTGACGGCGCGCAGCGAACTGATATCCTGAATATGGAAAACTTTCTGGAGCTTGATCCCGAGCCTCTTTTGCACCTCCGACCCCATGATAAAAACCTTGATATTTTAGATGAAGATGTGTTTTTGAGCAAGGTGGTACGTTCAAACTGCCATAACTAAAAATTATATGGGTTGTATTTAACTCTATAATAGGCCCTTGATCGCCAGAAGATCCTGAAAATGGGATTTGTCCCGCTGCGACATCGCGTTTCGGAGAAACAATCAGGCCTGGTTACCGCCTCTACTGTAGATACTTCTGCAGCTCAATTTACATCTCGTTTTTCTGCGATTCCAAATGAAGATTTCTCACAGGCAACAAGAGCATTGTACGAAAGAGAAGTGGCGAGAGGGGTCAGTGAGAACGAAGAGATTTTTGCTGGTGAAGAAGCCGTGAGTACAACTGCGAAGCCAACGTGGGCCAACAAGTATCGACCTCGCAAGCCGAGATATTTCAATCGCGTCCAGATGGGTTATGAATGGAATAAATATAATCAAACACATTACGATTATGACAACCCACCTCCAAAGGTTGTTCAAGGGTATAAGTTTAATATATTCTATCCCGACCTTATCGATAAAACCAAGGCGCCGACCTATAAAATAGAGCGGGAAAACGGCAGGAAACGTGGCCAGTCATTTGCTCCTGCCGGAGAAGAAGATACATGTCTTATTCGCTTCATTGCGGGGCCCCCTTATGAAGACTTAGCGTTTCGTATAGTGGATAAGGAATGGGACTACAGTGCAAAGAGGGAAAGGGGTTTTAAGAGCAGTTTTGACAAGGTATTATTCTTGCTGAGTGCGCCATTTTCTACGTACGAGTGTGGTTGGTATAATAAATACTAATGCTCCCTAGGGAATTCTTCAACTTCACTTTCAGTTCAAAAAGGTACGCGAGTTATATTCCAACCTGTTCTCAAATGTGCTAAACTAACATGTTGTTTTGCAGATATATTACCGAAAATGATCGTTTCGGTATGGCACAATTGGGATGCAGAACAGCGGGTATGGCATTCCTCGTTACACAGATCTGCCGTTCTCCAACTTTGGATCCTGCACGGGCCATAGGCCGCTGTTGGGAAAAACGGGAATTACGTCGCGGGTCATTTACCAGGGCTGGACCGACAGAAGAACTCTATTTAACCACTCAAGACCTTACAACTTCCAAGGCGTTGTCTCCTGTGCCGATAACTTATAAGGATACTATTCTCGGGTAATGGTAACACGAAACATTTGGTGACCCACATAGCTCCTATCGGAATTTTATACCCAATCACGCTGTGTTTTCAGGTTGTGGGACTGTTCTATATCGTCTTAAACGCCTACTTTTGAACGCTATGTGCCACATATCCTCTCCGATCTCATGGGGCCGTCAACCAACAGGAGATCCAACAGGAGATCTGGGGCATAGCATATTTCTGTTGCCTTTTCACATTAGCCCAGAAAGCCGTATTTCTACCCGTGCTTACTCCATAAATGGCGCTTCCAGTGCTTTTTCTCCAAAATGACTCAACTATCTCAGATCTTTGAGAATATCTCGGTGAATCAATCAAACAAACATCATGGTTTGGGAACAAAAAGAAAGAAACGAGGGAGGCAAAACAATAAAATATATTTGATTTGCTTGATTGATAATGATTTTCCTACGTGACCAATCTCCGACAACATCTAGTCTCGGAGGCTCTTCCGGATCTTTGCTGATCTGCCACAGCTTACATACGCGGTAATTATACCTATTGCCAAAAACAACCATTGGCAGGGCAGTTCCGGCAGCTACCCGTTCTGCCTTACCAACAACGTGATTAATTACTAGGCTTGCTTGCTTGCTTGACACATTCCAAGGCTTATCCCATTGCGAAAGCCCTACTTAAAATCTTGGCAATCCCTGGACGATAATTGGTCTTGGAGCGTATGTCTGTTCCACAAATACTTGCTTCCCAGCAAAGTATAATTGTCATGGTGGAATGGTCTTGCCCATTTTTCATAGTTCGCTCTTTGTTTGCCTTAGAGCCTATTTGTACGGGTTGTCTGCAGGGAGGTTGCCCTATGCGCTGGCATATGCGGGTATTAATAAGTTCAACTATGTATTGGGCTGCCTAAGCTTCATTACGGAAAGGCGCTGCTGTTCTCCATATCTTCGTCTTACAGATTCCGCTTCTAAAAGCTCAACAGTTAATACTCACTTAGTCACATTTTCCCGAAACCTGTTGATCCTGCTGACTTTATCATCATCTAAGACATGCGAATGAAATTATTGATCTATCTTTATCTGAAGAAAGCTCAATAAAAATGAAGGACGACAGCGCATATCATCATTTACAACCGCGAAATCCACGGTCGCGATACCTTCCGCCTGAGACTGCGCCGGTCTATGGGACACCTCCACTAGAGCAGACGTTATCTTTCACTGATATCGCCCCTCCCGGACATATCGTTAATTCTTCATCGTGCTCTACTTCTGTATCGAGCTTTAACGACTTGTCAAACCTAGATCCGAATTGTCTGCGACATCCAAAGGCGGTTCAACATCCATCGACTCTAATTCAGCATTCATGCCAGTTCGCCATGGACCAAAACTTTATCCCCAGCTCCGATTGCACTAATTATACTTCCCCTTTCGACACTGGGGGGTACGATCTTTTGTTTGAGGATACTACGGCTGAATCACTATTTACTGCCTCCCGTTTCGGTCAGAATTATGCAACTTCTTCTGGCGAAAATTTCAATCAATCCCTATCATACCCCAGGCCTCCTCCAGCCCACCTAGAGAATACGCCCTCATCACGCCTCCAATTTCATGATGAACAACAATCACCATCTCACCAGCATTTTTCGTTCTCCAATCCCTCGGTTCTATCGATGGAGCGCTTAAGTTCGAACTTAGGTAGAACTGGCTTTCCATTGTCGCCTGAAGATTCTCCCGTGTCGAGCCCATCGGAGGAGTCTAACAATTTTCACCTTAGTCCAGAGCCCATGGCGGCTTCTGCAGGTCAGATCTTGTCTGATGGGGAATCCGATGATGAGAAGTCTGATGAGCCCTACTCCAAATTAATATGGCGAGCCCTTCAGTCCGTTCCTGACAATAAGATGACACTGAAAGAGATTTACGAATGGTTCGAAAAGAATACGAATAAGGCAAGGAATTCAGATTCAAAGGGCTGGCAAAATAGCATACGACATAACCTGTCAATGAATGCAGTGAGTTTATACTCTATAAATTTTCTTCACATCCTTGCAATATCTATCTTACTAAATCTATCACCTATCATAGGCATTCGAAGGTGTGAAAGACACTTCATCTCCTGATGGGACACCGAGGAAAACGGCGAATGTATGGGTCCTTACCAAAGAAGCACTCCAAAACGGTGTGCAATCAACTACAAGGTACCGAAAAGTGGGAAGTCACAAAAAGCATTCAAAATTAGAACATCCGGCTCCTCAACGCCAAAGATCTGGGGCCAAGGGAGGCAAGGCTGCCAAGAAAACTTCCAAAATGAGGCGTGTTAAACAGGACCCTCACGTAGTGGAAACGGCCAACAGGAGTGCAGCTTTCTATAACTACCAACCCCGGGATGACAATACTATGATCCCCAACTTTCATTATCGGCCCCAACTATTTTCTGGCCATTCAGGCGGTTTCACACTGGATAACTATGGTCTCGAGAATGTGATCGGCACGCATCCGGTCTCGGATTTGCACGACAGTAGCGTACTCTCTGATCCCCTATTTTCAGAAAGCAATGGATTTGGCACCCTTTTTTGACGACATATGAATTTATTGAAAGAATCCACTTAGGCTAATTTGTTCCATACATTCCCCCTCCTTCTCTTTCAACGGGCTGAGTGTACATTACATTAATTTTTTGCCCTGGCTCATATATCCCGTACCTGATTTCTTTAAGTTTTAATTTTTGTTTATCCCCCTCGTTCTGGGATAGGACTCTTATGTCACAACAGGACAGTTAAAATCATTTACAGGGTTGATATGTATTTTCCACTGTTTTTCGCTACCCAAGTTTTGCAAGATGTTTGAAGTTTGCAATAGTCTTTATTATTGTTGTTATTTCCTTGAGCGATGATCGACACGGCCCTTTTCATTGAATGATTCCAGCCTGTACATTACAATAGACGGGATGTCTACCGGATTTTGCTGTGCATATTCTGTTTTCTGACTGGCGAATATGAACTTTTGGTATCTTACATGTACATTCTCTTTGCGTGCTTTTTGAAACATGCATGCCGGTTTATATTTGTTGTATGCCTTCAGTCGAGGGTAGCGAGCCCTTCTTCTATACCAAACCCTCAGAAGGAGGGTGCAGTTAGAAACATTTTAGTTCCAGATCTCCAATAAGACAAGATCACTTGAGATCATTCCTTCTATCATATCTTCTCCGCATCAAGGACAGTAAGGAACTTTCAACAGGAGTCAGTCAGTAAATAGGTCATCACAACTATGAATAGAGTATGGTCAATTTTGGCACCATGCCTGAATCCCCTATTGCCCACTTACTGAGGGTCTACTTTCGATACATATTTCTCCGATTTTGTATGCCAAATATTGAAGGTTTGACCTAAAATGGTGGAGCAGCTTCCCATTACAAAACTTCTTTAAGTTAGTCACACAATACTGTGATGTATCATAAAAGTTTATAACTACCTCCCCAAGACGCTCTATTACATTCGAGTGAGGTAGGTTAGCACACCTACAGCCCTCGACTTGCACACACCAGGTTAAATCTTAGGAAGATCGACTTTGGAGCATTGAACCCTGCAGCGGGTACGAAGCAAGGTGGACCCTTAAATAATCCAATGTTACTCAGTGGCTTCTCCGGGACCGCACCCTTGATCATCCACTGTAAGGAATGCGGTTGTGGTTGATATTCCAGAAAATCCGCAGTATCACCCGCCTAGTCGTATCCATCCCCAGATTTGTCGCGCTCATACTCATAGTTGACTGGCTCGGCTTTCCGATCCGTTGTATCGCATGCGTCTCAAATTTATGGCTAGAAACAACAAAGAAAACGGGAGGGGAAAGCGGTGCAGTCACTGACACCCGCGCGTCGAATGTACGGGCACCACCGAGATGATCGTTTCAATTCTAAGGACATATGGCCCTGATTGGGCTGAGTAGAATGTACACCGGGATTTGAGGTGCTTGATGCTTGACTTGAACCAAATTGCCCTAGCTGTCGATCTACTTACCATGATCTGCGAACTTGTGCAAAGTGGGGGTTCGAGTTGGCCGCGAGGTTTGGGCTAGATGCTGATAGCATGAAGGCTTTGGCACCTATCACGGCGCGCATCTGGGTATCAAGCGGGAAGATCCGTATATTACAACCGCGCTAACTGTAGAAGTTCGGTGGCCAGGCCGATCTATGCACAAGCGGTTCCTTTGGAGCTGGGGCCTTATTTTATTGTGCCTGGTAGGGAACATTGATAGCGCGGTTGGAAGCAGAATGCATATCCGTGGAGAAGTTCCACCGAAAACACCGATATATAGACTTATTAGAAAATATACATCTATTCATGTAAAACGGAGACTAGGAATGAAAATTTCCAAGTCACGCAGCTCATTGCCTGATAAAAAACAGATAAATTGTTTCCCCCTTCAATGGCTGGCTTACTCAATTTCCGGGCGACCACCTACCATTATCCTAATTTCAAAACAAAATATCACTGCTTATTGGGGTATGATTGTCTGCATTCCAACAAACAATAGATCATAATGATTTACAAAAAATCCTATATTGGAAAATGCTTCCTAGTCAACACTGCATAGATGAGAATTGTGTATGAGATAAAGAACCGGAAACAATCCCAGACATAAGAGCTCGTAGTTCATCGACAAGATATTTATTCATTGGACTTCTCTAGTACAGCACATTGAAAATTCACCGATATTTCAATGGAAGGATCTGATAGATGGGGTAGTCTCAGTTGGTTTTAGAACTATAAACGTCAGCTGTCAGGCCTTTGTACAGATTCACGTACGATTTAATGCGGTAACCCAATTACCCGTTTCAGGCGATTCCGACTTTTCATTGAGCTCCCGAGATTGTCGCCACAGACGAGATATCATTTTAACCGCGCGCTTATACGACATTTTTATTGGCCTAACAATCATCGACCCACCATACTCTGTGACAGCTTCCCCCGATACCGGGACAATATGCCAAGACACAAACAAGTATTGGAGTGTGGAAATTGAGCTAACCAGGCCTATGATTGCTACATTGCGTGTTTGGAGAGTACCCAATATGCTCAGGTTTAAGTAGTGCGGGGTTGTCGAAACGCAGATTGAAAAATTGAGCATTCTCCAACGGATTCTCGGTTCTATATTTTGCAGTCAGCACTCGCGGCAGCCCCCATCCCGGAGACTGCTGCGATTCCATGGTAAGATAAATACTCTAGTACATATCATGCACAATAAGCTTTTCGTGAAATGCCGCTGGCTGATATTGCCCTACCTACGTCTACGATGCTTTCTTCGCTGAGCAAGACCGAGAGAGCACATGTTGACACAAAATATGATGTCGTGGCATTCCGAGAAACAATTTGATATCCAAAAGCGGGACAATACTAGTAATTTAAATTTTAGTTTTAAGCCCATTCGCTTCCACTCCCTCCAATATTGCATTGCATGGACGATCTTATAGAACAGAGGCCAGTATGCTCGAGCCCCAGTGTTACGGAAGCTAGGAAACGAAAGATGATGTATTATTATCCTCTTGGGCAAGAATATATATTTTATTTTCTTCTGAGGCTGTTCCCAACAAATATTGTATCCAGGCACCTATTATAGGGGGAGCAAACAGGTAAGATGTGAATATGGAGCTGGTGGCCAACAGTTTTTTGCTACCTTGCAGTGTTTGTCATGGATTGATTTTTTTTCCCCCACAGGAACATTTCGTCGTGCCTAGGTAATAGGATTTACCCGAAGACGACGATATCTGTGTATCTGCAAAAACGCTGCTGCTACCCGTCAGTGGTATGCAAGTTAAAATAATAGGCTAATTGCCCCAGGTTAGGTACAGAACCTGCTCTTGCCCCACTTTCAAAATAAATCCCGTTATCGACCTGAAATAATCAAACGCTTCAGCCCGGCTCTTCCCCTTCTATTGAGCTGACGAACTCAACAGGTGAGAAGGACAACGGTCTCACCACTGCTATTGCTGAGGATTGCGGCATCACGTCCTTACCTTATGAGGGAATATGGGATAACTGATCTTCTGTATGAGGGAAACGAATTTCAACTTGACCGACAGCCTCAAGATAAACCTGGCCATTTCCAGACTAAATAACTACTTGGCGCGAGTTCCCCACTCAAGTATACTTTCTTGTCCTGAAGATGCAATCATTTGTTTGAGGCTGGCTGGCATCTATCAATTTCCTCATGCAAAGAGGTCGAGCCAACAGAAGCCATGCTTTCAATGATCACGCTGCAGAGATGACAGGCAAAAGCATCTGACACCACTAGTAACTGGCGGGGTGGTCCATTAATGTTGACTTTTTGTTGTACGATCGTTGTATTAAGGGTGCAAATCTTATGCATATGAACGGGCCCGCTATGGTGACGCATGATTTATCCTTAACCACTCTGCCGGGGATGCATAAATACTCTAGGCTCGACAAGGGTACCCGCTTCAGTTAGGCTTGTGAGGTTGACCCTGAGAGAGTTCTGCACTGTAGACACCTCGCCTCACAGAATCAAATGAACTTTTATTGTAACTGCAGTTCCCCACTGGATGTACGACATTTAACCTCAACCAATATTCCCCAAGCCCTGGTGCAGGTGAGGGTATGAGAATTACTCACGGGATGGGGTTGTAATCGTCCGAAAATCCAAAAACAAAACCTGACCACTTTTCAGAACTGGATATTTTCGGGCTGGATTTCCCTTGATTGCCGGGATGGAAGACCTGAGTCCTAGCACCTGCTATGAAATAGTGGATGGCTTGGCGCACTTCTGATGCTGCGATTCTGTTGTAAGAATGCATGAATACTCTGGAAGGAAGGTGATTGGGCGGTTGTTAGGTAATCCAAATCCATTGACTAGTCATGGAGGATATATGCTGGGCATGTAAGGCAAATAGAGCCAAACAGGCTGCCAGGAAAAAGTGAGCCAAGAATATGAATATTGTTGGAGAGGGATATAGCCAAGGGAAATGTCTAGTGCCATCGAAAATAGAAGTTGAAACATATTAAGAAATGACGTTAAATTCATTTTTGAGTGTAAATGTGATGGATTGAAAATTTGCCTGCGCTTCTATCTCGTAGGAAACCTGGGGGTATTCCAGAAACAAGCAAAGTCAAAACCATCATTGACTGGAGTATGGTCATATCGCTGGCACAAAAGCAACAAGAAAATATCACTGCCATGATTGACCCTTCCGTGTGTCGTGGTTTTCCCTCATCTTCGTCCCTCGAAACGCCAGAACAATCGAACAATATCCACAGCAACATCCCACTTCCAACAGATTAACGCTTCTTCGATGAAGCAGCAGCCTTCTCTTGTGATTCTTTCAGCACCTTCTTGACGATCTTCTGTTCCTCGATAAGGAAGGCTCGGACGATCCGGTCTTTGACACAACCACCGCAGCGGGAACCGCCATAAGCACGGGACACGGACTTCTTGGGGCGGGAGATCTGGGAATATTCACGGGGTCGGAGGGCGGGAATCTAGAGGTGCGAGGGTGAAGGGTCTTCGAGTGGTTCCGATGCTTCTAGCGTGCTGGTCTTAATTCAATCGAAATTCCCAGTGACTCTGTTCTCCACAGTTGTATTGAAAAGTAGTTGGTCCAAACTGCTTCACTCATTCCTCCACCATTGATACCAGACATCGCGAGAACAGAAAATTGTAAGTCGTTGGGTGAGACTCACGCCTGGGAGTTTGATACCACAGTCACCGCATTTTGGCGCCGTTCCCTTCTTCTTGATGTGGAGGTATCGAAGGTTGCCGCCCGGGGTCTTAATGATGCGAACTTTGTTTGACCGTGTGTTGTACCTGATACACACATTTGTTAGAATCGCCATCTACGTCAAAACTTATATCCACTAAGGTGATATATTTCGAAGCCGCTTGGGAAGGAGAATTTGTACGTACGGGTTTCGCCGTCGCTGACCGAAGAAAGAGTAAATTTAGTATCTCAACCATCATAAGTGATTTCACATCAGGTTTTACTCACGTATTGAAGTCTGGTATTGGCCATTGTGACTGTCCTCGAATCTCTGCTGTCGTCAAGCTCTGGTTCGGGGAGATGGCGTTCTCGTTGTCGTCGCTGTTCGTTGTTTCAACACGCGATTCGATTTTGTGTGTGTGTTGCACGCAAATTCGAGATGTGCGCTAAAAATTTGGCGAGATGACGCTAATACATATAAAGATTAGCGTATATTTTACTTCAGCCGCCACCGGAAGGATTTCTTCCAACGCGTTCCTACAGATGTCAGGGACGAACACTCCCGTCTTGTCCACGCCCACGCAGAAGATCTGCTAATCTTCCCTGTCGCGGTGGAATCTCTGATAACTGTTACTTCGCATCTGGATTCTTTACTGGACGGGTATACCTGCTTGCCGATGGTGAAGCTGGACACAATCCTCATTTCCACCTGCATTATCATCATCAGCTGGATGTGAGGCAGATTTTGTTATTTGGTGTCTTTTGCGCTCATAATGTCAGCGCTTCCTCCTCCTCCGCCTCCGGGATGGGGTGCTGCAGCTCCCCCGTCGATGCCTCTCGCTCCCCCACCACCCGGATTCCGACCCCCAGCTGACCCTTTGGTCGGGAAGTTTGCACAGAAGAAAAACGAATGGCTCAGGACGCAACGAAACCGTTTCGGGGAGAAGAGAAAAGCCGGCTTTGTGGAAAGCCAGAAGGCGGATCTGCCACCGGAACATCTCCGGAAGATTGTAAAGGATATAGGAGATGTGTCTCAGAAAAAGTTCAGTACCGACAAAAGGAGCTATTTGGGGGCATTGAAATTCATGCCTCATGCGGTCCTTAAGTTGCTGGAGAATATGCCAATGCCTTGGGAATCAGCTCGGGAAGTCAAAGTGCTCTACCATGTAAATGGTTGCTTGACACTGGTCAACGAGATCCCCCGAGTTATAGAGCCTGTTTTTCATGCGCAATGGGCTACCATGTGGATGACGATGCGACGAGAGAAAAGTGACCGCCGGCATTTCAAAAGAATGCGCTTTCCTCCTTTCGATGACGAAGAGCCACCGTTGTCGTGGTCGGAAAATATTGAAGATGTTGAACCTTTAGAACCCATTCAGATGGAACTTGACGAATCAGAAGATGCTCCAGTATATGAGTGGTTTTACGATCATCGACCACTTCTCGATACCCCCCATGTGAATGGCCCAAGCTACAAGGAGTGGAATTTGACTCTTCCACAAATGGCAACGCTATATCGATTGAGCCGCCAATTGCTCAGCGACGTGGTCGATAAAAATTATTTCCATATGTTCGATCTAAACAGCTTTTTAACAGCAAAAGCGCTTAACGTCGCGATTCCTGGTGGACCCCGATTTGAGCCGTTGTATAAAGACGTCGACCCAAATGATGAAGATTTCGGAGAATTCAATGCGATCGATCGTATCATCTTCAGAGCTCCAATCCGAACGGAATATCGAGTCGCTTTCCCATACCTATACAATTCGTTACCACGAAGTGTCAAGCTGTCTTGGTACTCCTACCCTCAGATCGTTTATGTCCAATCAGACCCCAACCTGCCTGCGTTTTATTTTGACCCAGTCATTAATCCGATATCATCCCGTTCTGTCGCTCCAAAGAATATAACTGTCAGCCACGAAGATCATATTTTTGGAGCTGGAAATGACGAGGATGAATTTACACTTCCTGGAAATGCTGAGCCATTCTTGGCTGATGAAGAGCTGTACACCAGTGAAACGGCCTCTGCAATTGCTCTTTGGTGGGCACCATACCCGTTTGACCGCCGCTCTGGTAAAATGGTTCGGGCGCAGGACGTACCCCTTGTGAAACAGTGGTATCTTGAGCACTGCCCACAGGGCCAGCCCGTGAAAGTTCGTGTATCGTACCAAAAGCTATTAAAAACTTACGTTCTAAACGAATTACATCGGAAAAAGCCTAAGGCACAAAGCAAACAGAATCTCTTGAGGACACTGAAGGGAACCAAGTTTTTCCAACAAACAACTATTGATTGGGTGGAAGCTGGGCTTCAAGTCTGTCGCCAAGGGTTTAACATGTTGAATCTGTTGATTCATCGCAAAAATTTGACTTATTTACATCTCGACTACAACTTCAATTTGAAACCAGTGAAGACTCTGACGACAAAGGAGCGAAAGAAGTCCCGTTTTGGAAATGCTTTCCATCTAATGCGGGAAATCCTTCGCTTAACGAAGCTTATCGTTGATGCCCAGGTCCAATATCGTTTGGGTAATATCGATGCTTTCCAACTTGCTGACGGCATCCTCTATGCTTTTAATCATGTTGGCCAACTGACGGGCATGTACAGATACAAGTACAAACTAATGCACCAGATCAGATCATGTAAAGACCTGAAGCATCTCATATACTATCGCTTCAACTCTGGTCCGGTTGGAAAAGGTCCGGGGTGCGGGTTCTGGGCACCTGCTTGGAGGGTTTGGTTATTCTTCCTGAGAGGGATTATACCTCTCCTGGAGCGCTGGCTAGGAAATTTACTCTCCCGTCAGTTTGAAGGGCGCCACAGCAAGGGTGTCGCAAAAACTGTTACGAAACAACGTGTTGAATCCCATTTCGATCTTGAGCTTCGCGCTTCAGTCATGGCAGATCTTATGGACATGATGCCTGAAGGCATCAAACAAAATAAGGTTAACACTGTTTTGCAACATCTCTCGGAGGCCTGGCGATGCTGGAAAAGTAATATCCCCTGGAAAGTCCCGGGGCTTCCTGCTCCTATAGAGAATATTATCTTAAGATATGTCAAAAGTAAGGCAGATTGGTGGATTTCTGTTGCTCATTACAACCGGGAGCGTATTCGGCGCGGAGCGACGGTTGATAAGACTGTGGCTAAGAAAAATCTCGGACGACTCACGCGACTCTGGCTCAAAGCTGAACAAGAGCGGCAGCACAACTACCTGAAAGATGGCCCTTACGTCTCTTCTGAAGAAGCCGTTGCAATTTACACTACCACGGTCCACTGGCTGGAATCCCGAAAATTCTCCCCTATTCCGTTTCCTAGCGTATCTTACAAGCATGATACGAAGATTTTAATTTTGGCTCTAGAGCGTTTGCGCGAAGCTTATTCTGTTAAGGGCCGCTTAAATCAAAGCCAACGGGAAGAACTTGCTCTCATTGAACAAGCCTATGATTCTCCGGGTACAACTCTGGCGAGAATTAAGAGATTCCTTCTCACACAGCGAGCTTTCAAGGAAGTTGGTATTGACATGAACGACAACTATTCAAACATCAATCCAGTGTACGATATCGAGCCCATTGAGAAAATCACTGATGCGTACTTGGATCAGTATCTTTGGTATCAAGCAGATCAACGTCACCTATTTCCGGCCTGGATCAAACCGTCAGATTCCGAGGTTCCCCCTCTTCTTACATACAAATGGGCTCAAGGCATTAACAACCTTTCAAATGTATGGGAAACCGCCGATGGTGAATGTAATGTTATGATTGAGACGGAGCTATCTAAGGTTTATGAGAAAATTGACCTCACCTTACTCAATCGACTTCTCCGTCTCATTATGGACCATAATTTGGCTGATTACATCACCTCGAAAAATAACGTTCAGCTCAACTACAAGGACATGAACCACACGAATAGTTATGGTATGATCCGTGGCCTTCAATTCTCTGGTTTCGTCTTCCAGTATTATGGCCTCGTAATCGATTTGCTCTTGCTGGGCTTGCAACGAGCAAGCGAGATTGCAGGCCCTCCCCAGAGTCCAAATGATTTCTTGCAGTTTAAAGATCGGTCAACCGAAACTAGACATCCTATTCGCCTCTACACAAGATATATTGACAAGATTTGGGTGTTCTTGAGATTCTCAGCCGATGAATCACGAGATCTTATTCAAAGGTTTTTGACCGAACAGCCAGACCCGAATTTCGAGAACGTAATCGGTTATAGAAATAAAAAATGCTGGCCTAGGGACTCTCGAATGCGGTTGATGAGACATGACGTTAATTTGGGTCGTGCAGTTTTTTGGGATCTGAAGAACCGCCTTCCGAGATCCATCACCACCATTGAGTGGGATGACACTTTTGCCAGTGTGTACAGCAAGGATAATCCAAATATGTTATTTTCGATGTGTGGTTTCGAGGTCCGCATTTTACCGAAGATCCGCAACCAAAATGACGAGTTCCAAGTCAAGGACAGCGTCTGGTCGTTAGCGAATAACACGACTAAAGAACGAACTGCATATGCGTTCCTGCAGGTCACGGAAGAGGATATCCAGAAGTTTAACAATCGGATCAGGCAAATTTTAATGTCTTCCGGCTCGACTACCTTTACAAAAATTGCCAATAAGTGGAATACGAGTTTGATCGCTCTGTTCACATATTATCGAGAAGCAGCGGTATCCACTGTTAACCTCTTGGACACAATTGTTAAATGCGAAACCAAAATCCAAACCCGGGTTAAAATTGGCCTGAACTCGAAAATGCCGTCCCGCTTCCCCCCCGCCGTCTTCTACACCCCTAAAGAATTGGGAGGCCTGGGGATGATTTCTGGTTCTCACATACTTATTCCGGCCAGCGACAAACGCTGGTGGAAGCAAACTGATACTGGAGTCACCCACTACCGAGCGGGTATGTCACACGATGAGGAAACTTTGATTCCTAACATTTTTAGATACATAATACCCTGGGAGGCGGAGTTTACCGACTCGCAACGGGTGTGGATGGAGTACTCTCAAAAACGACAAGAGGCGAATCAGCAAAATCGTCGATTGACACTTGAGGATTTGGAAGACAGCTGGGACCGCGGCCTTCCACGTATCAATACTCTCTTCCAAAAAGACCGGAGCACTCTCAGTTTTGACAAAGGCTTCCGTACGCGAACCGAATTCAAAGCCTATCAACTGATGAAGAGCAATCCATTCTGGTGGACAAGCCAGAGGCATGACGGTAAATTGTGGAACCTCAATGCCTATCGGACCGATGTGATTCAGGCCCTTGGGGGTGTTGAAACGATCTTGGAACATACTTTGTTCAAAGCTACAGCGTTTCCTTCGTGGGAGGGATTGTTTTGGGAACGAGCCTGTCTTGCCAAGGGAACACAGTTGCTTCGGTACGATGGTACCAAGGTTGGAGTCGAGAACGTTAGAGAAGGAGACCTTCTCCTTGGTCCCGATGGCGAACCTCGGCGCGCTTTCAACATTGTCAGTGGACGAGATCGTCTGTATCGCATTAGTATTGACGCTGACAAGGAAGACCTTGTTGTAACGCCAAACCATATTCTTGTTCTTCATCATGAAAAGGAAAACCAAAAGCGACAGAGCGAATTGTCGGCTTCTGCGACAGAGCGCTACGATACTGTGGAAATGACAGCCGCCGATTTTGCTGCTCTGGATCCAGAAGAAAGGCGTTGGTACCGACTCTTTAGATCCCCTGGCTTCGAGTTCGGCCAGCAAAACGTACCCATAGACCCATATTTCGTTGGTTTTTGGTTATGCGATGGAATTCGCGCGAGTACCACAATCTATACCAGTCCCGAAGAAGCAACCAGAGAGTTTATCATCAACCATGCTGCTGAATTGGACCTGCAACTTGCTTCGAAAGAATATATGCAACACTCAGTCCGTCGTGTAGCCCGACAAACCATCTTGGAGCAACGGCTCGCCGTTCAATGCACAGCACCACAAGAAACTGACAGGACACTTCTCAGCCATATCTTGCAGAAAGCTGCGAAAAGTGGCCTAGCCTCCAGCACGCGAACCATGTCAACCAGCCGAAATCGCCAGCCTCTTTCCGAAACCTCAGCAGCAACTTCCATGAATATTCTTCCCGGGTTTGCGTCTAATTCGACTTCAGTCGTTTCCCCTGGTATCCATTCTCACGAAATTCTGTCGTTGCGTAGCTCCTGTTCGCAGCTCGTGCAGATAACGGAGAAGTCTGGGTTACGTGAAGAGTGCATGATTAACCCGCCGTCATCGAGAGAGGATCTCGGGCTCGATTTATTTGACACACATATTGAAGCCGATGAAATCCAGGGCCTGGATGAAAACTTGACCGGACAGAAGCACCGCCTACGAACGGGCTGTCGAGCATATGGAGATCTCACTGTCCATGAGGAAGGACAAATTCTTGATAATATCATTAGCCGACCTGTTGGCACTCCTGATATTGGTACGCTCCTTCGGGCTCTCGAAGAGTTGGGGTTACCTACAAATCGCGCAGAAGGGCACGGAGTTGAAAATAAACGCATACCATTTATGTACATGAAGAGTTCTCGATCAATCCGGCTAGCTCTTCTCGCGGGGCTGATCGATAGTGATGGCTGGTACTGTCAACCTCAGAATACGTTCTGTTTTGGCGAGAGTGAACGCATTTCGCCTACTCTTTTCTGGGACATCGTCACGTTAGCACGATCATTAGGTTTGAGTGTTTCTACAGAGCAGCATACGATGCGTAGCCCGGCTTGCACAGCATATAAACCCCGGTTTGTTGCCCAGATATCCGGAAATGTAGCAGAAGTTACCTGCCTCCTCGCGCGAAAGGGAGGTGTCAAAAGTCCCGTTTCTCAGGCTCATAGTTTCACTATTAAGGGGATTCATCTTGAGTCGGAGATGACGGAATGGGCGGGCTTCAGAGTCGATAAAGACCAGCTCTACCTGCGACACGACTTTCTTGTATTACATAACAGCGGATTTGAAGAATCTATGAAATTCAAGAAGTTGACCAACGCGCAGAGATCAGGTTTGAATCAGATTCCTAACCGTCGCTTTACTCTGTGGTGGTCACCAACAATTAATCGTGCAAATGTTTATGTTGGTTTCCAGGTCCAGCTTGACTTGACTGGCATATTCCTACACGGGAAGATCCCAACCTTGAAGATTTCATTGATCCAAATCTTCCGTGCCCACTTGTGGCAAAAGATTCACGAGTCTGTCGTCATGGATCTCTGTCAAGTATTCGACCAAGAATTGGAGCAGTTAGGTATCGAAACTGTTCAGAAAGAAACTATCCACCCCAGGAAATCTTATAAAATGAATAGCTCATGTGCCGATATTCTGTTATTCGCCACCCACAAGTGGAATGTCACTAGACCGTCTCTTCTTTTTGACACCAAGGATGTGATTGAACCCACTACGACGAATAAATTCTGGTTAGATGTACAACTGCGTTACGGTGACTATGATTCTCATGATATCGAGAGGTACGTTCGTGCCAAGTACCTCGATTACACGACGGATAGCATGAGCATATACCCATCCGCAACTGGCCTAATGATTGGTATCGACCTGGCGTATAACCTATACTCGGCCTATGGTCAATACTTCCCTGGTTTGAAGGCTCTGGTGCAGCAAGCTATGGCAAAGATCATGAAGGCAAATCCGGCCTTGTACGTACTAAGAGAACGTATTCGGAAAGGCCTCCAGCTTTATGCCTCAGAAAGCAACCAGGAATTCTTGAATTCCCAAAATTATTCCGAATTGTTTAGTAACCAAATTCAGCTTTTTATTGATGACACTAATGTCTACCGTGTCACAATTCATAAAACATTCGAGGGTAATTTGACGACAAAACCAATCAATGGTGCGATTTTCATATTCAATCCGCGCACTGGACAGCTGTTCCTGAAAATCATCCACACTAGTGTCTGGGCGGGCCAAAAGCGTCTCGGTCAATTAGCCAAATGGAAAACGGCAGAGGAAGTTGCCGCACTTATCAGATCTCTGCCGGTTGAAGAACAACCGAAGCAACTGATAGTCACAAGAAAGGGTCTCCTCGATCCACTCGAGGTTCATTTGCTAGATTTCCCCAATATCTCCATCAGAGCGTCTGAGCTTCAGCTACCTTTCCAAGCTGCGATGAAGGTCGAGAAGCTTGCGGACATGATTTTGCGCGCGACTGAACCGCAAATGGTTCTTTTCAACCTCTATGATGAGTGGCTGAAGACAATATCGTCATACACTGCATTTTCCCGGCTTATTCTAATACTTCGAGCTCTCCATGTGAATCCTGAGAAAACGAAAATCCTTCTTCGTCCAGATAAGACAGTCATTACCCAAGAACACCATATCTGGCCCACGCTGTCAGATGAGGATTGGATCAAGGTTGAAGTCCAGCTCCGTGACTTGATTCTGAATGACTACGGCAAAAAGAACAACGTTAACACTCAAAGTTTGACTAGCAGCGAAGTTCGTGATATTATTCTTGGAATGGAGATTAGTGCGCCGTCCATGCAGCGACAGCAGGCTGCGGAAATTGAAAAACAGCAGGAGGAACAGAAGCAGCTCACAGCGGTCACAACCAAAACTCAAAACGTCCGAGGAGAAGAGATAGTTGTTAACGACTACTTCCCAGTATGAACAACAAGCATTTGCTTCAAAGACCGAGTGGAGGACTCGGGCTATTGCGACATCAAATCTTCGAACCCGGGCCAACAACATCTATATTTCTTCTGACGATATCCAAGAGGAGGGACACTACACGTATATCATGCCAAAGAATATCTTAAAGCGGTTTATCACAATCGCAGATCTTCGAGTGCAGGTTGCTGGATATTTATATGGTGGGTCACCGCCTGACAATGATCAAGTTAAGGAGATCCGGACGATCGTGATGATCCCACAAGTTGGAAATACTCGTGATATACAATTACCACATCAACTCCCCCAGCATGAATATCTCAGTTCTCTTGAGCCTCTTGGAGTTATTCATACGCTCTCTGGAAACGAACCATCGTATATGACAGCGATGGATGTTACGCAGCATGCGCGCCTCATGAATGCGCACTCCTCCTGGGACAAGAAAACTGTGACTATGACTGTATCGTTCACCCCAGGTTCTGTGTCGTTGAGCGCGTGGGCATTGACACCCCAGGGTTATAAATGGGGGGCTGAAAATAAGGACACATCCTCTGATCAACCTCAAGGTTACTCAACCAGCATGGGAGAAAAATGTCAGCTTTTGCTCAGTGACAAAATACGCGGTTACTTTTTAGTTCCGGAGAACAACGTCTGGAACTACAGCTTTATGGGCAGTTCTTTCAGTAGCTTAGAAAAGCGACCCATATATGTGAAGATTGATACCCCATTAGTAGGTTTTTCCTCTATTCTTGTTATATTTGTAACTTTTTCGATATGATTACTGACACGTGTATCTACTGTAGCGCTTCTATGATGACCAACACCGCCCCCTACATTTCCAAAATTTTGCCGAGTTAGAGGATATCTGGGTTGATAGAGTCGATAACTTTGCATGATCATGCCGAGTCTCCTGCTCTCATCGACTTATGTGTTAAATAGAAGGCCTTTATTAATTTCCTACTTGTACCTGCTGTTTCATTGGCGAGTGGTCCGTTAATTTGTTTTTGTTACTTTTATTCTTTGACTTTTCAATTTGCGCTTGTTTTGTATGCATATGTACTGTACGTTACCACAAATAAACCATGTTCTGCACTGTATGAGAAAAGTCCCGCCTAGAAAGAATAATGCCATTGTAACTTAAAATATTATTGGCGCTATCTGTTCATTCGTTGTATTCATAGGTGACAAAAAGCCCATTGCTCTTCTCTTGGATTTCACTCATCCTAAGTCCCCACTACGTAGTGTTAACTTCTTCGATCGCCTTCACCTGCTGATAGGAATTATGACCATTGGCCTTTTAGATCGAGTTAGGCTGATGTAGCGATAGGCTTAAGATTCATCTGAGTTCCAGCGGCACAGTTCTCAACCAGGCTTGTATCAGTGGGATTTAGGGCATTTGGTAGCTATATCACGGACAGCTGAAGCCAATACCCGGGCTCTTTTCTCGGATAATGGTTTTTAGTTTCTCCTTCCACTGGCGTTTGCTATTATTGCTTCCCTTCCCCTTCATCATGATGTTTACAAATCCCGGCCCTCTTTCATTGAGGACCCAGGGAATATAGCTCTTTTATTCCTGGATATTTTGTCCAAAGAAATATCATGTGGCTCAATCGATCGACCTTTGGGGTGGTTCATTGCTGAATCAAATACATTCGAAATTAATATCTGAAGCTGAAGCAACGCACATTGGAGCAAAAGGATCCACCGGGGTTAAAACCCCCCCAAGTACGATAAATATGGGGTGGGATGCCGTGATATTAGCTATATATACAACTCTTGAAGCTGCAGCAATCTGTTACCAATGGCGGAGCAAGAATGAGAGCCGCATGTTTGATGAGGATCGCTCGTTCTAACCTGTGCAGGACATCCTCATCCATTCCTCAAACCTCTTCGCTAAAATGTCTCTGGGACTCTGAAGCCTCGGGATCGATACCAATGCTGAGATGGTCTCCTCCTTTGGCATTGATGCGCTCATCAATGACTAATCATGAGCAAAGCCTTGTCAGTGGTGGCGCCCTTACGGACGTTGGGGTGTTCCGCGCCGTCAACTGATCCGCACCTCCGACATCTCATGTCGCGCGCATGTTCAGATCTTTCATTATTCATGGGCACTAGATTATCAACAATGCGATTGGAAACGATTGGAGGGGACGCTGTGGGGATCAAGGAAATGAGAACGAAAGCATGGGCCAGTCCAGTCTTTGTTCAGGCGAGACCACAGCTTCACATTATTGTCCTCGCTCTCTTCCTACGAGGATGGGATAAATTACGAGAAAATCGCAGTTTTCCTCGTATTCCGAAACACCCGTTCACGTAAATATTCAGACTTTGATCAATATAAATCTCATTTCTCGACTCTTCCAACAGTTCTCCGGTGGGTGGCTCTTAGGGGTTGGGCTTCCCCAGGTGCATCACTATGGTGGGGTCCCAAGCCACAGAGATCAAACATTCTAACTGCACTTAGCAATTTGGATCTACTTGGCCCATTGATTTTCATCTAGGATCACAGGATAAGCCATGGAGTGAACTCCTCACGAGTCACCAGAGTCATTCGTTTCTCCCCTCTTTTTACTAACTCCCGCATCTGGACCATACAAATTGCGTTACGACTTTCAATTTGGCATATCAGCATGGATCCGAAGCGACCTAAGGCTAGTTCATATGTATTTTACTGCATGGGTTGAAGCGTCCGTGAAAGTTCCAATGCCAACATTAGCCCCTGTGGCTGACAAAGTTGCCATCACAAGTTAAATTACAAGTATTCACAGCACATGGTCGACATGCTAGGAAACACAAAGGGGTCTCGCTATGCAGGTCTGCCTAGCGTACTAAAGATTTTGTGCTCTCCCCAGAAAAATATGGTGGTTATTCATGTTTCAATTTATGCAGGTTATTTGCCAGTGCATGAAGCATATATCTCACTTCGACCTTTCTATCATAAAAACGGTCGTCGATCAGTAATATATTGTCAGCAGGATATTATGTTTTATTTGAAGCTGGTTACAGTATCAACATTGTTTGTTTGGTGATTTCTTTCGGCTGTTCGGAAGAAGAGAATCATGAATACTCATTTTCTCTGGGCTCCCTTTTTTCCATGCACCAATCTGCACACCTTGGTTGTCCCTATCCGATGCCTCCTAGAAAAGAAAGCACCACCACAAGGCATCATGTTCAAACATCCAATTAGAGACTAATGTCACCCTCATGCGGGGGAGCGGAGAATGAGACAGGGAGGAAGCCTGAACTTGGAGGACGAAATTGGTCTCTGGTTGGCCAAAGTGGGAACACTTGATGCCCCCTGCCTATAATTTCAAGCCATACTTCTTTTTCAAAAATAGATGGAAACAGAATTGGGTGGCCAGGCGACTGAAGATCTCCATGACGGTGCATTCGAGCCTAAATAAGAGAGGGCAACGATTACTACAAGAATGTATCTTGTTACTGCTCAACTCGTCTGTATGTGACGTGCGTCCTTAGATAATGTCAGTTTTTGCCTCGTTTGGACTGGGAAAGGTTGAACTATAACTAGCTGAACGTCCATTCGTGTTTGGCAATGCGCCGCACCAACAACATTTCCTCAGTAGTGTTGAAAAAGAGTTCGAGCGCGTCAACCGGTGCGGGGAATCTTTGCCTGGAAAACATCTGCCCTAGTCTTGAAAAGGAAATCGTGTTATCATACATAGAGGGGCCTGCCAAATGAAATAGCTCATTTGGAGCGTCCCTTTGGTCAAGGATTTAACAATCGACATGGTCCATTCATGCGTTCGTCTGGAGCAGCTCGGTTCACCATCAGAAGGTCAACCGGTATGATTGTCCCGGATTCGGGAAGGGAAGGCCATGGGAGGTTTGCCAAATTTACTTTCCATGAAGGTTTTTCAATTTGGAATTCAAAACCATCTGTCGGCCGTTCTGCACGCTATGAATCCCCTCCCTTGTTCAGTTTATCCAATTTGCCGATTCGGGACAGCTACAGCTCTCCCCTGGTGCAAATCGGCACGCATTTCCGGGGGATGGGCGGGTTTATATTTTTAGACTCGTTCTAAGGCACTAAGAAACAGTAAACAGCGTTGGTTCTAATGGGGTCGTCCATGAAGGTGAAACAATAGCCCGACGTGTTTTCGCAGCGAGAGAAATGACCTGGTGGGGGGATGGGTGGAAAGAGTGTGAGGAGAATTTGGAATTAGTTGTTTCAAACACTGACCTATTAGAGATTTGTGAAATAATGTAGAGGATCCTTGAGGCGTTGGGATTGAATACTAACACGCGCATCGTGGAATTTCAAGTTTTGTTGTCGAATGGACGCTCATTGTCATTTGCAAATAGCTCTTCTTGATTTCTTCCTTCGTCTTGTGCATAATAATTTTAGTTGTATGAAACAAAGAGCGCTTGGCTTCTGGAGGAGTTCCCGGCGACAGCGTGAATATCCCATGTCACATTAGCAATAATTATATTCACAATTATTATATTTCTCAGGATGCCATTTTTTGCGGGGTTCGTAGATGGTTTGTTTGGAGTCTGGGGCCGTTGATCGTCAACTAACCAGAATCGGTCTCGATTGTCCACTTAGGAACATCTCCACCGAAGTTATCCACCTAGGAAACCAACTTCAATTCTGGCGTCACCACCGTCATTAGTACGCCGACCATTGCTTTTGGTAGATGATTGCTGCAAAGACCTGGGAAATATTAACCACCGAGTAGCTGTCAATGAGGTCTGGACATCCGCCTGTGCCCAACCTGCTCCCGATGAATTTCCAAACATTGACCTCAACTCTGAAAATTCTGTCGCTAACTTTTTTTCATTCAGGCCCGGATTTTCAGGCTTCGAGTCACTCTTTTTGGCGGACTGCTCCACAATCCAAAGGCCGCGGTTGTGTGGCAAGAACATCGGTTTCAAATGAGCATCGAGCTTAGACTGCTGAGGCGTGTTTCAACGCGGTTTAGCCCCGCCAGGATCCTGGAAGCTGAGATGCCTGCAATGCCTAGGGCGTTTGATACTAGTGCAATTTGCGTGTCCTCGCTGAAAGTTGTGAAATCGGCTATCTCGTCGACCCTGCTTCAATATGAAGGTGTACCAACCGCATTTTCCAGACCCCCTCACTCCATGGTTTTATGCAGACGATACCCTGCAGGACTCCCCCGGGTGTATCATGTTTTACACCGTATGCTTGAAGTGGAATAATAGGATATAATTCCACGCGGGACCAAGCTGTGATACAAGGCAGCGACTGTGAGGAGTCTTTGTCAAGAAAACCTACTTGCAACATCGACAATCGATATCTTGTGAGGCGAGATTAACTCTTAGTTTCCCTTGCATTCCTAGGGTGTACTGAGACTGGTTCCTTGGCTCTGACAATGCAGAAATTGACTACGGAGTACCACTGTCTTGAACCTAAATTTAGACACGAGAGGCTCCGTCAGTACCCCTTCCGGAAATTCTGAGTTTTCGATCTCTGTAATCTTTCTTGGCTACCTCGACATTTTCGACCCAAGGGTTCTGAGCTAGCTAGATAATATCACTTTGCTTGTCACAGGAATAATCAACAGCACAAGTTGTTAAATTAAGCATGGGGAGTAGAAGGCTTAAACTGAAACTGAGCTGCGGGAGTGGACACGACGGGCCTAGTTTGCAATCTGTCGATCACGCCTTTGTTTGATGCCTCGCTCTAGCTTTGACTAGCCTGGAATCTTGACGCGACGTGCACTATAATCTCAGCCATTCAGGAGCTGGCGGGGACTAATTAGCCGTTACAGTCTCGAGGAATTAAAATGATCAGGGAGCATGGAACAGAGCCACTCGCAGCAAACTGGGCTTCACCACTTGTGGGCAAGGATAGAAGCATTGGTCCTTTTCTACTTCTTATCCGAGAGAGGAAAAAGCTCCCTGTCGATGATGAGAACCACGAGAAGGATGGTCCCGAACAGTGAAACAAATCCCGGCGGTGCATATGGGATTCTCATCTCTTCGATCCCGGCTGACAATCGTCGTGGAAGTCGCGCAGTGTGAAGTGAGGCATGTTTGTTTGCCCCTTGATCCTCGGCAATCTTGTTGGATTGGATTAATCGAATGCTATCTCACATCTCTCTCGCGGGGCTGCTTGTGATGACAGCAATCGCCTTTCTCTTTATTATTCTTGAGCCCGTTGGAAGCTCCTCAGGTTTTCGCGGCATGTGCCCTTTCGCAATCAGTTGGTGACAGGGGACGAGCCGCCATTTTCACCACCAACACCGCTCTCCACTCTTTCTAAACGTCTTTTTGTTCCTGAATAATCCGGTCGTTACTCAGAGCGCTTTTGTCGCATTGAACCATACATTTTATACTCCATGATTTAGCTTCCTTTGCTCGGCCTTTTGCGTTCACATTGTGTGAAGTTACGGAAGGGGTATTTGACATGCGGGACATTGCTTTTATATCTCCACTCAAAAGCTCTGTTTCAACGCAGAGAAGAGAGTGTGTGCCCCCGAGAAATGCCACCGAGGTTCGCGCCTAGGCAAGCGTAAGATGACCGTCTAGAACTCGGTCCATCATTCCCTGGTCCCATTTTAGCAGAGGTTTGCCGGGACCTATTGCTATTCAAGCGACCGCAGTTGACCCTTGAAGTCCGCCCCATCATTTTTAATTTATGATGTGGGCTCTCAGTAGCCCTTATGATTATTTCCCTGAATGCCAACCCTCCTTTAGCACAACCATCCGTCTGGTCCCTCATCCTAGTCCCGCCTGATCTACAATGTCTATTTCGACGGACCTCTATAATAAGACTACTATGCGCTATCGTTCTCTCGTCCTTTCACCCAAGAAGTTCGAGAAGTTCTCATTTCGCGAATCCCCGAACTCAGCCCTAAACTTCATTTAACGAGCACCAGCCCTGATATAACTCCCGAGGAATAACTACCTTGGCCTTTTGACGTGCTCAGCTCACTCATTGTCTGGCGCGGGGCGTCTGATTTTTATTCTTTTATTTTACAAACCGAAGTTCCATGATTCCCACCAAATCGCGACCCCTCTCACTACTTAACTCTTTCCTCGCGCTGAATGCACCTCAAAAGGAGAAAAGTCCAGCCATCCATACCCTTTAGAAACGAAAAATCCAAACCAAAGACCGGAATTTCCTTTTCAAATCTACAGCGCTTTCGCGCTGATTCTACAATACGATTTACTTACGAATCATCAGGCAGCCTGCTAGGGCTTGATAGCTCTAGCAGCGCCGATATACAACCGTGACGCTGGCGGATCCATATCGGGATTATCAGATTGATTATTCGGCACAAGAGCAGTCGAAGGCTCAGGAACAACAAAGTCAACTGGTTTACCAAGCAAATCAACAATCTACAACGGCACTTCATCATGCGGCGAGGTCTGATGTTGCCTTCCTCTCAGGTGGCCAGCATCATCAATCCTTTCAGCAGCCGCAACAACAGCAACCATCCCATCACCACCACCAGCAAGCGTCGCCGCCTCAGCGGCAACAGCAACAGCACGGACAACACGGGCAGCCGGGCGTTGTTGCGTTGTCCTCTGCAGGATCCCATAACGCTGTACGCGACATCCAACCACCTGTCTTACTCCCCGCGCAGATGGTAGCACCCCAGCTTCCACCTCACTTTAACACCGGCCCGCTCCACCTACCATCATATGCGACTAAGCGACACGGGACGAAAAGAGCGCGCATCGATGAAGGGTCTGGTGAACCAGGTGATGATCACACAGCAGGACTCAGTCTTTCAATGCTCTCGGATACATCTCACGGGGATGAGCGGCAGTCCACCGATATGCTCTTGTCTGCGCAATCAGATCCCACATCGCATCACCAGCCTCCCTCTCAACACGAATACCAACAGACGCCCTCGCTGCACCAGCAACACCACCATCACCATCGATTGCCTTCTCAAGCCACTCTCGTAGGCGCCCAGCGCTCCGATGCAGAATTGACATCACCTGGGGGAGTGTCTGGGCCTCCAAGCGTGGTTGGCCAACCAGGGATGCCGGATCCCGCACCACGACCGCGAGGGCCCAAACTAAAATTTACACCGGAAGAGGATGCCCTGCTGGTAGAGCTGAAGGAAAATAAGAACCTAACATGGAAGCAAATCGCTGATTTCTTTCCTGGTCGGACCAGCGGCACATTGCAGGTTCGCTACTGCACCAAATTGAAAGCCAAGGCAACGGTCTGGACGGATGAGATGGTACGACTGTCATTTTCTGCTTTTGTAATCAGGCACTGCCAGTCACTTGTGAAGACAACTGGTTACGGGTTGGGCTAACATCCCTCATAGGTACAACGGTTGCGTAACGCGATCCACGAGTACGAAAATGACCGCTGGCGTGTGATCGCGAATAAGGTTGGAAGTGGGTTTTCACCTGCAGCCTGTCGAGACAAAGCCACAGAATTATAGTCATTCTATTGCAGAAAATCATCGCGGAAATCTCCCTGCTTTTGGCCCCACTTAAGAGATAATTCTAGGATACGGTGAGGGTTTACTTCCCGTGGCTATGTACGATGTGGAAGTGTACGTCTGCTTTTGCTTTGTCGGAGTAGTTACGTTGTTCCCTGTTTGTTCCCTCAGCCTTGTTGTTACAGCGTTCGCAGAGAAAATTCTATCGGTTCTTCCATATGACTTCGACTTAATACCGCCAACCCCTGTTTGTTTCTCCTCCCGATGCTATCCCTGGACCGAAAACGAAAAGATAAAGAGAAAAATGGGGATGACGGCAGGTTCAAGACTGACCCGATATAGCCTGAGGGCGTACGAGAACATTGACCTAGAAAGGAGAAAGAATAAAGAAAAAATGCTAGAGTGAAAACTTTTATATTGGCGCGTGCTGGAAATCCAAAACATTAATATAGCAGCGACTCCCAAAAGTCACACACGGATCACAAATTACTTAGCATCGCGAATCCCCCATCTGCCGCGAACGAACTGTACCCGTTTGTTCTGTCTTAAGGCGTCTGTGACTATCCTCCGGCTGCTCTGCTTGTCTTGTCTACTTTTGTTTCGGCTGATGATACTTCCTGGGTGAATGGGATTGGTTAACGTTTGGCATTGCACAACAATGATACCCAATTTTTTACTTTCTTATCTGTCATTTATCCGGTAGAGCGGGATGGGGGCTTTTTACTTTATTTATGATTTCCCAACTGACGACACTCGTTAATAACTAGTTCCTAATTTTTTTCTTTTTTTCTGTGGATCGGGATTCTGTAGGTTAAGTTAAATGGTTCTGAGGGCAATCAGGAATGGGGCAAGGTTTATATATTTCGAAACGTTCTTTCTTTATTGGTTTTTGATTGATATTCACGTCTTGCACGGTGTGAATATTCTGCGATTATGCTGGCTAGCGAATTTCTTGTCCTCACATTTCTCATGTTCTTCAGGCAGAAATGTAGAATAGGAGCGTTTAAGTCCTAGGTATGAGACGGCTGGTGATTAATATCCAAGGCCTTTGCTATGGATTCTATTTCATATGGGAATCATTTTCTTGGTGTGCCATCATGGCCTGTCATTTTGTTTGGTACGGGTGTGGTTGTTGAGTGTGCATAAGGATACTGACAGAGTGTCTAGCAAAGAGGCTGAGGCTACTCCGAGGCTGAATATGGAGAAGTTAAAAACGCGTAGGAGAATTGTCAACACAGAAACGACCGTTTCCCGACTGTCCAACCTATGTGTATGCGGCTTTGTGTAGTTTTCATTCCCCTGTTCATTTATGTAGTCCCGGTGGTCTCCTGTACTCCCTGAAGTCTCACCGTTTCTTTATGCATATAGAAAGGCGTTTTGTTGTGACATCGTAATGTGAGCCACGTTAGCAATTCTGCGAAAAGGTTACACACAAAAAGGCTACCAGGTAAAGGGAAACTAAGAGTTACCTCTCGAGGGTGGAAGAGAAGAAGGAGTCTTATTCCAATTCCATTCCATAACAAATGTCGGTGTCCTCTTGGATGGAGGTTGTTTGAGTCAAGAAAGGGAACAGGGCTAACCCTAACGGAACCCAACTTGGCAAGAGCAAAAATCGACCAATTAGGGTAATAATAAATCACATGATACCCAAGCATAGTTTAGCGGATAATGACTAATCATCTTGGATTGGACGATCCGGTTGGTTGCTTGAGGTCCAACGTCAACTTCAAACTCATATACCATTACACCACGCTCACCCTTCAACAAACCACAACCACCACCGTTTCCAAGCGCCATTGGCAGTCGGAATAATGTTTGCTCAGCGAACTGCCTTCACTCTCGCCCGGCGTACCCCCATTAGGGCCATTGCCAGGCGGTCTTTTTCCGCATCGGTCATCCGACGTATGCGCCCGCCTTTCGATTTTCTCCATTCCGTTTTCACATTGCCCAATTTGTGTTCCAACGACTTTTCAACAATGCTCAATTCTAAAAAGCGCTTTTTGGCCTAGTGAATTTCCGAACTGATTGCTAATTTTCCACCTTCCTTCTTTTCCAGGCGATGCTGGGAAGCCGGCCACGTCGAAATGGGACCCTAAGCCCGGAGAGCCTGTGGGCAAGCTTGTTTCATTCGAGGGTTAGTCAACGGATTTTCGTCTGCTCTAAACTCGTCCATCTTTATCTCGATTAGGTGTTCGGCATCGTATACTGTTTTATGGGCAATTGATTCATTTGATCATACAGCTACAGCTGTTGTCAATTGCCCAACCTGATCGGAATAACATTGCACATGACACTTGGGAAACAAACTCTGACTGTTTTAACATAGATATCGCGGAACAAACCGACCTTCTACCTCCCGGTGCGAAGCCCGGAACCATGCCCACAGACTACGAACAGGCAACCGGTTTGGAAAGATTGGAACTTCTAGGAAAAATGCATGGAATTGATGTTTTCGATATGCGACCGCTTGATTCGTCGAGAATGGGTGTGTGACTTCCGGTGCCTTTTATTCCGTATCTCATTTAAACATGCAATCCTGCGGGTAATATTTGGGACTGAACTCATATACAAATTTTGGTTGGCAGGAACCTTAAATGACCCGATTATCGTCAAATCTGGTGGAAATGAGCAATACGCCGGCTGCACTGGATACCCCGCGGACTCCCATTCTGTCGTGTGGCTCACGGTAAGGATCATTTCCATTAGAGTTCCATTCTCCATCCATGCACTTTTCCATTTGGGTCATACGGCAGTGACTTATCCAATACGTATTCTAGGTATCCCGCGATCGACCAATCGAGCGATGCTCAGAGTGTGGAAACGTCGTTAAGATGGAATATGTTGGACCTGAGAACGATCCCCATGCTCATCACGGTACGTGGGCTTGTTCATTACATAAATCATGATTAGACTTGTCAATTTGTGAATGATGCATATTCTTCAAATATGTATTCGGACGTATCACGATGCTGACGTATATACGTTTAGATGAACACCACCATGCTCACGAAGATATAAAGACTATGGCTGACTTTGTCAAGCCCGAGTACTGGTATAAATAAATAAATACCTGAGCGTCTTTGAGAGAATGAAGAAATGTTTTTGACATTGTCTGCCTACTTTCGAAATATGAAGTCACAAATTGACCTAATGTAGAACATGTCAACAAAACAATATTTTACCATTTTCATTCTCCCATCATCTCAACACACATACACATTGCGAACCCCATCTCTCTCTGTATATTTCTCATTTGCATTCTTACCTTATTGCGATCGCGTGGGTCACATGCCGACTCTACTCAATCTCCCAGCTGACATTTTCTTTTCATTTCCACATGTAGATTATTGTAGCTTTTACAACATGAACAAAGAGGGGATTTTTTGTTTCTTTTCTTTTCTTTTCTTTTCTTTCTTTCTTTTTTGACCATCAATGGAGGTGGAAGGATGGTTGGTTGTACAGCAGGGCACCAGCAACCGTGGATATTGAGGCAGTTGATAGTCTAGATGCCTTCAATTTACTTTCAGGTATTACATGTTGTGCCCGTGCAGCCGAATGGCCTGCAAAGAAAAAGTACGAATTAATTAATTCATTATCTAATTTTGGCATCATCTCTGCTCCCTTCAACATCATTTCTACTTCATTTGATTTACATTCTGAGTACCAAGGTCTTTTCAGACCGCACATTCAATTATCTATGATCAATAGGCATTGTTGGAAATTATCTTAATCTTGTCAGTTCACACATTCCTCAATACAAGTTATTCAATCAGACAACTTGTTCAAGACACTCAAAACACCCTACAGATATGCACAGATCCATGCATTCATTCACATACCTCCTCTGTCTCTGATAGAATATGTCTATCACAGTCAACAATCCTGTCTCTCCCTGTACTTTGGGTCTCCTTCAGTTCTCTTCAGAGTAGCATTAACATAGCTTTGATCGCCAGTTCATGTTTTACAAAAAGCTTCTCACTCTACCAAGATAGCTATGGATTGTTGAAGGATGCATGTTCAGGTTCAATGATTTTCTTGTTCACTCTCAGGTTCTTCGCCTATGTCCCTTATTTATTTCAGTCTTCGTGCCCCTTTTCTTCGGAGAAACAGTTAACGGTCAACCTCCAAGACGTAACGATTATGAGTCATAACGCTCCTTTTATATCCATTTCTGCCCTCTCTTTGGGAGATAAGCTCTTTTTGGCTGCTTCAACCTAATGTAAGGGATGAATTTGAGTGGACCAAAATAGGAGCTGGATGTCAAAAGTCGGTTCTTTCATCGCTTTCCAATACCTTCTCTCTCTCTCTCTCTCTCTCTCTCTCTCTCTCTCTCTTGAGATTTCCAACCCTCACCGTGACAGAGGGCGACTTTGTTTCTTCTCCCCGCACAGGGAAGTTGTATTCATTGTGGCAATGGGCTGGGAAGTGCCTTGCTCCACTCTTGCAGTTGGGGTTGGTGCACATCACAGAATATTCGTCTCCCCACACGTACGTAAATAATTTACCTAAATAAGTACAATCGTACGTTAGTTGCATATCAACGGTGTGGAAATGTAACTGCCTCCTTGGCGAAAGTTGGAAGATACCGTCCGTATGGACATATTAATGCTGGAGAACATAATGTGTTTTGGATCACATCCTAAGGAACGCCTGATATCCAAGGTTCCCCATTTGACAAAAGGGCTATTCACACAATGTTACTGCTCTCAGAGGACAGTGAAGACTGAAATTGTTGAATCAAACATCAGCGGAGATGTGGTGGGAGGAATTGTGCGCTATGCAGCACTACCACAAGATAATATGTTATGGTACATGCTAGTACCTATGATTCCCCATCCCATCCGGCCATATCGCTGTTCATCCCTGGTGCAAAATTAAAATTACCTGAAAGCTAGAGCAGTTTGTGACAGACCACTATCAACGGTGTTGACGAAATGGACCACATTTCTCACGGTCGAGGAATGTCTAGCTCGTTGAAAAAGTAGAAAATTTGTGGACGTATACACATATTTGGTTACGGAGAGTAGCACCCCATTCCTGTTGGACTACCGGAGCCAAGGCTACGGAGAACGGAGAATAACCACCCCCCCCTGTTTTAAGCACAACCCATTCAGCGAAATGAAACAGTTGCAGCAGATATCGCTGAAGAAACTAGGGAGAAGCGTCGGGATCAAGGCTTACCGGGAACGGAACGGCCAATATTTTGGAGATAGTAAAACACGCACCGCAACACAATCAGCAGAATCAGAGAGCAACGTCTTTTAAAGTGCTGTGCCGTTGTGCTATCTGCTCGGGTAACTTCTTGAACAAAAAAGACGGAAAACGGTGCGAACAAGTGCCACGCAACCTGATTGAACAGGAAACATTCCAATGCATACACAACAGCTAGTAGAGTATATCCATACCCGAACGAATAGGGATAGATGAGTATCAGCGGTTGGTGGTAGGAGTGGTACGGAGTAGGATGCGGATGTTCGACTCGGGTTGGCAGAACGATTATGAACATACACAAAGCAAAAAAAGCAAGTCCTTTCAGAATATGCACTCGATAGACACGGGTAAGCGAGTGGACATGGATGACGGAACGAAATACTCCACAAGCAGGCTGGTTAACAGGAACTTGATGCCCTCGGGTGGTATAGAAGGAGGAAACATCTGGAATTAAACTGTAATTAGGGTTGAACTTTGCAGTCATATGTTCGGTCAAGCATTTCCGGCAAATAATCTAGTGTCTCAAAATAATACATCATCAGGTAGTCTAGGAAAACCTCTTTTATCCAGTGGTGGTTTAGGAGGAAACCTAAGGAGCATATGTTCAGTATCTCAGGTCGTGTCTACACGATTATTTTCTGATTGCACACGAGGATAAATAATCGAGATTGCGGGACAGAGAAGACTAAACCTCGATTGATCTCGCCTTCAAAGCTCAAGACGAATAATGACTAACCGTGAGTGATAACTAAACAGATTCCTGAAACAAGAACATCACCGTAACTATTGAAGCTTTGGAGGGTTGATTCGGATTGGCCGAACTAAAAGCCCGGTTGCGCAAACTGACAACACAGAAAGTGCTATTCGCAGGTAAGCCATGGGATCTAGCTTCGTGGTTCGGAAGCACCGAATTCCGAGAGAAAAACTGCAACGCAAACTTTAGAGAGGATGGCCAAGCGAATGAAGAGTCGTTGACTGACAACCTGTCGGCGGGGAAGGTATTGCGATTGGTTAGTCGTCGTTCCTGGAGGTATATTAGGGTATTCAACGGAGGCACTTTTCAGAGAGCTGACACACAGCTCAATAAAGATTGAGAGAGGAGGAGCAGGGAAACGATCAAAATGTCCAAATGTTCGCCAATCCCCGTAGGTAAAATCCATGGATACCGAAAGGGAATAAATAAACGCTACGTTCGTGTATCCTAGACTGAAACGAACGGGATGATTGAGGGGAACACACTCACCATCTTTGCAAATGTTGGTGAGGCACAGAGGGAAAATGCGGCAAAAGCAGTAGAAAGATACACCAAGAAAGGGCAATTCTTGTCCTCCCGCACATGGAGCACAGAATCATACATCGTGCTTGCGGCCAGTGTAGTTTTATCCAACCAAGGCTTCAGGTGTCTCTGACACAAGCATCCACCGGGTTGCATCCGGTGAATATACCTGCAGCAAAATGTAGTAGCACCTGTAAAAGCAGCTAATAGATAGCAAATAACATAGCAAAATGGTGACGAGTGAAGCTGCGTGGCGATACTTCTTCTCCCGTTGGCGGTCTATTCGCTACAGACCGTACTGATGTTATGTTCGGTGTAGCACATCTGTAATGGTTAAATAGGATAGATGCCTGATGTTTCCTTGCCCTGGCAGGGTATGTGAAATGGTCTACCACTACCTCTTTGACGACGACAAGGTGGTCGTCGAGGGAACCCAACGAATCTCCCCCGACAAAAGCGAAATAGCAAAACGAAAATAACGACGCGCGCTGTGTCGGAGTGCTGAAACAGCCTTTGCGCTGTTTTTGGTTTGCTCTCATAAAAGCAAAAGCAAAAGGAGACATTTTATACTGAATGTTCGTCAATGAAATGAATGAATTGCGGTTGACCATTCGCCTCGCTCACAGGGAGACCTTGTCCACAGCAAAAACAAAAAAAGGTAGAAATGATATAACACTACTAGTTAGTTAGCAGTCATGTCCGGGAGTATGCGTCTTAGTGGGCAGTTAGGCGTAGAAATGACAAGTCAGCGGACAGGAAGACAGACAAGGAAAGAGAAGAAAACGATTGTCGAAGACGTCAAGATTCAACAATGTGAAACTCCTGCTCTCCTTCATCAAGCTCAAAGGTTCATGTGCTCCTGCAGTGCAGTGTATGTAACTAACCACCTACCAGGCCAAAAAAAAAAAAAAGGGATGATGAGGTTGAAACATAGAAAGCGGATTGTGCAGCCGGACAAATGAAACCATCTGCCCTCTACAGCAACAGTCGCAGTCGCAGACATTTAAAACCTCAGCAAAATGTCTCTCTGCTTGCTAAGTATTTCCCGTGTGTACGCGCGGAAGTCGAAATGCTGTGGTCAAAGAGACAAGCAAAAAAAAAGCATCCACACAATACTAGTAGCTACTCCTATCAATTGGCCAGGGTCATTCAGACATCACTCCCAGACGGGATATTCCCGCAACTAGATACTATTATTATTATGGAGAATTAACCATGCATGATGCATGAAATGCACATATGTGCAGAATTTCCCTGTTCATTTTCTAACCTCATATTTACATCAGAGGACCATTTTTGACATGCTGTTTCTCTATGTATTTTGTAAATTTCCCATAGATCACATTTCCCAGGCAGTGATATAAGGATTGTGGGGGAGGGTGGAAAGGGAAAAAAAGAAAAAGAAAGAAAGAAAAGAAAAGAAAAGAATAAGGAATAAAAAATATATAGATAGGTCAACGGAAAGACAGAAAATAATTTCCAGACTCAGTCCCATTGCTCCCAAATTGCTGCCATCATCAGTATGCGCAATAATCCCTAATAACCCAACAACCCCCATCCTCGTCTCCTCAAATCAATACAAAAGATGAGAGGACGAAGCTAAGGCCTTACACGCCCTATTCTGTTTGTGTGCCATCCGCCCTCCTGATCTATATCATTACGGAGACGACGAGAGTGATAGTGGGGAACGACCTAACTTCGTCATTCAAAAGAAATAGCTCGCTTCTGCATCAAGGACAATAAAAAGAAAGAGCGACTGGCTTATACATTGGGTTTATCCATGGAGAAAAAGATCTTTGCGGAAGCCTGGGGAAAGCGGGGAAACCTGCCAGCTTATTTTAATTTGCTGTATACAAAGCTGGTCTGATTTGTTTTTCCAGTTGGTTTTGATATGATATACCACCCGAATTCAAGATTGGAAGTAATGGGACGCACGATAGGAAAATGTATAAGAGAACAGGGGAACAGAGAGGGAGGGACGGGTGTTTGAATCAAGAAATCTGAAGAACGGAATAAAACCAATAAAAAAAAAAGTAGGTACGGAAATGAAAGAATTACACAAGAAAAGAAGGTAATTAGCAACCAAACGATCCTGCTCGCATTCATATAGATATGTTGCCCAATGAGCCGTTTCCCGAAAAACCCCATTCCCAAGCACAGAGAGGCATTTTGAAAGGAAAAAAAGATGAACGGAAGTGAAAAATGAAAGAAATGAGTAGAAAAGGGTAGATAGAGAACATAGGAAACGGGGGTATAGCAATCGCGTGAAAACTGCATAGACTTGCCCCACCTTGTTACTAACCACTATAATAAGGTGTGAACGCCCAGCCTAAACTCCTGAAGCCTGCGATTCGCTTACTCGTCATAATGTTGTGGCAATTCATAAATAACTTCCTGGATGAGAATAGTGACATAGTGGGGATATACAACGGCACAAGCACGAGTGTCAGTTGTCAGGAAAGAGGGTGGATTTAGTATAAAAAGTAATTTTCCGAGCTCGAGGTACATCTTAGATGCTTTTAAAATGCTCCTTGGCGTATTGCTCACAAGCCTTTTTCGTTCAAATGTCAGAACATTCCGGTCAATGAACTCGGAGCTGGGGAAAATCACCTTTGCTGGTTTCCCAATTTTCTGCCCAATGACTTTCCATTTATTTGATTCGTATTCTTTGATGGCATCGCGTAGTGTTATGGACTAAGAGCACGTTAAAGCTAGAAACGGCAACATGGTTTAGTTTATATCATAACACACCTCCTCCTCAGTGAATTCAGCATAATGCATGTCCTATGTTCTAGTTAGATCGATAGAGGTATCTAATATCACACTTGTGGCAAAGGCACGAGGGGGAAAAACTAACCTTGTACCAATGTTTCTTCACACTTCCTTCAGTTCGCATGGGGAAAGTCTGGTGTACCACATACTGTTAGACTTTGATATTCCATACACTCCGTATGTAACGGAGCCTCTTCTAGGCCGGCACGAAATCAAGCTCGACGAACCTTGGCAATCTCACTCCAAGTGCTCCCAGCATCGCGCATAGTCTTGAGTCGTTGCTCCTCCTCTGCCGTCCATGGCGTGTTTGTTCGGCCCTTTTTTTTGACCGTAGTTTCGGGTGCAGTTGGTGCGCCAGCTGCACTAGTAGTAGTGGTATTTCCCTCGCCTTCAATAGCACCTGTTAGCGGGGGAGGCGCCATGGCGGCCAAAGAAGCAGTCTGGAGTGACGCACGTCGCTTCCGGGGATTTGGAGCTGCTGGGGCTGGAGCTGGGGCTGGAGTAGAAATGGGCACCATAGAGGCGCTTTCGAAGGGGCCAGGCCCCGTAAAAGGAGGAGGCTGCTGCTGTTGCTGTTGGTTTAGGGGGTGCGTGGGTGTGTTGGAGGCAACAGCTGTTTTGATGCGCTTGGAAGTTGGGGGAGATCTATGAGAAAGACGAGAATATGGGTTAGTAAACCCCATTCTTGAATAAACCACTTGGCCGACAGCATGCTTAACGTCTAGGACGACGCCACAGAGCAAACGAATGAAGCATCCAGACCTGACGCTGGCGATACCGTAGCAGTTGGGAGAGTAAATATGGCAGAAGAGAGGGGGAGAGGGGGAGAGGGGAGAAAGCAGGTTTTCGAGGCAAAAGTAAGGCAGGTTTTGTTCTGATTAGAAAACTGCGATAGCAGTAAGAAGATACTCACGACATATTAGGGAGAGGAGGCCTCGACGCAAAAACCGGCCAATTCATCTGTAGAGATACGAAGATTAATTAGTTAGCCTTGGCCAGGTCGTTCGTTGATGAAGCGGCGAAAACCGTGCAAGAAAACGTTACACACTAGGATCGGAAGCGACGAATACCGCAAGCCTGATCTCGAAGATCAAACCGGGACAGGAACATGGAATGGAGCGTGGGGGAGCTTGAGAGATGATTGTACAAACACTGGAGAAAGAAACAAATGGAGACAGAAGGGCGATTGGTAGGGGGGAGGGAGTAAAGGGTGGGGAAGTATCGTGATGTAGGGCGACCTTTGAGACGACAAAAAGTCAAAGCAGTTGTGTCTTAAGTGATGAATAGGCGGACAAGGAATGGGTGGGAGGAAATGGCAGAAGCCGCAAAGTATCTATCAATAGGGAGCCTTAAGAGAGACAAGTATTAGGAGAGCGCGTAGGGAACTGGGGGGGAGGTATGATGGCATTGCATGTAGGTTAATGTACTGTACCTTGTCAGGAGTAGGGCAGGTAACTGCAAGTAGAGAGCAACAATTCAGTACAGTAAAATAGAGAGCATCCGATGATGCGGAATGCAGAGGGCTACAAGGCCAGAATGCCGGGGGGGGGTGGATGGCAAAGGGAGGTGGGCAAATGTCGTAGTAACAGACGTTGACCGATGTAGTCGACGGAGTTATAACAAAAGGTGAAGGGGGCGTGGCGAGCGGGCAAGTAAGCTGGAGATGCGGGGAACCTCCAAAGTTCCGCAGCAAGAGCAAAGTCAATGTCTGGTAATTTTATACGACTAATACAAGCTAACTGCGGGAAAGCCTTTGGGATGACGCCTTTACACGGGCAATACATCGGATTAACCATGACATCTCGTCGATACTCGCGCTCCTTGTTGTTTTACACTACTGCGCCGCCGTACCGTACCAGAGGCTAGTACGAGTAACTTCTTCCACTTTACGAGCACCACCATTGACTTCATCATGATCTTTGGGTTTGGGATAGCAGTATTGTGCTGACGGTGAATATACCATTGGAATATTCTATTATTTTGACAGCTGATTCCGTCTAGCTAGCCAACTTTGTCTGTACGCAGGGACGAGGGAGTTGACCAAGGTAAACAAATTCTTGGAACTTCGATCCTGCCCGCTCCATCGTGCATTTCCGCACCATGAGACAAGAGTCCCGTGCATGCAACTTACGCCATTAGCCACCATGTATCAGACCTGTATTCAAGGGAGGGGCACAAGGGATAATTGCTTTTTCTTTTTCTTTTTCTTCTTTTTTTTTGTTTCTTTCGAAGAGGGGCTCTATCTACAGCTGAAATGTATGCGAATCAACCACCAAGGTGAATAGGCTGATTATTCTTCCCTCAACGCTGCGAAGGAACAGAAACACTCAGACGAAAGTTTCATTCAGCAGTTTGTTCAGAAGTAGCTTGGTCTCTCGCTCGACGAAGCAACTTCTGACGCAACCAATCGATACTAGCCTTGGAAGGTCGCGATCAAAGTCATGACCAGCCGCTCTTGGAACCCGAGGACGCTAAGAAGGGCCATATGGTTCTTTTTTACCTGATTTTGCGTCCAGCGATGCTGATAGGTATTTGTCCAACCCAGCTCTCAAAATTCGGACAAATATCAGACGTATGACCAGGTCCCCGTTTTCAAATTTGAGGCGATTGGTGGGAAGGGGACATTAAATTCACACCCAAAAATCCATGGATTTTTTGGGTGAGCAGAGCTTTGCCCGAGTTATTAGCCAGAGGGTTGCCTTGGGCAAGCAACCTTCACATCCATGATACCCCGGAGGCACAGATTTTTGACCTGCCAATAAACCCATGACTTCCCAAAACAAGCATAGAACAACTCGAGTTCAATACACCTTTTTTGCTTTCTCGAATTTGTTGCGATAAGCTGGAACACCGCATCATAAAGTTGGAATTTGATACGAGAACAAAATCAGCTTATAAATTACCTGTAAATAATGGGAAAGCTACATCTCTTTACTTAGATACTTAGATAGTATTTCAGAAATAAATGACATTCGAGCGGTTGGTTCGGAGTCATTTCCTTCATTTACCTAGGTCGTCAATATCATTATTCTGCTGGCACTTTGGGGCTCAATCCCACCTTGCTGTTTGTGAACTGTAGTGCAGATTCTTAGCCAATTTTTGAATGGATGCACATCATGGGGAGGCATGGTAGAATCTATAAAGAGAAAGGCGAGATTGACAAAGCGACAGAACTCAATTTTGACAATTGTATATCTAACTGTACTTGCAGCTTCATCAAGTGATGTGGGAGAGAGGTACAAAGCAAGGTACATGTACATGGTACGACGACAAGGTACCCGTCATGGACCATAGCTTAATTCAACATTCAACCTGATAGATGGGATGCATGCTTCATCAGAACATCTCATTTTTATGGAGAACTTCTGGAACATTTTCCGTAACTGGTATCCATTGTTCGCCCGAGAAACTGTTTGGATTCACGATCGGCTGAACAAAATCTCAAACAACCCCCAACCCCTTCCCCCTCCCCCTCTACCACCCTTAAATCAAATTTATTTGTCAAAATGGACCTGTATACAACTCCGCTGTAACTTCGGAAGGCCCACCGTATCATGTTTTGAATGGAATTGCCGTGCGTCACACACATGTGCACGAGTGCAGCTATGAAGGGTACAAAGTAACGCTTCCACTTCTACCTGCTATTAGCCTGTTCCATCTCGCCATGCAAAAGAAGAGAATGAAACAATAAAAAGATGCCCATGAGAGGGATCAGAAGTGAGAATCAGCCAATCGTCTCCAGACTTCATAATGTCGAAAATTTAAGAAATCCTGAATGCAGAAAGACTTCTAGATCCCTAACCCTTGTTTAGCTGACCCAAGGAATGGGTCTTTTTGATAGGGAGCCGGAGGATCGACAAGTTTACCTGTCCAACCCTTGAGAAAAAGAAAAAGAAAAAGTCCACTACCGACGAGCCCTACTTTTGTGGATGGGAAGTCATTTAATGACTACCCTGTGTCCTTGGTCACATTCGAGCCCATTATAGTTGCCGGGTTGGGGTTGAGTTAAACAATCCCGTATGGAATTTTCCTCAGCCTTCTTCGGATGATCAATCTTGCTTTTTGTTTTTTGATCTTCTCGCCTTTTTGTTCTTAAAATGACACGGGATAGTGTAACACAAGGCGAGGGGTTTTATCGCCTGGATATATTTTTCAACGGTGGGGAAAAATTCTCCACCAATTGTCCCTTACGATGCCCTTCATGGAGCAACGTACAGTACAATTAACAGCGGAGTTTAATTGCGCTGTTGCGACGCAGCCATTTTCTGTACATTCGAAACGGAAACAACTTTGTTTCTCTCTTTCTCTTTTGCAAAGATGATCGAAACATAATGGGGGCCTCGGTCTGTACACGAGGATTTCCGACATGCCCGAGAAGAAAAGCAACAGATCACGCAACATTAAGGAAATATCGCGAACAAATCTGAAGTAGTAGAAGATAAGAATGAATATGAGAGCTAGAGTTTGTAGGATTATGGCATGCTACCGTAAATGCTGTTTCCCTGTCATCACCCTCGAATTCTGAACAAGTGTATCACAGCAGAATTTGCAGACATGGTAACATGTGGGCACAATTTTGCTTTTAACTCTGGGTTCATATGTACGACGTATTTGTCCGCATATTACAAGCATCATGGGTACTTCAACTATGGTCGTTGTGAGAATAAATTTATGAAAAGTTTGTATGTGTGTAAACGAACATGGGCTGACCAAGTAGATGTCATGTACGATGTACGGTACTTGCAGAGTACATCATTTGTTGTACTGCTGCGACATAAATATTCCATACATGTACAAGTGCCTTGGTTGCATTTGTTGTGGGCTTTTGATGAGGAATCTGCTGATTCTCGCACGGGCAGTCTCAGCAAAGATCGGGCCGGGCGGCTGGTTTCATTTTCCTTTCAAATTCCTCCCGCCCGGTACTGGCTTCGCGGTTGCCTGTTGCAAAGTTTCCATATGTCAAAAGTAGGCTAGGATCCGTGAGACAGGGAATAGAGTATTGTAGGAGAGCTTTGAAGAGAGAGATTTCGATTTGTCATTGGTTGAGCTGGAGGTGTGGATGAGAGAAATGAAAATCATTGTAATTGAGAGCTTGTCAGATTTTCAGTTTGCCGAACGAGATACCTGCCACCTGCAGTCACCCCTCCAACGAGGTCGGGATGTTAAAGCATATATGGCCGGGGCTTCGCATTGGAAGAGCTTGGGTCAATCCAGATGGGACGGGGTGAAGCTCTTTGCGGCTCAATTCCTTCAGATCGATGACGCTCTAACGCTTCCAAGTTAGTGCCAGGCCACTATCTCCAAGATTAGGGCTTATTCTCCGAACAGAGGAAACAGGAGGCTGAAACAGAAGAAACAGGGTGCACCAAGACGGAATATTTTTCTTCTCGAGAAGAGTCATCTGCATGATACGCAGGTCATAGCCTTCTTTTGCGCAAATCATGACTGATTGTGTCATCCCTCCCGGGCTGTGCTGATGAGCTGATCCAAGGCTCTCTCTGACGACATTCCATCGTAGTCCCATGTGCGAGAACCGTGTCCTTGTGTCTCGTTGTTCTCCGTTTCCTTTACCCAGGCACTCTGTAGCAGGGTCTGGGACTTGGAACCATTTCATAACCTGAATTGCGGAGCTGGAGTGGCAATAATGGGACCACGCCGATTGAACGTCTTGGGGACCCCTAATCCATGTCCTCAACGATCCAAGTTCGATTCGAAGCGCCGGTCTAGTCTTTACTCGTTGTGTAAATGGCATCGGAAACTGCTAACCTAGTTTGTTCCACAGTGGAAAAAGAAAATTATTGGGAGGATCTCAAACATTGCGATACAATGACCTCGAAATCAACAAGTATGCTTATGAGACCCGATTGTGATTAGTCGATGTATTTGCCCGGCTTCAATTAGCATCTACGAGGCCAGCATTTGAAATCCGCAGTTTACAGAGAAAGTGGTGAAACGATAACGAATATTATCAGCGCTATCAATTGAATTCCCAGGTATGTATTTCTCAGTGTTTTCGACAGAGCTTTTCTGGGACTCCGCTGATTGGATATTGCTCCAGCCTCAACAATCATAAATTCCCCTCACGCTATCCAGAGTCTTTGGATTATTATGGTAACCAAGGCGCACCTTGACCTATTAGCGCTGCATTAGGCTGTTTTTCAGGCCGGCGAAGATACAAGTTGACTGGAATTATTTAACATGTCAATTATATGCTGTGCCATCGCCATGAGCAATTGGTGAAGCTGCATATCATCATAATTTCGTTGGGAGAAACCATGCGGTGTTTTAATTCCAAATCGAGTTTCGGAGGTATTTCAGTTTACTGAATGTTTGATTGTTGGTGATTGATCTTACCTCCGTGGGAGTGGATCGACCCTGTCGGCCTTCAAAGCACCCTGGGTGTGGCTGCCCAGTATATTTTTGTCATCGAAGCGGGATGTCAACGCAGAAGAGGAACTGCCTGAGCTCAAGGATTCGGGGTAGAAAATGACAATGGTGAAACCCGTTCCGAGAAGAAACGGTTTTGGTTCCAGAGTTGATGCTGCTGAAACAGCTGATTGATACAGCCGCCAAGAATGCTGCCAAGACGGCTCTCATTTCAGCGAACTGGAATGTCTCGAGGAGCTGCGTCTTCCTCCTCGGGACGGATGGCGATGAGGTACTGGCAGTGGAGGCGTTGCGATGGCCCTTGCTGTGGCGTTGGTGTGGATTGTGAAAGCCGGCTTTTCCAAACTGCGCATCCAGTTGCCCCTCATTTTCCGACCTCACATTCAATGGAGATAAGTCCCCCATCCCTTTATATCAATCGATTCGGCGACAATTTCTAGATGGCTCTACAACAAAACTGACTACTTGCTTTCTAGGCTCTAAGGTAGTTTTGGGTTTTGAGCTTGGAACTATTTCCAAGGGGATCTCTTCTAAATCCCCATTCTCCTCATACCCACCATGGCCGTTTTGTTCCCGCTTTCCTTGCCATTTTCGGCCATTCCAACTTTAGCCGTTTACTGACCGTGCGTTGAATATGTTGCATCCAAAACTTCTTCCCTCCCCCATGTGGGTTTTGAAACGGGCTATTACCGTTTAGCGATTTTCTAAATACCTCCTTTACTTCTCTTGGGAGTTGGCTAGTTCTGTTTTGAGAACTGACACTTACTGGGTTTTGCCATGTGTGAGCTACCCCAGATTTAAAACCAGCGAAACTGTTTGGTGCGGCTAATCTGTCCTGAGATGGGCTTAGATCCCATTTGGAGATATCTGTTAGCTCCTTTGGGGAATGATTTCATGCACTTCTGTCAGTTTCTGGGAAAGATCGTAACTGCGGCTGTCATACATCGTCCGTGTGCAGGGTCGATTTCCCGCCGCCCCCTCTCCCCTCTCTACTTCAAAGCATATTTTTTTCGCAGGGAAATATCAGGCACCCAGCGGCCATCGCCACACTAGTGATCATGCACTACATCTCTAGTGTCAGGAACCGTTTCTAGTTCAGGCACAGACTCTTCTCAATAGAATAAATATAAGACTGCCCCATGCTGCATGTTCGATCTCACTCTATTCGGAATATTCCAGAGCTTGGTAATCACTATCTCCTTTGCTCTGTAGCTCTAGCTTTCATTCTTTCTTTCACATTCATTAATATCCCACTGGCTGGGCTTGTGTCGACTGTTTTACTCTACCTTCCACTGATTTAACAATCATTTCTCTTTTTAATCCCCCTACCTCTGTTGAACCGCTCTCTCTTGTTAAATAGTTTAAATACTGGTAGCTGCCCCGCTTGACTTTTCCAAGCCACTGATCAATATTGACAGTGAGCTTTATTTTCCTGAATAAACTATCCTTGAAATCATGTCTCCGGCTATCCGCTCCGCTTCCCTCCCGACGGAGGCTCGTGAGCATCGATCTACGACACCCGTTCATCTAGACAGAATGGAGCATCGTGTCCAAAAGCATCGAAAAATGTCTTCCACAGGTGGAGGTAGGGCATGGACTGAAGAAGAGGTACGCATGCCCCAGTGTTCAATGAGTTCTTATGTAACTAATCTCTTTCTCTAGGAATCCTATCTCATACGGACTCGCATGCATAAAATGCCTTACAAGCACATTGCTGCCCACTTGCACAAGACTGAACTTGCTTGCCGCCTCCACTATCATCAGATGTCATATGGTAGCAACCGGCGCAGACGCACAGACTCTGTGTCGTCTGTCAATTCGATCTCGCCGCTGTCCACGACACAGGAATGCCCCCTTGAAGATAAACCCTCTGTTGAGATGTGCAACTTGATATCTCCCCCAAGCCCCCAATCAATCCATTCTCGATCATCCTCTGTAGCCGATTCTCCTCAACAATATCGATCTCACGTTCCAATACTCCCAAAACCAAAAACCTCCACACTCCATTCCATACAATCAACACCCGCAAACCTAAACAGCTCCCTTCGGTTGGATACCTCCTTTTTCCAAAGCCACGACCACCAGTCTAACTCTATCGACCGCCATGAGGACATCGATACCATCAGACTTCGCCAGCTTTATAACACCTACCGCGATTCCTTCTGGTCATTAATTGCGTCAGATTACTCGAAAAGTCCCAGCTTCCCCGCAGCTAAACTTGAAGAAGCATTCTTCCTCTCAATATTCCATTCATATGCAAGTCGCGCAGCGCGGCCTCCCACTCCTGTGTTTAGCCCCAAGGACGCAACTCGAGGACTACAGAGGGCAGTGGACAATGCTCTTGTTACTTCCCCTGATGGTGGATTCCACGCCATCAACGGGCCAGGCTCATCGGCTGTTGCAGAGCTGAACAACCCCGCCAATGGCCGAAGTCCAGTCGAGAAATGCGCCGTGGCTTCATTGCTAACCGTTGAAAGAGATGTTTGGGCCCCGAAGGTAGTCGCAAGACCGTGAAATTACGAATAGGCACTTCGCATATACTGGAAGTCTGTTTGGACCTTGAAAGTATTTGTGGGTCTTGGAGATGTTTGAGCGTTCTTGGCGACAAATTTTATTCAAGGCCTAAGTCCACTTCATATTTGGTTTTTCTTGATCTCTCTTTCTTGGTTTCAGCTTGTATTATGATGATGATTTTCACGTACTGTGGTCATATTTCATATCACTTTCTTTGCCAGCTACAGGAGTTTGGATTCACACCTTTTCCTCTGTCTGTTTTTGATCCCTTCTGCGCAATGTGTATTTTATTATTTTGTTTGGCGGTTAGCTCAACACTGTAACATATTTCTTTCGCATTGATAAAGCTTGTTTGGGAATAACGATTGATTTCCATTTATTCAATCTCTTGTGGAGTCGTGGGTTGGATATATGTAAATGTTTTGTTGGATCTGAAGAGGTTTATGATGGTGTTCTCAAACAGAAAAGCGTTATTGCGGAGAGGGCCCACCAACTTATAAGATATATACAATATTCCTGGTAGATACATCTTCAGAAAAAGAGATAGAGGACTCCTGAAAACTGGGATTATATGACGTGTGTGGTTTCTCTCCCAGCGGGATGCGTTTTGGATAGATAGTTTCCCAGAAGCACAAACACTCCTTCAACGAAGCGAAGGCCAACGAGAAGCAGGACATCTGTGTTAATGTAGTGTGCAATACCTAAGCTCAGCGATCCCGCTCGTGTTTCTCCGATATGCCTTGGTAATGACTTACGGACTGCCTAAACTATCACACAACTCGGATATTAAATTCTATCCCCTGCGAGCGCGAGCCTTACTTCTTTTAGGTGAGCATCTAACACACCTTCCTATCTGACGGAATAGCGTACGCATATCAAAAGGTTGTGTATCACTCTTCTCAAAAAAATTTAAAAAAAAAAAAAATTTAAAAAACATCTTTTAGGGTAAAGTCAGAATTTTCAATTGACGAGAGGACGTCGTTTTCTGGAGAAACCGATATGGGCCGGATGCTAATGGGTAGAAGCAAGGCGTGGTAGGTACGAGCTACGACACAAAATCTGCAAATGAATAAGTGTGGTTATTGGAAGAGTGTGGTAAGTTATAATTTGTACTGCATATCTATATAATCGTTTATGGTCGCCGTCATTCTTCATCGCCATCTCTACCGCTATTGCTGGTGGACGGGGCACTGAATGTACGCAGGTATATATTTTCTACTTGGATGTCTTTTATACAAAATGCACACTCTCTGGTATATTAATAGATGACTACAGGACGACAAATGGACCTCTATATCATCTGTTGTATCTCATGTCTTCATCTGCGGGTAGAGGGTAGAGGAAACACTGAATTCTAACTACGGTAGTATGGTGCTCCTCGTAGTTTTCCACCATTTGACACCGGCTATTCTTTATCCAACATAATATCCATCCTTTCGGGGAGAGCATGTTTCAAAGTAGTATAACATATCTCAGTCGTTGGGGTTTCCTAGCTGCTCGAAGCCGCCATTCGATGGGAATGCGGAGATGGAGGTTAATTGTACTAACTTCACCATCCACATCGTTATTGGTGTTCCTGTGTTAGTTTGGATGTATGAAATTATGCACTTATTATTTCCCGATCACGTCAAGGACATAGAATTTCTCGGCTGGATTTCCCCATACCTTGGCTTCTTCTCCTGCGATCTTTTGCTTTTGGTCACTCGAGACAAAGTGTCACTTAGCAAAAGTTGTAGACAGTGTTGAGGGATGTTTCATTGACCAGAGGATTTGAAACAAGTACCCAACGACATGTAATCGATGTTAGCCTGCGGGAGAGGTTGGTGATAGCTCAAAACAAAAAGTTGCGCCGTAGATGTTTCATCCTAGTCAGGCAGGGGTCTAAACTTGACGTGAGAGGAACTCTTTGTCAATCGGTCTAGGCGTATTTGAGGAGAACAGTGGGTGTTGGATGTTTTAGCTTTCTCACCTGTGCAGTTGGATGGATATTGCGAAGTTGAGGTCATCGACTGGGAGAGAACAACGGAGGTTAAGACGAAAGTTCGGGCTATTCTGCTCACCTTTCAGGTTGGCTATGTCGGCCATTGCTGAAATAGGGAATTCCGAGAAATATCTTTATTTTGGTCGAAGTCGTCATTCATCTCGCGAGGTTCGCGGCCCCCACCTCAAAAGAGAGAAAAGCTCGAACATACCATTTTCTGGTGAGCTGCAGTTACTGCAGGCGAACTTCATTGTATTCGAAGAAAAATCCAGTTTAGATCCTCTTATAATTTCTGTTAGTTTCTGTCTTTTCCAACAGCGGATGTCAGAACCAACAATTACCATTCAGTGGATTTCTACTCTTGTTTAGGGAATCTTTAAAGGTTACCCTTAGAAAGAGGAAACCAAGCAAGGTCCCAGGGCTTCGGTGCTTTGCAGGCAGGATAAAGTCCCCCAGACTTGATTAATTCGTTGGCCACGAGCGGTCGATGGGACAAAACGGGGCAAATGAATGGTTATTATGAAAGCAAAACTTATTCTCAGCATACTTGCTTTTTTCTGTGGGGTGGCCATGGGCCGCCGAAAATCCCGTAACGGTGTGGACAAACGAAGGCCCCGATGGCGCTTGTGAACAAAAGAACAATGGAACTAAGACCAGAGGAGATAATGTTGAAGGGAGGTGCTCAGAATCCCTTCATGTTGTCGACAGTCAACCCTGCAGGAACAGAGGGTTGAGCCGATTTGGCGAGGTTTGGTTCAAAGCCATAAGGAAGTAAACAGCAGGAAACCATAAATGCCGAAGGCGTATGGAAGCTACAATCCAAGGCAGAGATAAAGGATCATAATGCTTGGTAACAACAGCGTTGGCTAAATGTTCAGATACGAAAATATAAGCATGATGAGAGAGTGATATTCCCAAAACAGATTCGACATTTGCCCCTCCCTTATCGTAATAGATCATGGCGTTCCGGAAAGCAAATCATGCAGATAATGTTTTGATCGACGGCGCAACGCAGGAGGCATCCAGCGGTTCGCAAGCAGTTCCCCTTCATAATTTGATATCTGCCATGGATTTGCGCTTGGGTTGCACAGGCCCCCAAAATTTCTAGAATTACTCCAGAGTAACCAATGTGCGGTTGCCATCGAGTGGCCGCAGGCCAGGTCAAAATCTGCGGCCAATATAGGAGCGACTTGGCTGACGGGCTAAAGAAAGTCCTGTCCAAGTTAGTCTCTTGAGACAACATCAAGACTACGGAGTAAATCGACGGAGTTCGCTAACTCGAGCAGGGTAAAAGGTTTTGAGGCTCTACTTCGGAGCTGGCGCTTGATAACAGTTAACTGACAGGCTTGTCGATCCAGGACCAACTCGCCGTATCTCGTTGGTTGTTGGTTCGGGGATTGCCATTTTAACTTCTGAATAATGAGCAATTGAAGAGGTTCTTTGAGTCGGTGTTCGGAGCACTCCTACCTGGGGTCTGAAAAATAATTCTTTTCGCAGCATGAAAATACAGCAATGGGAGCCTTGGCATCCGGATATAAATAGATTGTGCTCACGTGTTCGTGCTCCGTCCTGTAAGCGCCAATCCTCACCTCCTTGGGTTGGTCGCCCGCTAATTCCCTGGCCATCTGCCCGGCGCATTTTCATAAAGAACTCGCCTCCTGACTGTTGTTGTGTGCGTTTATGATACGTAACTTATACGACATGCTGGCCACACACCAAGAGCCGGAATGGCCTGGGCGTTTATTTCCCGTGGCCGCCCGTACGTAGCCAATCCCGCTCGGCTCGCTTTCCCCCCACTTCTATCGCCCCTTGCCCATCATTCGTTTTGAGTGTTCTTGGTTAACAGTTTTCGGGGTTCTTCCCTGGATTGGGTCGGTTGTCATGCTCAGGATCTGGAGCATCATTAGCCGGATTCTATATGGTCCTCGAACCGCATCGCATCGCGAAAGGTTAGGTAAAGGTCCAGGAATCTTTGGCCAGGATAAGGATAAATCACGATAATTCGATGCTTGGTATCCTTTCAGGAAGGTCCCATGCAAACTAACCTGGATTGCAGTAGTATACCCGTCATGTGCAGTGGTTTATGTGCCTTGTAAATCAACCTGGAGAATAGTGCATGTATCAGTTATCTGTGGCCCGGTCAGAAATTGCTGTTCGGTATACCCCCCATCCCCAGCAGCACCTGGAGGTGGCAAGGAACCGGCAATGCGGAGAATGAGGACCTGCAGCTTCTGAGAAACACCAATGGTTGCTGGCTGGCAACCCGGGGCATTTGAGACCAGGGAGTTACAAGCCCAGCAGTGACGCTTCGCGTGAGTGGCCGAGCCGTGGACTGTGCCGCATACATCCCCTCTTTGCTTTTTTTTATTTCATTGAGCAGCATCCTTCAGTCGACGCAGCTTACATTTCAACCCGTGCCTGGGAAACGAGGGGAGAAACAGATTCCCAATCTCTTTGATGGCCTCCACGTGCGCTTGCTCTCTGTCCTTCCACCTTCCTGATCTCATTGTCACCAACTGATATCGTCAACTCCCTATCGTGTATCAGCCAATGCGGCACTAGGTGGTGGCTTCCATACCAAGACTCGATATCTTGACATTCAAGCCGGCTGCTCGACCACTAAAACATCTAGGATACTTGTGATTGGGTCTAGGTTCAAGATGTTCCGAACCAAATAATGGCTGCGCTGTAAATGTACAGTGCATTCCCACGTACCTAGATACCTCGCTCCATTTATCCAACACCTCCGGTGGACAACCCCTACACATCACCCATGCTGCCGGAGCCGAAATAGGCGTCTGTCATTTCTTTCAATCCTAGAGGGGCCATCGAGGATCTTTTTGGGGGCTGTTTTCTCCATCTCTGTATGGCTCTAATCCTTGATCGGCGGCCGGAGTGGAAAGAAGGGCTGGCGCTTAGGTGCAGACGCTCCAAAACCACCACCATGTCGCCGTTCATCATTCTCAGGTGGCACAGTTTTTGTGTAGTGGGGCATTCATTGTCCAAAGGACCGTGTATGAGTTCATCGGATCGCCCCATCCACTGCTCAAAGTCTTGCGAGGTACTCCGTAATATCGCCGCGATTTCCTCGTTGTCGGGCTTGGGAGATCTGATGCGCAACACCCGAAAGCCCTGACCACCCTTCCCGTTGCAGGGGGTGTGCATAGGAATAATGTTGTAATAGTGTATACCAGCTTTTAGTATAAAAAACTGGCCCCCTCCGTCCCTTCTGGACAATTTTATTTACTGCATCTCGAAATTACTTCAATTCGAATTTCATGCTATTGCCGCCGTGCTGTTCTTGCGCTTATACTTTACTCGCTTCCCCCTTGCGTATATTGAAACAAAACGAGGATCACGGCGCTTCCACCCGCATCGGTGATCCAATGGCGTCTGAAGGGCATTCTCCATGCGAAGGATACTCCACGGGCGAAGAGCATCCCCATGGAATTGCTTCTGCGTGGAGCGAACTGTCCTACCAAAGTCGAGCTCCTGATATCAACGGGTACCTGGAGCCAGAATGGGTTTCTCCTCACTCGGTACATCCACGCTTACACTCCATATATATTACGATGATTCGCTAATAATAAACTCCCTTAGAGCTTCCCAACCTCTGCGAATCCATTTGTTCATACAAATGGGTCTATGCCGACGCCAATTAGTCTTTCAGGTACACCTGTTCTTGAACCAGGGCAGAGCCCTTCACATAGCCACCATGATCTTCAATATCGCGATATTACGGATTCCCCTACACACCATGGACTCGGCATCAGTGGACCGACTACTACAAACTATGTGCAGCCCGGTATCTTCACATATGACCATCCTCATCGCGACGCACTGGATAATCATTTTTTGCCTGAATCTCAAGTAGCCGGGTTTGGCTTACGGGCCCTCAATGGTCCTACGCAATCTAACACTCTATCTACGCGATCCAATCCTGGAAGGGGCCATGTGAACATTGCTCCAAATCCTGATGGACTTCTTAAACTCCAGCGTGATAGGAAAAGAAATCAAGGCGTAGACGCGTCCCAACGCCGCAGGTCTGGGTCGTCTCGAAGAAATTCGGGGCAAAGATCAAGGCCGTCACAGATGGATCGCGAAAACGAAGCTGTTCGATCAATGAGAACCGAGAGAAATTTATCTTGGAGAGAAATTGTGATGAGAATAAACGCTGAATTTAGGACAAATTATTCAGCCTCCTGTCTTCAAATGCGGATGACGCGTATGAAGCACCGAGCCATGCAATGGCCCGAGGAAGATGTGAGTATGTGTCTCTTATCCACCCCTTTTCCACGTCCGCCATCTTATAATCTTCTGTAGGTCCAAGCACTTCAGCGAGCATATGAATTCTGGGAATCGGAAAAGTTCGAGATCATATCACAGAAGGTTCGTTATTCACTGTAAATATAACTATTCTTTCTTTAATTTCCTTTTTTACTCTCACACTTCCTTTCTCCTCAGTTCCCTTTCTTTTCCTCTTTTCTTCCCTTGCTTATTTTCTTTCCCATCCATGGCAGATGCAAGAGTTCGGAGCAGGGTTTTTTTCACCGTCTCAATGCGAACTAAAATGGCACGAGCTTAAAAGAAATATTCATCCAATAGAAGAAAGTCCAGAGGCTTCCGAAGGCCCCCTCCGATGTCGCCAACGCAGAACGCAATAATATTTTCCAGCAAAACAATGCTGTATATTAGGCCCTTCGCCTCCAATTTCCGATTTACGCACCTCCGAGATACCCCTGTGATCTGTAACTTTACTTTCCTTAACAAATGCATTTGGTTGTGATGGTCTTTTTATGATATTTTCGCGTTTCCTTGTTGACTAGTTTTACATATATTTATTTGTGCTCTCCAGCCCTGGTCTTAGCAGAGTTTAATCCTGCAGTGTTGGCACTTTGATTATTTTGTTCATTTCCAATTTCGGCTCCATCTGGATTGGTCTATTTTTCTTCTTGATCCAAGTTTTTTGGGACGCTGGTCGCGATTTAACTCTATCTTATTCACTTTGTTCTATTCCTTCTTTTATTTATTTCCTGCGTGCGAATATATCTCTCCAGCATATCTTTTCGCCAACAACTCTGCAGTCTTAATGCTATTCTCAACGAGTCGAAGCTATTTCTGTTCATGATTCCATTAGAGCTTATCATTTTTAATGTTCCTCTAGCCCCAGCGAACAGGGAGTGGTGCTGCTAAAGAATTTCTTTGTCTTCTTTGTTCCTTAGATTTAACCTTAGTTTTTCTTCTAAGACTCGCATGTTGTGTAAATTCTTAATCTTAATTCATATTCCCCCCACTGTTTCCATTTCAACTTGCATCTTTATTCTTTATATATTTGATGTTCAAGGTATTTTAGAAAGGGAAAAGTAAGAACAGTCCATAGAAAAAATCCCTTTCTCTTTGTTTTGACTTGGGGTCCCCTCGAGCAGCTTAAACAAGCGGGATTACTAGACGCATCAGGGAGGAGGACTTAATGCCGGCTGGGAGGGATGACACAATAACAATCCATGCTAGGGTGTTCTGTGTACGGAGGAGTTCCGGTGCCAGTCTTCGGCAAGCATCATGCTGAGCCTCAACCACCGTCTAGGTAGTGAGCTCGCAGGAACCCCGTATCCCTTGATACTGGGGTTATCCTCACGAAGTTGGAAATAACTTTAGTCGACAAGCGCGCAAATCCTACCTAGCCATCGTGCCCAGACTGGACCCACAAGTCAACATCGATGGGTTGGAGATACACCATGACGAGCAAGCCATATCACTCCTCCTAGCCCAGTCCATTCCCGGGCTAAAAACGGGATACCATCCACCCCTCAGGATTCGTAGCGCTAATCATCCCTGCTCGACTCAATGCGGGAGAACGCCGGGCAAAAGAGTTAGCTGAGGGGAAAATTCCCACTAGTTCGTGACCTGGCATGTGGGGCTGGACTATTAGTTGGCGCCCCTCCTCCTGTCACAATTTTTTTGTTCAAAACGTCAGTGAGCTTGATAAGAGTATGAGAGCGTGGTGATATTTTAATTCATGTTGAAGGGTAATAGTGTTGCATACCAATATTTCTTGCTTACATTTACCAGATTCTATCATCCAAGGTATTTGTTATCCCTACATCAAATTATATGTTGTTGTCATTCTTCATATTTTTCTTGAATATGCAAGGAGAGCTTAATGCAGCCACCCTGCAGTGCTACTATCCCCCGATTCTTGAAGAATATCATCCAGTCATAATCATTAGGACATTGACCCAAGGGAGGGTTGACATTTTCCTCGTTACAGTCATCTGTTTCGACGATGAATCAATCTTTGCCTCATCACTAGGGCAAGTCTCAAAACCAATGACAGTGGTTGGAACAACAAGACGCAAAGTACAACAGAAGACCGTTTTGTTGTATACTCCAAAGCCCTTTCCAATCATCTATGAGGACCCCTCTCCCATAACGTGAAGGAGATGGGATGTTAACCCAAACTTTTATGTCTCAGCAAGAGCTATATCAAGCATGGTTAGGTGCGCTGCCTGTCTCCAAAGTTACTACTCCATAAATAGACGAGCAAGGAGGAAAGATGATGAATGAAGTAGCCCTGCGCGGCTGCTTCCAATCGCTTTATTTGCCGACTCGTATCCGCCGGTGCCTTAATGCTGGGCAAGATGCAGTAAAGCCGAGGTTGGGGGCCACAGAGCGCACAATACCCATCATTTTTGAATCCGGATTTCTGATTTCCGATGCCACTGCGGGAGCCGCCGGTATTAAGCTCACTTGCATGGGCCCTAAACGGCGAGAAGAGGTATTGACCAGGGAGTCCAGAGCCGCAAACTTTGCTTTCAAGGCAGTAGCCCCGGTAGGCCCTCCTGCCCCGAAACTTGGATGAAAAGGAGTCGAATATGAGTTTAACTCACGCTGCAAGGGTTTAGTGACAGTGATATTCAAAATAGCGTGTTGAATGAATATAATGGAGAAACCAATAAAAAGTTCCTTAGCCCTTCTATGTAACTCAACCCTTATCATATTACAGCGCGAAACAATGAGAGACTTCCAAGGAATGTTAATCGGGAAAATATGCAATGATGTAAGTTTTAACACGGGTGCTGATTATTTCATTATTCTCAGCCTCAAAGAACACCTGACAAAACGCCTTATCCAGGAAGATAAGAAATAAAGTACTCCGTATGACATATGAGGAAATAATCCCCACCCTTGGACTGAAGAGGAAAAATCGCCGTGTCCCTGTGCTTGGGGCCTATTCACTCGCCACCCTTCCCACCAGCCTCATTACCCTCATCTTCATTTTCCTCTTCTTCAACAGTGGGAAACGTCAATAGGGCCGCGATGCCACCCAGGCCCTCTAATCTCCTCCCGCTTTCATGGTCAGAGCTAAGAACCCGTACTTCTCCTCCATCAACACCCCTCACCCGATCTACCAAAGAGACCCATCGATGCCTTTCAGCAACACTCTGAGCGCGAAATAGCCTGTTGGAAATGATAAGAATGCCACCTCCACGGCCTACAGCGCCTTGCTCCACTGCCGACTCTACCTCTCTCGGTCCATAGGTGGCTTTGTTAGTTTCCTTGCGTAGTTCGGAGAAGAACTTGTCCATGAGTGAAGTCTCCTTTGCGTATTTGGTGTTCGAGAGGAGAGCTTGCACGGATGGGGATTGAAGCACCTCAGCAAGGGAGTGCATGTGGCCGGATGAGGAGTGGACAACAACAATGTTCTGTAGAAGGCCCTTCAAGCCCGGTGCAGATGTATTCGCTACAGACTGTATGTGTTTTTGAAATCCAGCCGCTGTGAAGCCGGGAGATGCTAAGAGTATTGGTTTCGAAGATGTGCTGTTACTTAAGCTTGCAGACGAAAGTTGACTGGTCGTCGCATTGATGTCGAGTAAGCGGAGGAGCGTATCGAGTGTGGTTTGGAAGAATTTTGTCAAGGCCTTTTCCACAGCGTATTAGTGTACAGTTATGACACCAGGTTCCAATTATGAGCATATCTATTGTTGTTTACCTTGTCACGATCAAGTCCGCCTTGTCTCTTCCGTGGAATGGATAATTCGACTTTCTGTTTCAAGACTGTCTGAAACTGGCCTATAAAGCAGATATGTGCCAGTCCTTCCTGCATTACCACGGCCACGGCTTCTGCCCTCCTATTCCCTCCTTCATCCACCGCCTCCTTCAACATGTCGATCGCGATACTATCCCATCCTCCGGCTTCACTTGAAGATTCGACCTGCTTCTCCAGAGTGAAATTCCGTTGTAATTCTAAGTCGAGTGTATGATGCTGTCCAATTTTGGTGTATTGGTTTTCCGCGACGACTCGGCCGGAGACATGGAGCTGGGAGCTTTGGGGGTCGAAATCCAAGCTCTTCACACGTATTTGCAGCGTCATATGTACTCGAGAAGAACTTGTAGTCCCTGTTGCAGATGTAGTGGTGACGCGACGGATCGCGCTCGCCTTGAGAAGGTCATCAGGTCGGATGAGATTATAACAATGCCACTGGATAAGGGCAACGATTAGTTTTGCGAGGGCGCAAATATGTTAAGCGAAGGACAGATTCTAGTAAATCTTTATGCTTTGAAGGGAAAAATGTTTTCAATAAAAGTCGACTTGAAGCCATTAAAAGAGAAGCATACCATATCCTCTGGCTCTTCGGGATAAAGAGTGACGGATCCAGAGCCGTCGCGCTCGATATTCTGTTTGATTAACCGCATCTCAGACGACAATGTTTGATCAGATAAAATATTGCGCAGATTCAACAGCCATGCACAAACGGGAGTTTCGCAAAGCCTGCGTATTACAGGAGGTCTAGGTCTTCAAATATTGGCCGCTTTTTGCGATTCAGTCTTCGAGTTGAAATTTCGAAAGAGGCGTCGAGGGAGGTTGGTGGGGTCATAGCCAAAGTAAAGATGTTATGCTAACCCCCGCCATTGCAAGCTTCAACGATGTCAATGCTCAATGGCTTTATTGGAGTTGAAGCGACTACATAGATATCGGTCAAGATCGGCAATGAGTCTGAATATGCAAAATGCGAACGATTATCTCAGGCAAGGGGCCCAAAAAGTGGATCCGGAGGGGAAACTTTAACTCTTCCACCATGTAGCACTTGTGGGCGCCATCTTTTGAAAACCATCACTGTATGTCCATCCAATTGCGAAATCTGCCTGCTCTTGTTCTACGCATAGAATACCCGATGATATGGCTCCCCTGAGGCTTCAATCGACTTACAAAATGAACTCGGGATATGAGATCCCAGTTCTAGGATTTGGAGTATGTATCTGTCATTCATCAATATCACCAGCCACGGTCAGGAAGAGACACCTGCACCAGTAAACAAGTAATTCCACAATTTCAGAATAGCCGCCAACATAAACTGATCGTTCCTTTCATTGGTACTCTACTAATTAGTGGCTGTGCTCCAATAGGTCTATCAAACGTCTGACCCTTAATAGATCCATTTCTTAAATCTATGCAGTATTTACTTACACATACGTATCTGATAGGCCTCCCGAAAAAACCGAGAAGGCCGTGTTGAAGGCTCTCCAAGTTGGATATAAACATGTACGCATCATATATTGGTTTTTTCTCGGCTATTTCTGTGGAGTCTTGTACATGTACATGTACACGTACAACATCAGTGACGGGGTCATCTTCATCGGGTAAATTTCTAATCGTTCTTTAGATCGATTCTGCGAAGTCATATCGCAATGAGGCCCAGTGCGGAGCGGCAGTTCGTGCCTCTGGCCTCAAGCGCTCAGACGTTTTCTTCACGACGAAGGTACCATGGCAGGCTATGGGCTATCAGAAGACTAAGGACTCAATAGAGTCCAGTCTCAAGGCAGCCAATTTTGATTATATCGATCTGTAAGTGCGTGAGTCTATGTGGAAACGAAGGCGTGATGTACTGCAATAGCAGATAAACTCATTTACTGAATAGTATCCTCCTTCACGCCCCATATGGCGGATCGGAAGCGCGCGAAGGATCGTGGCGTGCTCTTGTGGAAGCCCAAGTAGAGGGCAAAGTACGCTCCATTGGGATTTCTAACTATGGCGTCCACCATCTCGATGAACTGGAGGAATATAACAAAGACCTTGGCGGGAAAATCGACGTTGGTCAATATGAACTGCACCCTTGGCTCGCCCGTCCTGATATCGTTGAATGGTTACAAAAGCGCAATGTCGTTATTGAAGCTTATAGTCCCCTCGTGCAAGCAACAAAGATGGGTGATCCTCTGATTAAGAAATTGGCCCAGAAGCACAGTAAGTCTCCAGCGCAAATCCTCCTTCGATGGAGCTTGCAGAAGGTACGAATTCCCTGAATCCGCCATCCACCTGTTATCGACTGTTAAATTTTTGGGACTGCTGACATGTATTGATTTTTGTTAAGGGCTTTGTTCCTCTTCCCAAATCCGTGCATGATAATCGAATTGAAGAGAATTCTGAAATTTTTGACTTCGAACTCTCCCCTGAAGACATGGAGACTCTGAACACTGGCGAATATCGCCATGTTTGCTGGGATCCCACCGTGAGCAGGGACTAAATCCAAAGATCATCCGACTTTATGGACAATATGGGTTGGGTAGTATCAGTTTAGATCTCATATATACATTACAAATTAAGTAATTTTTGTGGTGCAAGTTTGTGTTTTATTTGGAATTCTGGCCACCAAATGGATCCAGGACTGGAAGATATGGGGTGAGCATTGTGGTGGAAGACAAGTGCCAGATAGATACCCAGGCAACTGTTTATACAGAGCTGCACAGCTTCGCTTCTTTGTGACTCTGTTTTTTTGTCTCCTGCTTCATTCACCATTCACCACAAACACAAGGGAGAAGTCCCATATTCACACACAAACAAGCACCATCCCCTTTCAATGTTATATTCCTCTGCTTTAAATAGTATCAAGACTTCGAGCCTGTTTAATAGGCTAGAACCTTCCCTTCCTACTCTCGCCACTCTTTGTTGAATATTTGCTCGTTGGCGATAGCCCCTATTTGCAATTTGATCTTTGGATTGCTCCGTTCGAGACTTATTTCGGTCCTTCATTCTCTTCAGCGGAAAGATTTTGTTTAATTTTCCGCATCATTTCTGCGGTTGCAATTGTCTTCGCTTTTCAAGATAGCTCTCCGCGAGGGACCACAAGGAAAACCCACAACACAACACCGTTTTGCTGTTACATCTGGAATATCCACTTTTGGAACAAACTATGTCGGTTTGAAGAGGGCACAGCCTTTTCAGATCCCTTACAGAGACATATTCCAGTTCAAAGTCTTCAAGATGCGCAGAAAACGACGGGCCAGTGGATCACCCCCGTTACCCCCATTTGAATATATGTCACGGAATCGTCGAGCTGTCTTTGGTGATCCGCCATCCGCATATTTGGCTGCAGTGATAGAAAGAAATGAGAGAGCACGCAGGGAGCGAGAACGATCCAGGCTGGAGAACGAGCAGAACCAAGGTGAAGAGGAGTTGCCTAGGAAAAAGCCTGCCCTTCGTAATAACCAAGGATATTCCTATCGAACTCCAGCAACAGAGAACGATTACCTCGTATGGTCCTGCCGTGGGACCCCGGCTTCGAATACCTATGCCCTCTCTGGAAGTAGTCATTCACAATTCGCTGATTCGGAATCTAACGGGGAGTCCCGTGAACAAAGTGATAGTATTATCACAGACCAAATCAATCACGCGGGTGATGAGAGCGACGGATATGGAGACGAGGATACTGAAAAGAGCCCAGAAAACTCAGAGCAAGATGAATCCGAAGGATTTGAAGAGAATTATGGAAATGGAGATGAAACATTTCAAGGTCTGGAAGACAGTGATAATGTCGCTGATATGGCTGACGACGAAAATACCACCTTTCAGAGACAGGATCCACGCGCATCTCCGACAATCGTGACGGACAAAGACGAAGAAGACGTGGGCAACCGGCAAGATTGTAAGTGTAATTTCTAACATCTAATATCCTCCTAATGTTAAGAATGAAAGAACAGGTAAACGGGAGGGCGGAAGCAATATTTTTGTGAACAAAGACATTCGCGCTCCTTTTCCCCTCGAGGTCGACGGTGACACCGTCAGCTTGCTACCGTCAGCTTCCAACAATGCCCTACATGCGCGACGCCGTTTTGCAATCCAGCGTAGTTTTGCAGTCTCAAACCGTTCAACTTCTCATATGTTTTCTCTTCCTGGTGCTATATTTGTTGACCCTGTTGATTTCGACGAAGACGACATCCGATCCTTGGCGCACAACTTGGCTCGTACATGCACAACTCTTGGGTTTGAAGGTAACGAAGTTTTGCCAAACGAAAATACACCACCAATTGAAGCAATTACTCGGAATCCAGGACATCGACTGGTGGGACACCGTTATAGCCCTGTTCCGCAAGGTCAAGGCGCTTTTCATGCTAATAGCTCTCGATCCGCGTTGCTCCCCAATGTATCCACTTCCACATCTGAGGCAACTTTTGATGAATCTCTCCGTGAAGAAAATGATGGCACCGTGCAATACCCCGACGAGTTCGCCTCTAACTTGGAATATCAGATCCCGGATTGGTAGCTCTTTCTCATTGTGTCTCGTTTTGCGGGTTGTTGGCTCAGCCTTCGCAAACTTGTCTGTACCTTCTGAGCAAGACTTCCATATATTTCCGAATTTCTTTGTACTCTGTTTCTGGCCGTATATGTAACCTTTTATTTGGTTTCTTGTGAATTGCTGTTTCGTAAGTTCCTTTAGCTTTCACACAATTTCGCTCATGGTTATGCGTTTGGATTGTTCTCTGGGATAATATGTTTGGATGGAATAAAAAAAGGTGTTCAGGAAACAGAAGGAGATGGAGCCACCTCCAGCTGAACCATTTTTGTTCTGCTATGTTCTGGATGTTCAATGGAAGTAAACATTCGAAGGGATGGTAGAGAGGTCTTTCAGTTGTTCAAGAAACTTACCGTTTTTCCATTGCAGTCTCTCATTTCTCCCATTGAAAAAAAGACGAATCTGCTCTATTTTGTCTCTTAGGAACTCTAGTCCTCGGTTTCCGCTTCATTTGAGTGATAGATTTTTTTTTTTTTTTTTTGGGACGAAACGGCATGATGTGCCAGTTTACGACGAACTGTTCTCATAAAGGAATATCGCGAAAACTTCGTTCGGCGGAGCTATTTTAATGTGGTCAACCGGTAACTATGCTCAGTTCATCCCCCCTGTTTCTTCACTCGTAGTAGGGGTAAGCCACCTATGATATCATGTATCCGTAATCCGTTTTTTTTTGTTTGTGCACAAATGGTTCGAACAATATATATGTGAAGAGAAGGTACGCTGCAAGCTTTTGTGGATACTTTTTGGATTTCTTTTTCTTCTTTTCTTTTGTCAACGATTTTAGAAGTAAATTTCATGTTGATATCCGGCGAGTTAAGGCGGAGGAAAAGGAAATGGCAGTAAAAAACAAGAGGGATAAATAAAATCAATAAAATCAATATGATATTTCCAGTACAAGGAGGTCAAGCAAGAGAGCTGAGCATTGTTGAGATATTCGGGGAAGGAGAGTAGAGGGCCATGCGCAGCAGGGAAGAAAGAGGAAGGCAAAATAGACTTATTAGGCATGCGTGTAGTTTCGATTCAAAGACAAAAGGGGAAAATTACAACAAAACAGAAAAAACCCCGCTATGCCCTCCGTCAATCTTATGATTTTTGGTCTCTTTATATTGCCATGCATTCCGCGTCAACGTAAGTCCCCACACGCCGCAATTCATTATGAACGCCTGAAGAGAAATCGCTGGATTCATGCCGTTGGCCCAGAATTTATCATCGTCTTTCCTCTCCTTTCCTTGCATTTCCCTGGTGAATGATATCTCTTTCCTGATTTTCTCCGAAATACAACGCTTCTGAGTCGGGGATGTGACAGAAACCAGATCCAAGGATCCGCCGCCGGCCCTCTCGGGATATCTCTATTCTCCCCACCCTCTCACACACAAATATACAACACATTTCAAAAGGACACTACTCCTCATCCTCCTCCTCCTCATCGACCGTCGTCTTGGCAATGCGGTCCAAATCCCGCTGGCCACTCTGGGTAATTCTCCGTCCACCTTTCTCCTCATCGAGTTCGAGCACGCCAATCTTCTCCAGCGATTGGATTACTTTCCGGTCCACGGAACCGCTAGCATCGACATGATGGGAGGGACGGGAGCCACGGTTCTTCTGACTTCCGTGGACTTTCCGTAGACGGCCAACACCGACAGTCTTGCGGAGGTAGATGTGCCGGGCAACGGAAGCAGCGCGAACGTAGTACCTATTTTGAGTGGTGGGATTTTCAGCCCAAATGCGAAAACACACTTGCCGATGCCGACGACAATCCGACATACGGGTCGATCGAATAAAAGTGAAGGAAAATTGACATACCAGTCGATAGATTGAGGAGGAAGCTCCTTGCCTTTTGATGTCTTAACAGTATCGACCCATCCTGTATCGCAATAGTCGACGGTTAGATATAGAGAACTTTGCACTTGTATATTCGCGCGAGGATTGCTTTTCGCTTTCCATAGAACAAGGACGTTGTGAAAAGTGGGGATCAACGAAATAGGAACGGACCTGGAATTGGCAATTTGCCTTGTCTCTTCAGGAAAGCGGAGTATGCCGCGATGAACTTTTGCGCCTGTAGATCAAAGGAAAAATTGTATATCAGCCAACCGATGCTATCAAGGATGGATGAAAACCCCGGCATCACCACAAGTATGCAAATAGTGCACTTCTCCATTTCCTGAGTGCTTGCTGCCTAATCGCCATCTCAAAATATTTTGGGATCTCTTCTCGATCAACCGCTTTTCAGCGATATATCCAGCATGTCATCGTCTCAGCCTAAACCCTCACCATCTGATATACCGAATCCCATCCCTCGATCTGAAGCTTTCGTCTTCCTTTTTCCCATCCACCTAATTCCATCCCCCAATGGCTTCCCAGTATAGGCGCACATCCTTCACCCCGACCCTGCTTTTGAAAAACAAAAACGACCAAAGACAAATCGAGAAAAAGAACAACTTACATCCACATCACGAACGGTAACACCTCCCATGATTGCGATTGTCCTTTTAATGCCTTGGGGGGCAAATATGATAGATCAAGCGGCGGGAGGAAAACGCGAGAGGTGTTATGGGAGTAAAAAGTCCGCTGGTCGGTTTGTCGTCTCGGTCGTGGTCAGCCTCGCTTTGAAATTTCGCTTGTTCCATCTCCAACTGTGTGGTTGTGGAGGGTTCAAAGTCGCTTATCCTATTTGGGACTAGTTGTACCCTAAACACTCCGATATGCTGTCTTCATCAGCCACTAAACCTAATTCGCTCACTTTTGGCGATCTACAATGAACCTCACATTGCCTTCAATGAGACGGCGGGCCCCATACAGTAGTTTAAAAAAAAGAAAAAAATCCATCAATGTCATTATTCGTTAATGTTAATATATGATCTAATACAGGGAATATTATTGATCTGTCATGGCATCTATGATGACCTTGGACAGCAACAATCAAAAGGTTCCTTCGAAAACCTCATCCTTCTCCGATCATGTCCGGAAAACGAACATGCCATAGCAACCTAACCGCATTCCGTAAACAAACGAACATAATAAAATTTAATAAGAATAAAAATCAAAAATAATACCCGGAGCTCAATGTCACATCGCCCCTGCTTGAACGCCGATGATGCTAATACAAGAAAACAATCGATCAAACTCTATTATAAGGTCGAAGCTCTCTGAAGGCCAACGCAATACCGTACAAAAAGGGTATCGATAAAATGCTCGTGTTTGATTCCCGGAGGTCGGCATCTTTCGAATTCGTCTATTGCGCCCTGAACGGAGAATCCCTTTTTCTCGATAAGATATGAAACGACAAAAAAACCGGTCCTGTTAAATCCGTAGTGACAGTGAACTCCAAGTACTGGCCGCAGAGCCCCATCCGGAAGGGCATTGGATATAGCCGATATTTCTTCCTCCAGGCGAACGACCAGAGACACAAAGTCACGGACCTCATCAATAGTCGGAGGTATCTTGGACACCGTTGGAAGTTTGTGATACTGGATCCCACTTTTCTCAAGCTGGGTGGGATCGTAAACCGGGCTTTCGTGACTAATATCAATGACTGCATAAATTCTTCCTTTCCACTTTTGCGCAAAGGGTATTGGTGTGTGTATCTCATCAACCTCACGCAGGGTCTTCATCGCGACAAAAGTATCGCCCATAACATCTGAAACGGAATCGATTGCTTTCCATTTCTCCAGGTTCTTGACGTCCCATTTCTTTGAAGTGGTTAGATGTTGAAGCTGCCATCCCAAACTCAGACGAGGGTCAATATATTTAGGGAAAAAGTCTTGGATCAACCCCGAGAGTGTGCGACAAGTATGCCGGTCGTAGAGTAGAGCATGGGAGGCAGGTGCTGGAAATATATATGCCTTTATACCTTTTTTCCCGCCACTCGTTGTATTCTCCGGCTTCGATAAACCAGATGGACTAACGGTGTTGGTAAGATTCCTTCCAACTCTTCCTTTCAGCGAAGGCCGCGCATCAGGGGGGGTATTTTCGTCTCCAACACCCCCTCTTGCTGGCTGGCTTTCAGGAAAAATTGGTAGGGTACCATGATCACGGTTGAAATACTCGAGAATTTTGGTAACCTCCTCCGGTTTCGTTATCTGGTCAGATTCACCCGCTATAAGTAAAAGCGGAACGTGCACTCCTCCCCATACTTTCTTTCCGGGGAGACCCCCTACCGATTTCCCTAAGCTGTTGTACGACGGAAGGGCGCCCCATGCCATCCTCCTCCATACTGGTGTCTTACTCTGCTGGTTGAACCGAAGCTGGAGATTTTTAGTTTCCATGTCAGCACCTTCCCCAACGAACCTCATAACGCTGGGGCTATTAGGTCCGCCTCGTCTGTCCCATCGTCTAAAAAGGTCGAAAATCGGGTTTGGAATATAGAGAAGCCTGCGGAAGCTTTCAGTCGTTTTCTCCAGAGGATGGCCAGCGGGTGGGCAAACTGCAATCAATCCAATGATGTGCTCCTGCAGGGACAACATGAGAGGAGATTCCGATGACGCAATCAACGCCGAAAGCGAACATCCCAAACTATGCGCGATGAGGACAATCTTTTGGCCTCTTTCCTTGTCGCGGTACTGGTCAATTGCCACAGCGAGCAAAGTTGCAAGTGCTTCGACTGAGTATGCCGCCCAGGACTTTGGCGAAAACGAAGACAGCCCGCAACCTGGAAGATCGATGCCAAAACAGGGAGCAACATTGACCAAGCTTGTTAGGAGAGGATGGAATTGGGTAAGGGAGCCCCCAAGCCCATGAATAAATACCAAGAGCGGTAAAGGCGATGGTTCAGTGGGGAGCTCTTCGATATGGGGGTGAGGGTAGAGGAAAGTCCTGATGGAAGGGTACGTTGCGATTGGGGTGGTGTAGGAGATATTCGCGGAGTGCTTTTTAAGCAGCCCTGGATCAGTATCGTGCACACCTAATAAGGAAGACACAGGTTAGTGATATACCGAACCGAAGAGATTCTAGTACCGAATTGCTGAAGCAGCTTACCATTGCGTTTAAGGTGGGCGCTCCGAGAACTAACCGAGCGACCATACACATCGAGCGCCTTATCCTTTTCCTTCACAGAAACGTCCATATCATCATTCGAACCGCCATCGGAATTGGATGTCGAGGGTTGTTTACCCAGTAACACGTGAGAGTCTTTCTTTCCACCCCTAGGAGCACATAGAGCGCAAAGCAATAGAAAACAACCAGTCATGGCCACAATAACAGGGATACCGACTGATTTACAAAATACGCTCGTCACTTCACTTGGCGCAAAGTCACCACCAGAAGTCTTGCTTGGCGCGGCATTGATACAGCTCAGAAGATGCAAACGGGAGCAGCCACGACTGATGTAATCCGAAGAGAAATGGATGATAGCTGAAATGGGTGAGAAGAAACGGCTAACAACAGAAGTGGGAAGGGTGGAAGATGGTAAAGGAGATTGTGTGGGTGTCGTGGAAGCACTCATCGGCATTTTGTAGGTAAACGGGTTCTCCAGCTCTATATATGAAACTAAAAGGAGCAACCAGAAAGGCCCACGTGCTCTTAACTGGGATTCCCTAGGGTCTCGGGAAAGGGTTGGGGGATGAGAATCGACTGGGATATTTCCCAGTCCAATGCAGCTGGAGACCTGGCTGTTGGGCCGCTATTATTGCTCCTGATTGTAATGTTCTCTCTTTTTTCACCAACCCAACGGAGCGTACCATGCGGTCAAGTTGAGGCCGCCAACCAATGACGAGTCACAGGAGGCAGTGCTCAACACCAGCCTGTTCGTTTTGCTGGGGTGAATTTTCAAATCGGGAGAACATATGTCTGACAACTGGCAAGTGATAAGGCCACTGCGCAACGTTGACAAGAAGATGTAGACAGTCTATGTTTTGACACCCAGTCATCCAAACTGAAGGTAGCCCGTCGCCTATGATAAGGAAGCGACACCCAGATTTCCGGGGTTCGAAGCTTCCACCATCTGTATACGTGGAGCTGTAGCCCCATAAACCACCAAGTTTAAGCCATAGTACGGTCGGTAGCTGCGTCTAGAACAGTGAAGGCAGAATTTTGCAGGTTAAAATACTGGGTTGAACCGCTGCTCTGGTAAAACGCGTTTGGGTGGAGGTACGTCGGGTCAGGATAGTGCTGAATCTGTTTCTTGAAAAATGGTTCAGTTCACAGTACTTTTAACGCGCATCAATGCGTTGGTATAGACCTATCTAGCGGCACGTGCGTATTGGAGACACGGTAAGCCTTACAGGCAGGGGAGGGTTGGGACTAGACTTGGAATAAATAATTGCGGCGTCATCCAGTCTGGCACCAAATTATAGAAGTTGACCGATCCAAGATTGGAAGAAGCGGACTACCTACGGACACTGGATCACGTGGGAACATGATTGGATAAGCCCTAACTACTTCGCAACAGGAGAGCTACAGCAACAGAGCATGGAGGGTTATGATTGGGAAATATTTCAGATACTTTGTTAAACTTGGCAATAGCAGAGGTATATTCATAGCCACGTGGCTATCCTGAATAGCCCTCTTGCAATAACGGCCAGCCTGCTCCCAACCCTTCACTGTGATCGTTGCAACCAATGATAACCCTCTATCAAAACATATCCGTCATTGCGCCATGCGAAGCATCGCCAACAAGCCTCATGTACTTGGCCAATGTCCCGCGCGTAACATGTGGCTTCGGCGCTTCCCAGTTCTTCATTCGCTCAGCAATGTCCTCATCCGAAACTGCCATGCTGAGCTCATTCGTCTCTGCATCGATCGTGATCAAATCCCCATCCCGTACCACAGCGATAGGCCCACCAACAGCAGCCTCAGGGACGATATGGCCTACGATAAACCCATGGCTGGCACCAGAGTATCTACCATCTGTGATTAGAGCGACATTTGTGAGCTTGGCTCCCATCAACGCAGCACTCGCTCTGAGCTGTTCCGGCATACCGGGCCCTCCCTTCGGCCCTTCATATCTGACAATCAAGACAAGGTTCTCTCCCCGTGGAATTAGGCCTTGGTTAAGCGCTATATCGAGTTCGTGTTCCTTGTTAAAAACTCGGGCTTTCCCTCTGAATTTGGTGCCTTCTTTCCCGGTAATTTTAGCGACTGCACCACCAGGGGCGAGGTTGCCTTTGAGAATTTGTATATGACCGGTAGACTTTATAGGGTTAGCTAGTGGATGGATTATGGCCTGGTCCTGCGGGAGAGATGGGAAAGACTGGATGTTTTCCGCCAGTGTTTTGCCGGTTACCGTGAGAATATCGCCATCCATGAGACCTGCTGCTACCAGCAGCTTCTGCACCGATGGTATTCCGCCAATTTCATACAGGTCCGCCATATAGTACTTCCCACTGGGCGCCAAGTCGGCAATAAAGGGGATTTTATTGCTTACTCGTTGGAAATCATCGAGTGCTAGTTCAACCCCGGCAGTTCGAGCCATAGCAATCAGATGAATAACACTGTTGGTGCTTCCACCCAACGCCATGGTGATGACCAAAGCATTCTCGAAAGACCTTTTCGTGAGTAAGTCACATGGCTTAATGTTCTTTTCCATGCATATCCTGATGGCGTCTACGGCTTTTGCGCACTCACGCATCTTCGATGGTACTGTGGCCGGGGTGGAAGAGGAGCCTGGTAAAGTTAAACCCATTGACTCGATAGCAGTTGCCAAGGTGTTTGCTGTGTACATCCCAGCGCACGCACCGGCGCTAGGACAGGCATTTTGCTCGATGTCCTCCATGATCTCGTCTTTATTTTTCGATCGATCACCACCATCATCAGGCTGTGTTAAGGTGTTATAAGCGTATGCACCTGCGGCTTCGTAGCAAGTCGAAATGTTGATTCGTTTTCGGAGGAACTTGGAGTATCCGACTTGAATAGTCCCACCGTATATCATCAAGGAGGGTCTATTGTGTCTCGCCATAGCCATTATGCAGCCAGGCATGTTTTTGTCACAACCGGGAATCGCAATACAGGCATCGTGATATTGAGCGCTTGTGACGGTTTCGATACTATCTGCGATGATCTCACGGGACTGGAGAGAGTATCGCATGCCTAAAAACCATGACCTTTAGCTTCACTTTGTGAACATAAAATGAATGTGATGAGTGGGTGATAATAGAAAATATAAGTCAACAAAATGAAAAAGGAACCCACCCTCACTGCCCATAGAAATCGCATCCGAGACACCAATAGTGTTATATTGCCAACCCAACATCCCCTGATCCGTAATTTCCTTCTTTACCGTCTTGCCGAGATCCAACAAGTGCATATTACAAGGATTCCCTTCCCACCATACCGTTGCAATGCCGACCTGCGGGCTATTCTTCATACTCTCACGATCAGGCACCCCGGCACCATATAGCATTGCCTTCTCATGTGAAGGAGAAAAAGTAGGCGACATTAATTAGTATCCTTCTAAATGAAAAATTAAACACTGGCCACACGTTAACACCGCCGGAGAAGAACCCTAGCTATGCCAGTAACAGAGAAAACAGTGTGCGAGTATAAATACCTGGGCTCCAGGAAAGCCATGGTCCTTAGTAAGAAATGTAGAATACTTATTCAATACTGGTTTACCATCACGGGTCGCATTGTCCGGGAGGCAAGGGAATTGGACATATCGCGGCTCTTCGAAGGCGTCAACCTGTTCTGAGTAGGTAGTTGCAGTAGCCATTGCGGCAATCCAGATGAGGAGTGTAAAGAATTGAAAGAAGCCAAATTTTTCAAAAACTAATTGAATAGCTATATTAGCAATTGCTAAGCATCGAATGGCAGGGCCTGAACTTCACTGAGTTGATTAATCGAGGCTATCTCAGGGTATTCCATGCATTATACAACAGAGTGGCGCTAAATGGCGGGGAATTGTTCACCGGACAGATAAGATAAGGATCGACCTCGGGTCCGTTCCCGCCAAGACCAAGCTTCAATGGAGATGGAGTAAGCAGTTTCTTGCACAGCAGCAACAATGCCATTGCATTGATTGATATCGATGTCAGACAAATATCCCTACCCTTAAGCTTGTCCCATTCAAAAAGCAGTGTGAGAGGGATTGTCCAGGCACCACTGTTCAAGAGGAAAAGACCCATCACTATATTCAATACTGTGTTTACAATATATACAATGTTCAAAGGAGGCGCTGGCGTGGGAATTCATCTGGTCTTAATCTAATTAAGCCCTACTGGCCCTTGGATGAAAGTATTATATCAATAGGAAAGGGGGCCCCAAAGAACAGAGCAGAAGCTATTGGAGCATGGAAGCATTGTTGGCAGCAGTTATCTCAGAAGATAATCCAAGCATTGATAAAGCATATCCTTACTCATATTGACAATATTATTGCACTAGAAGGAGGAAATATGAAGGGATGTAAAATTCTATTAATAATTATGTGGTCGAGCCAGCGAACCATGTTCAAGCTGTAACGCGTCCGTAACCTTAACTACTAGTATCTATATATATATAATAAGACCTCAATGCACCACACCTCTGGCCTGGCATATCTCGCACTTGACATCCCGAAAACTCGGCAGCGACCCATCATCGCCCACAAACAAGAACGCGTGAATATTCACCTTGCCACTGGATCGAATGTAGTCTGCCCATCACCAGGAACGCTTGTCTGCTTCGAAGCTGGTGACAGCCCTTTGAATTCTGCTATATTACAGAGTAATAGACTGGATATCGCTCTGAGAAACTAAAGAATTTAGTTGAAATTCGGGACGTCATCAACAACAAATGTACTGTACATACATTCATGCAGTCGACTAGGCAGCTTGGCCTTGCAAAATCGTCAATCGATCCAAATGGAAAATGCCCAAAAGGTTCCATTATTGGCGTCCACTAACGTCCATTAACATGGTTCGTCTTCCTTGGAGCTCCTGTTACCGACGTCCGGCTCGGTCCAAGGAGATCCCCCACGAGGGTTATATTAATTGTCTGTCCGCCATCTGCTATTGTTGTTGGTGTCTTTTTGGCCATGTCATTTGCCTACTGAGCAGTGGAAATGGGCGCCCTCCTTGATCAGAAAGTTGACTGCCCACCTCCTCCAGCATGCGCCAAATGCACCGAAACTGCAACTATAGAAACAGCTCGCTATGTGGCGGAGAGGGGCCAAGCTGTCACAGATCAGTAAATACACATCCAGCCAAAATTTCAGGGAAATTGTTTTGCTTCCTTACAAACTGACTATGTGTATAGTTACGGACGCCCGCTGGTGCAGTTTGACCTAGCTGCCGAAGCCAGACTTCGTTGGAAAATCGATTTGTTTGTCGTCCCTACCGTGGCTCTTCTCTACCTTTTTTGCTTCATTGACCGCGCAAATATAGGTAGGCGCTGCACTGCGCTTTTTTTGGTGTCTGCTGTATTAACCTGGATTTCCCCCCCCCCCCCCCCCCTCTCATACTCAATGACTTGTAGGCAACGCGAGCTCGCAGGTCTGGAGAGAGATCTTAACCTGAAACACTATGACTATAATACGGTTCTCTCGATCTTTTATATCTGTTACATCATTTTTGAGATCCCGTCCAACATGGCCTGCAAATGGATAGGCCCTGGATGGTACTTACCAGCTATCTCGCTAGCTTTCGGAATTACTTCCATAGCTACCGCTTTTGTGCATAATATTCACGAAATCTGTGGTGTTCGTTTTATCCTTGGTGTTTTCGAGGCAGGTATGCTACCGGGAATTGCATACTACATGTCTAGGTGGTGCAGGAAAAGCGAATTGACCTTCCGCCTGTCTCTTTACATCGTAATGGCTCCACTCGCCGGCGCTTTTGGTGGACTTCTTGCCTCTGCGATTTTGAAATTGTCAAATGTCGGTAGTCTTCATGAATGGAGGATGATATTTGCGATTATCATTGGCTTCTTTACTTTGACTGACCGTCTAGCTAACGCTCTTTGGCTGACCCAGGAAGAGAAGGACCTTGCCATTGCTCGTATTAAATCAGAGCGAGTCGGAGTCACTGAGGTCCTGGACAAGTTGGACACACAAGACCCTCCGCATTCATATTCCTGCTGAACAACATCACTGTCCAGGGGTTAGCATTCTTCGCCCCGACAATCGTCAAAACAATTTATCCTGACCGCAGTGTCATTTCTCAGCAACTCCATACCGTTCCTCCTTATCTTGTTGGGAGCTTCTTTACTGTACTTTTCCCTTTCCTCAGCTGGAAATTCAATCGCTGCTTGTTATTCTTTATCCTTGGCGCTCCGTTCGTGATGGTCGGGTACATAATGTTTCTTGCCAGCAACGACCCTAAAGTCAGATATGGTGCGGCCTTCATCATTGCCAGTGGTGCCTTTTCACTTGGGGCTCTTTCCAGCGCCAACGTTGCCGCAAACATCGTTTCAGACACGGCTAGGTCCTCTGCAATCGGCACAAACGTGATGTTTGGTAATATCGGTAGCTTGGTTGCAACTTGGTCGTTTTTGCCTTCCGACTCTCCTGACTATCGTATAGGCAACAGTCTCAACTTAGCCACGTCGTCATCAATTCTTATTTGCTCTGTCGCTTCGCTGTTCTGGATGAATATGGACAATAAGAAGCGGGATAGAATAAATGTGGAAAAAAAACTAGCACATCTCAGCCAAAAACAGATACAGGACCTTGACTGGCGCCATCCTGGTTTCCGGTGGAAGCCGTAATTCATAGCCCATGAGAAGTTTACCAATTAGTAGCTAATAGTCAGCGGCAGTGAGTTTATCTTCGGTGCCGGATAGCTATGGTTGGATCTTTTGGGATGTTTACACAATTGTGTTAATCATAGTTATCACTACTATTAATAAGGAGCACGTTCATCTCCTCTTTCTCTGTTTTTGGAATTCTCAGAAAAGTTCAACACAAAAACCAATACTTGTCCATTACTGATATTCTCATTAAACTATCACTGCACTTTGCTCTCTCCATAATGCTGAAACAGCTCCCTTCATACCTGAAAACACAATCAAAGCCCAAGGTTAATGCAATCCTTGAAATCTGCATACCTATCATCAAAATTAAACCCCTACTGACACGGCTGCCCATTCGTATTTCCGCAATAATTGGTGTCTTCACATTTACTCCCACATCCATAATCGGTATAAGTCGTCGGAGTGTTCTGTTCCCACGAGCGCATACACTCCGTCACATCGCCGTTACCCCAGTTGCATCTCTTCCGCTCATATCCCTTGGTGAGAACCATCTGCTGCTGCGTCCACACCGTATGGCAGGCCTTGTCATTCCAGGTACATGTCGTCGTCGAGGATGCAGAGTAGCACTCGGAGTCCTCGATTGATGAGCTAAACTCCACGCCAAAACTTAACCCGGGAACGATCCCCTTGGACACGGCAGCGTCGATTTTCAGACCCATTGAGGCGCTGACGGTTTGGCTGCGTGTTTGGCATACTTGGGTCCCGTTAAGTTGTGCGGCGGAGCACAACTGTGTGCCCGTGCAGTAGATGTTGCCGGATGATTTGATCCATGGTTTTTTCCTGTGAGGTTTTTTTGATAGTTTGTCAGCCCTTTTGATCTTTTTCTGCTTCTTACGTTATCGGTGGATGGACAATACATACCACACACTCGCTTCTACAGCAAAGTAATCGTGCCAGCACTTGCGCACTTTGGGGAACTTATATGGATGCGAAATCTTGTCGGATTCGATATACACGCCTTGCCCGTCCTGGTAGGGCCCCGTGTAATCGCTGTCGCTATCGCATGCTTTCACGCCCCGTTTTGCCAGCACTAGGTTAGATGGCGATGTCGGCATGGCAAGGACATTGTCCACGAGACCCAAAGCTGCCAACGCTGCATAAACAATGAACGAAGTGCGCATTTTGCTGCTAGTTTCGTGGAGTTTTATAAAATGAAAGTGGGCCACCTTCGTCGTGAAAGAAAGAGTGAAGTATAATTGGGGACGGCTGCTTGAACTTTCGCTTGATTCTTTCCTTCATGCTCAACTCTCCTGGTTCATGAAAGCAAAGGAAAAAAATAAAACTGTTTCATTATCCAAGGGAATAGGGCCTTTTATACAAAATCGAACCTCTCTCTCTGGCCTCGCAGCCTTTCTCGACAATACGACATTCCTCTTTGGCATTCTCTATGCATCTTCTAAGGCTCCCAGTCAGCAATTTTCCTCACAAAATGCCAGGAACTGTAAGATGTAGCATGTTGGATATAGTTCCAAAATTAGACCTAATTCCCTTTTTGGTACATTGCGTCTTCAACCTCCCTTCCCCCTTCACCCAAAAAAAAGGTTCAAGTTGCCGATCGCGAGGCTGCGCGGTATTTCGATGAGCCTGCAAATAATTAGCAGCCGTATCAGGGGATTGTTGATCAGCAATCCGACGGCATATCTGGAGGATGCTTCAGGTCCGGTCCAGTTCCAGAATTCGTCCTCTTTCTCGTAAGTACGGAGTAGCCCCCCGGACTTTAGGCCCCACGTTCGAATAGTTTTTGCGGTAGCTAGAGGATTTACTAGAAAAGGAATAGCACGGAAGTCATGCTGCATTTTTGCAGAAATTTCCTGCGCCGTTTCCAGAACACTAGGGTGGGACAAATGTTTCAGCGTTGTTTTCTCTTCAGCCTTGTGCCGTTCCCCCATAGCCTTGCATGATTCGAGCTAATAATAGAAATATATGGATGGGAAATGCAGGAGTTCTGTTAGTTGACGGCGTTTGGTTTTGTGGGGGAAGAGAATTGTTATTGGACGATGATGCACTACAGAGAGTGGGTCATGGTGCATAAAAGTCGTGGATACCATGTGCAGGAAAGCTGAGGGGTAATTCTTCGGATCTTTGCGAGGATATTCAATCAAACTCCATCCAGAAAACTTGAAATCTGGCAGCGGAGGTGACAGTGGACGTTGGGGACCGATCTTGGCAGATTTAAGCATATTTGTTAGGGCTGACATGCAATGATGGAAGTTGCCTCGGAACTTGACATCTGCTGAATCAGGCCCAAGCAACTTGAAAAAAGTTTAAGAGATACAAAGGAAAACAGGCGAACAATATCACACACCAAACAGCGGAGCCTGCGTATTGGGGTATTGGCGCGGCGATAGTAGTGGAGCTGGTGATGGAGGTTGTTGGTCTGGCCACTGGGGTGGAAGGGAATTTGTGTGTTGGCTGGAGCGAACGAAGTACGCAGGGTGCTGTGCTGAGGGAGGTAGAAAGGGTTCCATAGGGGGCCGAGATGACAATGCTGCTCACTCTGCTTTTGTGTACACACTGATAATGATTTACTGTATCCCACTCCTAGCGGTGAACAACCAGATGCCGCTCGCTACCCTCCTGTGTAGTTAAAATGACATCAATTTTCCATGGCTCCATGGGATTCCCAGAAAATGAACGATCCCTGGGGATGTGCAGAAATAGCTTGCTCGGATTCCACCATCACTTACAACACGACAGAGATGTTGGCGATGTCCTTTTTGGAGCCTAGGAGCGCATAATACCCCAGTCCCACGAAGCGAAGCCAAACAGCTCACCGAGAAGAACGTTTTGCTCACGCGAAATATCAGTGGCCAAGATGAGCCACGCCATAACGAAGGTAAACGCTCTTTCGCACACCAATACTGGCGGTGTTATTGGAAGCTCAGGCTTGAGTTGCAGGTCGGTTGGCAACTTCAGCGGCCAATACTGAAAAGATACCACGAGGCGTGAACCGGGATTGGGCACTACGCGGAGGAGGGTGGGAAGGGCTGACAGCGGAACCGGGAATGCAGACTGATGTGCGAAAGGACTGTAGATCGATGTCCTGACTCGGTATTCTGGAAATGGAATTAAGAGCCGCACGCGAGAAGTATTAAACCCTCTCCATCTTTCCTCTCTCTCCGCCGAGATCTCCCAATAATCCATTTCCTCTTCTAATTAATGGTATTGTTCTTCCATCTGATAAATGGCCAACGGCGAACGGTGAACATATGCCCTCCGTAGAACCATTGTAATTAGTGGATCGTGAAGTAGTCTTAATCGATCAGGCCTGTGTATAGCTAGATGCCAAATGCTCAAATGATATGTTAACGTCGGTAAGGCTCACGGTCTGGGTTGAAAGTACCAGGACTGGATGGGACTTGTGTTCCTCATGGAATATAAAAAAGTTCCATTACGTCCAAAAAGTTATGGTGGTGCACTTCGCCACACACTTAACCCTGTCGAATGCAAAAGCATGAAATTCGTACATTATAGTTACATATGAGTGCACTAGCAAAGCTAACAGAGCCAATACCAAGTGTTATCTTCGCAGAAGAAATAAAGGACCACGAGTGAGTGGCCATTAACGGATTGCGGGAAAGCGAAATGGGGGTAACACGCTATGCGTCTACACTAGGTATCGTTTTGAAGGCGCTGAGTGTAGGTAGGGGAAGAGATGAGTATAATGTCCAAAAAGAGGTATGTAGAAATAGGCCGTGATGTTTTCCATGTCTGGTCTTATAGAAAGACAAATTAACCGCCTATTTTATCCAAACTGATTGTTATCATGTTTGTGGTCCTCGGTTTCAGATTCCATACTCGTGTCGTCAGTTAAATCTTTCTCGACTGCCGACCACTGATTTGATTCGTGCATGCTATCGTCGCCTTCGGTGAACACTGCAGGTGTACTTTCAATGTGGGCTGTGACTTCGGGTTTATCGTCTGGAATGTCTGCAAATCCCACATTTTTCCCAGTCGTTGAATGTGGCGGCATTGCCTCCTCGAGAACATCACCGCTCCAGGGTTTGCACTGCTTAACAAGGTCCCCGCATCGGAGACAAATCCAACCTTCTCCCTCCTCCGCTTCAAGTTTCTCGGCGATGCAGACAAAGCAATATATGCATCCGCATGGCATAGTCTCATAGGGATTTACAACATCAGTCTGTGCAGAGCCTATTATCCCTCCTAAAGCTCCAGATGCACCTAGCACCTCATTTTCGGAGGTGGCTGTTGGATTCTTCTCCTGATAACAAATCGGGCAGGTCCTTTCAGGCAGAAAAGCCAAATCTCCTTTGCTTTTAGCCTGCACCGCCACTTCGTCAGCTGCTTTTAGCGACGATATTGTTCTCCTCCAAGCCCGGGAGACCCAGCGTCGCCATCGTCCGATACCGACAAGAGGAAGTAAGAATAACAAAAATTCGGTAAACGCGTGCCACACGAGTTGTCTATTCAAATACTCAAATGATACTTCGCGGCTGACTTGGGTAGATGGAGGTGCGAGGCGCATACGCAGGATGCGATCAATTAGCGTTCTATATCGTCCGTTGGTGAGAAAAACAAGAAATGAAATGAAGCCAGCGATGGAGTGTGTGGTTGAAATGACATTTGTAACTCGAGACAACAATCGTACTTGTGAGGGTGGCTATTTTGCATATCAGAAATTGGTCTAATGAGCTGCAATGATCTGGAATGCTTTTAAACAAACCTCATCATATCCGCCTTCCTGGTCAATCAACCAGCTCTCCCATTTATCCCACGCATAACGACCCCCGACTGTGAAGAGGCCATACAATGATTTTTGCCATTTTGTCGGATCGGAGAGGGTAGGACTCTTTTTTCGACTATCGGTATATTTGAGGTTTTGTAGAGCGGCGCCGTACGACGCATTGTGATCCCACACGGAGAGTTTAAAGAGGATTGCCCGCAATGCAAATTGTATCTCGTGCGTCCAATCCTCCTTTATGTGGTTCTATGGAGGGAGAATAAAAGGATAAGTCGCCAGCACGCACACAATAAAAAGGGGCTCTTATACAATAAAGGCAAAGGGGTTTCATGTCTTACTCCAAAATACTTCAATCCTTCCCCAACTTGCCCTTTCAAGAGCGCGAGGAGCTCCTCATCCAACAACTCCGCGTCTACCTGTCCCACCCTAAACGCGGGTCCCGTGCCTTCTCTCCCCTTTATTGTATCCCATAGCAGAATTCCAGCATCGGAGGCTCTTGAGAGCGGGTAAGGAAGTTTCCCAATAGCTGCAGGAAGACGAGCGACAGGCTCGGATATTTGACTGCGCGCCTCGGCTTCACGGAGACGCCGACGTTCTAAAATGCGCTCTTGCGCTGCCGCAAAATCTGTCGGAGTCATCGCGGGATCATTCCCGATATTTCTATAGGGTATTCGATACTCCGTCGCAGGATAGGAGTGGTTCAAGTGTTTTGAGGTGACCGAGACTACGGATTACGCCTCGGCTAAACTGATTCTTTGCCAAGACAAAAGAAGGACCTGATGAAATCTTGATCTAACGTCCTGTGATATCATATATTATCAACTTCTTTAAATCCTGCTGCCCGGACGGGCCTCAGCAGCCAGAAAAATGGCACTTCTGCGCTGATTTTGGCAGTTGCGAGCCCCGTGGTGCTCAGGTGGAGCATGCACCCTTTTCCATAGCCTCTTGTCGCCTCACGGAGAGCTCATTGACAAAGCTCAAGCCTTTCTTATGTGACATGTTCGACCGTCGTCCAGCGGCTCACAGCTTTTTGGATCTCCTTCAGAGTAAAGGAATAACATGAAACTTACGCAGTATAAATTACAAGATTTCAGCCCAGTATCAACACTTTTCGAATTCATAAATGAATGAATTGTTTCCCCAGCGCCTTGCTCAGGATCCCAAGATACAGCCTTTTGTGATTCTGGGCAACTTATTCCTCTGAAAAGCTCAACAGGGTAACCCAGGCTCTACATGCGCATGGAGGCATCACAAACAATCATGCAATCTAGGAAATACCCAGTACAAATCGGAGCAGGGATAACGGTAACGTCAATTCGCTCAGCCGGTTTGTGCAATGTAGAGTACTAGGGTGACTGTGGAAGCTATGTATATGTGTGTCCGGTGCTGTGTCCGGCGACGCAGTATTCTGTACCAGACATCGCCTAAGCGCCCTGTCCACATAGTTAACCAACAAATATTACATGGAACGGTTGACTCTCGGCAGCCTCAACTTTGATCTCCAAGTAATGCATAAGGCAACCACGGGGATCTTTGATGCCTAAAATGAGCCGGTGGTTGTTTCACATGACCAAACTTCATTGCAAGGTGTACAGAGGCCTCAAGTATACCATTTGGCTAATTACCCAAGATCCGCCTATCGCTGCTAGACATGAAAAGGGTTCCCCCTGCTACAAGTTCTATGATATTTCCCTTCTCCTCCTGCGCATTCGCCTGTCGACGACAAGCTCTCGTTTTACTATCGCGGCTATACCTCTGCTGTCCTCACCAGATTTTCAACGAGGCTGAACTCACCCGAAACTATCGAAGGTACGCCCATTTAGCTAATGTTATCGGCTGATTACAGCCAGTCTTTTCTTAGAAGTTCTTGTTTGACCTCTCCTGCCCCTGTGCTGTTGGCCGAGGAACCTATTTTAATAAAGGAGAGAAAGAAACTAGAGAAGAAAATGGCCGAGCTCTTTATCGCCATCTCTCAACCTCGGAACCAGACTCTGGGAACCTATCACTGGGCTTTGTATCTCCAGATCAGCTCAACGGAGCACGCCGTATTTCAAATCGTCGGTGATCCGTGCAACTTCAAATACGATGAGTCCTCTGCTGCTCCTCAAAACAGTATCCACCATATAGAGAACATCCGAGTCGCGGAGATTGACCATGTTGACCACTTTCGCCAAGTAGTCAAGGACCAAAAGATCGAGAATGAAATGTACAACTGGGGTTGCCAGCAGTGGGTCCTGGATGTATTGGAGGCCTTGGTTGAAGATGATCTTCTTACGGACTATGACCATGATGAGGCGAAGCTCAAGCTGGTCCCTCTGTTTGGAGTCCAGATTGAGGATAAGTATGAGGTCTAGACAGCCAGCGTTGCGCCTCTTCAGGAATCTGGGAAGACGCAACGAGAACTCTTGATCTGACTGAATGTTTTCAAACAAATATGAGAGGAGGATCTGAATGAGAAGTATCTCTGGAAACATGAAGGGTTAAGGGGTAATTGTATGCCAGCGTTTAAGAACCGAGCAGGTTGGGTGTCATAAAAGTTAAGGTCTTTTTAGGTCCAGTAGTAAATATGATGTCCAATTACACCACACAATTGTCTATCAAGCAATCAATAGCATATTCTTCAAAGTACTTTCCCATCCCCTTTAGAGGCAGGAAGAAAGGCCAGTCGCCCAAGCGTATTGGGCGAACAGTGTTAAGTGACTTGGCAAACTCCCAGTACTCTGGATACGCACCGCCAACCTCCCAGTCTATCAGGCCAGTTATCCGAATCCCTCCTCTTTCCTCGTCATTAATAGCCAGGATATTGCGGGGGTGTAGGTCACCGTGAGTAAGGACAATACGGTGATCTTCGCGGAGCATGAGTCTGACAAACTCAACATATGGTTCCATGGTAGGTCGACTATTACCAGAAAGAAGGAATTCGTTGAACTGCGTTTCACTCTCCATTGACTCAGGACTCTTGCGCATCCACATTCTGCAGTCGATGCACTGAGGGGGATTGCCGCCACCGAGATATTTAGATGGTAACGGAAGCAACCGGAGATTCTCCAAGATGGCATCCAGTTGATCCCGGACAGAGCATTTATCAGTATTTGATAGGTCTGGCCAGAGTTTGTCAAGAGGGTGACCGTCAATGAGGCTCATGAATGCATAGACTTTTCCGCCAAGAGCAAGTATGCCAAGAGGCTGGGGAACTGGAATGTCCTCAGAATGCTTTCGGATGTGGGCAGTCATGTTTGCGTCAATTAACGATATATTAGGTCCAAACTTGACAACGATCCGTTCATCAAGTTGGACCACTGCGCGCGCAAAGTGACTCCAAAGCACTTTCCCGCTCTTCAAGGCGCCGGATAAGGCGGAGCGGATGTCATGGCCAGTTAGCTTGCACCCCTGGTAAGAGTACTGCTGCAAAAGTGCGGTGACTTCAGGCGCAAGTGATTGTAGGATCTCCGGTTGACCTTGTGGAATTGATAACATATCTTCAAAGTGGAGTGGTTTCTGAGGAGTGTTTCCGCGACCTTCAAATTGGGTTGGTTTCTGGGTATGCGCTTGCAACAGAAAGAATCACAAAATCTTACATTCTTGGCTCCTGAGACTTCGCGTCTGCAACAGTCTGCGCCGCTTTAAAGGATAGATGTGTCCCCACCTTGTAAGCAGTGTGCTGAGATCCGCCCACAGGACGGTTTTCCGAAGCTCGCATTGGAGATCGGCCATTGCAGATTCGTTCAGGGCCACCAGAGCCTTCCGAATATCCCCATCATCGTCACTATCCGTCTTGTCGTTGTGTGGGGCGGTCTCTGATCCAGGTTTGGACTCGGATTGGCATTGAGTCGCGTCTGACGCCCTGAGTTCACGGGTGCTTAGCGCGAGAAGAGACACGAAGACGCTTGCGCCGAGCACGAAGGTCAGGCCTGTTGTCCAATTCAGATACCTGACGGGCATGTTTTCCGGGAACGTATTGCACGTAGTACGTCGGGTTCGAGCTGCTTGCTTAATAACAAGCCCGTCATGAGTGGAGATGAAATACAGTAATAATCGTCCTAAAGTTGTTCCGAGCCGTGTATAAAGCAAAGAAAGTGTGCCCATGCAAATAGCAGCACACTACACCTATACTCCTATCGTGCTCACTCCAAACGCTGTGAGAACTCTGGTGACGGTTATTTACATGTAACCATGCAGAGTATGCACTAAATCTGTAAAAGAAGTAGACAATCTTGGCTGTGTGTAATTAGCTGGAATCTGTTGTAATTTATCCATCCCATGACGAAAAGAGCCCGAATTTTGCTTGAAGAACTAATTGGCTTGAAATACGACAATATAACTAACAGTATTATCACGACAACGGAGAATGCAATATATACATATATCTTAGCTATAACCTTTGCGAGTTACAGCATTTGTTGCAGATATTGGTACCGAGTATCTTGAAAAGTGAAGTACGACCAACTTGGTTGGGTCCAAGCTCCCCACGCTAAAACTGCTGTCATTTATTTAAGTTAGTGGTGCCATTTTCAAGATGGAGGGGTGCGTCTGATAGCCTTCATCAACAATCTTCAGGGCGCTTCTCCTTAGAAAGCTCCCTCGAGTTTAGAACTGCGTACAGCTCCATTCTTCCTCTGCTATCCATGGCTTTACTAGTGGAATTGCCGGGAGAGGCGAATCCCCTTACCAGTCAAAATGTTTACAACGCCTTAGTTCTCGCCTCGGGGTCTTCGCAACAGCAGGTCATCACGGGTGGGGAGCAGCTTAAGAACTGGGAGAAACAAGCAAATTACTTCTCATTGCTACAGGTATGATTCTTAGCCATACTCATTCGTCGTTTTTATGCAAGAATTAACTATGCGATTGCAGGACGTCTTCGTTGATACCTCTCTCCCAAACGAAGTCCGATATATGTCGATCATTCAGCTTAAAAATGGCGTTGATAGATATTGGAGGAAGACAGCGTCTAAGTATGCCGAAGAATTTGCATGGTACTACTAAGGGATATATACTAATTCTCAACAACCAAAGCGCCATCAAGCCGGAGGAGAAAGTGCGGATCAGATCAAGAGCCCTTGAATCTGGAGCCGTTGAGCCTGATGCCAAACTTGCTCTTCACAATGCACTGCTGCTCGCGAAGATAGTGCGTGTAGAATTCCCAGTAGAATGGTAGGATGAACGCCCATTAATTTCCCCCGTGGTCTGGTTGCTAATTCTCTTGTTTTTGCTTAGGCCTGACGCGATTACGTCTGTAATTACATTGCTTCGCGCATCCTTCCAGCCCGGCAGCAACCCATTACAGCTCCCTCGTACTCTCCTCATTCTTCTGCACATAATTAAAGAACTTGCCACGGGTAAATTACAAGGAATTAAAAGGAATTTATTTGCTGTTGCCCCGGAGATATTTCACACTCTTGCGAGCATATATGTTGAGAAAGTCAATCAATGGGGTACCTTCCTAGAAGCTGGTGGGGATGACGAACGGGGGGCTTTGGACTCTCTCGATGAAAGTCTCATAGCTCTGAAAACTATACGCCGATTGATAATTGCAGGCTTCGAGCATCCTAACAGAGACATCGATGTTCAGCAATTTTGGGCCCTATCCCTTACTCATGTGGGTATTTTAGAACGAAAACCTTCTGGGCTCGCACCAAATGTCACCAGACTACTTGAAAGACATGTAATACAAATATCCAAGCTTCATCTTGAAATGGCCAAGGCTCATCCCGCAGCATTCGCCTTATTTCCCGGTTGCGTTGACCTTGTTCGGTCATATTGGGGACTTGTACTTGAGCTTTCAAAGTTGTGCGACCCAAATGACATGTCTCGAGCCACGATTGGAGCTGGCGGTGACGTTGATGGCGATGAAACCCTTTTCCTGGAAAAGATTGCTCTGAAGGGGCTCCTTATCTTACGGACATGTATCAAAATGGCATTTTATCCTGCGCACAGCTTCAAGTATCAACATGCCCAGGATAAAGAAGAAAAGAGTCAATCTATTGAATTGATCAAGTCTCAGCTACTGACTCACGACTTCGTAGCGCAGGTCATGGAACTAGTTATAACGCGGTTCTTTGTCATTCATGCAAGTGACCTTCAACAATGGGAGGAAGATCCCGAAGAGTGGGAGAAGCGCGAGGAAGAGATTGCAGATGCATACGACTTCTCCATCCGTGCTTGCTCCGAAAAAGTATATCTTGATCTCCTCATCCACTTCAAGGAACTTCTTGTCCCCAAGCTACTACAAGTGTTCTATTCCTATGCCAGTGAGTCTATCCACCTCTTGGGCTCAAAATGTAACATTTTCTTATCGTCTTCTAGACCCCCAGAATCAAGAAGTTTTCTTGAAAGATTCTCTTTATTCCGCTATCGGCCTTGGTGCTGCAATATTGGAGAAGGAGATTGATTTTAATGCATTTTTATCATCAACCCTTATCCCAGAGGTCCAAATTCAACAGCCAGGGTATAATATACTTAGACGAAGAATAGCAATACTGCTCGGCCAATGGGTGCCCGTGAAATCCGACGAATTAGATGTGTCGTCGATTTACCAAATTTTTCAACATTTACTGAACAAAAACGATCCTACTAATGACCAAGTTGTTCGCGTAACTGCTGGTCGCCAATTGAAAAATGTCTTAGAGCCATTTGAATTCAGCGTTGACCGGTTCTTGCCCTATGCGACTACCACACTTCAGAGCCTCATGGACCTAATTAGCGAAGTAAGTCTATCGGAGACGAAAATGGCACTTCTTGGGACGGTTCGCGTTGCTATAGTGAAAATGGAAGACCAGGTACGCAGCGTTTCAACATTGTCCACAACCTAAAGATGCTAATCCATAACTAGATTGCGCCATATGCGGACCAGATTGTCTCCCTATTACCACCATTGTGGGAACAATCAAACGAAGAAAATCTCATGAAGCAAGCGATCCTCACTTTGCTTTCTTCCTTAATTCATTCCATGAAACAAGAGTCCATCCGATACCATCCGATAATTATTCCTCTCATCCAAAAATCCGTCGTTCCAGGATCGGTATGCATTCCCCTCTCATGTTTAGATCACCTACTAAATGGTCAATAGGAGGCATTAGTTTATCTGTTAGAGGAAGCCCTGGACCTCTGGTCTGCCGTCCTCATGCAAGCTCCATCTCCAGCCTCGCCTGAACTTCTCCAGCTTTTACCGTCTCTCTTTCCTGTTTTCGACATTGGCACCGAAAGTATCCGTCAAGCTCTAGAAGTCACCGAATCCTATATTCTGCTTGCTCCTCAGGAAATTCTCAACGATCATATCCGTTTCCAGTTACTCGTCTCATTGGAGGCCCTCGTTAATGCGACTACACGACAGCGTATTGGAGTGGTTCCACGTCTTGCCGAACTACTAATCCGAGCAGTAGAGTTTGTCGATCCTGGAAACGAACAAGCTTATTCGATCGTCGCCAAATCTCTTCTAGACTCTTCATTCCTTCTCACACTTCTTTCCGGTCTCCGTGAAACCTACGAAGCCCACCTCACTACCGGACCAAATAAAAGGTACCCTGACGTCCAGGGCGTTGTGGAAACAGACTATTTCTCTGTCCTTGCGAGGATTGCCCTATCTAGCCCCAAAATATTCCTGACATCCGTTGTATCTGCTATGGGCCATTCGTCCGAAGAAGAATCTGTCAACTGGATATTAACAGAGTGGTTTTCTCATTTTGATAACGTGGGTGACATTAATCGCAAGAAGCTACACGGGTTGGCGTTAACGCACCTCCTCTCCATCAACGGCCCGTCGACACCACCCCCAGGCTACCTTCTTAACCATCTACAGTCTTATCTTGTCGTGTGGACCGATCTCATCAGAGAACTAGCTGAGGGTACCGATTATGATCCTAGTGATCCCCGGGGTGGCGACTATCTCATTGTCTGGAACACAAACGCGGCAGGAGGTGAAACCGATGGGAAATATCATAACAACGAGCCACCAGAAACCACCCGTCGACGTGCCTGGAGTAATGCGGACCCCGTGCACAAGATCAATTTCCGCCATTTCGTCACAGAGAATCTGCGGGGAGTTGTTGGCGCGTGCGGTGGGATTGTTAAGTTCAGAGATGAGTGGTTGATCAATGTTGATCAGGATGTTGTAAATGGCTTTGGGGAGTTGGGGGTGTTGTAGATGGGGGAAGTGGAAAGTGGAATCAATGATACCCAAACCCCGTTGCTTTCTGAAAGGACGTATTGGCATATTTCTAGTCTGTCATTTTTTTTTATGGCCTTCGGTTTTCTTAAGTTTCAACCCATAGCTGCCAGCCCGTTGAGAAACCGGGTCATCGCCATCGCTGGGAAAAATCATTCGGGTTGCTGTTCTGCTAAAAATTAGGGGAAATAGAAATGCACTCAGTCCCGCGTAAATTATACCCAGTGGAATACACAGCCTTCTGTGTAGTTATGTTGTAAGGTTGTATGTGACCAGAAATTTGGCGAAATGTCATCAAATTGGAGGATGCGGCCTTGTATGTCGAAACAACGACGTCCATCTCCATACATTCCGTACACGGACGGCAAGTACTAATAATATCAATCACTTCTATTAATCTTGTTTGGTGTATTAAAAATTAAATTACGAGTGTAAATGGCCCTTCACCATATCGTACCCCAAGCTCTAGAGTCCCGTCACTTGCAACCACCATACCTTCTATCCGTAAACGGCTGCGGGAACAAGCCCGCCGATAAAAGGTCCCGCATATCCCACCCAGGCGATCCTTCCGTCTTCCACGTCCAGAAGAACCACCCCGCACCCAACCCATAAGCATCCAGCTGAGCCTCAATAAACCGCCGGATTCCCACTTTCTGCTGATCAGGTAGCTGCTTCACCGAGCCAAAGTACCTCCCGCCACAGGCACCCGAGCGCTTGCCGTTAGGAAATGATTTATCAAACCGCGCACCCTTGTCCCTACCATTGAGATACTTGGCGCAATCTGTCATGGCAGCACTCCACTCTCCAACAAAAGTCTTTTTATCCGTTTTCGCAACCTGTTCACGCCCATACGAACACGCGAGGTTGACATGCTGGTCTACGCTAAAGCTTGTGAACGCATTATCGAAGACTTGGTAGTGGTGGGCATCGAGGAAGACATTATGAAAGTTTTCGGACGGGAGCATGAAACCGTTCCACGAACGGAGATCCTGGAATGCGTCGGATATTGCAACGCCGACATTGGGGTTTATGTCCCGCACGACCTTATAGCCTTTGTGATAGAATTGCTTGACCTCGTCGAGCGGCACACCACCGGGCACGAAGGGCTCATTGAGAATCTCAATAGAGTCTACGACGTCGGTTTGGTCGGCGTAACGCTCTGCGAGTGCTCGAAGGGCATTCAAGGTTTGGGCCACCGTATTGCCTTTAGGCCAATTGATGGAACCGCGACGACCGCTGTTGTCGAAGCCGTTTTGGGAGCCGGGAGCTAGGCCGTAATAGTGGGTCAGCCGCTTGGAGATGACCTTCATCCATATTTCGGGGGTAAATTTGAATAAATAACTAACCACCATGAAGGTCAATCGCAACTTTGAGGTTTGATTGTCTGGCCCATCTAATCGCCTTATCTAAATAACTGACTTGACCTTGGACATAGGGCTCTCCCTTCAGCGGAGCTACCGCCCAGTAGCCGATGGGGATTCTAACATGAGTTAAGCCGGCAGCAGCAATCTGCTTAAAATCATCTGCAGTGATCCACGAGTTCCAATGTTCTGATAGTCGTGATCTGGCATTGCCGGCGAGAATTTGGCTTAAGGTGTACTCATCCACTGCCCGATCTCCTGCTTTTTCGAAAACAGAGGGCGTTATCCACGGCTCAAGTACCAGCCACCCGCCGAGATTCACACCACGGATCGATGACTTATGTGTACTTTGGCGAGGTACAACGTGGGTCGCTGCAGATGCTATGGAAACCCATGTGAGAGATAAGCAAACGAAGGCCAGCTTGAGGGACTTGAGTGGCGCCATACTCTATCACCCTCAGAAACAACTTCAAAATCTATAGTCATAGAGGACAAGACGCGGAGGGAAAGCGGATATTCGTATAGATTTATACTATTGTGACACATCCTCGCACGGTGCATGTAGAACACAGGGTCATACTTACCAACAATGAGTCTAGGAAAGCCCAACGCAAAAACAGGAAATTGATAGACATCTGCGACAAGGAAGGAACAATCTCACAAGCAACTGACTCCCAGCGATTCAATGCTGGCGTCGTCGATCGACTGAAGTCATGATGGTTGGTAAGCTGAATTGACCAACAGCGACGAATGGATTTCCCGCACCCCCACAATTCAACGAAGGAGTTAGTATTTCAGCACCAAGAGGCCAAAGTGAGGCAGGCGCCCAATTGGTTCATTCCTTGCCCAATCTGTGCATCTGTGCATCCATGCCTCAGGTCGGGATCCATTTCGCCAATTTTTCAATAATCTCGCCATAAGGGCGTCACACAGTAAATGCTAGCAGTGAAAAACTTCAACTACTGGACGCCACAGTGTGATGCATTCGTTGCAGACAGAAACATTGACACCCACGGGTCAAGGCTGAATGATGGACATTTCTCGGCTGCAAAGCCAGAGCCAAAGCTGGGAAACATGGAAAGTGGTAATGGTCGAATATGATTGCAGAGCAAAGCGCAACATCATGAAAAGATGCGGAGAAATTCGATGTCGGGAGAGGATCCACTCCTAGCTTAACAGGGACAAACTTTTAGGCTAAAACTAGGGGCAAGAATAAGAATCCTGTGGGGATCTTGACAAATATAGGCCAAAATTTTGAGCATTCAAATATTTTGTGCTCAAGGAATTTTTGGAGCCATTGTCAATTTATTATTCCTGTATGGAGTAGTGTTAGCAATATGATAAAGTGTATGCTACAACCTCACGGGACTTATGAGCATCTCTGGGTGACTTCAGGTACCACTGGCAGCTGGCATCATCAGGGGCTCTACCTGTGCTCACGACTTCCTGAGCAAGGTTAAGTTTTTTCCCCTATATCAGGGCCACAATGTATGGCTGAACTTTGTCATAGTCTGGCCTGAAGTGTGTTGGTGTGTAACTTATTTGCACTAAAAACCCGCCTGAAAGCTCTCCGTTTGCACTGTCCTGTATATATAAACTTGGCAGATCTTGCTCGATTGTGGAATGTTTTGGGGAAAAAGCCAATATTTTGCTGAACAGACAAAAATATGACATATTGACTCAGTGCTGCTTGACTTCGGTGAGAAACTTGCAATTGGTTGTGTGGATAGACTCTGGTTTAAATATAGAATGTGATTTTGAACAAAATGTGGAGCCCAAAACAAACATCCAATGATCAAGTCACCGGCGAATTTCACAACTATCGCAAAAACCTGGCGACTTTACGATTCAGACTTCCACCCCCATCCTCGTTGAAGAAATAGAAACCTCCTTTCGGTTGCCGTATCCAAGGCGAAAATAGTAGCACTGCTGAAATCCCAAACAGGAATCACATGCATCTCATTGTCCTTGCAGATATAGCTTCGGGATCTATCAAGCTGCATTGTTACTCCGACGAAGTGCATGGGTTTTGGGTGAGATTTCTTTTTTTGGAATCCCCTTCTATTTATTCAATCAACTTTTATCTTAGCACCCCCACACTTTTCGGCCTCCATTTTCTCATTGCGATTTGTTTTTCTTCTCCCCGTACTTGATCGTAGGGCTGTGTGTGTAAATATATTCGGTGATCATAAATCAACCCATGAAGGGAAGTGGTGAGCCGACAGGCTGAGATAAAACTCCTTAACAACAAAATCCGTTGCATGGATGGATGTGTAGAGATGCACGGAGCATCCTGATCATTACCAGGTAATGTTTGTAAACCGATAAGCACATGCAGAGTTGCAGCTTTAATAGCTTAATAGCTTGCATTCTTTGTGAGGTATACCTCCCACATAGTTTTTAAGCATTGGAAGTATAGAAGCGCGTAATTTGAGTAACTAACAATATGATAGATATGTAGCTTAGTTCATAAGAGGCGACTCAATGCTGCATATCAGTTTACTAATTCAATAAAATGTATTTATAGAAAAAAGGAGCAGCAAAACAACCTTGCATCGCCTGTAAGGCATGTATGCAGATCATGATCTCCGCTGCTGATAATGCTTGAACAAGTGGGACAACAATCACTTCCTTTATTCTGACACTATTACCCCTCACCAAGAGAATTCCGAATCGACTAAGCAGGGAGATCAGCATGGAGCCTCCACGGCATACTGCATACTGCGTCGAGCATGTATCCGGTAGGGAACGAGGACAACATCCATGTTATCCACACTTAAACTCAACATTCTTTGTTCAATTCATGAGGTAGACGCCGCACATAGCACAGAGAAACTTGATAATCTGCGAGGCATTTGCTTCATGCCGCAATAAAGCCTACATTTAATTATCAAAATATTTCAAACAAATGAAATATGCTGTTCAAGCACACCATTATCATGGCTTGTCTTTCATCTTATTGGTGCTGCTGTGAGGATCCGGACACTGACTATATTTAGAAGGCTGTCACCGGCAGAGGCAATGTGGGTGGCCCCAATGCTGAATCCACCATCAATTGGAACTACGCACGTCATATATTCTCTTGTGATGGTTATGAATGGAAGTATAGAATCACGAGCTAATTGTAACTAAGAACCCCTACCGACGAGTAAAGCTCAGCTCGTTGTGATGGGACGCCTAAGTTGACAGCCAAGCTTGGACCATCAGGCCCCTTAGCCAACGCCAAAAGCTCTTGGTTGTCCGTGGCTCCTCAGCCAAACACGGCATGCATCATCCTTTAATCTCGAGCGAATCATCATCTCATTCTCTTCATGCAACTCGAGGTGCTCTCGACTCCAGAAAATCAGCTCTCTCAACGTCTGCAGTCAGGTTGAAAATATTCCAACAAATTACGGCGCCTTTAATTCAAAGCCTACTTCTACACGTTGGATACGGTCGCCAATCGGCTCTCGGCTATATTCTCTTCTTTCTCGGAGCAGCGAATTTGAGATGGCGATGATCCGTGATCCGTGAGAGAAGAGAACCGACCCTGGTGGCCAGAAAGCTCGTTGATCAAAAACTCATCTACTCCGTACAGAGCTGGCCAAAGCAACGAGCGCCAGCGAACGGTTCAAGGGGCAGTACCCACCTCGAGTCGTTCGCTCGTGTTCACCATGTTAGCTTTGCTGGAAAAATCTAGATTGTGTAGTGCTCTGAGCATCAGCGCTACTTCCACTGGAGGGAACCCTATTTGTCAAGCCATCAAGGGTAGCCCCAGCGAACAAAAAAATGCTTAATGAGCGTCTTCTTCATCTGCATTTGATTTTTATTACCACAATGCCATGCAGGTTACTAAAATACTTATTATTGGATGGTGGTAAACCGCTGTCTGAAGCCATGCGTCCCTTGGAAGTCTTGGGGGCAAAGAAGAAAGAAGAGGGAAGCGGAAAATGCGTTCGCGGAATATCAGGTTGTCTTACCCGTTTGATGAAATTGGGCAAATTCCCACCCAACCACCACCATGAAAAGCGCCAAAATGCGCAGCCGTGGCGCCATTTTCCCCGCCGCCGCTTCGAAGTATCCGGAATACGCAGAATTTATAATTACAGACTTTTTTGAGTTTTCTTTGTTCATTCACCTGCGATTGAGCAGAGTTGTTTTGAGGCTCAAGAAATCCATATGGAGTGGCGCCTCTCACTAAAACATAAGCTTGGAGAACATGCAATTTTGGGGGCGTGCAGAGGTTGCTCATCACGACTCGATTCAAGCGTTTGCAAAGAATAAAAATGATAAAAACCCTGAAACGCACCATTCATCAGCGACGCTTCCAGGATGGATGCCCATGTCCATCCTGGACACGACTGAAGACGGGCCATGATCATCATGAAATTTTTGATTTTAGTTAGATCACGACAATAATGGACCCTCACCATAATTGTTTTCTGGAGGCAGCCCTCATCGCCGACACACCGAGATTTTCGGGGAGACCACAGAGCGCTCTATAGGCTTTTCAACCTGTAGAACGACCTCCTAGAGTTGGATATCTCTCATAATGTGCAGCTTTCTGTGACGAATGATTTTTCTGGCATGAACTGCTCGACCCTTTCATGCAGCTTGGAAATGTGTGGATGTCGACTCTGGTTGTCCGCTGATTGGGCGCACACATACTCAAGGGCGTATTTTGCCTGAAATTACATTCCAAAGGTCCACACCACTGCGGCCGGTCGGGGAATTTAACTGGACAAGCCTCGAATAAGGGGCCGACCACCGTCCCTGTCCATCCTTGGCGTCGCTGTCGTCCAGCGGCCGAAGTCATGGAAACCTCCTCAGAGGAAAGGTTGCGCGTTGCCGGGGACAGCAGCAGCACCCATGCTGACTGGCTGAGAAGGCCTGTGAATCTGCCTAAAATCTGTCGCGAAAGCATGCAATTTCGGTTATGCGTGGGAGCTAGCTGCAATGCGCCTAGCGGCAGGCACGCTGCGGCGATGTTGTGCGCGCCATGTCCCAAAGCGGGCTAGCCGGCAGCTGTCAGGAGATAAGATGCTGGCAACGGCCCTGCTGGGGGTTGCAATGGGATCTTTATTTAGCCCGGGCTGTCATCCCACAGTGCTCACTTCTTCTTTTCTCCCTGTCCTTCTGTCTTTCTCCCTGTTCCTCTCCCTTGCTCACGCTGACCATTCCTTCGTTCATCGTCCTCTTCTCACCATTCTTTTCACTCCTTTTTAAGTCTCTCGCAGACTTCCTCTCGTTTTTTCTATATCCAGAGTCAAACTTCAGGCTCCAGTCACTCCTTACACACGAAAAAACAGTTCTACTTTCTTGTCCCAGGGCCCATTGTTTTTTGATACCCCCTCAATTTTATAAGTGTATCTTAGCGAGATACCTCATTTTAACAACCCTTCGAAACGAACATCGCAGATATGAAGTTCATCGCCACTGTTGCGGTTGCGTTCGCGGCTCTCGCAGCTGCTTCCACCAAGCCTGACTACTCCCAACTCCCGACTGGCAATCCCATTGCTCTGCCAGGCTTGAACGATATTGTGCCCGTTGGTCAGCCATACACCATCAAATGGCAACCTACTACTGATGGGGAGGTTTCACTCATTCTCCTGCGCGGCCCCAGTACCAACGTTAAGCCAATCGGCACTATCGCTGACTCTATTGCAAACACTGGTTCTTATCAATGGACACCCTCTACCGACCTCGAAGGCGACGTCACGCACTATGGCTTGATGATTGTCGTCGAGGGAACGGGCCAGTATCAATACTCTACTCAATTCGGCATTAAGAACGATCACGCATCACCCTCTGTTACAGACGGTACCGTTCCCTATCCCGTGACCACCACCAGCACCCGTACTTTAGTTCCTATCTCGACCGGCACTATTACCATTTGCCCCCCAACTAAGACTCCAACCCCTACTCCATCAGGGCCGGTTCCTTCCGGTTACCCAACCGGCATCCCAAGCCCATCGCCAAGCCCACCACCATTCCAAGAGGGTGCTGCAGGCCGTAACGGTGTCGCCATTGGCGGCATCGTCTTTGTCGCTGCTCTTGCCATTTTCGCCTTCTAATAAGTATTCGCATGACGCAGGGCGTTGGAGTAATGGAGAGGGAAAAGAGAATAATAGCAAGCAGAAAAGAGTTTTGGAGGGGCTTATGAAATTTTTTCTTAGTTTGGAAAGAGAGCGGATGGGAATGTTTTCTAATATCTATCTTCTCATTAAAGGTCATGGGATCATGAAATAGCAAGCAAGCTGGGATACGAAATAGCGAAATCGGGAAGGATTGTCTCTTGTTCAATTTATCGTCGTGTTTTATCTCATTTACTTTTGAAAATATCATGTACTGTAACTGCAGCAGACGGGGCGTCCCTTTGACAATATTTCTTTTTCGAAGCGAGATCTTGACCCAGCCTTTCCGGATCGAAACCATTCCAAACTGATGAACGATTTCAAAGTCGTTCCATTTTTCTTCCCTACTTTGATGCTTCCTTTTTACTTTCTAATCCTCTCCCCATTTCTCATTCTTCAACAATTTCTTTAATTTTCTTTAATTTTCTTTTATTTTCATTTATTTTCAGCTTTATTCACTTTTTTTCGCATAATTGTCTCTTTACTTCTCTGGTGGGATCAGAACTGATTCTCACAACTTTCTTTCATGTTTGCTTGAAGGTTCTCAGGGTGCTTCTGTCAGACTCGCTACCTCCGTGCCACGTTGAAGATAGCTGGGTAGAGGTCCACAGAAGCTCCATGTAACTTTTCCTTTCAATCAACCATCTCCTATTGCTTCTTATTCTTGTTTTGAATCGGCCACGGCCTTTCTGTGATTCTGACTGGGATGCAGCCTAATTAGCCCATGCTTATTTGAGCAACAAATTGGCTGTACTTGGCGGTTTTATCGCTCGTCTACCCCTGATCAGCATCCTCCATGATTTGAAAACCGTCACTGGCAGTTCAACCTCTTGATTTGTTTCATCGCAGGGCAAATTAAGGATACCTCTGGTTTTGAGAGCTGCACTGACCCGTCGAGACTCCTCCCTCTGATCCCGCGCTTCGCTCTGCCAAATGGAAAGAGATTCGAACCTTTATCATACCCCGACACACCCCTATTGACGAAGACACTCGGATTCAACAAACACTAAAAGAGAACATTCTACGCATCTCCGCAGGCATCTATTCTCCTCCGCCAACTCCTTGAAAAATTTGAACTCCCGCAATTTGCGGGCCGCCCAGGATCAGGGGAGATCCTCTTCTTTGACAATCCTTTCAGAGATTCAACGGACCGAACGCCTGTGATTGGGTTAACCGTTATAAGTGTGGATACTAGCTTTCCGCCTGGAATGGAAGCCTCGTTGGTCAGCTCATGAGGGCTATCTTTGACCTCAAGAGCTTGCTCGGTTCTCACCTTCGATAGCCCACCCACTTCATCATAATGATGTCCAAATTCCAGCGAATTCAGAGAAAGTCACAGGCCCATTGAGAGGGGAATAATCACCAGTCTCTCAAGGGTAAAGGTTTCCGACGCTTCTCTGGCGCGGGATCCGTTAAACAAATGACCGATTCACTGCCTGGTTTGATTGTGATGATTTTCGCGGCTCAATTTCTTCAAGGATTTGATGGAGTATTTCGGCCGGATAAGGTGCTCATTTCTCGAATGAAGTTTTCTGTTTTGAGAGCTAGTTGCCAGTTCCCGGTGGAACGACGGCTAGGAAGGTTGTTTTGGATGAACTCCCGGTGACTTCTCTGGGGGCTGATCACCTCTGTACTGCCACATGAGTAATAAGGAGGTAGAAAGTTATGTCTAAACTGCAATTTAACATATTCTCAATCACCCTCATACTTTTTAATAGCTTATTTCCAATGCTTCTGATTTTTTTTTTTTTTTCATTTATTTATTTATTTCCCTCAACTATGTACTGCGTATGCGAGCAGCGTGCTTAGGATTTTTCTTTTCTTTTCTTTTCTTTTCTTTTTTCGTAATCCATAAGTGTGCCTCTTCGGGAAAAGGGTTTCCATACATCACGCAATCTCCAACACATCCCATATACTCCGCGAATATTTATTGGGGATATCCTCTTATAGAAGTACTCCGTATAAGAGAGAGTATTCATTGTACTGACTTCCGGAATTGAAGAACAATTACATGGATTGGAAGGGCATCATACGCTCATTGACAGGATCCATTCATCTTTACTGAATACGAGAGATCATTGTGCAGAGAAGTGGCCAATTTAACTAATCTTTCAATCACATTCGTCTCATCAAATGCCGAGAAAGGTATATTACTCTCCCTCAATGCTCATTGCGTTTGATTTAATTTTCTTTTTCTGTTGAGGACGCAAGCTTCTTCAGGGGTCAAGTATCTATGAAAGCTTGTTGTGAGACATAAATCTCTTTCCCAGATATGCCGCTAACTCCTGGAAGTTGGAGCCAATCTAGAAGCGGGCCAGCTAATTTCAAGCAAACGTTCGGTCCCACATCCAATAATACGATCCCCACAGTTCCAAACTTCTAGCTAAATTATCAAAATAAAGTTCATTTTCAAGGTGTTCTCTCAGCTAAAAGCAATGATTTTGAGCCTCAGGGTTGAAAAACAAAATGCTTGTTTTTTGGTTTCTAATTGTTCCCCCCCCTATTCAGATTCTTTTAACGGTCTTCTAGATTGCATTAAAAATTCATTGATACTTCTCTGTTTGTAAAGCTTGATTGAAAGAGCGGACTGACAAAAAATTTCCCCCTTGGACAGCAGCAACTGTACGGAGTCGGAGTTCTCCGTTAAATGATCAGGCACTAGCCAGGCATTTAAAATATACGCTGCTGACCAACCTTGGCCAAGAAGACCATAAGATGGTGTTGAGGGGTTTGGATTGGTTCGTCCCCTCTACTCCCAGCATGGCGCTGGTGTGGGAGAGCTCTTTTGTCCCAGTGGCCGAACAGATGGCGCCTACCGTTACAGCAACCTACGTTGCAGACCATTCACCCAGCATTGTGGTACTAAATGTTACATCCATCTCATAAATAGGAGCAAGAGTCATAGCATTTAAGGACAATTTTCTAGACATATCAAGCACCGTCCTCTCAATTTTACCATACACAGTAAAAGAATCAGATATGGAGCAGTTCAACGAATTTGCACAGAATCAGGTCTAACAATTTAAAGAGTCGGAAGCGACATTTGTTGATGATCCACTTTGATATTATTGTTATTACTATTATCAATTGCTGCTATCTAGCTAGTTAACTTATTTACTTTCGGTGTTCTGTAAACAAAAGAGGCGAATGTGGGTCGTGTGTTCGTTAAACTAAACAACACCCCAGGTGCCAACATCGTTGAAGTTCTCAAGATGTACTGTACATTAGTTACCGCATAAAAACAGCAGCTAGATCGCTGCAAAGTACAGAGCAGCAAGAATCAATAACAATATGATTATGATATCAATCTTCAACAAACTTCTTGTGTCAAAAATGATTGGTGGGGGGCAGAGATTAAACTCTGGAACATCACAATATATATACATGTATTTCCCCCCTCAAAGTCTTGTATCTCAGTTCAGCTAACTGTCAACATATGGAGATGAAAATGTGTATTTATTGTGTCTACATTAGTTATCTAATACTAACTCATTAACTAGGATTAACTAACTATATTATATGAATGCAATTGAGATTTCATCATCGACATTATCATGTTGCATTCCACTTCACTTGATTTCAATGAGTAATGATTTCAATTTAGAGTACAAGCTGTCATCAGAATCTTCTATACATAGTACTCCATCCACATCTATTAAAGAAAATGAATGTGCCAGTCTCTACTCTGTGCTACCCACCAACTTCCTTGCTTCCCACTTGGTTTGTAACACCACATGGGTTTATTGTACACATAATGGCCTGTGGATGTCCATTGAACAAATGTTGGTTGAAAGAAATGCATCATGATGTTTCAAGATAAATAGCTCCTCAGAGCCGGTACGTCGCTGCATGCCTTGCGGTCTTGATTGGGTGTATACTTTGCAGTGAAATTGTGAAAGGCTTCAAGGCGTCGTGGAAGCGTTTTGAGGGAACTGAGCGGGGACTGTTATGTCAGGTGTAAGAGCCGTCCCAACAGTAGAATCAACCAGGTGGGATGTCAGGGCGAAAGGCAGGGACATGGACCGGAGGGCTTTCAGCCCCACTACAAACTTGGTTTCCACTACTGGTGTAGTCAGAAAAACGCGGCGGTGCTAGGGACGTCTCTGATAATTGTAAACCTTCTGAAGGACGGCAGGTATCACCATTGGTTTTTGCTGACACGGTTTCTGCGCCCGTAGTAATACAGTATCCTCTCATGAGGCATTCATCCATTAAAGCTTCGGGTCCGTCCCTCACAGCTAATCCGATGGCAAGAACGAGCGCAAAAGAAAATTTGGCCCATGCTTCAAAGTGTTTCTTAGAAGCGCGTTTTGTAGTAATAGGTGAGTAGGGTTTTTCCGTGTAAAATCCGGGAGAGTTACCTGTTAATACTGCCAAGTCGTTGGGCGGCGCCGTCGTGGTGTGTTTGGCTGGTGTTCCTTCAACATGTGAAGCAGGGTAACATGTTCCAGAATCGAAGGAGCTGACCGGGCTTCGGGGGCTGACAGTGGAGGTCATGCCCTCATTACTGTGGTAAGTGATTCGACACTGGCGGCTGTTATCGAGCCATTGATTTCTTGGTTGACCACCTAGGAACAGACCCAGGACCCACCAAGACAATTTCCCCAGCCGGCAGTAGTTCGCATGCCACGCTCTTGCAATAATTCGCCGAACCAAGATTCCAGAATTTGGGACAGCATCCCAAACATAGCAGTAGAAAGACATTATGGATTTGCATGCTACTGAATAAGTCTTGTGGAGCTTTGATATACATGAATCGAATATCACTATAGGGTTGATTTCGCTGTCAATTTCGTGATTGGTTCGGGTTTCTAGATGCGTTGACGAGTTGCTTTGGCGAAATACCTTCTCTAGCATGCAGGGTGTCATTTGTTTGAGCGGCTCGATCTGTTCTTGGGTCTCATACGCAGCGGATTCGTCCAGGGTACTTGGATTGACATCATCAAAAAAGAGGCGAGAGGATGATCGTATAGTCGAGCGACCTTCCAGGCCGGTTTCCAGAGGCGTCAGACCCATAGAGATGCTCGCGTCATTGATGGCTTCATCAAAAGTTTGATATCCATGTGATCGTCCCTCAAGCGCATGTAGGGCATCATGTTCTATCCAGGGCGAGCTAGGACAATCGTGAGCACTAGTAGGGCGCAAATGAAAGGGAGATATTGGATCATTGGAGAAAGAATGTCGGTGTATTTGGCCAGCGGGTATATGTGGAGAAGCGGCAGGTAGAATGAGTGGTTTCAATGTGCATGAGCCTGGTGGGAACCGCCTCATCCTCCTGTGACGGTTGGAGCATTTCCCTTGAGCCTCAGGTGATAGCGGAAAAGAGGTTCCCCAAAGGGATGGATTTGACGAAGAATGGGAAATCATGGATAAACGTTGCGATTCAGGAGCGCGGGTAGATGGAGGGGAACAGGAGTCTCCAACCCCAGAATCGAGAGACATCAGTTCGGCATCATCAGTATCTTCACATCTTTGTGGTGACAAAACATTTGAACGATCAGCTGGGAAGCAAACAGGAGGATCCGGTGTGGCATTTGAGATCGGTACCGAAAGGGGTTGGAAGAGTGCTTTTCGAACGGGAGACAACGGAATCTTAGAAAACATAGATCGAGGCCTTGGAGTATGATATACACCATCAGCTTGTGGAGAAGGTTCGGCCACATTCAAACCCGGTGATGACTCTCTCCTCGTTGGTGATTGAGCCAACAACTCTGTTAATACGTCAATCCTTCGCTCCAGACTACGATTCGTCGCATTGACCGCTTCCATGCTCTGTAGCATTTGGTTCGCCATTTCGATTTCCCATTCCTGCTCACGAATCTTATTTTCCTTAATTTCGATATCTCTCTCTAATGCGCGAATTTTGGCACGAAAATCGGATTCCTTGTCGATCGTTTTTCGTAATTCGTCTGTCAATCGAGTTTCGAATTTTGTTTCCCATTCTAGCAGTTCCTGTTTTAATATTTTATATTCTGCATTGAGACCTTTGAACTTCGCTGCTTGAGTATTCGTCGTAGACGAATTTAGCGATTCCACACGATCTAACGACGCGGCGAGCTGCTCTTCTAGATGTTCTATGTACCTACAAAGCTCGAGGTCTGCGTTCCTCTTTGTGAGATTCGGTCGCCCCTTGGAGCGGTCAAGGCCACCGAAGGATGATGACCTCGACGATGATTTCCTCGATTCCGCTGGCATATCTGGATCGTCGTAAGCAAAAGTGTCTAGATCAATTGGAGGCCCTAATTGTCCAGTACACTTCGAAGGAGAATAAATAGGGAAGTCATTGGTAGATGTAGATGGATCTGGCGAAGGCAGATCATGGAACAAGGAAGCTGCCGGTGGCCGTCGAGACTGGTGATACCGTCTCTGTGTAGAGTTGTTGATTTCTTCAAGAATGCTCGAGCGGCGCGTGTGTGACGATGTCAGCCCTGGGGAATTCCAGCTTCGATCGATGCTGCTAGTATCATCATCCCGTTTCTCTAGTTGTTGGTCAGAACTCCCCGAAAGCGATCGCCATTTAGTGAGAGGGGGTGTTAGTTTTCTTGACTGGAGTAATGCGCCACGAAAACCTGCGTTTCGAAGTTGGAGTCGTCGATTCTGGGCGCTACAAGGCTTTTCTAGTTGGCGTTGGGATGGGGAAACGGATGAAAGGCGGGTGGAGTGAAAGTTGCTGGCAGCGCAGGAGGACGGTGGTCGTGAGGTCGTGTTGCTATTGTTGGAGGCTGCATTCGATGCCCACGGTGACAGGGAGCGGTCCGTGGTGGGTAAAACATAAACATCCATAACGGAAGCCCGGCAAAAGCACAAGAGAAAATATTAATTTTGGCACGAGCTCCATCACCAGCCAGGGAGCGCCAAACAAATGCCCAAGAACCGCAAAAAACGTGGAATGGACCGAGGAATAATGGGCGGAGCGCAAACCCCGAGGTGATGAAATATTGTTCTGGGGTAATTTTGCATGGGATGCGGAAGAGGGCAACCCCCCGCTATTTCCAGAAAACTCTGTTCACCGTGTGTTCATCATGTTCAGCTGGGACGAGGTGAAATACGATTAAAAGTGCCCTCCTATGACTCCAGAATGCGCAATTGAAGATCAGGTAGTTGGTTGGGGCTTGCAAGAGCTTCGCAGCCGAATGTTTGTTTACATTGAGCCTCGAAGGTTTGTTTTTACCTTTTGGACTTGGCAACAGCCGGGTTGACAATCACATGATCGTGATCAGCTTCCAAGGTTCACTTTCGGTAGTGAACCAGGGTTGGGTCTTAGCAGGAGCCGCTGGTATGGTAAAAGAGTGATTTTGTGGCAAACTAACAAAACAAACAAAACAAATACAATACAATCATATCCTATTCTGGGGTTGACATGAAAATGACAAAATAGGGAACTTATATTGAACCTGCTGTTCTTTGGAATCTTTGGCCTGAGCCCTCCAATTTGGCAACATGCCTGAGATGGCAACATGCCTGAGATCGGGCCATATTGTTGGGTATATTTGGCATAAAGTAGGGGGAAGCCAGGAGCAGCCATTTGTCAATGTGATGAATGGGGAGGAATGAAACAAAAAAAGATGGGAGTTGGTGGAGGACATAATAAATAAAAGTGGAAAGATAGTTATTGGGTTCATCATCAATCTGCCTCTTCCAGCACACAGTTCATGATTAACCTGGCAGCGAAACCTGTTCATATTGAAAAAAATAATAGGAAGATTCGGGAGAAGATCGGCAGACTCTGGCGAGCTATCATTATGGAAAAGTACATTATTTATATGGGGAGGCATGATAAATTGAATTTACAACGCTCTAGCTGCTTCTCCTGCACCGCTTTCCACAGCAGTTGCTTGTTCTGCCTTCATCTTTCCTCGACCAACACCACCTTCACCCACACCCATTCTCCGCGCGACGTACCGTTGTGCAACAACGCCAACACCAAGAGACAGAGTTTCCTCTATCCACTCTGCAACCCATTCACGAGGGTCAACGGCGTTGCTCTCAATGATTTCCGCAATCGCTTCTGGAACGGTGGAACGGACAACACCGTCGGGGTTGTCGTCTGGATTATGTGGGGCGACGGGGGCATCAAGCCAGTCAATCCACTTCTGTGGAACGGCCTGTGTAACCGCATGGAAAGCAATGCTGTGGATAGGGTCGTGAAGATAAATTGCGAAGAAAACCTCTTCTTCAAGATCATCTTTTACATCCACGACATTCTGAGCTATTTTCTCTTCGTCTCCGCTGGGGCCTGATTGGAAGAGGTCTGGTGGTGTGGGTTGAGAAATCGCCTGGATGGCAAGGAATATGTCACTGGTACGAACGGGGTTCGACTCTGATAAAATTTCAGACGCTTGTTTTGCGGCTTCCTCAACGCCACCTCTCGTAGAAAAGTATTCTGCGGCATATGCTTCTGCACTTGCTCGGGCAAGCTTTGTACCAACCGTTGCACCCTTGATGGCCGAAATAGATCGCGGTTTTCCTGCAGACACCGTCCGCCACCACGGTCCATCGTTCCAGCCAGCTGAAGAGCTGTGTCCGATGTGAGAATCTGAGCTACGTTTGGGTGCGGATTCCCGACCGCGTTGGATGACGAGCAGATCACCTCCTTCGACCTGGGACATTACCCGGGAGAAGACTGAATAAATTAATGGATCGAGTGAGGGGTAGTCCGAGAGGTCATGTGTGATGTGAATTTGGAGCCGCTCATGAGAGGAAATAGGAGGAGCTAGAGTATGGAGGAGGGAGGTAAATGTTGGCATGGCTAGGGTTCGTAGCTCGCCACCTTAAAATTAACTCAGCTCATCAGAACGGGAGATTGCAAGATGATGCTTAGAGGTTTGGGGGCGGGCCGGGATTCAGCTGTCGACTCACCAAGACCTCGAAGAACTCCGACATTGCCTTTAACTTGATGAGCCCACTTTTGAGCTTCCTCGTTTTTTCTGATTTCATTTACGGCAGCCTCTGCATGCTTCACAGCAGCTGAAGCGGTAGCAAATATCCCACCCCACCAGCCACCTCCACCTCCAGCGTTGGTCTTACCTGCTTCCTCCGACGGAGGTGTATCCCCTGCCTCCGACGAAGTTGTCTCTGGAGGAGTAATGCTGGTATGATATGCCCGGGAGCTATCTCCTGATTTCCTGGGAGCGATTTTATCGTCACTGAATCTTCCCGGAGGTGGTGTCGTCACAGATGTTCGTTTAGGAGATCTGTTTGAAGCGGATGAAGTTCGGGGCGTTGGAGGTCTTTGAGAAGCAAGGTCTTGAAGCTCCGCTAATAGGTCCTGCTCTGATTTTTCTTGTACTCCCCCCGCTGCCTGGGGGGCTCCATCATCGACACCAAGGTCATCGAACTGAGCAAGCAGTTCGTCATTTGTAGGGGCTTGCTTTCCTGTTTTCGACATAGTGTGCTACTATCAACTGAGGGCTGGTTCGAAAGCTGGTTGCTACGGAGACGTGGTGGGTAGTTTTGGCGGAGATACTAACAAGACAGTAATGGATCCGCCCCCATGAATCAGTCCTTTCTCAAACAAACAACAGTTGAAGGAGAAATGGGTTCAAAGATGCTCAAGCGTTTGAACGATGTCGTGAGAGCGCCAAGATAGAGCCAGTTGAGTCACGTGTGGTTAAACCTAGTTAGGTTGTTCATACTAACGGCCACAAGATGCTGTGTTGCCCCAGATTTTACTAGTTTCAACCACCACATGTATGATGGTTTGTGGGCAACTTGGGTCAAGTCAAGTTTCTATAAATATCCAAGCGTATTATCTAGTTAGTCCTGCGTGCCATTTTGCTGCAATTTGTACCCGCAGGATAATGAGTGCTGGAGGCAAGCAAAAGTCCAAAAACAAAATTTAGTCGCATTAAAATACCATGTAGGCACCCTAATGATAAATCCTTCTAGAGTAAACTTCGACCAGGGGAAGTGATCGTTTATATATGTGATTTTGAGAATTTTATTGTGTAGAAAATTTTCTGGTCTTCCTTTTTCAAAGGTTCATGAATTGCAGTGGCATATAAAATGGATATAAATTATACACGCTGTTGCCATGTTGCGCGTTGTTGAAACTTTCGATGACTGAAGACGAACCGGAAGATCCCGGCGGGGTAATTAGCAAAGGCCTTATTATCTAGGATTTTATTCCATGACCAGTTATCAAAGGTTGCGTGCCGAATGGCGTACCGAACTATCGTGTACTTCCAGGGTTTTATAATACTAGTACTCTGATGTTCATTGATATTCCTTCGCTTTTCTAAGATCACGATTTAAAAATATTACATTGATCCCATCGGTCCCCGCACATTCAATACCCCTACACCCCGTAATCGTCAACATGCGCCTCTCATATGTTTCTAACCCCCCCGCAACATCGAACGAAGAGGATGAAAGCATCCTCCAGCGCGTACAAGCCAGGCGGGGACAACGGGGCCTCCTCCCCCTTGACCTAGCGCTTCTTCATTCATTCCCCATTGCCGATGGCTGGAATTCATTTCTGGGTGCTATCCGCACCAAAACCTCTCTTCCCGCAGACATTCGCGAGATCGCAATATGTCGCGTTGCCGCTATGAACGAAGCTTGGTTTGAGTGGAAGGGTCATGCTCCCATATTAACACAGGCCGGCTTCTCTGAGGATGCACTAAAACTTGTGGAGCGCGGAGCGGAAAACCCGGCGACTGACACCGAATTGGCGGCGCTGATGTCCCCGAAACAAATTGCTGTTTACAAGTACACGGAGGAAATGACAAGGATCGTTAAGGTGTCTGACGAGGTGTTTGAGGAGTTGAGGAGGCATTTCAGTGAGAAGGAGATGGTTGAGATCACGGCTACAGTTGGGGCGTATAATTGTGTGAGTAGGTTTTTGGTTGCGTTAGATGTTGGGGAGATGAATCGATGAACAGGTACGAATGTATTAAATATATGGGTGTCATAGTGGCAGTAGCATATTTAAGCTAACTCTGAATGGTTTGTAGACTTGATTATATGGCCGGATTAGATGAGCTGTCAGTCGTAAAGAATGGATGTAAGACACAGACTTGCATACGCTATGTTTCCTCTTGATTGAAAATATAATTTACATCGGGCATTTTGCCATCTGATATGGGACAATTTTAAATTCAACAACATAGGATATAACAATGAGTGTTCTTTTATAATAGCGTAGAGGTGGAATATGGTGTGGATGACTTGAGAGGGGACTTGGATCTCAATATGACGAAGCAGCAATTGAAAAATAGTTTCGGTGGTTACAGTCCCACTTCTTTGGAACCACGATTAACTAAAACTTGGAATTCCCCGTCTCAAATGAAGCTCTTATTCTAATATTCACACGTTAGTGATCCGCTGAAAGACGCGGTTTAAAGATTTTGAGGGATATGAAAAATCACCTCCATTCAGAGAATAGATGTCCTCTAGGCTAATGGGGTACGTAGTCGGCAGAGTGGTTCCAGCATTGGAACCATTCTGTGATGGAGGCGTATACCTAGTAGCACTCTTTACTATGGTCGGTCACATAGTATTATTGGGCATCCGGGCTGCCAACATCCTGAAAGTCTGAAAGTTTCTCATCCATCCTAGCTCAGACCATGCAGACAATAATGAAGCACAGATGAAACATATATTGTTTTTTGTACGAGAATCATCAAAGTTTGTGATATCACCAAGACTTTATATGCCAGCGGTCTTCATAGATTGGATGGATGGAAATCTTACTATTAAAATTAGAAAATTGAAAATATTCACCCTATACTAAAAATAGTCTTGTTTTCATGCAGCGTTTACAAGGACTTTTGTTCCATGTTTTCATACTAACTATACTCTTCACCTTCCAATAGAAAGAAAAGAACATATTCGATATTTTTTTGAAAGCAGAGCTAACTTCATCTGGTGGCGATGGAATTTGTTTATTTTCTGAATGTCCAGTAATTATTCAAGGTGGTTTTACGGTACTGAACGTTACAAAACTTCTCGGTACAGAGTGCCCTGTCGGCTAGTTACTGTTATTGAGTATTTATCCCATGTATTCAATAAAATTGTAGAAGAAAATACGTAAATGATGAGTAGGTGAGGCAAAGTCATGAAGAAATGAAGCACGCACTCATCGCCATTTTACCATAACATTATTTGTGCAAAACCAACTCAAGCAAAAGACGAGGAGAAAAGGAAAAAAATACGGTATGGAGCTTTTACGGACTCGATAAATAGGATTCCTCGCCTCTGATTGGGCATGATGGTCACTGCAGGCAACGTGACATGGCCCATCATGGTAGTAGATCAAACTCTAACGCCCGGGATGCAGAAATCTTACTACTGAGGGCGATACTGAGATCAAGGTCCATACTGACAGAGAACAACATTAATGTGTTCTAATCATATGGAAATAATCTGTGCTTTGAGAGCTGCCGACCGGTGACCCGTATCTTACATTCTATTCTGTTATTATTCTAATACTTCCTTCTGTGATCGGACTACACGGGCGGACTGAGTTCCTCCTTCACAAAAATCGGCCATCGCCACCTGCCCACACGCTCAGCGCCTAGTTATCGATTCTTTCTTTTCTCTTCTTTCCTTTCCTTCCATTTCTCTTCCATTAATTATTACTTTTAATTTAAACTCATTTCCTGGCGGATATTTCACGAGCTCCAGCATTCACAATTTGGCGGCTCATGCACGAATCCACCCAAACAAAACTCGACCATTCCATTCTCGTCTCTTCGTTGTCGCAACACTTTGATACAAGTTTCCGATGCATTATTGAGAGGCTCCTGGCAATTGCTAATAGTAAAATCGGTTTCATCAGCAACTCGGGTACGATAGTATTTTCTTTTCTTATATTTTTCTTTTAATTTCTTTTTCTTTTTATTTATTTAATTTATTTTTCTTTCATTTCTTTCTTCATCTGCAGTCGCTTTGATGATGCATGCATACTATCCGGGGGACAACCGCAAGTTTTCCTGCAGAACTCCCCTACCATCTTAGTTCTACCCATGTTTAAAATCAACTGCATTTCGACAACATGACGACTTGTCGCTTTGCTCTTCTGATTTTGTCCATCGCTCTTGTTTGTCTTGGTTTTACAAGTTCGCTTTTGTACAAGATCATTTTCTGCTTTGAAAATTTGTTATGTGATTCTGCCACGTTATTTTACAATAAGTTTCCCATTTTGTCATTGGCAGTGGCACTTGAGAATGAATACTGAGTTTCCCTATAGATAGGCACTTCTGTCATCATGTCATTTTTGGCTCAGGATGATATAAACATTGGTGCTGAAGGTGCTGAAGCGCCGAAATCCCCTTCATGTTCCTTTGGCTGGCAGCACTCGGATCCCCCAAGACCCTCGTCTGCTTCCATTCAATTCACTCCGGCTGTCAACAGCCGTTCATCTCTAAAATGCGTCTGGTGCGGTGAATTATTTCAGTCATCCGATGAGCCCACCACTTTGCCTGCTGAGGTGCTTAGAGAGCATATGGCTATCGCCCATCCTGAAGTTGCCAAACTTTCTCTGGTTGAGCAAGATGCAACAGATGAGACGCCTCCCACTGAATCTGTCCTAGATGAGGCTGAGCAAACCAACCGTCTCGAAGCATTTGCCCGCCAACGTGAGGCGGCAATTGTTGAAAGGCGCCTTGATTTGCTTTGGAATATCAATGCTGTAGAAAAGTTCACTGACGACTATAACGGAGAGGACGAGGGTCTTCCATCATTTTGGAAAACTGCATTTGGCGATTTTGAACGCCCAAAGCCATATGAGAAAGAGACTGTAGCGAAGGGGAAGTTTCTACCAATCACGAAAGCGGAGATTTACATCGACATTTTGAAGGAACCAGAGTCACACACCACGGAAGAGCTTTACGCGATAACCGCGAATACGGCCCGAGCTCTCAGGGTGTGGCAGGATGAATACGTAGCCATTGACAAACTATCGAAACGTGCCACACGACGTTCATTGAAAAAGGTTGCGAATCCACGAAAGCTAGATGAACCACTTGTTTTTGAAGATAAAAAGGAAGCAATGCTATATGGATACAAACACGACCCCCGGGAATCAAAAATAGGATACCAGGACCCATTTCTTCAGGGAGGCTTCAAACCAACGCCAGCACAACTGAAAAGACTGAAACTCAACGCTGCAGAGTCTCCTAATATCGATGGTTGGACACCAATTAAAATCAATGGTGTCGAGTATATTCCCGGAATCCGCCCGCCATCCAAACCCGCTCCCAAGAAAAAACCCGTAGAAGTGGATACAGCAGATACCAGCGGTATTACGAATGGTGTTGATCGTGAAGTAGATGGCCGTCCAAAGCGCATAACTCGGTTTGGTGGCTTCCGGCATCCTTTAACTCGAGAAACCTCCCAGGTTCAAACTGAACCGTCAAGCCCTGTCTCTGGGCCTACATCTGCGAAAGTTAAACGATCGAAGTCACGCGCGACTTCAACAACGCCTCAACCGCCTTCACAACCCATTTCTCTGAAACCCTCTACGCCTGCCACCCGCCCGATTCCACCAGTGAGATCATTAACAGTGAAGTTAGCAACGTCTGGGGCCCCAGCTATAACTACTCGGCCTGTAACACCCACCGCCACTGTCCCTACAAAATCATCAGTTACTGGGGAACGTGCTCCTACACCCCTTTACGAAGATCCACTCCTAGACCCCAAGAATCAACTTAAGATCCAACAGTCCAAGAATCCAAAGCGAACAGAGGCAATGATAATCCACTGGGCAAAATTTAACCATGAAGGCCGGACAAGAAACCCAAAGCGAACCAAAGCGCAAATGGAGGCAGATAAAGCCGAGGCAGAAAAGCAAGGGGGTGTCAAAGCTGGCCCTGGACGCAAGAGGAGGTCTATCTCGAAGAGTCGCGGAGCCGATAATCAAGATATTTCAGCTAAGAAGGCCAAACGCATTGCGAAAGGCACCCGAATACCCGTCACGCACGAAAAGATTGAGCCACCAGAGCCTTACCACATTGTTCCACCACAACCTGAACTTCGGCGGCCTGAACATTTGATAAATCCATTAAGTGCCCCTACGCATCCGCAAGCCCGTTATAGCCCCTACGGTGGACAGGTGTATCAAATAAACTACCACCAGGGCAATCATCAATAGTTTAAACCTCTTTGTTTTTGACATCTTCTAAGCAATTTCGATGTCCAAAATATCGAAGACTAGGGATTGGGAAAATTAGGCCGGGGGTGATGTGTTCAGCGTTTCTGGCACCCACGGCGTTGGGAGCTTCGTTATTATCTTTCTGTGTATCATACCATATTGTTTCCCGTCAATATTGCTTGCTGTTTCCCCTTTGACCTTTGGTTTCTTTGGTTTTTTTCTTCTTTTTTTCTTTTTTCGTTCTGGACCAATTTCTTATTAGCCATCCTTATGGTCTATGTATGTAAATAGTTGTTACCCCTTTCGGCTGCTGGATGCATTGATGGACGCACATCTTAGGAAGACTAGCCGTGTGACTAGGACCAAGACTAAATCACAAAAACAAAATACCGCTGTTTATCTGTGTATTTATGATATTACATGAATTATTGTGATGGGCTCACCCCCGAAAACTCATTCCTTCTCTTGTGCAACCAGCGTTTATTGTCAACGCCCGCCTATCAACACTCAGCAGCCAATTCATGCACCGGTGCATCAACGATATCACATTTTTCCATCCCGAGGTTCATCTTCATACAATATTTTTCATAGTTATAAATCATTTCTTACATTTCTTACATTATGTCATTATGTCTCTTTTCTGTCTTAATCAATTCATTCTTGTTTTGTAGATCTAAATGGGTTAGAGCTGTGCATTATATTAGAAAATTGATTGTCATAAATTATACACAATCTTATTATAGACTTAACTATCTTATCTTATAATAATAAAATCAAGAGCTTTATTGTAATTTCAATTATAACCTAAGTATCTATAACTCAGACGACCTCGTTTTTCAGGCGGTAGTATCACGTGACTGTAGTGTATTCCTGAATCGGCAAACCGTTTGACCCTTGACTTTTTCCCATCAGAATCACAACAACTATTATCCCTTTTTATAGCTTTTTCGACCTTTCTATAGGAATTTCGCAATAACGCATTTTTGTCACCCTTTCATATTATTTGGCTCATCATCTAACATGGGTAAGAAGAAGCGTGGTCATCCGGACCTCGAGGAGCTCCTCAGTCGGCCCTGGTGCTATTACTGCGAGCGCGACTTCGACGACTTGAAAATTCTAATTTCTCACCAAAAAGCGAAACATTTCAAATGCGATCGATGCGGTAGGAGACTGAATACGGCCGGCGGTGAGTATTGTCCAACCTTGACTAGATCAGTGAACCGGCGACATCTTTGCTAACAATTATTGGAACCAGGACTTTCTGTTCACATGAGCCAAGTCCATAAAGAGACATTAAGTGCTGTGGATAATGCTCTACCCAACCGGTCAAGTTTGGATATCGAGATATTTGGCATGGAAGGTGTCCCAGAAGATGTCTTGCAGGCTCATAATCAACGGGTCATGACTCAATATCAACAGGCTGAGGCGGAACGTCGTGCTGTGACTGGGAACCCCGCATCTGGAGCGCCAGGTGGTGGCAGTCAGCCTAAAAAACCTAAATTCGAAAGCCCTGCGGAATTGAAAAAGAGGCTTGCGGAACATAAGGCGAAGCTTGCGGAACAGGCGGCTGGAGGGAGCAGCGGTGATGAAACTCCTATTGGTGCTGGGCAGGGCTTGCAGACAACAGCTGCTACATATGTGAGCATCTTCCGCGTGTTTTCTAGCCAAATCCAATGTCTGAAACATTATCTTACATGCGTTGTAGGTTCCAACGACTCAGTATCCTACGAGCCAACAGCAGTTGAATGGCTCAAGTCAGCCATATCATTACCCACAGCCCTATGGGCATAGTGGCGCTGCTTATCAACAAGGTGCGACTTCGTTCCAGAAGCCACCAGATTACGCTTCTCCCACCTATGGTCAATACCCACCTACGGTACATCAGTACTCCACAACTCAGTTCAACCCCCCCCAAGTGTCACCTCAACATTACCCGCCCGCTACGTCGGCTTTGCCGCAGCGCCCGTTGGGTGCCAATACTCCACCAGTAACATTTCAACAGCAGCAACAAACACTCCGAACCCAAACCCCTCCACAAAATAGCCCCTTTCCCTCTCGCCCTCCTAGTCTACCTACTGCTCCTAGCCTTCCCCAGCGTCCAAGTTTTGGGGCACCTCAAGTCAATGCTTTCCAGATGCAACAATTACACCATGGCCAACCTTCATATGGCTTAGAGCAATCCCAGAGTAGTCGAAGCCCTCCAGGACCTCATCTTGTTGGCGAACAACCCCCAACCTCAATCGACGACTTGATTTCAGGCGCAGCGAAGCAAGCGGAAGAAATGGCTGGTAAACCCCCAGCTACTACAGTGAAGCCATATGACGGCGCCGGAGAGAAGCCAGCAAAGAAAGAGAAGGAAAAATCGAAGGCTACGAGAATGGTGTATTCTGATAACGAAATAAGCCCCGAGGAGAAAATGGCTCAGTTGCCTAGGTATGCATATCTTCCTGAACGGAAGGAGGAGACGGTCCTTGGGGACAACACTACTGCTGCAGTCGCGGGAATCAATACAGCTTCCGACCAATTGGTAAATCCACCCCAATAAAATAACTTCCCGCTTTCATTGTCTCCATCTACTCCAGATCCTGACGACCTTTTAAATGTGCTTCGATGTCAACCCGTCGCAACGGGCGGAATATATACTGGAGGAATGGTTGTAGCGTCTAGCTAAGTCCTTCGACACACCAAAATTCTACAAGACATGTATCCCTTAAATGCAGTGTCAGCATTGATCTTCAGCAACTGTGATGACCAGGCAGGTGCGCGTTTCTTAGAAGTCGGAACCGGGGTCAAATACGGCTGTTAACCTCTGACCCTCAACCGGAGAAAGATATCGACTTCTCGTGGAGTCCTGCAAAACATAATACACCAATCAAATGACATGGGAGATCTGGTCGGCGCTGGTGAGTCCGATTGCAAATCTTAATGATTATCTTGTCGGTTGGAGCAGGGTTGCTTTCGAGCAAAATATGCGCAGCTAGGTTCATTCAAATGTTTTTTTTTTTTACGTTTTACTTTTTTTTTTTTTTTTCCCTTTCTTTATTTATGCCGTTTAACTTCAGCATGTTTCATTTCAAGGACTTCAGAATGACCAACCAACCACTCATTTGGCAGAAAAAGCCGGAGACAAGGTTGGAGAAGTAGGGTTTACTTCTATGTTGAGTCAAAATAAAGGAGAATACGTCCCCTCGTCCCCGCGCCGTGATTAAAAGTGTTGAATGTAAGTTTCTTTTTTTACGATTGTCCTTGTAGAAACCAGATTTCCTCAGGTCGGGAAGGAAATAGAAAGGCCATGCAACACTATGGTTAGTCCTTATCAATTATTTCTTTTTTGAAGGTGCAAGGTTAGTTAATTGTAATTGTCCCACAGGCGGGCGTGCAGGTGAGCGGCCGGGGGGTTTCAAATTTTCGGCCGGAAAGTCTTTGATGTGATTCAAACTCTCAACTATGATAGGATTCAAAGTTGAACGGAACTCGAAAAATTGCACATATAATTTTTGCTCTCTGTCCAATTTGGTGTGGCTAAAACTACACACTCTGATGGTGATTCTCGGGGAGCTCTCTGCCGCGTATATTTCTTAAACTCTAATTCTCTAACTAACCCGCTAATCTAATCGCTAATTCTACAGAAGTGGCGTGAGTGTACTGATAATGTTGAGAGTGAGTGTGTTTTAGATGAGATGGAATTTCACTTGATAGAGATATTTTGAGTCCCATTCAACTGTGCCGTCTGTAAAAAGTTTGTAAAGACTCTTGCCCCAGCCCTTGTGCAGTGTTTCATGAGATAGAAGGAAACCACAGGTATTGATCACCCCTAAAGCCCTCTGAAAGGCAATAAATACCTCCTTGATTGAGAAATGGAATAGTTAGCAATACTTAATGATGATAGTGTATTCAGTTACTGTGAGTCAGAACTTTTTACAGGTTTCGCTGAGGGGTCAGCTATTTCTCCTTCGGTCGTTGCCAAGAGGCTGATTGATAAGTTATCATAGTAAGTTCATCATCCCTACTCTCAGCTCCTCTGGAGCTATCAGAGTGCAACTCGGGAAACTGACATAAATCAATACAGGTACACCGTTCTCCTCCCTCCAGTTCTCACCTCCGCCACTCTTCCTTTACCATGCCCTGACTGGCGCCGAGCCGTGAGGAAAGCTGCCCAATATGCCGATTACCGAAAGAACTCCGTTGCTTGTTGTCCTACTAGCTCCACCCCGCCGCCGATATCGTCATTCCACACTTCGTCGTGTTTGTACTCTCACCCTTGCTACCATACTAGGTATCGCAGTGGTTCTTTTTCTTATCCCTTGCGCGGTCCTCCCTCGCGACCACGGGTCAATATGGTCCTCTTGGCCCCACGGAAACGGCCTCAACTATACAACTTTGCAAGAGATCCTCCAGACCGTCCCAAGCCCAGAGAAGGCCAAGGAATGGAGCAGATATTATACGTCGGGTCCACATTTAGCGGGCAAAAATCTGAGCCAGGCCTTATGGACTCAGGAAAAATGGCAGGAATATGGCCTTGAAACTAGCATCTCGTCTTATGACATATACATCAACTACCCGGTCAGTCATAGATTGGCATTGATTGAAAGAAATAGGAAAAATATGACTGTGAAGTTTGAAGCCACTTTGGAAGAAGATATCTTGGCTAGGGATTCCACCACGGGCTTAAATGGTCGTATCCCTACTTTCCACGGGTACTCGGCAAGTGGGAATGTCACAGCCCGATATGTCTATGCCAATTTCGGAACGTACCATGATTTCGATGATCTGCTGAAAGCGAACATAAGCCTCGAAGGGAAAATCGCTTTAGTGAAATACGGTGGTATCTTCCGTGGCTTGAAAGTGAAGCGTGCACAGGAGCTCGGGATGGTGGGCCTTGTTGTGTATTCCGACCCCCAGGCGGATGGCGATATAACTGAAGCCAACGGCTATAAGCCGTATCCGGAAGGCCCCGCTCGCAATCCTAGCGCGGTGGAGCGGGGTAGTGTGCAATTTTTAAGTTCGTCCCCTTCGAATCATGGTGTCTTTTGTTTAGCTGCTAATCTGCCGAAGCCATTTCGCCCGGTGACCCAACGACCCCAGGATATGCTTCTACCCCAGGCTGTCCTCGCCAAAACCCGAATCACTCAATTCCGTCAATTCCCTCACTCCCAATATCGTTCAAAGATGCTATACCGCTTCTTAAAGCCCTCAATGGACATGGACCTGAAGCTTCCGATTTCAATGCCCACTGGCAAGGTGGCGGTCTTGGCCATAAAGGGGTAGATTACAATATTGGCCCAAGTCCAGAAAACGTTGTCCTGAATCTTTACAATGAGCAGGAGTACGTTACAACCCCAATCTGGAATGTAATCGGAGTCATCAAGGGCTCCATTCCAGATGAAGTCGTTATTATGGGTAATCACAGAGATGCGTGGATTGCAGGCGGGGCCGGGGATCCGAATAGTGGTTCCGCCGCTTTGAACGAAGTCATTCGCAGTTTTGGATATGCTATGAAGGCTGGTTGGAAACCCCTTCGTACCATTGTCTTTGCCAGTTGGGATGGCGAGGAATACGGTTTGATTGGCTCCACAGAATGGGTTGAGGAGAATCTTACCTGGCTCTCTAACTCCATAGTTGCGTACCTCAATGTCGACATGGCTACGAGTGGACATCATTTCACCGCACAAGCCAGCCCTTTATTAAATAAAGCTATCTATGAGGCAACGGGACTTGTCCTTTCCCCCAACCAGACCGTCAAAGGTCAGACTGTCCTTGACGTCTGGGGTGGCGAAATCTCCACGATGGGAAGCGGAAGTGATTTCACTGCGTTCCAGGATTTTGCCGGCATCGCCAGCCTCGATTACGGTTTTAGGTCGAGGGCTGGGGACGCGATATACCAGTATCATTCAAATTATGACAGTTTTGATTGGATGAATCGCTACGGCGACCCGAATTGGACATACCATGTTGCCGCTGCGAAAGTCTGGTCTTTAACAGCTGCATACCTCGCAGAGAAACCTGTCTTGGGTTTGAATGCAACCGACTACGCCAATGGGTTAGCCACGTACTTAGCTTCGGCGAAAGAGAAAGCTGCCACAGGATTCAGCTTCAAATCACTTGATGTCGCGATTGCGAAACTACGTAAAGCTGCAGTTGTTTTTGACGCATACACTGCATCACTGACAGAACAGCTCGATGAACATCTACCCTGGTGGCATTGGTGGAAGAAGATACGGCTTTACTTCAAAATTCGCACTGCAAACGACAAATATAAAAACCTGGAACGGAAATTCTTGCACCAGGATGGCCTAGATGGGCGAAATTGGTTCAAGCATGTTGTTTTTGCTCCGGGGTTGTGGACTGGATATTCCGGTGTGACATTTCCTGGCCTCGTCGAGAGCTTGGAGAGCGGTAATTTGGATAATGCTAAGGTACGGTGCTCACTTTTATTTTGACCAGGCGGCATTATTATGCGAAGATCAGCATTTTGGGACTTCTTTTTTTTTTTCAAAAAACTAGGGGCTATATGCTAATATTTTTGTTGGCTGGGCATTTTAGAAATGGAGAGATATTATTAAGGAGAAAATTGACGAAGCCACAGCGTTACTACTATGATACGTTTCAACACAAAATAAGAATAAAGCTTCAGGTTTAACAACCGGTATGAAAAGGGTTCAAACGTTACAACCGCGTCCCTTATTCGGCTTAAAAACGAATGGTTTTGCCTCCAGATTTTCAGTACTTCACGATTTTATGACTTCAAATTTTGGATCTGTTAATAGGCTTTTGGTAAATTCCATCTCCAAACCCAACCCATTTACCTGGATACAAAGCGGAAAACTGTTCGGTATCTGTCTCACTTTGATCCCAGTATTGGCTAAAAACGAGAATATTGATGTTTGCTGCAACTTTAAATTATTTGGATATCCCATATCCCAGCTATTTAGCAATATATGTCTGTTGCTATGATTTTTCAATTCGTTCTGTACTGATCATCTATGGACATCTAATTAAACGCACATACTTTTTGCATTAAATATACTCCAAATCAACACACGATGCCCTGTAGATCCTCCCGGGGATGCTCTACTATATTTGAGGAAAAGGAAAATTGACAGTAAATTAAAGGTTGTCCATGTATAGAGTACATGTGCCTTGGTTTAAACTTGTAAATGCATCAACCTAGCCATTCGTCTTATAATTTAGATCGGTTCGTTAAATTATATCGCTTGCACACAGGTGAGTATTCAGGCTTAGCCTCCTCTTATAGGTGGTCCAGTTTCGCGTTAGTTGCTTTTCGTTACTTTTTCGATTGAGACCCCCCCGTGACGTGTTGGGATAGAATATCGCTTGGGCAGCTTTCAATCTGTACTTTCAGCAAACACGCCGCTCCGGTTTGAGAAGTCGCGAAAAATTGTCGATTTCGAAGGGATCTTCCTGTCCATTCAGTCATCCTTTTGCCTGTTTCGGTGCCCACACCATGCCACCAGCCGGGTGTGATCGATCGCCTTGCTGATTTGCGCTGACAATGCTATCGCTAACGGCTCTTCCTTTCTTCATGGTCTCACGGTCTTCCCACGGCCCGGTTTCTCTTTAGCTACCACGATGGGAATGGAAAACCTCGCCTCTCTCTTCTTCAGTTCCATTCGCATTTCTAAGCCCACTATCGTCGTCATCACCAGCGTCCCCGCTCTGATTAAGATGGTCATCCTCTTTCAACCAAAATACTGGTAGCGCACTTAAACTCGTGATGAACGCCAAGGTCCACCAGGGCAAGATCATATACCCCTTCTTAACACCTAGAGAAAACATTTCCCCGAGGATTGCTGGACCTATCGCCTTTCCGACTGCAGATGCGCCCGTTGCAACCCCGTTCAAAGTCCCGAGAATACTCACGCTCTTGGCGGAGTTGGTTAGCAGGATTATGCAGCACGGGAATGCGAACACGACACAGGCAAGTTTAGAGCCCATAAGTAGGAATGCTGCTATCTGGCGGGAAGCGTTGGACGGGAAAAGCACCGTAAAAGGCGTCAAGAAATGGGTTATTGGAAAAACCACCGAAACGACTTTTAGGCAGTTGAGGACACCATAACGGTGAGCGGCGCGAGGGAATATGAAAAACTGGGTTAACATGCCAATTATGGCGTTCATAGTGTAGAGTATACCGATTTGTTGAGCGTCTGAGGTAAATTTAATAAGCACACAAGAGAAAATTAAAATGACCGGCGGGGGAAAAAAAGAAAGAAAGAAAACAAATACACATACCAATGCCAAAACCTCCGGAAAACTTGAACGGAAGCTTCACGTCTGGATTGTTTTTGTAGTCCTGGAGTTTATGGTTTAAAAATACGGTAAATACGGAGTCGAATGCCACAGTATGCATGGACATAGTGGAATAAGCCAACAAAACGAGATTTGACTGGGGGATCAGTATCTGTGACCATGGCAAATTTGGAGTGTGTTTCTTTTGGCCTTCATCGCCTCCTTGTGTCCGAGTCGAGGGAGGAACGAGGAGCGGTGTCGTCTCATCTTCCTCGCTGACCAAGATGCCACGCGGGGTTTTCTGCTCCTTTCGCCTCGCGAAAGGCCTTGTGAGTATTTTCCCCAAAGATAAGCCCCAATCCTGGTGGCCCTTTTTCGATGCGAGGGTTTCCTAACTCAAGTAGATAAGTATCAACCATGTCACCCGGAAGTGAGCCAAGGAGAAAAGGAAGCGCAGAAACACGCACTTGAAGAAACAAAAAACCCGTAAATATCCCAATAATAAAGAAAACCGATACGGCCATGTTGGGCAGCGCATAGGGATACTTCTTGAAAAATGTGCTATCTCCAAATTGTTCCTTGTGTCGTCTAGCAGGGTCAGCCAAAGCCCCGCCAAATCCAGGGCCGAATATGCTGCCAATCGTCCACACCAGGGGCATTATGCTGAAGGCACGCGGTTGCAGTTCCTTCTCTGGGACCAGTTCCGCGACAACGGTCCGGATGATGCCCACATTTCCATTTCCCAACCCAACACAGGCCCGTGCCAGAATGGCCATGGGTAACGAGGTTGAAAATCCAAACATCAAACTGAAGGTCATTGTGATGCAGAGCCCCGAAATGATGATGGGTCTTCGGCCGATTCGATCAGATGCCGCACCCCACGCTACAGCTGTGAGGCCCTGGCAAACTGAAAATATTGCAGAGGTTAATCCGACCCATTTGGCGACTTCGTTGTCACTGACTCCGAAACTGCGTACCATTTCGGGCTGTATGGAGAGTGGGTAGACGATTATCAGATACAGGTCCCATGATCATATAATAAAAGGTGGTTGATTCGAAGGAAATAGTAGGGGGTATGGACGCATATAACCCTATGTAGAATACACGATCCGCAATTCGCAGTTCGCCATTCTCCGTATTCTTTTTTGATTTGAGTTTAACTCAAAAGTAAACTGAAGGGAGCGTACATACAAGATATGGAAACACGGAGGTGAAAATGACTGGAAAGGTATAACACAGATCAACATCTCAACTCCATAGCTTTGCAAGTATTCCTCCCATTTCAATCAACACAAAGCAATATAGACGCCTTCTTCTAAGGGAAGAGGGGTAGGGACAATACCAGGCTCTGCGAATCGACAAATTGCTACAACGAAGTTCAGTTAGTTATTTGTTTGGTATTTAATTATATGATAGGACCATCTTTTCTGCATGAATTTATTATATGCTGACATACACAATACTATAAATTGTTGCACTGGCAGTTTCGGCTTTTGTGTTTTGGTATCCATGATGTCTGATTAGACAGTTAAATAATAATAATAGTTGTGCTGTGCATTGGCAAATCCAAAAAAGTGCTGTAAGCGTGAATTTTTACAGTTCCGCTTTTCTTAGATTTGGGATGAATCGCAATGAAAAGATATCAATGGATGTTAACGTTAAGCGTACACCCGTCCATGGGTGAGGGAATAGAAACGAGGGGGAAAGCGACCACAATGAGGTTGAAACAGGATGAAAAGCTGAAACTCGGAAACCATCGAAGACCGAGGGAAGAGGAGAAAGTGATTTGTAAGAGGTAAGAGTCATAACTAACTAACCCCATGCCAGCGTGCATGCTACCTTAAATCGGGGAATGGTGGTTCGGCTTTAGTTGATGCTTTTTTGCTTGCTTGCATATTCCTGCCAAGCCGGGTTGGATCTTTGATACCGATGCTCCACCGGAATTTTATGAGAGAATAACCGCTAAATGGGCCAGTGGGATGGCATTGTTATTGTGGCACGTTCAGCGTGCTCAAGCTGCATATCTTGCTTGACAGCCCTATCCGACAGACTGAGTGCCTCTTCGGATGGGCCAATGTTCCTCTTTGGCAGGGGAGTCGTTCCTGTCCAGCATGATTGATGTATTCCCTTTCTCAAAGATGATGATTTCAGGTGCAATATATATTCGGTCTTAGGGTGGGTGACCTATCATTTTCTATTTAAAAAGAGTGTATCAGTGGTAATGTCTTTCCTATGGATTATAAGTGCCTCATCCACATAAATGGCTTTTCGCCCCCCCGATGTATCATCTCCTCTCTCTTGAATGTGGGGGGGGGTAGGATGGCGTAATGGTAAGCGCAGCAGGCACTTGGTGTTGGGGGCAACCACTGCGGAGTGACAAGGGACTGTTCAGTATTGAAGAACAAAACATCCCTCTTGAATGTTCGCTCCAGCGTCTGACTTATATGACGCTGTACTTCCGTAGACCATAGTTAATTTATCATATCATTCACGTTTCACCATATTTCCTGTATGTAATTACTACAGACTATGGCCACCCCCGAGTTTCTTCATTATAGCACTTGCCAGTGTTGATTAAAAGGGCTGGATAATATTATTCTGAACTCAGTCTCTTCCCTACCAAAGTATTCCTACTAGCGGCCTCCGCGCAGCAGCTTTCCACCACTTGATCTTCCAATTCTCAGCTACATATCTGACCCTGAGGATATCGCGAGCTGGTGAGATACAAACCTACAAACCTACAAATTATTGAATGTTTGACATGGAATATATTTCTAATGAAGGTTTCCTTTGTTTTAGGAAGGATAATAACGTCCAGGCCTACTTAAGAGCTCTGGAGATGCACAAACCAAACGTTTCGCCGTTATAGACTTCCCTACAATCCATGGCATTGGGTTCAAACATTCTAGGTGTTGGGTCAGATTTTGGCCAAGGATCTACAACATGGTTGGTTAGTGAAATGTAGGGCCTGAGAAATATGGAATAAATAAAAATAAAAAGTAAAACTTGTTAGAGATAGGAGAGTTGGCTGATGTTGTGCGTGTTCTAGCCAGCACACAGAAGATTTTCCAGCGAAAACACTCCGAATCAAACTGAGAATGCCCAATTCAACGGTACGCTCGTATGTCACATAATATCGACATTTGCAGCAATAATTAAACATTCCCAATCACGAGCCAGGGTTCAAAATTACTAGTAATGAAGCTAGGTGAGGACAATAGCAAGGAATTTTAAATTCATGGACCCTACAGCCACGCAGAAGCTTATTTATCTGGTGAAGATTTCACAGCAAACTCAGTAAAATTAACTTCCGTTTGAGCCGATTTTTATCAATGCGAGTTTTCTGAAGCCCCGTAGCAAGCACATTGGGGCTGTGTGTTATTCAAAAACGATGAATTGAAGACACAGGATATACACCCAAAGAAGAAACATGAAGCCGATCAGATCGGATGTATGATCGCCCAAGGAAATGCAAAACGGAGCAGCCTATATTTCTCTCTGCACTCGCAGAAGAAGGTATCAGTTGGGTTCAAGTCCTTCTATTTTGCTGCAATTGTTCTCCTCTTTGTTTCATAAAATAGGTTCTTCCATGGAGGAAAACCACTTGGATTGACGGAGAATTCTTTTTAAAGTTGTTAGACCCATCATGGCTTGGAGGCTGTGGTCGCCATAAACTAGTCTCCGACAACAATTGCAACCTCAATGGTGGAGTGAAAAAGGGATTGCACCCATTCCTGGGTATTTGCATTTTTGCAATCGATGTGCCTGGATATCGCCCAGATTTTGACTAGACAGGAGCCTAAGCAGTTTTTGCGAGCAGGACTTATCTCCTGAGGCACCTCATTCGCAGCTCTATGCCACCAAGTTGTCTCACATCCACTCATCACCAGCGAAAACATCTAAAAGCCGATACAGCTCTGCTGGAGATGTCTATCATAACATCTATCTCCGCGATTATTGCGTACTTTCGGACAAAGCGTTTCGGTAAACGGCTATCCTCAACTAGTGAACAACGCAAGGCCACAATGAGTCTTCAAAGTGGGATAATACCGACCCAGAGTCGTTGCCGATAATTCTATTCTAGAAGGAGGAATGCGACAACAATACAAAATTGCGGGACAGTAAATGTTCCAGAGGGTATTCATATGCCGTTGGCGTCCGCCAGGAGCCGCACAGTATTATCCCATTATCAAAAAGGTTGAAAAGAAACTGAATGACATTTAGATTTCAAATTTAGCATAACTAACAGATTTTCATTCCCTGAAAACGGCTCCTCTTCCAGGAGACAACAAACCTTACCTCAGTTACTTCAGCCTGAAGAGGACTTTTCAAGGGCCCGCAGGCCGTGCAGCTTACTTTTGAGCTGTAAATAGCCATATGAAGGGTTTGGCACTGGCGTGAAAGTTATTTTGGCATTTTTTTTCATTGTTTGACCCAGTTCCACTCTTGGCCCAGGTATAAATATCAGGAGCCCTAGGAGTTTGTCGATCAAAAAATCATTTCTTCCCGGACTTTGCGCTCTTCCATTCCTTCGCCATAAAAATAAAGCTGGGAATTCCGGGCTGGAAAGTAAACCGAAACGAGCCTTATGTTCTTTCCTTGGCCATGGGGTTTGTGGATAGCTATATTACCTTGACTATTTTCGGTGTCGGTCTTCTACTTGTACGTTTAATCCTTATCCATTTGAGGGTTGCCTAGAAACCTCTGACAAATCTTTCTCATTGCGTTTTTCCGAGTGATTATATATAGTACGTCGTGGGAAATGCGATATATAACATTTACTTCCACCCCCTAAGTAAATTTCCAGGTCCAAAGTACTTGGCTGTGGGTAGAATCCCCATAACTTTGGCGACCCTCCGCGGCCAGAAGGCACAATTTCGCTTTAATGCTCACAGAAAGTATGGGGAGATTGTGCGCATCGCTTCCAATGAGCTTAGTTTCGCACATGCTCAGGGATGGCGTGATATCTACGGCACTCAGGCCAAACTCCAAATGGCCAAACCTGCTAGCGGTATAGAGGAGCAAGAAGGGGCCCAGTCTGTTGTCACCGCTGAAGGAGACACCCACGTACGGCAAAAGCGGATGTTGGCCACCATGTTCACCGAGAGAATGATGAAGGAAAAAGAGTCCCTTTTCATCAGCCATGCTGACTTGCTGGTAAAACGATTGGCGATGCTTGAAGGACAACCAGTTGCTTTGGGTGATTGGTATAACTTTGCCACGTTTGATATGATGAGCGACCTCCTCTTTGGCGAATCGCTCGGAATGCTATCCAATTCTGAATACGTACCTTGGGTTAAGTCCATTCACGGGTTTCTGAAAGCGTTTGCTTTCATAACGGTGCTAAATGAATACCTATGGTTTCGAGTTCTTTGGGCATTTTTTCCTTCGAAAATCCTCAACACTTTACGAGAAACTCATTTCCTCTTCACCTCCCAAAAGGTAGAGCATTACCTGCAACTTGACGAAAAAACCCGCGCGGGCATGATGGGACACCTCTTGGACGGAGGCAGCCGCAAGGGCCTCAATTTGGGGGAACTCCACACAAACGCCCCCATTCTCATTTTCGGTGGCAGCGAGACTTCCGCCACACAGCTCCGCTCCCTTAGTTTCCTGCTTTTCAAGAATCCCGAAAAGTTAGGAAAATTGATATCCGAAATTCGGTCTGCGTATACTTCCTCTGACCAAATCACATACGATTCGCTCCTGGAGCACACCTACCTCAATGCCTGTATCGAGGAAGGGCTGCGATATTATCCGCCTTGTTCCAATGGATTGCCAAGAGTAGTTCCAAAAGGTGGTACAACTATTTGCGGCGAGTTCGTTCCTGGCGGTACGAATGTTTCCGTTGCAACATATGCACTCTTCCGCTCACCTAAATACTTCACCCAACCGGATTCTTTCATCCCGGAACGGTGGCTTCGCGAATCTGAAGGAGGAAGTCCTGTCTTTGCAACAGATCAAAAGGGAATTGCCCTTCCGTTTAGCTATGGCCCGCATAATTGTCCCGGCAAAAAGTATGTTGTTTACTTCTTGGAAGAAGTACAGTCAATCTCTCTATGCTTGCAGTTTTCTCTCGAAGCCGATACTTATGACATACTAACTTGATTCACAGGATGGGCTACTTCGAACTGCGACTTATTCTAGCCAAAGTTCTATGGCACTTCAACTTGAAACTTCTGCCCGAAGATGATGGTGCAGAGGACTCCTGGGACAATATGCGGAATTACCAAACATGGTCGAGACGTCCGCTTAAGGTATCAGCAAAGCCTGTCAGGAGATGACAAAATTTTTACTTTCCGATACTTTTACATAATGCCATTTCCAGTGCCCTTATATATTATTGTAAATATTGGAATACTTCTGCTAGAATCAGATATTGCACAGTCATTACCCATCTTACTTGCGTGGTGATTTGCTGTTCATTTGCTAAATAAGTGAATATGGGTGTGTTGATGACTTCTAACTTTTGGCCTGTTTTTTCCACCGTTTTGTTTTTTCCTATACATCAAGGCATGGGCTCTACGACTTTGCGCACGATGTATTACATGTGTGGGCAGTTCCGGCAAAAGCTCCAAAATGGTTGAATAGAAGGTTGGCAGCAAGTGAAATGTGTGGAAAATTATCACCAAAAAAGAAAGCTGGCCCCCTACACCCTTGCACACAGCAACTTGAATTTTTTAGATGACTAAATGGAATGAAGAAAAAGTGAAACGCATATAGACGGAAAAACAAAGAAAATTGCCACTTGGCAAGCTAAAGGTGATATCACAGAAACAATAGCCAAGAACCGAAACAGGTGGCGTTTCTTAGTTATTGTTCCGAGAGTAACTGTTTAGAGCCGAACCCTTTCTCTGTATGGTGATAATTTATTTAGTGATAGTTTACGAGTATAGTGAGCTTTGTTATGTGACTGCAACCGGGAATGATTTTCATCAAGATTGTTTTTCCTAGCAATCGAAGCAAGTTGAACGTTGATGTGAAGTCTGAAATGAGCCAACCGTTACAACAGTGTCACAGGTATCCTAAATCCAATCTGCACAAAGAACGAGAATGAAAGACGACAACCCAGGATAACAACGCAGAGCAGTAGGAACTCATAGCACCTTCCACACTTGATCTTAAAGCTCGAAACAGGTGTCGACGCTGTGAGCAGTAAGGGAGTTAGAAAGTAAGTAAACCTTGGTGCACATGCACGTAGTGTTGGACTGTAGAATTTCTGACGCGTTTATTCAAGCCAATCCCGAGCACGGATAGTACCCATCCCGGTACCTTCAGCCATATCCATTCGGAACTCACGTACAACTTGGTCCCAATCATCCCACGATGGTTCGTACATTAAAGAATGGGCATCAGAGCCAAGGATCGGCTCTTGTCTTTGTGGGGGTTGCTGAAGAAACGGTGACATTCCAGCAGCAGCAGAATAATGAGAGAAAACATCTCCTGGCTCCCAAAACGGGACAGACATAAGCGGTAGTTGTGCATTTTGCTGCATGGGAGTAACCGAGGTTTGGATATCGAACGGGCTGTAGGCCACTTTATCTAGATCCGTATTTATTCCCGAAGATAATCCATAAACGTTATTATTGATTTTTCCTTGCACCTGTAATGCAGGTGATATATGTTCCGAACTGCGTTCGGATCGAGGTTGCAAATGATCATCAATCGAGCCAAGAGGTTTGCCATCATATGCCCCTCCATCTCTATCTTGAAACTGAGTTTGAAGTTGCTGTAATTTGGTTTCACGGATTTGTGTCGCCCGCTTCATAAGTTTGTTAATAGCCCTCCAAATCACCCCTTTTCTCTCTTGGAGGTTCCAAATTTCGTACACTGAGTTTATCGCATGCCAGGCGCGGTCAACAGCCGGAGAGATGGGTCGTACACAAAGTTCAGACAATAAAAATGCGACAGAGCTCCATTGCGTATGAGTTCTGAATAACCAGCTCCATTTCTTCGTGTTCTCGTTAGTCTGCAGTAAACAAGAGAATTCGACGACGTCAATAGAGGCCAAGAAGAGGCGATTATGCTTCTCGTCAGCAAACCCAAATCTCCTGTTCTCTATCCCACTTAGCGGCTCGTGGATTGTGAGCCACAATCTGGTAAGAGCAAGACGGACTACCGTTGCACACACCCAAAGTATCGGCGTAGTCATGGTGCAATGCTGTACATATCTTTCTTCCATTCGTTTACTCAGTTCCAGAATTTGTTTTTGCCTGTCTTCTAGCGACATATCAGTCCTGGATCTGGAACAATCCAAGCTAGGAGGGATGAAACTAAGTCTCCGGGCACTTGCAATGATTTCACAGCGAATGAGATGGAAAGTTAATTCTGTACATTCCACCCGCTCCTCAGGGGGTTCTGTTGATTCTTGGCAAATATCATCGTCGTTAATATTCAGCGGAATTCGTGTATCGTAGAATGGTTCGTAGATGAAGGGATCACAACCGTGGTCTTCCGCCACCTGATAGTCAAGCAAACAAATATGCCACCAGAGCCGGCGCCGCATTTCTGTTTCGAATGGCTGCAATCCAAATGTTGACCCGTCGCGATGTACCCCAAGTCCTTGAGCCAATCTGACTACAATGGCTACCATTGACAATACATAGCGCGAATCATCTTGCCGCCTCACGCACAACAAGAAGAGGAGAGTAGCTTGGAGAAGAACTACACTTTGACAATTTAGGAGGTTTGCGCGCGCCATTGCCTGCTCCATTGCAAGTCGGGATCGTGAGAGCATTATATGACGCTCTTCTCCCAAAATCGATACGCATTGCGAAGAATCCATGCTTGTGATTGCCGCATAATATACGGCAAACATTGCTGCTTCGGCATTTTTGTTCAATGAATCCAAGCTATCGTGAGCCAGGAAATAGAATTTTCGAAGCGTGGGTTTATGAAATATCGGAACCAATGGTGCCACATTCTCCAGATAAACATCCCACAAAAGAAGCCTTTGATCAGGGCGAGGATGGATATCTCGTAGGGTTTGGTCTAGTGAGCAAAAACCGAATAGGAATCCATCGTGGTTTCGGGAGTACGTTGACTGCAGCCCATGGCTTTCGGGAGAAGAATAATTCTCTTCCTCATCAGAAGTCGCACCGAGTATATCTCTCAATTCTTCGACCTGTACAAGAAAATTAGAGGATATTATGAAGGGAATACGCCGAGCGGTATAGAAGTATTCACCTCATCGCCTAGACTTGACCAGAAGCGATTGCTAAGGTATCGACTTCTCCCATCTCCGATGACAAGCTTACCAAACTCCTGCTCGACCTCACGTTGAGCAAGGTCTCTTGGATCTGGATGCTTCACGAAATCGGTATCCACATGATGAGTGAATGGCTTTGAGGTTTTGGTTTCATCCCGCTGGGAAGGTAAATCAGGATGCAAATTGAGCTGGCTATCGTCATTTACTTCCGCACCCAAACTCTTCAAGACGCCTTCCACTCTTCTCAGTCGAGTTAATAATTCGCTGTCTGTCCGGTTTCTGGGTTTTCTTGGAGCTCTCCCCGGGCCGGGAAATACACACTCGGTGTTGGCCTTTGTGCAATTTGAGCACGGATGGATCTTGTTGCATCTCACTTTTCTGCGGCGGCAAGTAATGCAACTGCGAAGACTCGGTTGAATAGGGGGGGTGGATGCTACATCCTTAGGAGGCGGTGTCGGAGGATTGTCAGCCAAATGAGGAGTTTGCTGAAGACCCCCAGGGTGGGTGTCAGTAGAAGCACGAAGGGGTATCTCTGGTCGTTCCGTGACCGTCGACATTGTATAGGCAGTAGGAGGTCAAAAATGCGCTAACCACCCAATTGAGGAGAGGTGTCGATGCGGGTAGAGACAAATCAAGTAGGCATGCCTGGGATCCAGCATATCATGACTTCTCCAGTTATTAGATCTCTAGTAATGCTTGAGATATACTGCGAGTCCAAAGGACATCCGATGGTTCGCAGAAAGAATAAGGACCTTCGGCAGGGAATAGCTCGTCGATATCAATAGACAGTTTATTTTAAACTACCTAGGTGTCCCCTTTAACTGTTTCGTAGTGTGCTTTCGGCCACGACGGTTGTTGGCTGAATATATTCTTTTTCCGTGAGGTTGCAGACTGGTATGGATTTGGACGACAAACCAGTCCAGTCACAAATCTGACGTCGAGCTCATTAGCCTTTTTATCAAGGACTTGCTTCGAGAACTATGGCTTAAGTCGTCCAGACCAATCACAGAAGGCAAACAGCAACCTTCCATTTTAACTTCCGAGCGGCTGCAGCGGTGGCATTTATTTATCTGGCGTGTTATATAGGCTTGTTTCAGCCGGCAGGGGGCCTTGCTAGCTGGGAGGGTTACACTTGGCCATCAGACACTACTACGCCGTGTATGTACGTACTATATAGGAAAGGGCTATTAAAGCACAAGGTGGCACTCTATTTTCCGATCATTGTCGGCCTTTACACCCTCCGCGATATTTCAGGGGACCATCTCAAGTGCATGACCATCAGGTGTTTCTATATCTTTGTCCCTGACATCTATATTCCTTTTCTATGGGCCCTGCTTTCCCTGACGCATATTGGACCCCTCATTATGGAAAGCTTCCACACATTTGCCCCCCAGACCCTGAAAAAGTCCTCTTTACTTGACTCCCTTGCTGCTCTATTGTCTGCCAGGATTTGGTGGCAACATCAACTGTCTACATAGCGCTCAACTCACATCTAGCCCCCAGAACTGATGACTTTGATTGAAGAAGAGAGAAAGATTTCCCACAAGACCCACATTGCAGCCTGAAAACGGGCTGTTCATCTAATCTTCTCAAAACCTTCTAGCATCCTTGGAGTCATGGCTGCGAAGGCGTTCACTTTTGACCTACTTCCAGACTTCACCATAGGTGTCTGGCTACCTGGCTTGCCTAGGATTCCTGTCCACCTTCTCTCGGATCCCTCTCGCAACCAACTGAGTAGCCTACTCAAATGCGATGGATGCTGAAATCGCATCCATGGATGGGGCATATCTGTCTCTCCGGGTCAATCCAGTGCAGGTCTCTTCCTGTCACTACTATTCTGTGGCGCAACTTCTAGAGGAGGTTCCCTGCCTTAGGGATACTCCAAGACATCCTTGCTGCCTTCCACAGAGTACCAGGGGCCGCGGGAGGCATTTATTAATCAGCAAGGTGCCATCAGTATTAAAACAAAGGTGAGAGCGCTACGTATCTGGACTTCCAAAAGATATATCTATCATTACTCCAAATATTGTACTGTATATGCACTGTACATGTACTATACAAAACATCACTATTTTGTTTCTAGAAGCACCAAGGGCTTGGTGATCTGCGGTTCTTGTGGCCACAGGCCTATGGAGATATGATGTCAGGGTTTGGAAGGGGCCAATTCGTGGCTCATAAATGATCTTTCTACAATTCGCAAAGAGAAAATAGCGGTGAGGGGGTGCTAGGTTGATAGATTCCACGACGGAAATATAGCAGTAGTGGATGAAACATGACGATCAAGGCAACCTCGGTCGTTTCATTCCATCACGCGTAGTGTGCAAGGGAAGCCGAAACGTTCTCAAAAAGTTTAAGAGAATGAAAAAAGCTTATGAGTTTATGTGAATGAATAGGATAATAATATATCACAAAATCAAGGTATCACCAACTCCTGTTTCAAAACATATGATTGCAATTAACAATAACAGTAAAACTCATATCACGAGTCCTTAAACTCTTTCACAGTCGTTGTAATAGCGGCTCCATCTAGTGATCGTTTGAGAAGCTTCCGTCGTTCTGTGTCGTCGTCCTTGGCTGGCGCTCACGTGGCGGTTGCACAGGCACAGTAGCGTAGTTATTACTCCTCCTGCGCGAATGGGAGTCGACGTGGTGATTTTGCTGATAATAGGGATGTTCCGTGGAAAAGGAAGTGTTTGTGTAGGGTTGGTTGCCGGTATCCATTGGAGGGGAATATGAGGGTGCAGGCGTTGCATTATGATACGAATGGGAAGAAGGATATGCATTGGAAGTATATTGCCGGTGGGTGGGGCTGGACGCAAGTGAACAAGGACCGGTGCTAGGCGATAAGTTAGGGGTCCTATATATTTGTGGCTGTCGTTCAGGGATGGCTCCGGGCAGGGTCCGCGGGCCGCTTGGCGACGGGTGTGGGTGCCCATAGGATTTCTGCTGTTTATCCGCATGGAATTCTGGAGTTGGGATTCGGACTTGAGAGGGTGAGGTTTTTGGTTTATCCCTGTCTGTATAAATGCTGATGGGCCCGCCGTTTCTTCTGTGACTGTTGCGTTCCCCTGTTACCGAAGTATTGGCACTAGGGGAAAATCTGACTGTTTTTCCGCGTCTAGTTTGCGCATCAATATCGCTCGGCTCTTCAGTATCGCTATCAACCCGCGCTTGAAGGCTAGAATAATCGTTTCGAAATTCAGTGGCGAGTTTTGCTGCTTGACGATAAGGTCTCCTCCCATGAGAGGCAATGCATTCAAGGTCAGCACGCTGGCCTTGAGTACCGCGTCCTTCCAAAACGTTGCGGCAATCATCGTTCTCCATATCAGATGCAAATGACACATGATGCCGTCGGCGCGTTTCTGCGTGTAGCTCCTGGAAGCCGCCCACTTGAGTCCACTGAGTAACTAGATCATCAATCTCGCGGGAGGATATACGAATCATGTTCGTGACGTCCTGTGATACCGGTGAGAGGGAGTTATTGAGGTCCCCAGGTGATATTGTGGGCAATTTTGTTGGTATGGTGGATAGCGGTGGCAATCCAGTCCCGGGATTAGACAACCTGGGGCGGCCTGCACTTTGAAGATATTCCGCGGCTTCACAAATAGCGTGGCTATGTAGCCTATTAAGCCGATATATCGACCAATGTCGGGCGATTATCGTGTTTTGAATTTCGTCACGCTCTTCTTGGATGGTATCAGTTCCCACGGAGTTTGACGTATCCCTGTATATATATTTACTCTTTAGCTTTCCAGATCTTTTAAGAAGAAACAATTGAAACACTTTTACAGTACCTTTTAAGAAGCCTCCCAAGTTGGAGGATTTGAAACATTACCATCAAGCTCAACTTCAACGCCTCAAGGTGAGCCAGCAAATACATAACATGCTGCTTTCTGAAGCAGCGCTTGAACCGTTCCTGAACCGAGCCTCCATCTTTTCGCTTAGATTGTTCCAACATTTTCTCAAAGTCAGAAAATATTGATTGGCTCTGTTTACTAATTTCTTGTGCAGTGCGCAAAGCCGATGACGAATGCGAAGAATCCGCCGCCTGGAGACTTTGCCCAACATGCTTCAAAGCCGTCACGTATAAAGAGACGCCCTTCGCAATGCTATATACATCTATGCCATCAGCTGCTACCTCACAGGCGACAGTATTCAATGACAAGGAAAGCTTGAGGCCTAGCCCTGTCACTTGAAGGATGGGAGCTGTGTTGACGCCTATTAGCTTCGACGAGTTGGGACCAGAGAAGAGGGCCGTACCTATTTCCGAAGACATGGCTCGCCGCGTCTAGATATGACGAGAATCCTAACCGATGCGACAGTAAAGATCCCTCTGGGAGACCAGAACTCAATAACTTGGGACAATAATGCGGTATATTTAATTCTTGATAGAAGTCTCTCGCCCTGTAAGTTGGATTAAACCAAACTCCTGATTGCAGTGATGACCGAGACTTGTTCAGAGAAATTCAACTGGACGAGTCGATTGAGGCTGGATAGATATACTGAGCAGAGTCATTAATAGAAGCTTACCCAGCAGTCTAGGACCGCGAATGTGGTGAGTGAAACATGTCATTGGCCATGGTGCCACCCATCTCGCCTCGTTTGTCGAGCACTTTTTCTTCCGGCATACTGCTTGTACTCGCCATCGCCACTCGTTTTTTGAGCCTCATCCACCGCACTCAGTGACTCTATGATAAGGCTTCCCGGTAAGAGCCCAGCCATATATGGTAAGTAACATCGTACCGCTCAACATCAACAAACTCGGACTATTACGCCCCATTCTGCTGGTGATGTTGCAGATCACCTGATCATCACACCATAGAGGAGGGTTGATTCTAGGGCGATATGGTAATAACAACCCGGACACGTCAAGTGGGCGATTAAGTTGATGTTGGTGTGTTCACAAAGGTGGAAATTCTTTGTTGGAATGTATGATGAGAGCTAAAGGAAATTCCCTCAGCTAACTGTGAAAATCATCCCAGATTCACACCACAAAATCCCCAGGATCAATGATACTCCATTCATTTTTCGGCAGGGCTAATGATGCCGAAACCGACGGAATAAAAATAGCCGATTTTCGATTCAGTCTTGTTCTGCTATTTCCCTCGATCTGGTAACACCCCATCCATGAAATCACCTAGAGATGGGAGAGTGAACCATGGATATGGGATACCAAAGGGCGCCCGATTTATGCCAGACACTCACAGGATAATGCCGAAGCAGTGAAAGTGAGGTCTCCGAACAAAGCTCGATTCATGGTTCAATCGTCAACAGAGATGAACTCCAGATTGTCCCAGAAAAATTGTCCGAGTCGGAATTTGCACGGAAAAGTGGTGTATTTGACTAAGGTGCACTTAGTCTATCCCGGGATTCTAAGCCGGAAGCCTGCAAGTTTTTCCGTTTGATCTTGGTATATTAATAGCCTTCCGTTTAGGATTGAAAGTAGCATCAGGCGTTTCTCATGATATGGGAGGCTTCTTGCACTGCATCACAAATTTGAAGAGCATGGAGATTAGTTGATTTCTCAATAGGTTGGCTTCAAGTTGTTTTCGCCTTTCGGACCTAGAAATTCCTTAATCTTCGTGCGACAATGCGATGTTGGTAATTTTTATTATTTACAATATCATAGAATGTTCCCCTATATTATGATGAATGAAAAGACATCTATTTATTACATCCAGCAGACAGACTGAATGTTGGTTGAGGTTCCCAAATCCAGTGAGAATAGCCAATATTCCCTGCACGGAAATATATGCTAACCCTACAATGGCTTTTGAGTTCCAAAGTTAAGCAAATAAGAGGCTTGTGATAAATATTTAGCCCTCGAAATGAAAACCATCCGTAGAACGTAAAGTCCTTGGATAGATCTTTCACAGCATGAGGTCAAGTTCAAACGCGTGTTGTGGAATCTTGGGTAGGATTACGGAAGGAAGGTTTAGCCGAGCCGCATCTGTTTCTCCCCCAAGACTCAGACAACCCGATGGTGGTATATCAGAACAACAAGATAGGAATGGGCATTTGAATACAAACAGCAGTACTTTATTTCATAGAAACTATGCTGCAGTCGTGAAGCGCTGACCTTCTATTTCACTCTTCAAAGGCCTGGAAGAAAGGTCCCTCGGGCGCGTCAGGGCGACTGTCTTGTTTGCTATTTTGTCCCCTCCGCTCCCATCACCGGAAATAATAGCTGATATCTTTCCCCATCGTCAATATATTAAAGAGTGGAGAGTGAGGGTGGCGTTCGAAGTAACAGGGTTAGCTGAATGAGCAGCACAATCGGGAGGCTTTGACAGCGCTCATCCGCCCTCACCTTCGTCGATGGCCTGTTCTATCTCAGGGTCGAGTTGACGGACTACGGATGCGTCAAGCAATCTGATTACTACGGTCCACCAACTTCTCATTCGAAATAACGCATCTCTCAACGTAAACGAGAAAGTTCCAGGTTACTATAATGAACCCCGTTGCCGATGCTTCGAAATGCCTGGATTCCTCCGAAACCGCTCCTGCCCCAGCAAAAGCTGGAGAAAACGGGGCGCTGACACCACCTTGCTCTTCAATACTCTCGAGCACTAATACGAATAAACTAGAAATGGCAAACCTTGTAAAATCAAACACAGAAGGAAAATTACAGCTTGCCGATATTGACGAATTTGGATTGCCTATCCAAAACTTGAGCCAGTCCGCGCAGCCGAACAACGATGAACTCCCAGACCCTGAGAATCAGATGAAAACTGCGGAGGAAAGCACACAAGAGTCAAGCTTATCGAAAAATGACGAAGCAGCGTTTACTACCACATCCAACACAATTTTGCCGTCGACTCAGAAGGAACGTGTTTCGCAATCCACATCTACTATTAGTCTCTCCAATATGGCGAAAGAACTCCCGACGATAGATCCGCCCGACATATCAAAGAATCCAGACAAGCCCCAGTCACAAGACTCAGAGGCTTCAAACAGCCACAAGCGCGGGTCAAGCCAAGGGGCTTTCGTTTCGGAATGGTCACATCAACGTATTGCTGTAGACGAGGATGAGGTCAATGAAAATGACAACCTTGATGAAGATGACTGGAAAGATATGCCCGCTTTGGGGGGATTTGATGTTTATGACGATTATGGCAGGATTGTTGCTCGCGGAGCACCCCAGGAAGATGATGCAGCTGTATATCAGGGGTTGGGGGGTGCCGGGAAAGGATACACTAGAGTCCAGATTGACGAAGATGCACAGTCAGTCACCAGTCTAGACGACGATACGAAATACCTTTTCAAGGAGCCAGAAAGCAACGCAATTGGGGTTGAAGAAGAACAACGAGATCCTCTCGCACAATTACAAGCCACGAAAGATCTTCTAACCGAAGGACAAAGAATTGCATACGTTGGGGTGACAAGGCTAATGATCTATCAAATGGTAAAAGAGGTTGAGGCTGTTCACCCATCAAGATCCACAAAGAAGTACATAGTTTCGGCAATCGATTCCATGGCCAAATGGGGCCAACAGATGATGATACGGCTGTATACACATATGGATATTGACTCTGCGGAACAAATCATGATCGAGCAGCTGGCAGAGCATGGTGTCCAACCAGCAGACCTTGTCCCACCACTTATGAGAAATTCGCGAATAAAAAACCCTATGTGTAGCGAGACTACATTCAGACCTTCCACTTCCTCTGCTGCGGCGGAGGATAAGCCCCCTAGTTCAAGTGAAATATCGGTAACTTCCGAACCGCGCTCGTCGCCATCAGTATTACCCCCTCCGTACGACTACCGCGGCGATGAAGATTCACCAAATGTCAAAATTCCGTCCGAAATGCCGGCGTCAGAAAGTATTGACATCGATATTCGATGGACTGTGCTCTGCGATCTCTTTTTAGTTCTTATTGCCGACTCAACGTACGATGCTCGCTCACGGCGATTATTGGAGCGAGTTGGAGAGTCCTTGAATGTGTCATGGTCACAAATATGCCGGTTTGAAAAGCGGGTGATTGATGCTTTGGAAATGCAAGAGGAGAAAAGTAAGGAGACCTGGGACGAGGCAGAAAATATGGAGGCGCGGCGGAAACAAGCGCTAAAGAAGAGATATATGATCATGGGCCTTGCAACCGTGGGTGGGGGATTGGTAATTGGCCTCTCAGCAGGGTTGCTTGCTCCAGTTATTGGTGCGGGTCTTGCGGCGGGGTTTTCTACCATTGGGATCACGGGGACTGGTGCCTTCCTAGGAGGCGCTGGCGGTACAGCACTCATAGCATCTGGTGCTACGCTTACTGGTGGAACGATTGCAGTCCGAGCGTCCCATAGAAGAACTGGTGCCGTAAAAACGTTTGAATATCGGCCCTTGCATAATAATAAAAGGGTCAACCTTATTGTTACCGTTTCTGGGTGGATGACTGGTAAAGTTGACGACGTCCGATTACCGTTCAGTACTGTGGACCCTATCATAGGTGATATCTATTCAGTCCTTTGGGAACCGGAGATGCTTCAAAGTATGGGAGATACTATTAATATTCTCGCTACAGAGGTATGTGCTGTACCATTTATGGATGAATCACCTGCAAATTCGTAATTCTAACACCAATACAGGCTCTCACTCAAGGCCTTCAGCAAGTCCTAGGAAGTACTATCCTTGTCGCTCTAATGGCGTCTTTACAACTGCCAATTGTGTTAACCAAGCTTTCATATTTGATTGATAATCCGTGGAATGTCTCCCTCGTCCGAGCCAATGCAACCGGCCTCATTATGGCAGATTCCATCATTGCTCGGAACCTAGGCAATCGACCTATAACCTTGATAGGCTTCTCCCTAGGATCACGCGTAATCTTCTCTTGTTTGAAGGAGCTAGCGAGCAAAGGTGCCTATGGGTTAATTCAAAACGTCTATTTGTTCGGTTCCCCAATTGTCGCAAATAAAGACGAATATATGAAAGCGCGAAGCGTTGTATCTGGCAGGTTCGTTAATGGCTATGCTTCCAATGATTGGATTCTGGGGTACCTATTCCGAGCAACGAGCGGTGGAATTATGCGGGTGGCCGGTCTTGCTCCTGTTGAGAATGTTCCTGGCATCGAAAACATGGATGCAACACAGTTCGTCAATGGGCACATGGCCTATCGTGCGGCGATGCCAAAACTACTTCGCCAGCTAGGCTGGGAAGTGGAGAGCGATGAGTTTACTGAAATCGAAGATCCTGACCCGGACAAACATTCGGAAAGACAGCGAGAGTTGATTCGCGAAATCGATGAAGCACGCAAAGAGGCAGAGGCACAGCCTGACAAAGCTAGGTTTGGTTTCTTCAAACGTGGAAAATTGGCCGAAAAAAAGGGGTGGGAAACTTACGACGTCGATCACAAAGACCATGCTTCACGACATTCTACCGAGAGCGGTGTCGGTTCTGCTTCTGATCATGTTCTGTTTGATATCGATGCTATCCGCGCCGAGTTAGAATCGGAGCAAATGGAAGTGAAACAGTTAGAGTCCACTCTACCCCCGATAAAAATTGATCTCAATGCACCGTCCCCACTGCCTCGATATTCATCAAATGAGAAGCCTTCGGCAAGTTCCGAAACGGTATCGAATACGGAGATGCGAGAAACCGATGACTACCCTTACCGTTTATCTTCGGGAACAACATCGCGTAGTGATATTGGCCGCCCACGAAACTCAGACGAAGTCAACAATGACAACCATGACAACCATGAAGACAACATACAGATGACTTTTGATACGTCATATGTCAGCCCTCCTTCATACTCACCACCGGCCCTGGCTTCATCTTTATCCCACGACTTGTCCCGTGATTTGTCCTCTAGGAATTTAACCCCATCGCCAATACCCTCTCAAGGAGCCAGCCCAAGGTTTGGCAGTATTAATCTCAACCACAATGCGTGGGCTGATGACGATTACGATGAACGAAAAGATGGAGATATTAAGATGACTTTTGGGTAGTGAACAGCATTCGAAGGCGCTAGGTGTTCTTTGTTGATTTCTCTTTCTTCGACAATACTGTCGCTGTATATATCGGTATATACCAGTCTCCATCTTCTGCTTATGTATATATTCCATACACCTGCTTTAAGACTCGTCCATATCTATTCTGAAATGGGCAAACGATGATTTTCAATGATTTTGCCAGCTTGAAGCAGCCATTTGTCCGCATCCACTAACTTTGACTCTGTCTTTTGTCTTTTGTCTTTTAATTCCATTTTCGAGTGATCTAGTTGTCAAATTTTCATACAGAACATACATACATGTATAAACATATGTAAAGTATACCCTTTGCAGCATCTTTAGGCAATTGCTATTTTGTTCTCTTCATGGACGATGGGTGCTCTTGATGATGGGCTAACCGGGTTTTCTAAATATTATTTGCAAAAATACCGGAGATGCATCTGTAGTTATGTTTATGTAGTTTTATTTAAAGTATTGAAAACGACATGAAGTTTCATACCTACGATGAGCTGTTGCAGTGTATACATACATACTGGATGAAGAGCGAAAGCCGTGCTTGGCAATCTCGAGTTAGAATTGGTCGTCTGCGCGTCCAGTCCATTCACCCATCCTGAGCTGGCGTGAAGCTAATAACGCCCCAGCCTGCACTCCATGACCGAATTGCAACTGTGTCCTATTCCAACGCGACAACGGGTTTAATTTTGGAGATACTGCTGCTCCTCTTCGCGAATGAAGAGTGTTTGTCGCACTTAATCCTCGTCAACAGGTCCGCAAGACCCTGAATTTGCTCATCGAACCTTTACGGACCTGCCGCCTACTAAATAGCTTGCCATCGCTCATCTGAACAATGGTCTCTCGACGACCTGATTCTAGCTATGCGTCAAACCTCCAAACGAAACACAATTATAGGGGAGGTGCTCCTCTAAGCCAGGCCGGGGGCCGGTTGATAAACCATAGAGAATCGGTTTCAGGGCACAGTGCCTCGACAAGCAGGAAGAATAAGCCAGAACCTGCAACGGACGACGAACCACTTAGCTCCACGGACGAAAGCGAACAATTGAACACTCATTCCGAAGTCTCACTTTCTCCTGAGCCTGAACCCAGACGGAAATCAAACGGATGGTCGCAAACAGAAACGACGGGCAGATTGGATAAACAACCCCAGAGCGAAGCCGACATCAGAGGCGAGGATGATAAACGGAACCCAAAGCGGAGAAAAAAAGCCGTTGATACCCCGCGGAAAAGAGAAAAACAATCGGGAAAGATGAAGTTTTCTCCACCTGCGTCGTCTAAGGAGACTCCGCGTAGGCCTACTTTCAAGATGGAAAGCGATGCTCTTTTCTCTTGTCCTAGGCCTCCTCCAATGAAATCATTTTATGGAAGCGCCAATCTACATACTGCTTTGAAGAAGAAGCCATCCAAACAGTTCAAAGTTCCTCTTTCTACCGCGGATGAGGATTCCGCCATCCATTCATCCCAGATCTCCTCAGATGGCCCCAAATTCAAAACGCCTCTATCTTTTCCAAACGAAGTCACATCTAGTTCATCGTTTTTCAATGGTACATCACCGTTCGATGATGATGACGATGGCTCCTCATTGTCCTCACTAAGTTCAGTATCTTCTTCCGTAAGCCTTCAACTATCACAAGCCGAAAAGCAAGCTCTTGAATCCGCCACCCTCAGAGCTAAAGCGATAATTTGCCCTATGTGTGACCAGGCTGTTGATCCCAGATTCATAGATGAATTAAGGTCCAATCAGGGCCTTAGCTACAGGAAGAAAGCCCAGTTCTGCAGGGATCACAGGATCAAAGCCGCAAAGCACCAGTGGACTGAAAGGGGGTATCCAAAGATTGATTGGGAAAATCTTCACAAGCGCATTGAGAAACATTATGCGGAGTTGGATGAAATTTTGACCCGTAAAAAGCCTTCCTTTTACCGAAATGTGCTAGAGTCTTCTCGTACTGGAAAAAAGAAAGGAAGCCTACGCTTGACGGTTGATGGAGATGGAGTGGAGAAAATCTCACCTGGGTATTATGGCCCCTGGGGGGCAAAAGCTATGTAAATGCACCTTTCTCCCACCCCCCAACGTTTCCACAAAAGCTCGTTCAATAACTAATTCCGACATTTACCTAGGATGGATGCCATCATTGGCCACTTTGCGGGCAAATTCAAGCGTCTAGCACCTACCGATACCCTGATAAAAGCTGCTGGGGTATCTGGATTTGTGCAGTCCGTCATGGTTCCGGAGTTAACAGTAATGCTGGTTAAGGACGATATGGATATTGAAGACGCAGACGCTCGTCAGGTAATGAGGGACAGCACGGAAATTGGGAATCTGATCAATGAGCAGCCAGATGATATCATTAAACAAGCCGTCAGAATATGATGATAGGCATTTGGATTGTGTCTGATGGGTTCTTTGTCGTGAGAAGCTACTTTTCTACAATTTGTGCGATTATCTTCGATTAACATGCCACTTCATTTATATTTCAATTTGTATCCCTTCTCTCCCAATTCACCACCCCCACATTACTCCTTGCGCGTTTCAGCGTCTATTACTCTACGAGAAAGAATGTATGATGGTGGCCCTGACTGTCATTTATAAACATATTTATGATTTTTCGTCAGATGAAGGTTAACTCAATTGTGGACTCGGCCATCTGATTATAAGAGTGTGATTCAACCAAATCATCAAGCAGTCGACTCCCGCTAATCGTACACATTTCTCGAGTGCCAATGCTTTCATAACATCTGGACATGCAGCCTCATCCGATCGTATGATATCTGTGGTATAAATGAAGACTATTAAAAATCGCCTTGCAACGCCACCAGACGGAAAAGTCATAACCGCACATACGCGGGGCTCACATCACAAGCTCGAAATCCACACTTCCGCAGGATTCCCTCAACTCAAATCCAAGGATTCCAAGAATTCAAATTTCAAGACGCCCTTTTACCCTTATATGCCAACCAGAACACAATTAAGCCGTACGTAGCCATTAAACTGAGGCTAACAGGGACAGGCTTCCTCGTCTTCAGCGCTCTGGGAATCGAACTTCCCGCTAGCATAACAGAGGCAATTAAGCTCAATTCTTCGCCATGGGACTGTTGACTGTGAAAACGGAAATAGCTGAAAGCGTAAATGGCGCCCACACAGAGGCCGGCGGCAATGGAGGCAATGGAACCGGTGCGGGCAAAGCCGATAATCCCGCCACAAGATGTCAGAACGGACAGGGCAGCAGCCGAGTTGTGGACACTTTGAGAGGAAAGCTGTTGGAGTGGGTGTTAACTGCTATATAAAGGTGTATTAAAACAATAAGCGGAAATGGGGCGGTCGGGGTGCAAAGGGAGGGAGCCGTAGCTTGGGGAAGGGGGGGCGGGAAGGGAGGGGGGTTTAAAGGATTTCAGCGATGATGTTGCGTTAGGTGGCTATGATAAGCTTCGTACGCACCATTTTTATTGCATATATTTTTATTGAGTTACCTCTAGCCTGAAATGAAGGACAATGCCTTGTATAGCTGCTGATATGAAAGTCTACGGAGAGCAACGACGGAAGCCTATTCTGATAACTTGGATGCTAGAGAATGGAGCTTGGACCACCATCCAACGCGAAATCACGTGACTATTTGGTCGCAGATCATGTGATATGCGACTACCCTGGCTTGTACTGGCTTCTGGCTTCAAGAAATATTGTGGATGCGCAGCGTATTTGAATCAGAACTTCAGAAACCATCGTCCGCTTACGCGCCTAACGGAGCAGCGATACTGAATCGAAGGGAATACTATTACTTTTTTTCAGGCAGCGTTCTTGTCTTGGAGCTGTCTCGGTGGGTCAAAGCTCTTTCACCATGGCTCCCAAACGCCGTGTGGCATCAGGCCAACCAGCTGCCAATTCCTCTTCACCTCCTACACCGTCAAAGACGACTCTCAATCCAACGTCGACACAAAGCCATTCGGCAGGCGCCTCCCTTTCTGCCAATTCCCAAACTCAGGACATCGTGGTTGGCATCTGGCAGCGATATCTGACGCAAACACCTAAAAGAACCCTTATGTTAGATTCATTCATGGCATTCCTACTTATTGTAGGAGGCGTACAATTTTTATACTGTATACTGGCCGGGAACTACGTAAGCCGCTCCCCCTCTCCTTGACTTTTTATTCTTTATCTCGTGCCGCAAAATTCTTTAAAAATATAAACCCGTTCACCTAACAATGTTAAAACCAATCGCTCCATTTAGCCATTTAATGCGTTTCTCAGTGGCTTCTCTGCTGCTGTCGGTCAATTCGTTCTCACTGCTAGTTTGAGAATGCAGACGAGCCACCAAGGTGGGAAAGATGGGAAATCTACGTCTACGTCCAAATCCGTTTCGAAACCGGCAAATGGAGATCTCCCGTCGAATGGATTGTCTAGTGAAAGGTTCGTTGTCCTCTGAGTTACAATTTGCCAGATTATTAGTCTGTTCCGTTATTTTTGGCTTTTTGCACATGATGGTTGCAAGCTCTATAGGGGTCTTTAAATTACCATGCGTGGCTGAGACTGATCCGTATATTTTTGACAGGGCATTCGCGGATTACGTTTTTGGCAGTTTGATACTACATTTCTTCTGCATCAATTTTATTAACTAGGCTGGCTCCTCTTTTCTCCTCCTCTTCTGTTTGTGATCTGCTTTTTTAAAGCAGCTTGTAGTTATACATGTTATATAAACCACCTCAAGTCTTTTAAAAAATTATGTAGACTATATCCTGTGTTTCTCCCTGGTTGTTGAGATCTTTTGGCATTGGATAACATGGCACCAGATATGTCTGCAAGGATAGCCAATTCGTAAATGTGTTATTTTATATCCTTTGTAACCCAGAACAATGTAGATAAGAGAGTAAATCCTGACCATTTTTTGGGTCGTCAAATACCTAGCTCCATTCGGCTGTTTAGCAGCGGTGGTCTCGTATGACACAAATACACAGGTAAATTTGCCGAATTTAAATCTAACCAGCATCACTGCTGTTATATGTTTATAAAGCGAGAAACTAACATTAAAAACCCCTCGGCCCTCTCCTCATAATGGGTCTTCTAACCAAAGCCCCAGCCGGGACATAAGGTCCAGGCTTCATCACTGCTGTCGCTGCAGAGGTAGGCAGTTTTACTACAGGTTTCATCCCTACATGAGCAGAGCTACCTTCCGCATCCTGTTTCCGTCGCAGTGTATCCTCTTCAGCAGCTTTCCGTTTTTGCTCAGCTGCACGTTCGCGATCAGCAGCCATCTGTGCCTCGATTTCCATCCGCCTGTTGAATTCATGCTCCGTCACACGGCGCTCACGGGCCGAGTAACCTTTTTCTTTTATCGAGTAGAAGACTCCACCTAGGTCCGCAAGCCACTGGAGATTTTGATGTTTGTGTTAGTCATTTTGACCCTATGAAGTATTTGGATGTGGTTGACGGTTCTAAGGAAGACGGGAAAGGTATATTCTGAACAAAAAGAAGGAAAAAAAGAGAAGCTAAAAGCTTGTTGAATCAAAACATACCCTAGGGTCCACAGACGTAACGGTAGACATATACTCCTTGCTCGTCAGAATCAATTCGTGGTATACCACATAGTCGGGAAGGTAACCAAGACCGTATAGCGCGCTCGTAGGGTGAAGTTGTATGGTTACGCTAGTGCGGAGATTAATATACTCGCCAATCCCTTTGACCCTGGCAGCCTGGTGGTAGTAGCCAGAACATATACACTTTCGTATAACGTCCCAGTCAGTTCCGCAGCTAGTTAGGGTCATTTTCTGCATCGCCATGATATCGTAAAGCTGCTCACGGATTTCCTTGGCTCGACGTAGGGCTTTGGAATGCAGAAAATGTTTTATGCACCATGCATCCGAGTAACCGTTCGATTTCCACTGTGTGTATACATGGAGCAGAGTCAGATGGTCGGATTCAGGTACGAAAAATTTCTCTCGGGCAGCATCTGATTCTTCCTGGCGCTCTTTGGGCCGGTAGAATACACCAGGTACGGAGAGCATTGAAACAATCGTTAGCATCTCCTCACTACAGTCATATCCTTCAGACGCACTGATGAGAAGCTTCGCGAGAGATGGGTCCATTGGAAAAGCACTCATGCGGCGACCCATTGGTGTCAAGTCTCCAAGATTATCAATGGCGCCCAGTGCCCAGAGATCAAAGAGCGACGTAGTAATGGTGTCCTGTGGCGGTGGGTCCATAAAGTCGAAATCGAGCAGATCCTTGACCCCTAAGGATTTCAACAAAAGCACTGTGTTGGACAGGTTTGTTCGCTGGATTTCAGGGATAGTCTGGATGTATAATTCGTTTTTAAACGCAAGTTCTGTGAACAAGTGATAGGCCTTGCCCGGTCCAGTTCGTCCAGCACGACCAGCACGCTGCGACGCGTTCGCTTGCGAGATGGGTGTGATTTGGAGGGTGTCCATTCCCATTCGTGGATTATAAACCTTTAATTTAGAAAAACCAGCATCCACCACATACATGATTCCATCGACAGTTAAACTAGTTTCCGCAATGTTGGTGGCAACAATCACCTTCCTAACCCCGGGCGGGGCCCTGTCGAAAATTTTTGCTTGCAGGTCAGCCGGCATCTGACTGTATATTGGCAGAATGCTAATCTTCGGAGGGTCATTTAGGAGGGCTAATCGCTCTGCTATCATTTCACAAGTCACCTCAATATCCTCTTGCCCGGTCATGAAAACAAGAATATCCCCAGGTCCTTGCGAAACATGGATAGCCAAAACTTGTTTCACTGCACTGTCGACATAGTCTTCACAGGGTGATCGCGAGTATTGAATATCTACAGGAAACGTCCGTCCAGGAATGAAGAACTCTGGAGCTCCGCCGTAGAATTTCGAGAATCGTTCTGCGTTCATGGTGGCTGAAGTGACAATGAGCTTCAAGTCCCGTCTACGCGCAAGAACTTTTTTAATGAGACCCATCAAGACGTCCGTATTCAAGGCCCGCTCATGGGCTTCATCCATGATAATACAAGAATATTTGTCAAGGTCTGGTTGAACCAGAGACTCTCTTAACAGCACGCCGTCGGTCATATCTAATGATTATATAGAAGTTAGTTGGTAATCCCTCATGTTACAATCTTAGGCATCTCATAACGTACATTTGATAGCTGTTTCATTGCTGGTGCAATCCTCAAAACGAATGGCATATCCAACAAGACCTCCCAACTTAACCTCCATCTCCTCACTGACACGCTTCGCGACACTCATCGCAGCGACACGTCTTGGTTGCGTACAGCCAATCATTCCAAGTTTCGCATATCCATCCTCGTAAAGAAATTGCGTTAATTGGGTGGTTTTTCCTGAACCAGTTTGCCCAACGACGATTACTACCTGGTTATCCCTGATAACCCTTAAAAGCTCCTCTCTGACCGCAAAAGCTGGCAGATACTCCCGCTGTTCCTTAAGTGATTTGCTCTTGCTAAAAGCACTGGCTCCTTCACTCTTCTTCAAATGCTCCGCAAATTTACTACCCTTATGTTGGCCGTCCTCCTCCGCAGGGATCGCTGCTGCACTATCTCCATCATCCTCCTTAATGCCCATGAGATTCCCTAGTGCCGTTCCAGCCATATTAGTAGCATCCTGTGCCTGCTTCTGTCGTTCCTTCTGCGCTCTCTTCTCGCGCACAACCTTACTTCCCTTCCGGCTGAATACTGCCATATCACTCTGTGGATCCCGCACAGCAGAGACAGGCTCCAGCTGCTTTGTAAAAACCGTCCGGCCGTCTAGAAACGGTGGGCGCAAATCATGCACGAGCAAATGAACACGAGTGGATTCTTCATCGTCGTCAAAGTCGGCATCGTATTCTCTCCTCTGCGCCACGCCAGAGGTCAACATGCGATTCGTCTCCCATGCGTCGACATCCTTCTGCTTCTGCGCTGCGCGGGCACTAATGCGCTTGTTATTCTTCCTCTCGGACAGTGCTGCTTCGCGCTGTTGATCTGCCCATGTGCTGTCCGCGCCGCCGAAGGGGTTATGAGTCTCGTCACCGAAGGTATGTCCTAATTCATCACCTGTGTACCAGTCCCGATCTAGTGCGAGAGTGTCTTCGATATCGACAAGTGATTCTGGGCTTTGAAACGCCTCCTGGTGGGGGGTAGAATCTCCATTGCGTATGCCGCGGGGAGTGGACGCACGACTGGTGTTGGCAAGCTTGTCATCTCGGTTAGTTTGGAGTCGACTTCGTGGGGCGTAAAGGTGTCTGGATGGCTGGTTGGGATTGGACGAAGTTGGAGTCAAGCGGTCTGAGTCCAGCTTCCAGCGCTTAGGGCTGCCTTCTCGGGCCATTCCTTATTTCAAGCAGGTTGAGCTAGAGGACATCCATCCCGTTATAGCTGTTCGTCGAGTTGGCTGAACATGTGAGGATGGATCTCTGGTTAGCTACGTTTTCATCAGCCAATCAAGCTTTGGAGTGGAAAATAATTTTTCCAGGGTAACTGCTTGGCATTACTTGGTAATTTATCAAAATTCATTGGTACCAGAGTACGCGCCAAATATAGCACCGTGCCAGATAGTTATTGAAAAGAAGCAAAAGGCAAATTGAAAATAAATGCATTAAATAAATAAATGTAGCACCTAGCAAAAATGGATGACAAAGTGACCCCTGAATCAAGTCTATTCTTATCTGCACATCAAAAATCCAAGGTGTCCTTGAGGTCAAATCCTTTCAATGCAGTTTCAATTTCATGATCTCTCCGCTGATTCAATTTCTGTTGGAATTATGGCCTTGCTCCTCCAAGGAAGCTTTGAAAATTGTATACAAGTTATCCGATAAAATAGGTAGGTTGTAGGGGGAAATAAGAAAGAAAGGAAATGACAACAAGGAGAAAAGGTAAGAAAAATCCTCGCCGCTGTCAAATTGATCGAATCGCCATCACACCCTTCCAACTCTCTTTAACCACACTTCCTGCTTCTCGTCTGCTTCGTTTTCGCCTCCCCTTCTTCTTCATGATCCTAGATCTCAACGTCACTTCCTCAGGTCTTGCTCGAGGTCTGGGATGTCGCAAACAGCTACGATTCTGCATTGTAGTCACTCGCGAGCGTATCCCGGGACCGGGAAACGTCTTCGTGAGAGTCAGTAAGTCTCGCCACCTGCACCATTGTGCGAAGGGGCCACCATAGTGGAATATCCGTATGTTGCGCCGGCCTGTTCGTTGGGGTCCAGGTTCGGGCTCAATATGTTGCTGGAAGTCTCGGGTGCGACCGCGAAACCTGGTCCCGCTGGATTGCCAGCACCTGGGGCACCGCTTCCAGTTGCCCCGACTGGTCCGCTGTACCCGCTGCTCGGTGGCCGGTTCTGGTTCTCCCCCCTTGAGGATTGGGTCTCAAACCAATCAATTCAATTGTTCAGATATTGCGTCCCCCCCAAGTTGAGGCAACAAAAGGAAATGACATAAGAAATTGGGAGGAGCAGACAGGTAATCAGCCTATACTCACTTCTCGATATTTTGAAAGATATATCTTCAGCGCTTCGGAGTAGTTCTCGAATCCGAGTGAAGTCATCGCAAAGAGGATGTCTTCCCCATTGACTGTCTTCCTTTTCTCTTGTTGACATTTTTCCGAAGCTGCAAGTTTAGAAGGCGTAAATTAGTTCTCAAATATCGTTGTCGTGCATCGCCAAAAAATGGAAGGGCAGAATGCATACCTTCGCTGGTGATGAACGAGATGAACTCGCTCACACATTCTTGCATGCATTCTTTTGCCTCCTTCGCGATCTTGGCGTTGTCGGGGAGAGCGGTTTTCATTATGCGAGCAACTAGAGCAAATCGCGGATGTTAGCATGATGTAGTGAAAAGTGGACCAGAAGGATGCGCTGCTATCCTAAGCAGGTGTAACTGATTGAAAAAAAAAAAAAAAAAAAAAAAAAAAAACCCTTCCACTCGGATATTTGAAAGCTGCGGTGGGATAACGAATAGCCAGTGGCCACCCGGTAAAGGTAGAAAAGGCAAATCAGAACACAGGAGGAGTATGCACAATTCAAAGCCAAAAATCACAACATGCAAGAACGCGCTTAACGAACCATTTGCAATTGGAAGCCATCGATCCTGCTCTTTCACCTCAAATTCTCCCTGACCTTGCGCTTGTGTATCTTGGTGTTCTCGTTCCATATGCTCCGCGTCTTCGCCTGACTGAGTTCCTGGTTCCACCTCTGGTTCCTTTGGAGGAGAGGCCGACGACATGATTTTTACGTCTTTTGGATACGCGCACGGGAATTACCGTCGACACGGACTAAATGACCACGTCACTCCTCTCGAGTCCTAGGATCTGCGGGTTCTATGCAGCCCTGCGTCAACGTACGTCAGACTGGGCAGCTATTTGCTTCACAACAGCCCTGAACGGGGACTTCAAAAATCATGGTGTAGGGAGAGAGGGCACTCGAGTGGCTGCTTCTTTCTTCGGTAACCTACCGGGTTGCTGCGCTATAATGGCGCCTCTATTGAACGGGACCAGCACAGTTAATTCTCAAACGCGCTGTTGGCGCGCACTGGCTAGCAACCCTTCTTTAAAATCTAGCGATGCGATCGGGAGGTATGGCGTGGGAATGGTGGATAGATCTAAAACTAAACGGGTTGGGCGGTGATGGGTGGGATAACGCGGGTCAATTGACCAGGAATAGGGCACAGCCAAATTCCAGGTTGGGCTGATAGTTCTTGATATCGGCTGCAGCAACGGAGCTACGCGTTGTGCAACGAGGTTGTTGCCGTTCTCCTAATTTGTAGACAAACCAGTTGCACGAGAGAAATATAGGAACGAGATGGCCAAAAGCGAGCAGGTCATATAGATCAAAGTAGCAATTTGGCAGACTCGTCTCAAGTGACAGGCCCAGACAGCCTCACCCACCCCGCTTTCTTGCTTCCCGTCTCCTTGTATATCTATCCGCAGCTCTCCGTCACTCTTTCTTTACCTTGCTCACTTTTGCTTTCCGGAATCCAGCGGTGAGTTCCGGTGTTCGCGCCGCGCACAACGTCGATGAGCTAGCGAGTTAACTTGGCGGTCTGGCCGGGTCAACAGGAGGACAAAACTCAAAGCAAGTCGATTGTGGCTGGGAATGAAAATGAAGAGGAAGATAAAACTAGGGGATCTGTTGGGCGTCTCGGGCGTCTTGGATGTCGTGGAGCATAGCTGGACGGAAGAGAACCGCAAGAATTCCACACTGGCTGAGAAGACATGGGTATTTCAATACGGCAACCACCAGGTAAATATTACGCAAGCTCAACCCAGAAGGCGGTGTTGGAGGCGGTAATCGCGATACAGGTAACCGCAGAAAAAGCAAAAAGCGAAAAAAAAAAAAAAACGGCGCTTAATTCAGAAATAATGGCGATGAGAAAAGCCAGGTATATGAGTTTTTATGTTCGCGTGGATATCTACGCAGCGCTGCATGGAAGCTTTGACGACGTCAAGAAGATTCCAGCAAATGGCCAGGACGGGTTCCTAGCTGTTGTTACCCTCGAATCATCGTTCGGTATATATGGGAAAAAAGCATGACAACAGACGCGACAATTGGGTGGGCTACACCGGTAGACGTCTCTTGCGGAACCAGTCAAAACCCGCCAATTCTCTGGCTTCTCCCAGTTGAAAAACGCGGTTGGCTGAGCGAGTCTGGATTCCAGAAATTAAAATGTCCAAAACTCCGCCGAACCCTGGGAAAACATTCGTCATACCTAGGTTATGCTGGCTCTCTCTTACGGCAACCAAACCCAGAAAAATATCAAACATCAAACTTGTTTCAGTTAGTTGGGAAGGCCCTTTACCGCGCTATGTTTTAAGTAAACAGCCTGAAATCATCCGCGCGCGCTCTCATCACTTTTTCGAAAAAATACTGAGTGGGTGCTTCCCTGGTGTGCCTAAAATGTTCGCTACTGCAGTGGGGATTCACCTAAATGCATGGTGACCATGAAGTGTCCTTGCATTGGCGTTGGCTTTTTAACACGTTTTTTTAATTTTTTCTAAGAGTAAAATTCCCACCTAAAATTGATGTTTGCCCGGCTATCCCGACTTCATCGACACTTCAACGACACACGGGAACTGAGAACTACGCGCCCTGTTGAGATGTTCTCTAGGCTGCGTCATGCTTGGGCTCCCTCCATGCGGTAGACTTTGAAACTAACGCACCTCTCGGTACCCAACGAAAGGCCGTGAAACTTGGGACTGGGGCAGGCCCCTCAACATTTCTGAAAGATAGGGCTTGTTTTTAGCGCATACATGAGCATGGACTCAATTTTTGGGGAGATTCTGAATCCGAAGAGGGGAAGGGATGTTGTGGACCGGCTCTGCCAACTCAGTGGGATGAATGAACCATCTTTCCTGACAGCATGGCAGGCACATACCGAACATCTGCAGCTTACTGCAGGAGACAACCCTGGAACGATTGTAGTTGGGTGATATCACTTTGCATCGTGCAAGTGGGGGGAGGTGTACGCTGTAGGAGCAAACAAAATTCCCCGTCTGGTGCTCGAGCGGAGGAGAACCAAAACGTCCATGGAGTGTTCATGCTGCCGAATATAGATCAAAACAAGGGAACCAGCTGATTTCCATGAAAGCAATGTAAAAGTGATATAAAATATCAAAACAAGAATTTTCGGATCCCATTGGAATATCATTTTCCTGGAAACTATTCAGTGCTTGACTCTCCTCCCCATAATCCCAGAATATTCTCCTCCTTTTTCATGTACTTTCTAATTCTTTTTTCTTTTTGTTTTTTGTTTTTGTTTCATGCGTTAGGCACGCCTGCATAGAAAACAAATGGTTCGTCCAAGAAAAATTGCATCATCGACCACACACCCTGACCGCCAGGTTAAACCCCCCCAAAGGAAGTAAAATAATAAAATCAATAAATCAATGACTAGAAGGTACCCAAAGTAGAACACGAACTGTGACGTGTGCAAAGCCTACAGATCATAGAGCAAATTATTTCGTTAAAACATTCTAAGTTCCGGGCTTGCCTAGGCAACAATGCCTATGTCCAGCCCTTCACTCCCCCCCAAAAAAGAAACTTTTACGCCAAACACCTCGAATGCAGATGATGTTGTTAATGATGCCAGACGGCTGCGAGACGCTGTTGATAGATAGCTCCCGGAACCGTGCATTCCGCATTGGAAAAATTCCAGCCCGGTTTTATCCCTTTCCTATTCCCGCACGACTTGGACATTATTCTTCTTCTGTAGCAGTCAATGGTCACCAGTTAGTTAGTAATCATAATATAACAGTTTCCACTTCAATCACCGCCAGTAGAGATAAAAAGAAGAAAAGAAAAGAAGAAGAAAAGAAAAGAAGAAGAAGAAGAAGAAGAAGAAGAAGAAGAAGAAGAAGAAGAAGAAGAAGAAGAAGAAGAAGAAACAATGATAAAGACAAAAAAAAAGCAAAGGGATATTCTCCCTCCTTCTTTCCCCCTCCCCTCTCCCAACCTCTCTCATATCTCACAATCCGCAACCCACTACCACACCAACGCCGACACGACGAAGAAGCGCAGTGGAAAAGGGGGAAAGAAAGAAGAAGAAGAAGAAGAACAAAGAGTAAAACAAAACAAATCCACAAATAAAAACAAATAAAAAAAAAAAAAAACAAACCTTCCACCCATCCAACTCATCCTGCTTCGCCTTGTACTGCTTCAGCAACTCATCCAGCACCTGCTTCAGCCCGTCCGAATTCGTCTTGAGCGGCGGGATCACGTCCTTCACCGTCCGCTCCACGAGCACGCCGTTGATCATCCGGAAACATTTGCGGTCGCCGGGGAGGGGCTGTAGCGTGTCGATGACGAGTCTGTGGGGGTGGGGGACAAACAATGGAAGTGTATGGAAGTAGACGTGAGTGAGTGAGGATGGATGAATGGGGGTTATTGTGCGTTGTGTGTGTGGGTGGGGGGGAATGTTGGGGAGCTCGGGTTTAAAGGTGAAGGAAGAGGAGAGGAGAGGGGAAGGGAGGTGAGGCCGGCCGGCACAAACTCACTTATGTTCTTCGGTCTCCTGCTCGATGTCCCCGATCTTCTGCGCGAGTTGTTGGAGGGCGGTTTTGTAGTTTTGATATTGCGCTTGCAGCTCTGCGGAAATCCCCAAGGTTTGGTGGTTAGTTAGTTGGATATGAAATTTAAAAAAAAAAAAGCTGATGGATAGGCCATTGCTAGATTCTGGGGGCTGCTTGCTTGCTTTGATGGCTTACCTTGCTGCCTTCTCGGGTTTATTTGTTGAGAGGCCATTATTTTTGTTTTAAATATGGGGGGTGGATCGTTGTTGTTGAAGAGCTGCGGGGAAGTAAGTTAGTTAACTAACCTTTTGGTGGATGTTGTTTGGCTTGAGTTTCTGACACTGTCATCAACATCGATGGACGGCGGTCAAAGCTCTTCCCGACACCCCTGACAAGATTATAGAGAATAAGTCACGAATAAGTCATGAATGTTATCCCAAGTGCTCTGCGCCATTCGATATTATATCCACAGCTTCCAAGGTCATTTATTATAGCTGTTTTCTTTGTGGCATGTATGTACTGTACTCAATTATTCCCTTTTTAAAATTTGCTCTCATTCTTCGAAGCAGCAGAAAATGATAAGCGAAAAACGATTTGAAAATTGTCATTTATTTTATTTTATCTTATTTTAGTTATCATTTAGAAAGATATAACGGAACTTATTATTAAAAATAACTATCTAACTGTTAAGTTAGCTATTCATCCTGTCTAAATAGCAGCCTTAAAAATAGACTATCAAAGCGAACAAGAACCACCCCGTAGAAAAAAAAGTTGTATGTACATATAAATCTAAAATATTCAGTATAGCCATTTTATTCATCTCAAATAGCAATATAGATATAGTCCTGTAGCCCTAGTTTGATAATAAACATAAACCAGTGCGCCGAACCCTCCTGTGCCTTCATTCAAGAAACAAGAAGCCGACGCTCCAGGAAGAAAATAAAAATAGTGATAATAATAACAGATAATAATGCTAAAATCCCTTATCATTGACTCATTAGCACTGAGCGCGACATGACGACTGGAAAAATGTATGCTCAAGAAGCCGTGTGGGAGGGACATTTGGCGCTTACGTGGTACACTGTTGAAATTTGCAAAGGATATGTTATTGCGGTTTGTGAACGGCGCCGCTCCACCTCGTCCGAATGGTACGTCCCACGCCTTTTTCTTGCGGGCGGACGTTGATACAAGCATACCCAGCTTGATCGCTTCGGGAAGGTGTCCTGCATAAGCAGTCGGTGATGTTAAATAATCGGCGAAAATATCCCGTTTCTTTGGCAAATCCAACGTTGACAGAACGCGTTTGTGCGTGTGGGCTGACATTCCCATTAAAAGTGGGTATTGCGTGAGTGAGTGCGTCGCGTGTGGGTTGTGAACCACCTTCTTTTTCAGTTGGAGCAACAATCCGGATTTGATTTGATATTGACGGACATGATGAAATAGAAATTTCTGAAAAAGAGATGAGTTTCTTCCGCCAGCAGTATCACGACTTGTCCAACCCTGGGAGGGCTTTTGGGGTTTGCGATGGATTGTTCAAACAGTTCAAAAATTTTGAAGGGGTTTATGAGGTTTCATTTGTTGTTTTGTTGTTGTTGTTGTGTAAGGGCCCGCTGCGGGAGCGGTCAGGACTTAAACCACAAAAATTTGGAAGTATGCGCAGTCCCTCGCCCTCGCTCGAGTAGTGGTTGACGGGTTATTGCATACCGTCCTATCAAAAAGAGTCTTGACATCTCCTTCTAGAGTGGGAAGAAGAATGCTGCCAGGGGTAAATGTGATAGCAACATCATAAAGAAAACTGTCATATAGTAGTAGTCAGTTGCTTTGCTTTCTCACAACGGCTGCATCCAGGACGAGTCCTGGAAATAATCCGACATGCCCGGCTCATGCAGGTATAATTCACGCCACTCATCTTCCATGTCCGTCAGGTCCTCCATGACAATTGGCCTAGCCTGCTCGGAGTCACCAAACGAAAAGAGTTGTCGCCAATCGGCTGGGCCGCCGGGTCCGCTCGTCATCTGGTTCGTTACTCCGATGTGGTCAACGACGGGAGCGGGATGCTGGATTGGCGTGGATGAGGGAGAGAGTTTGATACGGTCATCGAACTGAAGGCCATTGGGTGGGCAGATGTTATCATTAACACGTGGTGGGGCTGATTGTGAATCTGCCCCAGGACTGGTTGGCTCTGGATGTTTTCGTTGCTGATGATGGTGATCCACGTCCTTCGATTTGTAGGTGGAGTGTCGTATCTTGACATCCTGGATGTCACGCTGCAGGCGTTTTGAACTCTCAAATAGGCGCAGGATCGTCTCAGCGTTGAGCCAGTATTCTGCGTGAATGCGAAGCGAGGCGAGTGTTGAATCGAATCGACGAAGGCCGTTGATTGCTAGTACAGGGTTTGAAAATCGAAGTTCCACCCGTACTTGAATCATCGCTGTGAATAAGGCGTTGACCGATGAAATCCACAAATATTTCAACCGATCCTTCTCTCTCAGATCCTCGAAGATAGAGACAATGACGCCGGCAGCTGCGCTACATATCTCAGCATCGTTAGGGCCGTAATCATCCGAATACGCCGAAGCTCGAGGGTGAGGGCGGTGAAGCAAAATCAGGAAATTATTATAGGTCAGATGGAGGAGAGCCGGCCACGAACCGGAGTCGGCAGAGGACATTCGAACCGAATCTGGGAGCATAAGCGACCAATTCGCAAGTGCTTTATCCGCCTCGTTGAGAACGGCCTTCCGCCGCTCGGGACTGACTCGCAACCCAAATCTTTCTTTCACGATGAACGAAATCATGGTGCAAAGCTCGGTATAGTGTATCACATAATCAATTTGAACGCGGCACCCACAACCTTCGAAATCCGTCGCAGTAAGAGGCTGAACATCGCAATCCTCCAAGTTGCTATTTGAGTCGTGGCCCTGGTTAGTGTCCCTTCTCATGTCGGAGAATCCAAAAAAAAAAAAAAAAAAAAAAACCGGCACGAAGAAAGTTGAGTTAACTCACACAGCCTGAGGTCTCCCATACAATAGGGATACCATAACGTCGAACTGAACCAAGATCCACCAAACCCGCCGCCACATGCGCTTATCAATCGACACCATCCTGCTAGAGCTCGCATTGCGGTGCATTCCCAAGCCCGTTGCAATTCTGGCAGCCACCCCAACCCAGTAGTGAGCGTTTGCGGAGACGTCATCATCAACAGGATCGGAATACCAGGTGAGAAGAAGGGCTGCCTGGACAAGAATATCCCGATTCCGTTCAACGCGCGAATCGAACAATATTTTAGCCCGGCGGAAAAAGGCGGTCTTTAGCGAATCGCGTTGTGGGCGAGGACGAGACACATGCGCGCCTACAAGGAGGATGGCCTGAAGAAGCAGCAGCGACGGAGGGTCTGAGGGATCTCGACTTTTGTATTGTGCCATAAACACGTCCTCGTCGATTATCGGGCAGCCGGGGTTGACATGGGCAAAGTAAGCATCCACCAACTCGTCCGCGAGTTGTTGGTCGGGAAGGACGAAGGCATCCCTGGGAATCTGCTCTAATCCGTTGTTCATGCAGTGCTTCGAGATTTCGTTTGCCGGGAAGTGATAGACCTGATCGTTTCGGTCGCTGTGCTGCTGTCGAAAGAGGAAGTTGATATTTGACACATCTTGGCCAACGTATATAACTCTGACACCCCTCTTGATCGAGCGATGGTGGTCCTCCTCATCCAAGATTTGAACCAGGTGTCTCTCAAGCCTACGGGTATCATCTTCCTCAGCCTGTGACTCGGGCGTAATCCCTTCCAGAAACGACTGCGGCGTTGGAGGGTTTTTAAGCGCATTTTGTGTTGTTGTTGAGGGAGTATTCGGGGAGGTAGGTGATGAGGTAGGCTGCGACAGCCTGCTCGCCGGGAGGTTTGATGCCACAATTGGAGCAGCTGCACCATTTGCGGGAGGTAACGGGGCACATCGAATGGGGACGGGATGCTGAAGGGATCGGGAGAGCGTCCGCTTCTTCTTCTCGTGAATGCGACAATCGCTCTTCCCCGACGACCGGCAGTTGGAGCACGGAATACCGACGTTCCGCGCATCACAGCGGACTTTGCGCTGGTGACAATGCACGCAAGCGGCGGGGCCTGGGGCGGGTTGGCCCGTTCAAGCCGTCAGCAGGGATGCGAGAAAATAAGGAGAGAAGGAACCTTGGAAAGCAAAACAGCAGAAAATCCCCGGCGCATCGGCAAAATGCCGGTCGGTGTTCTGAACGAATAGGAGAGATTGGATGCAGGAAGGAACGGTTGCAACTTACGTTTCCGCTTCAGCGACGACCCCTCAGCAGCGGGCTGTGCTTTGGGGTTGGATGGGGAGGACATGGCGGAGCAGGCGCGGATAAAGAAAGAAGAAGACGAGCCTCAACGCCCCGATATCCTAGATCCTAGATCCCTCCCAGTGTCGAATTGCTCAGGCAGCCCATTCCATCGTATCTGGCATTGTGAGGAGAAGGAAATGGGGATAAAACGTAAAATTATTAATTGCCGGACAAGATTCCAGGTTCTCAGGGTCTCAACACCTCACGTGGGACCCGCCTGGTGAGGGTTGTTGATTGGCGCAAAGCCCGCCAAAAAGTGCACTTCGCTGTGGTTCCAGGCCAATGGTGGCCAGTCGGGCCCCGAGTGTTTCCCGCAGCTTCAGGACGCAAGTGGAAGGTCGCAGAGGAGGCGTGGAGGAATCGTGGTAAGTCGCATGAGTATGCAGCATTTGCCAGTCGCAGCAACGTTGCAGGCCCACGGTTTTGAATTTCTGGAACATTTTCTGGTTGGTGGGATCGGGGGTTTGACTCTTGGAGAAGCATTGCCGAAGCAAAACCTTGAAACCTTCAGTGGCGGGGGTGCCTGGAACGTTTAAAAACTGTGTGAACATAATGTTGCCATATATACAATTGCTCCAACTTGCTATGACCCTCCGCTTTAAGGGCCTCGAGGCGATCAGGAATCTATCTCTCCCACCTGCAGTATCCCATATACAATCGGGTTCTTCTTCCCGGGTGTTCAGCAGCAGCGAGGCAAGCTCAACAGATCCACCGAACGTGGCCATGCCTAGCCTTCTCTAAGCGGCTACTAACCCTCAAATCAACTCTTGAAGAACGCGTCAATAGCTTCTTACAGAGACGACGGTAGCTATGGTGAGTCGCTTCTTTTCTCAACCCACTCTGCCTCCACAGAAAAAAAAAAAAGAAAAAAAAAACCAAAGGAACCCGACTCTCACCCCCCAATCAGCCAAGCCGAGTGGGGTTGTCAAAAAGTAGTACGGAGTACTTTGTGATCAAAGCCGCGCTGCCTTCTTGAGCATTTCACTGCATGCTGCGCAATTGGAACATCTCTGTAGTAGTCTCAGAGAGACATAACTCGGACAAGACACCGGGAACTGTGCAAGGGATAGCTCCGATGATTCTTCATGGTGGAAAAATGTTAGTTCACTGGCGCAAAAGAGAGCCCGATCAGCCACCAGCGCCATGCCGGTAGTAGAAGGGACAAACTAATCCAAACCCCCATGAGCAAAGTCCCCCGCTCACCTTATCTTGCCTTCCCCCATCTCTCCATGCAAGCCTGAGGTTTGAAAAAAGTGGTTGGATAACAGGGGATGTCGGGCTAGTTATTCTATATTCTAAATTGAGACTAATTGGAACTATTTTGGCCTGTAGTGTTTTTTTTTTTTTCCCTTGGTAATTCCCTCCTTCCCTACCTCTGTAACTAACTACCCAAGATTAGCCACATGTTCGTAAAGAAGTAGTTATTGAGAGCTTTCCGAAACATTTGGCCCTTTGACTACCACCTGTAGATTTGTAGCCATCACTATTGATTTGCCTGGCAGATCGACCTGTAGTTCTCCATTGATTATCCATCTGTATAGGGCGAGGTCACTGCACCACGAAAGCTATTCGGGGGGGTGTTTGGCCAGAGGGAAGCTGATAGTAAAAACAAAATCGATATCAGGTGCACACATCCAGTCCCCTCTAAAGCACACCCTCCACGTGGACTAGGTACGATGGGAATTTTTCCAGGTTAATCAGGAATCCCGCGTTGAAGAGATGCGGGCATCGAGAGAATCCTTCCAACAAATCTGTTGTTTGCTTGTTGAACCAACTGGCTGGTCTGGCTGGTCTGGCTGGTTTGCCGCGGTTGGGATTGAGGGCCCACCGTTGTGGCTCCGGTGCTGGCCAGCCAATCACCGACGGATATGACCCCCTCGCCCCCCACCAAAGTCGAGTGCGGAGATCGAATTTGTGTCTTTCCTTATAAAAAGCAGGAAGTAAGTACGGAAAGTTTCGCGGGATTGTGTTCGTGGGGCCTTCCAAGGCTGGAGTTTCTGACATCCCATACAGCTTTAACTTACCCGTTAACTATATACTATATACTATACTACACTACCAGCTCACGAGTTCATCGAATCAGTATAAGCTCCCCACACAACCCCCTCCCCGCACCCCCTCGCTCGCTCGGACCCGCCCCACGCGCAGTTTTCCCATGAGTCACGGCATTAAAAACCAATAAATATATCTCTCCTCATCCCTCGACAGGCATATTTCTCCATCAACTCCCTCGGAATAATAATAAAAAAGGGGAGGAAAAAGAGAAAAAAAGAAAATAAGGAAAAGAGAGAGAGAGAGAGAGAGAGAGAGAGAGAGAGAGAGCGACAGAGAGAGTAGATATCTGGGAACCGAAGCCAGCCATGCCTCCTCCCCCCGCTACAGTTGACGCTCATGCGCTGAACAATGGAACGCCCGCCGCGCCATTGACCGTTGAGGGCGTCCCCGCTCAGCGAGCGAAGACTCAGATGCCTACCGGCGTCGCTGCCTTTTCCAGTAGTGATATGTTCAAGAGTTCGGTAAGTTCGCACAGGCTATTGCCGTAAAGGATGTGGTTATTCCACAAGTGGAGATGGGATGGGAGATTTGAAGTTGGATCGGACAGGGTATCTAGATGGAGCTTGCGGAAGGGAACAGAGAGAGCGAGAGAGGAGAGAGAACTGAAAGGAATTCGAAATTTGCTAATTTTTGCGGGGAACCTTTTTCATAGGCCTGCTTCGGTAAACCGAAAGCGAAGCGCTTTGATCGTGAGTTTGTACTCCAAGGTCTGCCGGGTTCCATGTGTACATTGCATTAACAAAGGTGGTTTGCTTTCTGCTTTCCCTAGACCTTCTATCCACTGAAAGCAAAGGCCGACAGGTAAGCCTGGAACGAAGTACCCCATTGCTGTCTGCTATGCTGCTGTGACAGCATGAACGACGGGCCGCATACATTGATTGACGTGAAAATCCTCATGCGCAGGCCTCGTCGCTGAAACAAGCTGCCCAATACCTAAAGACACCAGGTATACCTATTGGAATAGAGCGCGCCTTTTTTTTTTCTTCCCCACGGCTTCATTCCACCCCAAATTCATGCCTTCCTCCGGGACTGGATGAAAAAAAAAAAAAAAAAAAAAAATGTATCTAATATCTCGCTCCAGGCCTTATTTCATTGGGGGGGGGCCTTCCATCATGCGAATACTTCCCCTTCGAATCCATCTCCATGAAAGTTCCGACCCCGCCACATTTCTCAGAGAAGGATACGGTGAAATCAGGAAAGGTTGTCACTGCTGGAAAATACGATATAAGGAATGGAAAGAGCGAATATGGTTTGTTTGTTCTCTTTTTTCGCTCCTTCGCTCCTATATTATAATTCTGGTCTATTTATATTTCTATGGTGATTGTGTACTCAAACTAACCTTTGGTTTTTTTACCTCTCCTTTTATAGATTTGGAGATCGCTCTGAACTATGGCCAGTCGCATGGCGCAGCGCAGCTGTTGCGGTTTGTGACCGAGCATACTGAGGTAGGCAAAATGCGTTAGACCCACGGGATAAGAACGGAAATCGATACAACGCCAAAAACTAAATAAAAACAAAAAAACTCCAATGACAGATCGCTCATAACCCTCCGTACGCCGACTGGCACTGCTGTCTAACCGCGGGAAGCACCTCAGCTTGGGACATGGCATTGCGCATGTTCTGTGAGCGGGGGGACTACATCATCACGGAGGAGTACACATTCGCCACAGCCCTCGAGGCAGCAGCACCGTTGGGTATCCGCGCGGCGGCCGCCAAGATGGATGACCAAGGCCTCCTCCCCGAATCTCTCGACGAGCTGATGAGCAACTGGGATGCGGATGCCCGGGGCGCACGCAAGCCCCACCTGCTCTACATCGTGCCATCAGGCCAGAACCCGACTGGCTCGACGCACGGCGCCGAGCGGAGAAGGGAGATCTACAGGGTGGCGCAGAAACATGATATCTACATCGTTGAGGACGAGCCGTACTATTTCCTTCAAATGCAGCCGTACAAGGGCGCGGGGACCCCGCCCGATCCGCCCCCAGCGTCCCATGAAGAATTCTTGAAGTCCTTGATCCCGTCTTATGTGAGCATGGATGTGGACGGGCGCGTGCTGCGGCTGGAATCGTTCTCCAAGGTCATCTCTCCTGGATCCAGGACGGGCTGGATCGTCGGCTCCGAACAGATTATCGATCGCTATAGTCGGCATTCCGAAGTAAGCACTCAGAACCCGAGTGGCATGGCGCAGATGATCCTCTTCAAGCTCCTGGATGAGAGTTGGGGCCACAAGGGGTATTTGGAGTGGTTGGTAAATATTCGCATGGCGTACACGGCGCGGAGGAATAGTATGTTGGAAGCGTGCGAAAAGTATCTTCCGAAAACCGTGGCTAGTTGGAATCCCCCCGCTGCGGGGATGTTTGTAAGTTTACAAGCAGCCACAGAGTCTTTGTTTTTAAAGCCCCCTCCTCCCCCCCTTCCTTTTTTTTTTAAGTGTAGCTGGCTAATATGTGCTTCCCTCCTCTCGTTCCATAGCACTGGATTAAGGTGGACTGGCATAAGCACCCAGGTTTCCGCGAAGGCAAAGACCACGCCGCTATCGAGCAATCCATCTTCAAAGCCGCCATCGCGGAAGGTGCGCTTGTCTCCTGCGGCAGCTGGTTTGTAGCAGATCGTTCCATTCCCGAGACGGACATGTTCTTCAGAGCCACATACGCTGCGGCCCCTGGCGACAAGATCGAAGAAGCCATCAGGCGGATCGGTGTTGCGTTGAGGGCTGAGTTTCAGTTGGAATAATGGAGAGATTTATGTTCCCTATTCGTAATTGATTGGGCTGGAGGATCGGTGTTGGGAATTTATTTTCCTTTTCCTTTTCCTTCCCTTACCACACGCTGCTATATATGAATGTATTTCGGATTCGTTTTGGGTTTTTGAAATATTCCAGCGCATCCTTATACCTTATATAAGTTATGTCGACGGTATGTTAGCTGGATTTTTGTTGAGAGGAACGGCTAAATGGCTCCTCCTATCTATGCTTTGTAGAAACGAGTTCTTCTGGTTGCCTTGAAGAAAATAATCATCTCTTTTCGGAGACTCCACCGTTCTCCAACCCGTAGAAGCGTCGTGACCATCACCATCAAATCTTAACTTATTTTCAATGCTGGGCCCACAATGAGAAGGAAGAAACCATACATAGCACTATTTCAAAAACACGAAGCCAACCATCTAATTGTCTCCACTATCAGTTCCTCCTCCTCCTCCTCCTCCTCCTCCTCCTCCTCCTCCCCCTCCTCCTCCTCCTCCTCATTGTAACCCTTCCCTCCCCCTCCCAACAAAAACTAGAAAATTAAAAACTAAAAACTAAAAAAAAAATATACATTAGTTAAACCCCCCTTCACTCACAATTCAATTCACTTGGCTCTCCCCGCCCAGCCCATTCACCCTACCGCAAGCCCTGAGTTCACATCCCCGCTTGCTCAGCCTTTTTACCGTCGGGGGTTCTGTCTCATTCTCATCGCGTTGATCTTGCCGGAAGAGCTCGATCGAGCTTTTTTTTTTTTTTAAAAACATCTTCTGTGGCCATTTAAGTGGACAAGGGCATCTTGGTTCAAATTCCAAATTATTAACTATATTGCAGAAAACATATCTCATTTGTTTGTTCCCCCTTGCAGGCTCACAGGAATATTGGTTTAACATACTGGCGGAGACGATGGTACTAGGAGTTACTTCTGATTTGTATGTTGAAGACGATGATGTTTGAGGGGGGAAGGGCCGGGTATCACGCTAATCTGAGGAACTAGCCGTGTCGGGGCAATTATCCCGGTCTTGGGGGTTTCGGATTAACTGCGACGGGGCCGGTTTCTAAGGGTAAATGACTGAAGACAACACCTTTGTGACATCTGGGACTTCAAATTTTCTGTGAATTTTTTTTTTTTAAAATAAAAACCCGGCTAAATTAGGTGGAAGGAGGAGGGAGGATTATGGGATCATTGTTCTAATTTTTTATCTTGCATCTTTTTTTTTCTTTTTCAGCCTTTTCTTCTTTGAATTCAGGTTCCCGGAGACAAGCTCAATGTCAAGCTCCTGCTACACTTTCCATAAATCTATATTTTTTTAAATTCCCTTATCGTAAAAGCCTTTTCCCTTCAGGTGTTCGCCCTCCAGTTCTATAGGTATGTCGACAAGTTGACAAGCTCAACATACGATTCTCATACTAGTATTTTTATACCTTACATGTTCATGCGGCACAATTGACAAGCCAACACATGGTGACTGGCTGTTCACTGACTATTTTGGTTTATCAGGTTTCTAGTGCCCAAGGTATTGGGCCCCCGACTTCTCTCTCTTGGAAATATCACCCAAATCTCTGATTTCCTTGAGTGCCAGGCCAGAGATTTGATTACCAAGAACTGTTGCAACTTGCAGCTAAGGCTTTATTCTCTCACTGTTCCTGAGTGGAGTAGAGAGACAAAGTTGGGCTATCTTGTATTGCTGGCTGCTTGCTGCTTGACTTGACTTGCCTTTGCAACAATGGCGACGACATCTAGCCACAAATAAAAACAAAGAGTATCTTGCTTTCACTACCAGCTGGGTCCGGTTCACAGCCCTTCACAGTTATCTGCCATTTCCCCCCAGCTGGAGGCAGGGTCAACACAAGAACAACACCATCCGGGAGGTTCTATTCTGTTCATCACGACGCAACGCCGGGGCAGAGTGTGATCTATTCTGTTGGGACTCCCCACGCCTTTTCCCTCCCTGTGGTCTGAATCCAGGTAAATATCCCGTTCTGCCCTTTGCTTGGATGTGTATCCCACTGTACTGGGATAGTTGTTTCAATGAGTAAAAGCAATTGACTGTAACAGAGATCTCTTAATAGAAAGGCCGGAAAGCAGCCGGAAGCCAACCGTAACCGTAGGGGACGAACGTACATAGTTACCGGCACGTTGAGCGAAGGAGAACTCGCGGAGATACTACCTACCTGGGTAGATAACTTCGTCTGCCATAGCAGAGAGCACTCCGGAGGCTTCGTAAGTGTTGTTTATTTATATCTTCTTCCCAACCCCCTCCCTCCCTACTCCCTCCCTTCCTCCCTCCCTTCCTCCCTCCCTTCCTCCTACATGCCCCCCTATCAAGCCCTTATGACAGCCTTTCTCGTGGCCATCTATCTTTCTGTGCATGATTTTCTGCACTTTTCCTATTGCATGTCGGGTCTCTCGCCCAAATGGCGCCCCCAGATAGTCGTGAGCGGCGAAATGCCTGCTACGGGTTCGGTTTTGCCCCCGTCTTGGTTCTTTGCGTTATTTTGCCTTTTGCCTGCCTTTGTGCGTTGATGGAACTGACCCAGTTATTCTGTTTAGCGATCAATTCCAGCCCATCCTTACCCGCGGGTTAAACAGTAGCCAACGGGATATCCGTGCTGCAAGCGCATATTTTCACCCTGACGCTGTCAATCAAGCGCGTGTTGCTGACTTTCCTGAAAATTCAGGGCTTTCTAGCGTTAATCTAGAGCGATTTGAGGACCCGCAGCATCAATTTGGACTTAGAGAGGGTTTACCTCGTTCGAGTTCTTATTCGTCAAGCTCTTGGGAAGACGATAGTGTCCCTGACACTGAAAATTTTGAAGGGGGCGAACCTGAACGTGGGATTGAAGCTTCAAACGACCCTCAGCAATCTTCTGCTCCTGATTTTTCTGACGAGCAGATTGATTCCGTTTTAGGTCTTTGGGAACGAAGAAGCAAAAGGTGGAATATTGATCCTTCCTTCTGCCCCAACCGCCCTGGTTAATTACAAACTGACTTAGTTTCGAACGTAGTCGAGCAGAAAAGGACGTCTCGTCCGCTGTTGAAGCTTTTCCAGCACTTGATCCGGAACCCGATCGTCCAGGACTTTACGGAGGAAACTTATCCCACGACACTTGCCCTTCTTTTGGCACGGTTCCCACTTCGTCTTTTTCGTCCGGTGCCCCTAAGACTCCAGAGTGGCCACCATCACCCTCAGATACTTTCCATGTATTTGACTATTCTGCTAGGTCTCCAGTTTCGCGTACCAACTTTCCAGATTCGTCAGTTTCATTCCCGCCTCGGGCTCGGGCACCATCGCACCAAACCGTTTACGGCTGCCCACAACTTACAAGCCAGTCTTTTGAAGACCAGCATAACCCGTCACCAAACGTATATAAAATCTGTCTTGATACTCCACAGCAGTCTAGACCATTTGAAAGGCGGCCTTTCCTAGATTTCTCCTCACTTCCCCAAACCTTTGGCTCAGAGAACCAGCCTCCTAACCGCCATCCGGACAAACGTCACAAGTCGAACACAAAACGTTGCCGAGGACGCACCCCTTTACCAAGCCCTCACGATTTCGAAACATTCAACAAAAGAAATCGTTTTGATCCATTAAGCTTTGTTCCGGGAAAGGAGGGTCGAATTAACAATCCACCACCACAGTGCCCCCTCGTCTCCCCTCCACCTTTCAGCCCGGCCTACGAAAAGTTTCCCACGACCCCCAATTATCCTGACGGATCTGCTCGTGTCCAAACTGTCGAAACTGTTGATACTGCCGGCAGCAGTGATTCCATCGAACAGTTCTCTATCCCATATTCAAAGTTACCCCTTCAGTCGATCTCAATCAAGAAAAAGCCTAGCAGAACCCTACGTCTCGCTGCGTCCCTGAAAAGAATTCTCACCCCAAGGCACAAAACCGCCAGCAACGACAAACCTACTTCCCGTCCTCTACCAAACCAAGCGAGTGAATTTTCTGCCGCCGAAGCAGAGTGGTTTGACAAGATCATCCAGCAACTGCAGCAGGAGACTGCGGAGCATGATAGGTACTGTGCAGCCATGGATTCACGGCATCTTGATCCGTCATCAGCCATGGTGGCTCTTACCAAACAAAAGGCAGAGGCTATGCGCCTAGCACGAGAACAAGGAGCTGCTGTGATGGAAATGTGTCGAAGAGCAAAAACAGAAATGCCTCCGTATCAATTTGAGGAACTTATCGGAAAGGGGGCTTATGGAAGAGTGTATAAAGGGTTGGTTCCTACTCTACCTAATCTGGGTCATTTTTCGTTTGCTTTAGTTTATTTGCTTTTCTTTCTTACCTCCGATTTTTTTTTTTAAAAAAAAAGAAAAACAATTTCACTTTTGCTGACTCTGCCGTTTTAATATATAGTCGCCAACTTCCATCGCAGAAATCCGTAGCCATCAAGGTGCTAGAGATAGATTCTCTGGATTATAAAACCGTGCAAGATTTCAGGGACGAGTCTATCAAAGACTTTATCCGCGAAACGAAGATCATGCAACAGGCCAAGGATGCTGGCGCCAAAAATGTCAACATGATTATTGAGGCTTTCTCAATCCATTCCCAACTTTGGCTCATCTGTGAGCATTGTCCAGGTGGAAGTGTTAAGACCTTGGTATGTCCTTTATGCCCATTATGTCCCTTCTGTTTTCTTATTTCCAACATTGAATATTTGAGCTTTTCTGCGGAGATGAGCACTGATAAAAAGATATTAGATGCGAGCGACCGGAGATAGACTTGAAGAACGATTCATAATCCCGATTGCAAGGGAGCTTGCGGAAGGTCTCAGGGCCATCCATGATGCTGGCATTATTCACCGTGATGTGAAAGGTAGAAACATCATCTCCTTGAAAGCGTATTGTATATGTGATTGTTAAACTAAGTATTTCATTCCATAGCTGCCAATGTCTTGATTCACGAGGAAGGCCGTTTACAAATCTGCGACTTCGGAGTCGCTGGCGTCATCCAGAGCAAGGTAGACAAGCGTTCAACCTGGATTGGAACTCCACACTGGATGCCGCCTGAGATGTTTCCAAACAGGCCTGGAAACGGGACACATAAATACGGAAGCGAGGTGAGTTGATCTACCTGGTTGGTTTTCGGCTGTTATTGGGATGATATTAACTTTGACTTTTGCTTAGATTGATGTTTGGGCTTACGGCTGCACTCTATTTGAGTGTGCTACGGGCAATCCACCAAATGCAACCCTAAGAGAACGGATGCAAATTGGACGCCAACTGAACAGGTTTCCTCCGAAGCTAGATGGAGATAGGTTTTCAGATGATCTGCGCTCATTAGTGGCATTTTCACTTGACCCTGATCCAAAAATCCGCCCGACCATGCAAAATATCCTTCAACACCCTTACATTGCGGATTCCACAGAATCCCACCCAACCGCCTCGCTAAGTGAACTGGTGAAGATATATTATCAATGGGTTCAACGTGGCGGTCAAAGGGTATCATTATTTAATCCCGGAGGCGCTGCCGCCGCTGAGTTTCCGGAGACACAAGACCCTTTAGATCGCGAGGACTGGAACTTCAGCACCACCGATGGCTTCGAGCGAAGATTCTCACTGATAGACCTGGATCAACTTTCTGCATCTCTTGCAGATCTCGAGAATGACAAGATACCAACCTTGCCTGAGCAGTCCGGGGATTATTTTGACGATAGCAAGGGGCCCGATTTAAGTGCAGAAGACAAAGCCAACTTCGACGAGCGGGTCAAAAGAGGCGCTGCAGCCATGGAGGGGCTTTTTAACGAAGAAAAACCAGGTTACAAATATGAAACTAAAAATGACTTTGTCCCCGTTCAGCAAGAACAGCGGTTTTCCTCCGATCTCCCTCTCCGAACAGATACTGACCGATCATCGGTTACATCTACGTTCATCGACATCAATCTCGGTGTATTTGACTCTGCGCATTACGCAGCTGGCTCCGCCTCCAACCATCCTCCATTCCAACTTGCCGATGCAGATACAATCCGAGCAAACCGGTCTAGCAGCAGACTCATGCGGACTTCAACCACAAGCAGTGACTCGGGCGAATTCCAACCACAACACGGGCCGCGGCCACCTACGATGGAATGGACGTTCCCCGCTACAATGCAAACTGGGACGGATAACGCCAGCCACGACGAACCCGGGCCGGACGTTGAGCAACCATATGAAGACAGACGAGATACCCGTGAATGGATATTCCCTGTCATGACCGCAGAGGAGGAACCCCGACACGAAGAACCCGACACATGGGCGGATGGGAGCGCGTCATCCCGCCGTATCGAACCCGACGATGAAATGACAAAGAGGTTACACCCCCTGCAGCTCCCAGAATTCACACAGCAGCCTTCCGGTGACGGTTACTTAGACTCACGACCCTCAACCGCAACGTCCACACAATCAACGATGTCCGACGCGGATAACGACCCCTTCCGATTCGACAGACCCGTCACGCCTCCAGGCGAGGACGCGATTGATTATGATGACGAGCTCCGCAACTCCTTTTATACCACGTCTTCCTTGGATAGATTCCCGGCCATCACGGACTCAGTCGTCTACACGGACTTCGACGAAGGCACGCACCGCTCAATATACAGCTACACTGAAATGCCTGGTCCGTACCAGGAGACCAGCATGGTTGCGGGGCCTGGGAGCCGGCATGGGAGGGCGGAAGGTGGCGCCGATGCTAATGGTGCTGCCCATGGCAATGGTAACACTGCTGCTTCTTCTGCTGCTGCTGCGGCTGCTGCTGCGGCTGCTACTGATGGTGACAATGATAACGATAACGATGTTATGAATGATGGTGATGGAACGGAAACGACATCTGCTGTACAGTCGGAGATGATGCCGTTGGATTTCCCAATTCCTGTTCCCCCGAGTATGGAGAGCATGATGGAGGGCGCGAGTGACGAAATTGTTGTGCAGGAGCTGGATCGCCTTCTGGCGGACTTCCTGCACGGCCTCGGAGTTACTGGAGAGGCTCTTGTGAGGACGGAGGTGGGGAGGGGTAGGCAGGGCGGTGGTGCTGGCAGCAGTGGAGGGGAGAGTTCTAGAGGCAATCGAGCAGAGCGGGAGCCAGGTTCAGAGCTGGATGATTGAGGTGATGGGATATCTTGCTGGGGTTTTTTTTTACACAAAAAAAGGGGGAGAGGGGAGGATTATTGGAGCCTGTGATGGCGGCGTTTCAAACGGAGAAACGTTTGTTTCCCCACCCAGATATTTTCGTATGGTTGATATGGATGGATGCTGTGAGATGTTTATTTATCGGTCTGTTTATTTCAACTCAAAGAGGAGAAAGGAGAAGTGTCTACCTCGATGATTTAAGGCTTTGGTCCTGTACTACTTGAGCTGGGATACTGGGATTTGAGACAACATTGGGAGTCAATGAATAAATGAATGAATGGAATTGCGGAGTAACACAGAGGAGAGAGAAAGAAAGAGAGAGAAGAATGGAGCCACGACTAGGAGTCTGATATGGCAGTTGATTTAGATGTTAATACCAATGAACTACTTTATGTTATTTATTACTAGCTTTGAGCCGCTGACGCAGATGATGCGGACAATTGGGCGCTTGGCGTTCAAAAGTCAGGGGCCGCTGATTTTCCATTTATGCAGTTACAGCCCGACATTATCGCAGAATACGTCCATGTAGATGTATATATATATATAGATATATATATGTCTATTCGCATCCAGGTCTTGTTGTTGACCACCTCGACCCAGCCACTCAACCTGAAAGAGCGATGGTCGAACTTCCAGACATCCACAGGTGAAGAATGAAGCGGCAGACAATAATAATAATGCTTTCAATCTGTGATCGCATTCGGTCGTTTTCCATGCTTCCCATCTCTCACACCACTCTCCAGGGTCGCGAAACCATGTTCTTCTTCTTCAGACACGTCCCTCGCATTGACCCTGTCCGTCACCCTCCTGTCTCATGCGTACTGACTGCGTATGTGAAACAGGATTCCTGCATGCTGGCATCCGTACCTGGCTAACTAGTCGTCGGTACCTGCATATGAGCTTCCTAACCCGGCAGCGCTGTCAGTTGTGCGACTGTCCACAGGCGCCGTCGTGGAGCGTGGAATGGGCTGGCTACCTGCATTCTGTGCCGATTATTTGGGGCCCCTTGGATCAGGATCTCGTTTGCATTTCATGGCGGCGAGGAGCTGCTTTTGATTCAACTCGGCTTGGCTCGAACGAAAGAATGTTGGCTGTCTTTACCCCTTTTGCTTTTTTCTTTTCTCATTGTTCCCGATCATATTTCATCCGATCTGTACTGTACATTGGATATGGCTAGATGATTCTTTACATGTCTCCAGGGCCAGATCTCGGCCTAGCTTGCCACACTTTAATTCCTTGATTGAGTCTTGAGGGGAAAAAAAAAAAAAACAAAAAAAAAACAAAGATACATCCACCAGACTTCTGCTTGGTGCGGGAATAAAAAGCACAGCTGCGGGAATTCAATTTGTGAGATTGAAAATGGAAACAGATGGTTCTCAAACAGCCATCTCCTTTTGCTTCTCTTCTGCTTTTGTTTTACGCTTCATCCTCTCCATCCTAGTTGCTTTTGTTGCTTTTGCTATAATTATGTTTCTGCAACTTGCGGTCCTATTGATGTATTAATTCATTTCATCGTAGGTAAGCTAGGGTTTTTTCTTCTCTACGTCTTTTCTTCTTCTCTTATCTGTTTTGTTTCCCATGGTATCAAGTCGTTGTTCGCATTCACTTTACCCAACTAACATCTATTTGCAGAACAACAAAGAAAATGTCATTGTCATTTTATTCATGAAAGAAAAATCCAAAACTATGTTCATGAAACCCCAGATCCGAGTTTGCTGTTGGGTTCCAACAATGCTATAAGTTGCTCGTATCCAACACAACACGTCAATCGCCTCTATCGGTTGCCGCGCCTTTTTGTTTTCTTCTCTTCCTTTCTTATATTTTCCCCTCCCACCTCTTTCTCGCATTATATTTGCTACATTCCTTACATATTCCTGCACCTGTTCAATCGACGAATACATTATCTCGCCATCTGCGTGTTGGAATATTTACTCCGTAGCTGGGATGCTACATGTATACTGGCTCCTTATCTGTTGATGTCATATCGCTCCTGATTCTACATTCGCATTGCACTATGTCTCCATCTATTTACGGCTCCCTCGTGGTGCCCAGTAATAGTACCCATACTCTTCAACTCTCCTATCCGTCGGAGGAATGGAAGCTCTCCCTTCAGGAGGTCAAACTACTCTACTTGCAACGCCAATATAAACAATGCGCTGCCAAATCTACAAAATTGCTGCGCAAAGCGGATAACCAGGTTAGCTTCTCTCTCAGTGCGTTTCTTGATACAACACTAGAGTTTCATACTGAACAGCTTATTTTTTTCCATAGCTCCATGCAATCCATAAAGCATTCCTCCATTACTACAGTGCTATCTCTTATGAATCATTGGGAAGAAGCGCTCATAATTACTCAAGCAACAAACTCCCACTCCTCAACTTAGCAAGAGATAATTTCACGGCCTGCAAATCCTCCCTCGCAGTAGCTCTCTCAGGGCCAGTTGAGAAAAAGAAACACCGACCACAACAGCCACGGCGGATACCCAGCAACAGGTGGCGCGAACACGTGTTGATGAATGAAAAGCGAAAGACATATCCTGCAACATCCCCGACAAAACTTCGTTGCGATACGCCTATCCTTGTTGAAGACTCTGTCAGCAATCATGCAGCTGTCTCCCCGGTGCCAGCTCAGCAATCTGCCACTTCCAGCCCGACTAGCACATCGCCACGTCAGGGGCAGTCAGAAAAGAAAGGACTCGTGCCGTCACCTCTACGCATCCACAAAGTCTGCCATGATGGCTATTTCCAAGATCAATTCGTAGAATACGATCCATCGCCTTTACCTCCCCCAACGCGCCCACTTCCCGAGTTACCACCAGAGGCCAATCACCGTCTGCTCCCCAGTGTTCCGAGAGCCAACACTACCCACGAACCAAACACAGCAACAATTGTGCCCCTGTTTCGGTCCCTCGCTCCGCAGTTTTACAGACACTCAACTGGATATTCAACTACATCTCTGCTGGTAGCTAGCTCAAGTCGCACGGGCAGAAACGGCACCATCCATCAACCGCAAGCCTATGCGCAGGCCATGTTGCCCCTGCCGCAAAACTCCCCGCTCATCCCGCTCATAACCTCACTCTCCTCCCAACTTGACGTAAACGTAAAATCCATCAGCACATTGATATCTAAAACCCTGGACCTTCAGCGCATCCACAATGCGAAGAAGAATAGCCGCTTAGCCTCGTTCTGGAGCTTCACGCCCACTTACGACGACGAGAATGTTATCGCAAATGACCCATTTTCCGATCGCAGCAATTACAACAACGACAACGACGCCTGCTATTGCGATTACTACCACCACAATAATAGCGACAGCCGCAATGCTTCCGTCAGCGGCGACCCCGCAACTGCTGCAATAAACAGGCACCCCACCCGCACCCCCCCCCAGAAACACAATGGCAACTTCCCCTCCACCACCACCAGAAACAGCATATCACCGCCATCCTCATCATCCTCGTCGTCGACGTCGTCGTCGTCGCGGGCCGCATCCACCGACGAAACGCGCCAGCAGCGAATTGCCCGCCTGAAGGCCGACGGGTGGATGACGGTAGGCTTACGATCAAGGAATCGTGGCTGGAAGGGCTCGGCCTATTATGAACGCGTGTGTAATGAGGCGCTAGCGGAGCTTTATGGGAATGAGAATGGGAGGGTGCGGGGGTGAAAGAAAAACAGCTGCGGGAGCGGATGATGATGATGAGGAGGAGGAGGAGGAGGGGGAGGAGGATAAGGATGCGGGTGGTCTAGATCCGGTTTGTATAATGATATATAGTACATGATAATAATGGATATACGGGGGACGGAGTTTTGCTTTTTAATATCCCTTTTTTTTTCCCCCTTCAGTTCCTTTAGCCCCCTTTTCATCACTTCATTTTCCCTGTGTCTATCTTTGCCTTAACTCCCTACATTTTTCCGTCCTTCTGTCTTTCTTTCCTTCTTTCCTTTGTGGTTTTGCTTCACAGCTTTCATTCTGTGCAGTCTGTCTCTCATCTCTCTCTCTCTCTCTCTTTAAAAACCTTTCAATCTTCCTTCTACTTCTTTTTAATTCCAATAATTTTTCAACGCCTTTGAATACCGTAAAAAATGATTCAAAATCAATTTTATCATTTCTGCTTAAACATTTTTTTTGGCCCCAAGAAGGAAATTACATCTATCCCATCTCAACTAAGGAGTGATAGGAGTTTAAAGCAGGAGGAAAGGCGGGGGGGAAGGCGGGGGGGAAGGGGAGCGCGCTGGGTGAGGAGATATAGACCTGGAGTAAACACAGGGGATGTTGGGGAAGAAGGTTAATAATAAAAAGATTTCCAGGCTATATAATAAGCATGAAGGGGCCGATGTGAAGAAGAGAGTAAAAAAACAAAAAGTGAATTTTTTTTTAAAAAAAAAGAGAAGGAAAGGGAAATAGAGAGTGGTATTGCAACTAAAAACAAAGGCTAAAATTTTGAAAATATCCGAAAAAAAAGAGGGGGGGGGAAAAAGAGGGGGGAGGGGTGCAATCTGGAAATAAAGATCAGATCATAGATTTAGATGAAATATAACAGAGAAGAAGATAAAGACGAAAAGAAGAAACTAACTACCTAAAAATAAGCAAAGAAAACCAAAGAAGCCAGGAAATCCAGTTCAAGGGCTCATTGTCTCCCCACTGTTTTTTTCTGTTGAACATTTCAAAATATATATATGTAAGTTATTTAAAACCAATTCAAATAAACCCCGCCTTCACCTTCGCCTCCCGCTCAATCTGCTCCTTCTGCTCCGCCTCCTTCATCTCCCGCACTTTAGCAAGTACCACTTCCCGGAATATCTGTCCGCGTGCTATCCTACTCAGACTCCTCTTCTTCGTCCCATCGGTTGGGGCTCCTTGTGTACCCCCTGCCGCTGTCCCTGTCGCTCCACCAGCTCCACCAGTACCAGCAGACCCAGATGTCTTGTTGGACTGTTCTGTTCCCCCACTCCCTGTATTATTGGTCGACGTCGTAGTCGTAGTCGCTGTCGCATCCGCCGCAGCGGAATCAGCAGGCGCACCCATACTGTCTGGAATGTCCTCCTCGTCATCTTGCTGCATCCTCAGAGCCTCGATGCGATTCGCAAGCTTGACAATCTCAATACCGCGCTTCAGGCGCGCCTTGGCCATGTATGCCTTAAGCTCAGGCAGCAAGTTATGGTCACTGGCAGATTCGCCCTTGAGCCAGGGGTGGGCGAGGGCTTGTTCGCTGGTGCTGCGCTTGATCTGATCGGGCTCGAGGAGGGCTAGGATGAAGTCCTTGGCGTCCTTAGAGACTTCTTTCCAATATCTCTCGTGGAACACGACGCGCCCGCTCAGGCATTCGTCTATCAGGTCTTGTAGGCTTTCGGATCGGAAGGGGGAGTAGCCGCAGAGCAATGTGTAGGTGATGACCCCCATGGACCACATGTCGACGGCCTTGCCGTGGCCCTGTTTGAGCATAACTTCGGGGGCTGCGTAGCCAAAGGAACCTGCCATGCTTGTAAGCACCTCTTTCGGGTCGTCAAGCATTTTCGCGATGCCGAAGTCAGCGAGGACTAAGGGGGAATCAGCGGCAGGGGTAAGGTAAAGAAGGTTCTCGGGTTTAAGATCTACATCATTACGAAGAAAAAATGAATTAGTTAGCCAAAAATATTAACAATGTAAGGGTAAGAAAAGGGCGTGGTCCTGGCCGTGTTCAACTCTACCTCGATGCACAACATTACGCTCGTGCAAATAGTTCACCGCATCAAGAACCTGTTTGATGGTTTGGGATGCATCCTTCTCCGTAAACTTCCCATATTCGCAAATTCTGTCGAACAGTTCACCTCCCGTTGCCAACTGTGTAACGATATAATATTTATCCTGCAATGGTGTCAACAAATCGCGAAGGGATATCAAGTAAACGGAAAATATCATAATTGTTGTGAACCCACTCGAGACTCGAACCAATCACGAAAACTAACGATATTGGGGTGGTGCAAGCGCTGCAGCATATCCAATTCATCATAAACCATCTGCTCGTTGCCCTTCACATTCTTCTTCAGAATGATCTTCACAGCGACTTTCCCCGTCGGGCAGTCTGCCTCACGAACAATGCCATAAGTCCCAGCCCCCAAGGTCCTCCCAAATCGGTATTGCGATCTGAAATTATTGTTAGCAGAAAAGGGGAGCATCTTTTCTAGAATGTTTGGTCGTACTTCTTATCGTAACTGTCGGGTTGACCTTGCAACTTGTTGAGCCAAGCTGTACAGCAAGGTTCAAAAAGTTAGTCAAACCATGGATTCGATAAGGGTCAGATTTCCGAAAACGATGATAAAAAAAATTGGAGAAAAAAAGAACCGTATGAGGATGTAAGTCTGATAGCAGCAAAACCATGGTACCGTTCCTGTAAACATATTATCTTCACGACCAAACCAGTAGAATATAGTTTCTTCCCCCAAATAAGACAAAGGAGACAGCTATCTAGCAATAAAGGGAGGCGGCTTTGAAGAGGGAAACCAAATGCAATGGATCGCTGGGGGGATTTGTTCACTTACAGCTCATATTGGATACCTTGGGGATTTCTGGTTGCCTCTTCGAATCTCGATGGTATCTCCGTTACCAAGGAGGGGGTAAAAATGGATGGAAAGAGAAACAAAGTCGAAAGAAACTAAGCGATATTGACGGTGCAGATAAAATCGCTAAACGAGAAGAGTGTCTATTTATGGGTGTGTCCAGGTAATGCTTTCCAGAAAGGAGATAAAATAAGATCGGTGGCCAGACCGGAGACACGAGGTGCTTCGCTTGACAGTCCGAAATGGGGCGAGGCAGACAGCAAATTGGACACTGAAATGACGACGATATTCACAACAAGGGTGAGGGCGCCGCCTTGCTACATAACCAGCAACAACATCTCTGCTTTGTTGTGATGTTCTGAGCCTCGTTGAACGGCAGGCGGGGCGGCGGCTCGGCGGGGCAGGCGAGGGGCCATCTTGGCATCAACAAGCGCAGCAGCCAATCACAGCCCGGGACACCGATGCGAGGGCCTGCTCGCTCCGATTCACCACCAGCCACAGTTCGGTACTGTATCGTAACGACACGTGATGTGGCACGTGTGGCAGCTGCCAAATTCCTGTTTTCGTCCTGCCAATGACGTCGTGAGGCCTTCTATCCACGGTGCGGCTCATGCATCGTTCAGAGGAGATTCTTGCTCTCTTCAGCATCGTTTTCTCAATCATCTTCATAATACTAATACCAAATATCAAGCGCTAATTGACACAGTGGTTTGTCTCACAATGCTTAACCTCTTGGTTTATGGTGCCCTTGCAATCATTGTCCTGGCCGCCTGGGTTTCCGGCTCCCTCGACTCTTACCAGAAACGGTTGCAAGAGGCTGCCCTTGCTCTGATGGGAGAGACGAAGGCGTCTTATGGCTTGAAAAGTAAAATTGCCGCTTTTTCTACTCGTTATCGAATCGATTGAGCTATTTGGATAGGTGGCTGGCTAACTGGCTTCATTTGCTGTCGGTTTGTGGCAGAGAGCTTGACGGGTAAAAAGCTCATCGAGGAGGAGAACTTGAGCAGAATACAAAACAGGCTCGGAAAAGATCTCGGAGGCCTCTTCGCGGCCGGTGGCCCCGGCTCGGGACTGGGGACCTCTGTGGGAAAGTCACTGTGATAGTACTGCACATGTATGTGCATGGTGGCCTAACTGATGGTGGTTGGACTTTTGTTTTCTGGGGAAATATCCTCCCTCTTGGCTTTATCTTGTGTGGACTGTTGGACTAAATAATGACCATCCGTTTGTTGCATTCCCCTCCTGTATCAAGTATATAAAAGTTGAGATTGGGTTAGCTGGAGAACTCTTCGGCTTTTGCTTTGTACTGTACAACACTCATTGCATCTATCATTTTTTTTTTTTTTTTCACAAAATTAAAAATCCTAGGTCATCGATATGCAACTGCGTGAAAACCCTTTTTTCTGCTAGTCTTAAATGAAACAATTTTTATTAGCACCAGCAAGGCCAGTTTGTCAAAAGTGAGCATTCTCCATCCGGCCAGCCTCGCGCTAGTGTCGGCTGCTTTGAATAGAAGCTAATTGCTTAGCCTGAATTCTTTCCAGCAGTCAAGTTATACCGGGGACTTCCACCTACTCCGCTGTCCTTTCTCGACTTTAAAATAAATATATATCATTTATATATGCTGACCTCCCGCTCGCCCTACCCTTTACGGTTTGTTTGCGACCAAACTGCAGCCACCCCTCCAGGATCCTCGAACCCTGCGATCCCGCCGTGCTGGTTTGGCCCAGTAACTAGTTTCCCCTCTCTCAGTCACCATGTTTGCATCCAAAAGGCTGAGCAAGGTCAGAGATATCCGTCGCAAAAGTTTCCCAATGTGCCACCTCCCCGCTATGGCGCCGTTCCACTAATTTTGCAAACAGGAACTCTTGAAGGTAAACCATTTCATCTCGGCGCAATCGCTCGGCTCCGATCCGGAAGCCCACCTAATCCCTTTATATTTAAATACATATAATATATATGTTCTCCCAAGGGGAGAGAATGAAACGTCATACAAAAGAAGAAAGAAGGAATCGAAGGAAATCAACAGGCCCTGACATGAATATACCCATCACCTTTGCAGATGCAATCTTCCCTACCCCCGGGAATCTCCATAGTGAAAGCAGAAAACTTCGAAGAATGGCAAATGGACATCCGGGTCCTGGATGACTCCAACCCGCTCTACCTCAATGAGACCTACCGACTGAAATTCACCTTCAGCAAAAATTATCCCATCGGTATACTCCCCTGCCTATCAACATCTCAAGCACACATAGATACCACTCTATGCATCCACACACCAGCTAATTATTCCCGAACGTCGCAACAGAAGCCCCCGAAGTCCAATTTATCTCTATCCAACCCCCGTCCACGTCCACGTCTACATCCACATCCACATCCACATCCACATCCACATCCGCAACCACACCAGCACCAACACCCACGACCACACCCACACCCGCACCCACAACCCCAGCATCAACCTCCCGACCCATCCCCATCCACCCGCACATCTACAGCAACGGTATTATCTGCCTCGACCTGCTCGGATCCGCCTGGTCGCCCGTCCAGACCGTCGAGAGCGTCTGCATGAGCATCCAGAGCATGCTTGCGGGGAACACGAAGAACGAACGGCCGCCGGGCGACGAGGAGTTTGTGGCGCGCAACCGGCAGCGGCCAAGGGATATTCGCTTCTTTTATGATGATTCGACCGTGTAATTGGTTGATTTTATTCGATACGATCTTGTTTATCCCTTAGGTTATTCGGGGGTGGGTCCACACCAAGGGAGGGGCAGGGGAGAGACCAGGTCGATCGATACATATACATATATATATATATGTAAATATAAATATATATGGGATATGATGTTAGCCGATTGATATGTGATTACATTAGATAAGATGGCTAACTTAGTTATGTGTATATTGATATTATGTCCTCATGAAACGAATGGAGATATGGTGGGAGCAACGCGGTGATTTTGGATTTTAACCCACTTATCTCATCCTTTCATCCTCTTAGCTTTTCTTTATGCTTCTTGCTTCCTTTTAGTTATCTGCCCAGTTGAAGTCATGCCGTGGGCCAGAATAAAAAAATCCAAAAGAAAAAAGCCTTTACCGCTAAAGTTCTTAGTATGTATGCTGAATATTTACTGAATAGATGGCCGAATGACAATGGGCGCAGTGGAGCAGCGGGGAATAGCAGGTTGAGATGAATACACAAGAGGGTAGGGTAATAAATAGAACCAGAGAAAAAGAAAAAAAATGGAAATAAGAGCAGCAAAGATGAAAATTGAACTTAACAAACGAAATCGATGTACAAAATGCATCAAATGATGAGTCTGGGCTGAACTCGTCAGTCCGCCGAAGGAGGAACAATTTTTTTTACATAAGGGAGTCTTGACGGACCATTAGGTGCTATGTCGTGGGCTGGAATTTAAAGAAAATAAAGAAAATTGTTAGTTGTTAATCTATTATTTATTTATTTTCCCCAACTTGATCCCACTCCTTTTCTTCTAAAGCTGGAAAAAGAAGGAAGAAATTAAACACGTTCCTGAGTTGAAGTAAGTGGGTTTTTTTCATGGTATCGTGCTCGTTTTATTTCGCGATTATCTATCTACTTCACCGAACACGAGATCCATGGTTCCTAAAAATAGGGAAAGAAAAAAGGGGGGTCCGGGTCAGCAGGAGTCAACCAGCAGGGGTTATGGAGATGCTGAGGGGTAAAATTAACAGAGCATTGACATACCAATGATCGCGACTGCATCAGCTAGCAGGTGACCTCTAGAAATTTGGTCGAAACAAGACAGATGGGCGAAACCAGGAGCACGGATTTTGCAACGGTAGGGCCGTTCGCTACCGTCACTGACGACGTAAACACCCATTTCACCTTTCGGTGCCTCAATGGCGGAGTACGTTTCACCAGGCGGGACCGCGTATCCCTTTGTGAAAAGGAGGAAGTGATGGATGAGCGCTTCCATGTTCTCCTTCATGGCAGCTCTGGGTGGTGGTGAGATCTTGTAATCCTCCACACGAACAGGGCCTGCTGGCATCTTGTTCAAGCATTGATGGATGATACGAAGGGATTGGCGGAACTCCTCCATGCGGCAAAGGTATCTGTCATAACAATCTCCATTGACACCAACGGGGACGTCGAATTCTACCTCGCCGTAGGCATCGTAGGGTTGGGATTTGCGGATGTCCCATGGAACGCCGGAACCACGGAGCATGACTCCGGTAAAACCGTAGTTGAGGGCCTCTGCAGCAGTGACCACACCAACGCCTTGGGTACGAGCTTTCCAAATACGATTGTCTGTGAGTAGCTCTTCGGTCTCATCGATACGGTCGCTGAATTGGGTTGCCCACTGATAGATATCATCTAGAAGGCCAAGAGGGATATCTTGATGAACCCCGCCTGGCCGAACATATGCAGCGTGGAGACGGGCTCCCGAAACACGTTCATAGAATTCCTGTAAAAGTAGAATGGGTTAGAATATGACTCAACAAAATATTGCCCGCAGAGAAATAAGAAAGACGTACCATCAATTTCTCACGCTCCTCGAAACCCCACAAAAACGGAGTCAATGCCCCAACGTCCATAGCGTGTGATAATACCGACATGAGGTGGTTCAAAATTCTGGTGATCTCCCCGAACAACGTTCTGATCCATTTCGCTCGATCTGGAATCTCGACGTTGAGAAGTTTCTCCACCGCCAACGAAAAGCATTGTTCATTTGTCATCATTGAAACGTAGTCCAATCGGTCAAAGTATGGTAGTGCTTGCATATATGTCTTATACTCGATCAATTTTTCCGTGCCACGATGCAGCAACCCAACATGCGGATCTGCACGAATAATTTCTTCACCATTGAGTTCTAAAATCAACCGAAGCACACCGTGCGCCGCGGGGTGCTGAGGCCCGAAGTTGACTGTGTAATGGCGGATCTTGCGGCCATGTCCAGCATCGGATTCAAGTGCGGAGGGCTCAGAATATGAACCAGATGGCTTGTTGGGCTGATGTTTAGAGCCACCAGGTGCGAATTCCGGATCCGTGGGGATGAGTCGAGTAGGTCGATAGGCAGGAGTTGCATTGAGAGCGGGTGAGGTAGATACTGATCTTAGTCCTGCGATTGAGGAGGCTCTGAGTGCGGAGGAGGACGAGGGGCCGAGACATAGCCTTTTCGAAGCATGCCGGGCAAAGTATGTGAGGGAAGAGGCCATGGCCAGCAGAGGTGGGTTTATATCGAGATAGGCACACAGTTCTCTGTGCCTCGACTTGTATTATGTGGGGGGGCTCCCACAGGAAGAAGCACTGGTCAATGGCTGTTGACAACTGCCTGTCGTCTGCCTGACTGTCCGTTCTTGTCGTTCGTATTTGTGTCGGCAGCAAAGCGAGGTCTTCTTACAGTAGGATAAGTCATGTGAGCTGACTCAGTAAGCATTCCTCGACTAATGATTGGCTAAGAGGAGAGCTTGGCGGAGTACATGGTGTTATAGCAAGGATACAAGCAAAAACGAGGTACCAGGAACAGCACCATCGAAATTTATTCGGCAAAAAAAAATTATCTCAACTACACGCTGGTCGCTATTCTGAGTATATCAACACCCAGTAATAGGGCGTAGCCATGGCGCCGAGAATTGCTTCTTTGGAGGAAATTAGCCAGAGGAAGGTAACTATTTTATTTTACGTTTTCTCTGTGTCTCGTCGCATATATCAAAGCTAACGCTACCTAGGTCATTGGCATAAATGCAGAAACCGTTACAAATATTTCGTCAACAGATTTCCCCGGTCATTGGCCTGGCGAAAATCATGAGTGGTCCATTGATGAATTTAAAAGAGTGAGTGGGAAAAGAGTTCACGCTATGTAACTACGTATTGCTCACGTCAATATCCCGTACTTTATAGAACCTCAAAATCACCTTCCACAAGAATGAACCGTACGAAGCTTCTTTCTCTTTGGTTGGCGTCGACGCAGCTATTGCAAACGCCTTCCGCCGCATTATGATCGCCGAAATTCCCTCCCTTGCTATTGAGACTGTCTACATACACAACAACACCTCCGTTATTCAAGACGAGGTGCTAGCGCATCGTCTCGGCCTTGTCCCTTTAACTGGCTCTTCGGAGGGTATCAATTGGCTGCGCTGGTTTAGGCAGCCAACGGAAGGCAGACCAGACTCTGGCAGTGAACTCGCAGATTACAACACCGTCGTGCTACATTTAAACGTGGAATGCACCAATAACCCCAAAGCCAGCGCAAATGAGGACGACCCCCAAAAGCGCTACAACCATGCGCACGTGTACGCCAAAGATATTACATTCCACCCTGTAGGTCGGCAAGAGACATACTTCCAAGAACCGGATGGCGTCATCCGCTCCGCGAATCCTGACATTCTTCTGGCGAAACTACGACCCGGCCAAAAGATCGATATTGAAATGCATTGCGTCAAGGGCATTGGTGCTGACCACGCTAAATTTTCCCCCGTTGCGACGGCATCATACCGTCTCCTTCCAGATATAAAGATTATTCGGCCCATCCTTGGCAACGATGCTCTCAAGTTTGCGCGATGTTTCCCTAAGGGCGTCATTGGAATCGACTCTGTATCGGCGGAGGAGGCGTCGCGACCTGGGAGCGGGTACGAAGGTCACGAAGGCGAGAAGAAAGCCGTTGTGGTTGATCCTTTCAAAGATACTATGAGCAGGGAATGCCTAAGACATGATGAATTCCAGGGCAAAGTCAAGTTAGGTCGGATACGGGATCATTTTATTTTCAATGTTGAGAGCACAGGGCAGTTCAGGAGTGACGTCCTATTCATAGAGAGCGTAAAGGTTCTCAAGCTTAAGTGCAGAAGATTGAAACGCGATCTGGCAAAGCTCGCTGACATGACAGAGGTTTCATGATACTTACATACAACTTTTCCTTTATGTTCGTTTTCTGTGAAGCATTTTCTGGCGTTAAAGGTTTTCAATGGAGCCAATAGGCTGAGAATGGGTGCTGGGGTAGTTGCAACAATTGATTACAGGACAGGATCTGAATGTCATTATAGCTGCTACTGGAAAATTTCGTCGCACTACCATGTATTCATGTAAACTGCCATTATTCATGTGGATACTTTTGGAGATTAAAAAAAAAAAGAAATCCATTTATCTCATTGTCGGCTTTTTCCGACCCGATCATTTAAACGTCATTCTAAATCGAAAGTCGATTGTGTAGGCTGGGTCGCTAACAGCTACTTCGTCACCATCAGCAACAAGATCTTTCAATTTCTGTTTCAAATTCGGTCTTGTGTGCTCCTCCAACTGTCGGGGAACACGCTGATAAAGCATCTTAGCCTCTGATCTCAAACTGGGAGATTTGAGTTGGGCTTCCGGTAATTCTCCTAGAGATAGTATAAAATCTTCCAAAGTCGATTCGGGATCTACTACAAGAGGCTTCGCCAAATCGCCACACACAGGGCAGTCGCTCTTCTGTTCGGCGGCAAACGTGTAAGTGTAGACACCTTCTTCGCCGGCGTACATCATATAGTTCTCTAAGTAAGGGTTGCAGGACGTCGCAATCTTCAGCGCTTCCGAGGTGCAGGCAGCGGCGATCACAGCGTTTGTAGAAGCGATTGCGGGGATAATGTTTTTTACGACACCCTGAGTCATCGAGAAAGTCACGCCAGGGATATTGAATTTCTTCGCTCGTTCAAATGCCGTGTTATAAATCCATGTTATGTGCTCCATATCGTCGCCATCAAATTCTTCATCTTTACGATGTTCGCCCCATGCAATTTGATGCGCCCATTCAATGCAGTGTTGTGGTTGTCGAGGAATCGTCGCGATGGTGCACAATGGCACTGCGGCGCGGGGTGCATGCATGTCGAGTTGGCACTCGATACAAGAAGAGAGTGTAGGAAGAATAACTCGAGCTTGTCCCTTGAAGCCTTTATGATCATTTTAACATTAGCTCTTAAACCAAGCTATTGATTACAGCTTGATATTTGAGATTAGGGCGGCTCCAGCAATACGCACCTTCTGATCCACCATCGATCAACGGTTTCAAGCTCTCCAGATTCTCACCATCTACCATCCCAACCAGCATTGAATTTATCCAGCGCCGTGCTTCAATACTGTCAAGCCCACAGACAATCATTTTGAATTGCATGTAATAACTTTGGTCCTTGTCCTGGATTTTGCCAACGTAGGGAGTAATCTTGACGCCTTTCACCCTTCGCTCCACGAAAGCAGCTGCCACTTCAGCTTTAGGCTTTCCAACATCGCTTTGGCGGAACAAAAATTGCCGATTCAAATTTGATATATCGATGGTATCTGGGAAAGAGTTACTATCATTTCACTTGACTAAACTTCACGAACTCGCTGGAACGAACCCATATCAATGACATGAATATCTTTAAATCCAGACAGGGCCAAGTTCTTCAGGATTTCACATCCCAACCCTCCAGCTCCTCTGAGTTGCAGTTAGGACATAGGACTGGTAAATATGGATATGTCCACTTACATCACTCTATTAGCAATGATTAGCAACCTTCCGCAATGCTATCGTCTGATGATTATTAAACACTTACAGAATTTTAGAAGTTTCGAGATCAGTGATTGTTTCTGGGCCGGGCACCCAATCCGGATCACAAAAGGGCCCGGGGCGAGTGAGCATTCTGTAGAGGGTCTTCCTACACGGATGTTAGTAAGGAACCAGGCCAATAAAAATTGAATTCCAAGACCTACCAGCGCTGGGGCTCCCGACGAGGAGAGATGCCAGAAGCAGACATATCCGGACGTAATATTAGACCTCTGAAGTAATTACAAGAACCCTAATGGATAAATGGGTATCGGAAACTGCCAGGCTATTGAGAAAGTAATAATCTACGCAAGCAGTGGGTCTCGCAGTTGGTTTGCAGATGTAAGATTATACGAACGATTGTTGTAGTGCAGGTGAATCAATTTTCCATGCTTGATCAGTTAAAATGGAGGCTGTATTTATTTTCCTCACCCTATGGACAATCTATTGATCGTTGCTCGCTCAAGGCTCTTTTGCACGTCTTAGTAACCGGAGCCACTTGGTCAGATTTTGTGCTAACTCAATTCAACCTCGAGTTACCATGCTTGGCCATTTGTGGGGAGATTGGCAACTCGAGGAAATACACCCAAGCAACGGAGTCTACCCTCCACGCATCATGCCATGGCGGGAGTCCCCCAGTTCACAAGAGACAGTAAGGAATGGAATCAATACAGATCCAGCCATTTTATGCACAGTATTGTTTTGCATCCCTACACTAACTCGAATCTGTTCTTGGAAACCTTCTTACCATTAATTCAGAAATAACGCCCCAACATTTTGAACGGGTGCAAGCCATCGTTGTTAAAATCCGTGAAAACGATTCATTTCAATAACTGCTTTGCCTAGACGACAGGGTGGTGTTTGAAAGCCGTGCGAACATGGAGATAATATGTGGGGGAACTCCCTTGATGGCACGGCGCAATCAATGCAAGAGGTTAAGGCCCAAACCAGGAGAGTTGGCTACCAAGACGGGAGGCGAAGGGCCAGGAGTAGCCCCAGCTACTAAGGGTGACGTTTCAATCATTATGCTTAACCGGTTTTGCGGGGGCATCGCTGCGGAGGAGCAAAGGCGATCGAGGTACGGAATCAAATTCAAAGCAAGCACCACATAAATAAATTCACCCCTGAACTCGTTGCCTTTCTCCAGAAGATGGAAATTGGCCGTGATATCATTGATAAGGATGGAAATGAGTTTAAGTGCTATTCCAAACCACTTGTTGCCACAGTCATAAGTTAGTTCTATTCATACATGATGGATAGTGGAGTCGCAAATGGTTATATACCACTAGGCTACGCTACATATTCATATGAATCATGGATGATCCATTTACCGTTCAGAAACTGTTTCCTAAGTGTACAAAGATAAATGGGAATGGGTCATAAGGACACAATCTCCATCGGTCGGCGGTGGCCCAAGTTCTTACCTTCATTCTCAATGCGCTCGCAGCTGGGTTTCCCTCACATATGATTGGTATGACCATGATTCTGTGATTTGCTACTACAGCCTTGAGATATCAATATAGACTTTTCCTCCGTTACTCTCACTTTCAATTCTTAGCATCATCTCACTTCGTTTTAGTCTTCATCAGCAAATTTAATTCTCTGCACCAAGTCACTGTGATTATGCAAATGGCATGAAGATTCACGGGTGTCAAAGATGTACACAGATATACACAGCTCACGCTATACTCAGCTATTGATTTCCGTGGATATAGATATAACATATACTAAGCTAATCTCTTGATGTATATGCATACATAGAGATCACACCGAACAAGCTTAAGAATGTATATACCACTGTAATGAGACTACTGCTGATTTTGCATTGTGTGCAGCGGAAAAACTAGCTGGATCTTGACAATCTCAGAATTCATTAAGAATAGATATCTCTAGCTATCCACCTGCTCCATATCAACTAGGCCCCCATAAGAACACTAGTAGATATTGCGCTGGATAACTAGCTGAGCGCTTGCCCACCCATTGCACCCTCAGCTACAAAAGCTCGAGGTCCGTTTTTGTGCATTCCACCTTGATGGTCTGAAGGGTTTAGCCCTCGGTTAAGATAACGTGGAATTAGATGTACATCTGCGCCTCGGATTTCGAGGCGCGTTTGCCCACTCCCAGGCTGCCACTCCCAGGCTGCCCCTTGTATATATGAAAATACAATATTTCCAATACATCACTCATCATTTTCGATACAGAATTAGAGAGAGAATTATAGAGTAGAAGAGTAGAAGATTTGCTGGAGAATTAATATGAGAAATATAGAAAAAAATAATAATATTCTCTGAGAAAAGAATCAACCTGATTGATATGATAATGCAGTTTTATTCACACTAAAGTTGAACAAAGCTCAAACATGATGTGTGCAATTTTTGGGCTGATGGAGATGGAAGGTTGGTGGTTCCTTTAAGGCTTTGACAATCTAGCGGGCGCAGCACTACTTAAATAGGAGTGGTCACGTGGTATTCTAGCGAGTGATAGGAGTTTAGGGTGGAAGGCGCTAGTCTGGAATAGGAAGCCCAGAACTCCAACCTTAGAACGATATACTATTAACTAGCGCCGTATACACGATGGGTTCTATCTTCCTTTTTGAACTCACTGTTTTTTGGAATGTGAATTATAGGTCATGGATGAACTTCTTACTGCTGTCAAGACGGTTGAGAATCGCGAGGAGCTGTCCGTTTCAAAACCACCTCGGACCAGTGTTCCCACAAAAGAAGAGAAGTGCTCGAGTCATCCAAGTACAATAAATTCTCTAGAAGATGTCCTACACACCCTTAGGTCATCTCCAGACAAACGCCGTGTTGTTCAAGTCTTAAGCTTTCTTGATCCCGCTCAAGGGCTCGGGGGTGGTTTCAATATAACTGCTCCAACCGCCCAAGCAGCTCAAATTTTGCACATTTTGATCACAACTACCATTCCTGACCATTGGGGTTGTCTAGGAGATGAAGATTCCCCAGCGCTAGAAGGTGACCACAAACCAAAACCAAAGGCAGCATTGCTAAGATGTTTGAGCAGTTTGGCGGGTATTGGAGCTCTGGTAGCTCATCTTCGCTCGTTACTTTCCAAACACGACTCCTTGCCAAGTGAAAAACACTCGGGTAACAAGATAGTTATTCGAGATTTAATAACCGTTTTGTCGTCAGTTTTAAAACCTCCCGACTTGCTGTTCAAGTTGTATGTGAATACTTCGAGCAGTGTTGAGCGGCCAGCCCAGAGGCAAATCATGTGGAAAGAGCTTATTTCACTCCTTGCTGCGGGAAAGGTGTTATCAGTCGCCGCCGAAAGTCTTCTTACTATTAAAGATATCAAGCTGCCTCGTTCGATTCACTGGATTGGGGATGGAAACATGTATGCATCGTGGCTTGGCCGGTGTATTTCCCGAATGGCTTCTAAGGTCCAATCAACAGATTTGGATTGTTGGAATTATTTGGCCCAGTTCGTGGGTAGATCGTTGAGTCTTGGATATCCCGGTATATTGCCTACTCCGAGGATAATGTAGATGGAATTGCTAAAGACTTTCATATTCAGCCCAGGTTGTCAGCGAAATATATAACACCCTATTACTTCAAGAGGATACCTCATCGAACCGGTTTGGTATTCTCTTAGATAGCCTTCGACGTCACGATCAACTGTTGTTATTCAAATCTCTACTTCATGATTTGGAAATAAGATTTCTTGCTCCTTCTCCTAGTGTGGTGCAGAGTCCACTGGATGATTTCAACAAATCCAAGGCTGTCAGCGGAGTCTCAGCTGTTGTAGCGACAATAGTTCGTGACCGCGGCTTTCTGAAATCTCAGTTGAGCGAATGGCTCGTAACAGGATCTGAAATAAATATAAAGGGCATTGATTTTCGCCGAGCACTTTTGGCATCGTTTGGGAACCAGCAAGGTGGGCTCTCAAGACGGATATTATCTCTCTACATTATCCACGCTAACTCAAAATATTAGAACCGATACTGGAGATACTGAGAAGGGCTCTAGATATATTTGGCGATCAACTATATATAAAGCACACACCAACACGTGGACAGGAAGGTAGAGTATTTTATCCTCGAAACGGGTGCACTTTTGTCTCCAAACGTTGACACATGGCAGCGAATACCCAGATCATCCTTTTGACCGCCGGATACGCCCATCGACTATGTCCACATCAACTCCGCTCTATCACGCAGTCGGGAACCTACCTAACAGCGATATCCAATCGACTGGCGGCCTCTTCACCTCGGGCTCGCTACCTTGGAATGATAGTCGGCATTTCATTATCAAAGCTAGTTGATCCCGCAGATAAGGCAATGAAATTCGACCTTGAGCAAATGGAGAGCGAAGAAGCACTGTGGTATATGAACTTGACAAATGTAAAAGATGAAGTCGGTTCTATCAGCGACTTGAAGCATAAAACCTCTCCATATGCTCCAAAGAAATCAAAACATCAAGGGCGGAAGGCTCCACAAGTTGATCAGCCAAAATCAAGTCAGGCGACATCGAAAGTTCTTTCTATTGAAGAAGTGTCTGAGGAGTCAGATGGTGACTTCTTATCTTACGAAAAGCCAGATACGGACGCTTCGGATTCCGAAGAGGATCCAACACTGATCAACCGGTCAAAACCCAACTCTCCAGTGTATGTATTCCAACTTTCATAGCTTTGCCTTCATTTTTAACCATTGGATGCTAATGTATTATATAGATATATACGGGACTTATTAGCTTGCTTGCAGGATACAGGTAATCCAGAACGATATAACTTGGGAATATCAACTGCACCAACGTTAATACGTCGCAAAGCGTCATTTGGCACCGAAGTTGCAGAGAACTCTGAGGCGCTGGCATTTACTCTTGCGGGTCTACAAGATAAATATAATTTGCCAAAGTTTCAGGAGTACAAGTTACAGAGCCAAATTGCATTACTCGTTGCCTACCCACTTACTATGGGTCGGTGGTTCGTGCATACGCTTTTCAACGCCGACTTATCTCAAAGTCAGCAATCAACGATACTTGTCGCGCTTGGTTTGAGTTCCCGCGAACTGGCGGGGTTTGGGAAAGAAGACTCAGATGCTATGAGCCTCCCTCCCGCTGCGGACTCTTCGTTCCCGTCAAAGCGTCTACCTTCCAGTCTAGCAAATACCTACGGTGGCATGAACAGCCCTATCGACGCTATATCAAAAAAGCTTTCGCAAGCAACCTTAAAGCCTTTAGCGCTCCATGCTGCGGAGTCGTTGACCGGACCCAATGCTCTCAAGGTCCGAACATTCTCATCCCGTATGGAAGTGGAGAAAAGGAAACAACAGAGAGAGCAGCAGAGACGGCAGAAAGCGATTCCTAAAGACCTTCACAGAATTCTTTCCGATGGCTTCTTTTTTCCCCTTACTAATGCTTTTGGAGTCGCTACATACTTGACCTCGTAAGTCAGAATTCATTGCTAATTCCCCGACATAGACATAATCCTCACCCTCCTCTAATTAGAAGCCCCAAGGTGTCTAATTGCTTATCGTTTCAGGTCCAATAACGTTCACAACCCATTCTTGATCCCGCAACTTCTCCAGCTCTTTGTCCAAACGGTTACCCTCATTCTCTCGACTCTGGGCCCAAACTCTCCCAATCTAGCCGCGCTTACGCACGAAGCTCTTGCGCTACTTATAACTCTACACAACCTACCAGTCGCCACCGAGCCTACAGTGCTCCGCGCAATTCTCTCTCTGTTCCTCGCGGTCGTGGATTTAAATATATCATCTGGCAGTGTCGGTGAGGAGAGACTTGTTACTGAATTTGTAACGCAGGTGATGGAAATGCGTGAATGGGCTGATAGCATATTTGAGCGCTCGTCGAAAGAAGAGGAGGAAGTGAGGATGCTCTGTGCTGGTATAATGGTCAAACTTGGAGAGGTTATGGAGCGATACCAAGGCCGATTATTGGGAACGAATCTTGGGTTTGGATATTAATATATTCACTGTATTTCGCACAGGTTTCCAGTATTTCCAGTACATGTATTTATGCATATGGTTTCCGGAATTACAGGGTTCAAAAGAGGGCTTCTCAAGGTGGCACCTGATAGGTCTAAAGAGTCTCTCAACGCATTCCACCCTTCTCTGGAATTGGTGGGCCAACAAATGCTACCCGCACGACTTGTACCGACTAGTTTGCTGAACCAAAAATGCGAACGCGGTTCAATAGTCTTCATTATACTGTATTTAAATAGACTGAAACGGAAAAAGGTTAAAGGAACGCCAGCTAGTGGTATAATTCTATGTCAATGACTTAGTAAATCCCTTCGTTTCAATCGCCACCTTCAACATCCGATTCCCGCTGATAATTCCCGTTGTACAAATTACAATCCGTCTTCGCGCCGATTCTTTGCTTGCAATAAATCTCAACGCAGCAATCTCAGTAAACGTAATCCCGCCAAGGAAAAACACAAAAACCGTCTTTATGCCTCCTGTCCCCGAGAGTGTTTGCCTCGCCCTCACAGCCTTCTCATCACCCTTTTGGACGATGTTCAGCGTGGAACCTCGTGCACTTTTCACGATTTCTTCGAATCCTAACCAGCCAGGGGACGAAACGTTTGCCGAAGCTCCTGCAGCGGATGCGGGGAGGCCTTTTGTGAGGGACATAATATATGGTTTCTGCAAGACGCACTGTACAAGGCGTACGCTGAGCGGCGCATAGCCACTGTAGACGTACGCGACATCATCCGGATCCTGTTCGTTCACTTCATCGACAATGAGTCGCAGACTCTTGCGAAGGTGGTTATAGTTGGATTTCAAACCCGCCGGGCCACCTCCCGTCGGGAGAAGCATAGCCGTTGCAGACGATCGTGCCTGAAGCAACTCCATCTTCTCAAGCGCATGGAAAGTTAGGAGATGCTGGTATCCATATGCTTGCAATATCTGCTTTCTGAAGTTTTCTAAATCCCTAGGTCGAAGGCCGCCATTCATGCAGGACTCAAGGCATAACAATCGGAGAACGGTATTTAGAGGAACGTCGCGTGCAATTAGTTCTTCGATGATACGATGCTGATACGTTGGATCCGAGCCCGCTGCTATGTTTTGCTGAACTTCGAGCGCCTTTCTGAAAACGTCGGAAAGGGTTTGACGCATGATTTCTTCCGCCATGTTCGTGTGAACTTTAAGGCTAGTGTGTTCTGCTTGGTAGGCGGGTAATTTGTTGACAAATTCTCTCAGTTCACTAGTTGACTTGGCTACATGACGACTTTCATAGTCGCTCTCAAGCCGGCGGGCTACTTTATTCAAAAGACCTCCGACGATAGCAAAATTTGCATTACGAAGCTGACCGAATAATTGATCGGACGAGTCAAGTTGTATTTTTCGTTTTAAGCCCTGTTTCGCAGCGGCTGATGATGTGCCAGAGGACGCTACTTGAGAAGACGAGGGCGTGAGAGCAGAAGGGCCAATGACCATGGAGTCAACCTCTGTTTGGTTATTTGCGATTTCAAAAAATTCATCAACGAGACCTTCGTATGTGAGCTGGGTAAGTAGGGGAGTTGCGAAATCCACATCTCGATCGATAACTATCAAACTCTCTATCGTTGAGCTAACCATGAGCCCTCTCCCGGATCCATCATTCAATCCAGAGGTTTCTTCAACATCCAGTTCCTTTCTCATTCGCAGTAGTTGATCTGCTAGTCTCCTTGCATTGTCTCCCTTTCCAACAATACGGGGAAAGAAGCCATGACGTAGCTGCAGATTCATTAATGCCTTGGCGGAAAGATAAACTGGACCTGGGTCCTTGTGCTATACTATGTTAGCTTGAAAGAAAACTCTCAAGATAGGGAAAGATATTTCATACCAAATAGAGGTCCGGAAACGCATCACCTAACTCTAAGGAGAGAATATCACTTTCCAGAGGTAGAAAATAAAGAGGAAATTCCGTGATATTGACATCTCCTATAATACCCTCGTCTTCTAAAATCTGATTACAAACAAGAGTACGGCGCGGGACCCAAAATATGGAGAATTCATGTTCGACAGTTCCATTTCGTTGAAGCTTTTTTATTTGTTCTAACAAGTATGTTAGCACATTATGATGGCTATCAACGAGATGAAAAAAGCAAAGAAAATGCCAAAGGGATGTGCTAGGATATTGATTTATATAGGGGACAAGACTGGCAATGGGAAGTGAGAATGAATAAATTCCCCAAAGCCTCATGTTATTGCCCCCGCAACATTTTCCCATGCAACAGTAACAAAATCAAACAAGAGTGAATATACATATAAGAAGCGGAAAAGGCAAGAGCCAAGAAAAATTGGCACGAACATATCACATAAGATAATCATACCAGCCGTAGATTGTACCTGGGCAGGCTTTTCAGCATGCACGAGAAAGACAATGTTTTTCTGGGAAGAATCGGTATTCCCATTTTCAAGTAGGAAAACCCGGTCTACTCCGTACTCTTGAAGAACAGAGAACTTAACGAATAAGCCAACGGGACCAGCCAGGTCCTTGCTTATCACAAGGTTCTTTTTGCCTCGAACCTGGACATAAAATCAGCATAACTCTGGTAGCTGGGCTTAAAAGGGCTTTAAAAGTCCCCCTTACTCACACCTTCAAGAAGATTCAACAGATCCCTCCGAGCTTTCTCTCGTATATACTCGGCTTCTGACCCAGGATCAGGAGCCATGGTGCAGCGCAGCGAGAACCAGAGATATTGATGTAAACAAAGCACCGCTGTCTGCTGTTGGTTGAGGTTGGAGCTCGGAGCCAAGAAAGGGAGCCATATAACGCTAGCTCTATTAGTATTGAGTCACAAACTCAAATCAACCACCTCGTATAATCACGTGACTTAATGCAACAACGCCACATCTCCAACCTGAGACTTCAACCTCCATTCTCCATTATGCCCTTTTGCCTCTCACTAGTATTCCCAAGATTTAAAAAAAGAAATTGTTAGAATAATAGCTCCTTAGTTTTTCGTTCCGGTTGGTGTCTACGTTATGAAGAAATTCGGCTTTGGGAGCAAGAAAAGTGAGGGTGCAGATGAGGATAGCAACCGCTCAGCTCTTTTTGGGTCCAAATCCAAGAATAAAAATCCGACTCCGTCGTCAAATCCGTATGCGCAGCCTCAGCAGTCAGCCGATCCGTATAGCCAAGGACGTGGACGCGGTGGACAGACTGATGTGGGCGGATATGGACCCCCTTCAAATCAAGGACGTCCTGGCATGAAACCTCCAGGCAGCCAAGGACATGGTGCACCTAGAAACCCTTACGAGAATCTTGATAATAAATACGGTCGGAGTAATGGTGGTTATGCACCCGGAGGACCCGGATACCAAAGTGGGTATGGAGGAGACAGGTATGGAGGTGATACTTCCACTCCGGGCCCACAATCTAGATATGGGCCTGGTGGTTATGGTGGACTTGGGAGAGCCGACCCAAACGATACAGCTTCCGTCGATGATAATAGAGATGCTCTTCTAGGAGATGCACGGGCACGGCAACAAGAACGACGTTACAACCCTACTCTGCAAGATGTCCCACAAGGTGGTGTCAGTGGTGCTAGCGCTGATGGATCCAATACCACTTATGCCCCGACTTACCAGGAGAGGCAACTCACAGCAGAGGAAGAAGAAGAAGAAGACATCCAAGCGATGAAACATGAAATTCGAATGATAAAACAACAGGATGTTTCTTCTACCCGCAATGCTCTTCGTGCCGCCTTAGAAGCAGAATCGACAGGCCGTGACACCCTCCTTCGTCTTGGTGCTCAAGGAGAACGAATTCATAATACAGAAAAAAACCTTGACCTGGCCTCAAACCAAAACAAAATTGCAGACGAAAAGTCCCGGGAATTAAAAAAGCTAAACAAAAGCATGTTCGCCATGCATGTCTCTAATCCATTCACAGGCGAACAACGACGGCGTGCTCGTGACGAGGCCATCATTGATCGTCACCATGAAGAACGCATTCAGCGAGAGGCTACTCGACAAGCCGCATTCCGGACAGAGCAACGTATGGATGAGACCTTCAAAACCCTATCAAAGAAAGCTGCCGGTGGCCCACAGAAACAAACAAACCTTGCAGACAGGTCTAAATACCAGTTTGAAGCTGACAGTGAAGATGACGAAATGGAAAATGAGATCGAGTCCAATCTTACTGCGATCGAAGGTGTTACGGGCAGGTTGAACCTTCTTGCTCAGGCCCAAGGTAGGGAGATTGAGCAACAGAATGCCGATTTGGGCCGAATCATAGGCAAGGTACATTACTTTTCCCTCCCGAATTATGCACGAACCCATATCTCATAGATGTGTACTAACCGATAAACCCGCAGAGTGACCATGTGGACGATCAGATCGTCATGAATAGCGCCCGACTCGGTCGTATTCGTTGAGCATCGCAGAACCTACCATCCTTCTACTCTAGTAGATCTATCTTTATTAAAGTAGCACCTTGATGTTTGCTAGATCCTCTATGCTTTCCCCATCGCAAACATATCTCTTTCATATCCCTTCATAACAGCAATGCTTGGCAGTCCATACCCAACAAGTTTTTTGTCAGCTTTTCTGCCATTGCCGCCTGTTCGTTTGTTTTGTCGAGTGATGTCAGACCTCTCCTGCGTTGATCGTAGATGCTAATACGATAGATTCTTCTATTTTAGTGCCTTGTTTTTTATCAGTGTAGCTTCAATCCATATCATCTATTTTTTTTCGCTCATATGTAGTTGGGCACCCTTATTGTTTACGAGATGGAGATAACGTAACTACTGACTATTGAAGATGGATGAAAAAATCTTTCTCTATACAAACATTGAGTGAGAGCTTGTTGGTGGTATGGTGGATTACGTAAATGATATCTTGGCAGAGCTGAGCATCCATGCAATCAAAATGTCTTGGCAAAAATCTTCATGCAACATCCATGGACTCATGACAACAGGAAAATCTTGGACAAAACAGAGACAGAGAAGATTTGATCTTACCTGATATTGGAATAACTATAAAGAAGCAGAAGCCAGTTTCCAGGGAAGGATGATAAGATCAAAACTAGCCCCGAATATCCTTCAAGCTGCCCACTCCATAGGCCACAGCCATCGAGCTACATTCCATCCTGCTCCTACCTGCCGCCTCCTCCGCCTCACACTCACCTCCGCATCACGCCTGCACTCAGGCCCCCTCCTAAGTCGGCGAGCAGACCGCGAGCTCCCTTCGATAAAGTCAGGTCGAACATGGCTCCGCACCTTGCCAATTTTCTTCGTCGTTGTTGGCGCCTCCATGCTAGGAATATTCAATTACCAGAAATCCTCATCCAGCATAGTCAATAGCACCCTCTATGCGTTGCGAGTGTCGCCTAAGGGAAGAGAGCTTCTAGGCGATGAGATATACTTTGCACAGAAAATCCCATGGATTAGCGGAGAGATGAATCAGTTGCATGGGCGAATTGACATCTCATTTTGGGTTAAGGGGACAAAAGGCAAGGCGAAGATGAGATTCCAGAGTACCAGAGATGGCAGGAATGGTTATGTAAGTAGAGTGCCATTGTGTTTTATCCATCCTTTGACACATTTTTCCAAAAAGGAATCAAATGCTAATCATTAGCCTTGCCGTTCTAGTTTCAAACCAATAACTGGAGTCTTACATTGGAAGATGGCACAATAGTCTCACTATTGGATGCATCTCAAGGAGATCCTTTCCGATCTGTGATGTCTGGAGACACTACTACTGATTTGAAGACATCGATATGAAAAGAAAAAAATGTAGCCGAATATCTACAATTGGTACGATATGTTTCACAGTCTCAGTAGCCTAAACACTATAATTTCCCAAGTGAAGCTCACGAACGAATGCAGGTAAATACGTATATCAAGGATATTTTATCCGTGCATAATTAAAGTTTTTTTGACAATGAAAGCCGGGGTAGAAGCGCCCGTTGCAGACCAACTCCTTGTGCGTATCCAAGATATAGGTCCTGTCCTTTATATGTCTTTACTTATTGTGTCCTGTTTGCCGTGATCGCCGTTGTCGTTCGGGCTTGACATGACATTGGTTGTTTCGTTGGGCTGAAAGGATGTCAGGAGGTTTTGCCTTTCCGAAAATCGAAGGACTTCCTGAATGAGGGTGGCGAATTCTGTACCATCATACCGGTTTCGATACAGCTGCACGGCTTCCGCGTATTAGCATAAATGCTGCTTATGGTCGAATGCATTTAAACCTAGGGATAAAGCACTATATGCGACACTTTAAAAGTTCATCGTATAGTTGGCGCAAGTCTATTGAATGTAAAATAGCACCATCCATCAAGATGAAATCAATTGTGGAAGCAGGGAAGCCAAACGTGTGCGCTGATGAGAAGAATGTCGCTCCACACAACGGAAGAGTAGTCGTGTAACGCTTCTCGTGATATCAAATGCCGCAATTTATAGTTCGTCCTTAATTCCTTCTAGTTGTTTATGATAAGTTTCTGCGATGAACATTTGATGCGTCTTAATGTTGAGGTTCTGGTTGTAATATAGTGCCACTCGAGAAGTACTAAATAGGTATCTGTTAACCTGCGTTGATAGTCTACGGAAAAGAGTGCTCACCAAGAAACTCATAAATGTCAAATTAGAATAAAATGGTACGGATTCATGAACGCTGCAGGCCATTCGAGCCCCTCTTCCACGGGTGTTGTGAAGAATCCCAAGTGCGAACTTGCTGGAAAAAACTATATAGTTGATAGCGGTTGGAGTTGCCGGGATGAGGAGTTTGGAAATCCAGAGTTCATCTTCATCTTTTGTGATCCGCGATATCCAGTGACGGAGTAATATTGCCCGACAAACCAAGCGGGAAAAGTAGAGGAAGAGACGGGTCTGATCAGGCTGGTTCTTCTGAAGCAATTATGCCAAAGACAGAGACCCCGATTCCGAGATGAGAGACATATTTCCTGGAGCGATCCCAAGGCTCCATGAAGTGATTCGCTTCACATTCGAATTTAAATTTGATATCTATCGTGAGCGTTTAGAAATATATTATTCAACACTTGAGAATATCTACCTCCAAGCAAACAAACCACTGTCGTCAGTAGCACACCAAGATTGGATATTGAGTTCATGCAATCCAAACGATAATCCATTTGGCAGGCATACTGTCGATTAGTGGGGTCGCAACACTGGCTCAAAACTCCCCCAGCTTGCAGGAATGAGGAGCATATACGGGAAATATCCAAGGATCAAAGGCCATCGAAGCTAATGTGTAACCTCCCACACCTCGTCCTGATAGGATCTCGGCCTTTCGCAGATGGATGGCATACGAATGTTCGCCAGCACAAGTTTGCCAAGTGTGTTCCTTGAATCTAGCTTTGGCCCTCTTAGCGCAATGACAGTTTGCTCCTCGATCATGCTCATTATTCTTGATGAAGGGCGGAAAATAATTGACCATGCACCCTCTCTCAGCGCTCGTAGGGTAAGTTATCCCGTGTATCAATATTGAATTAAGCCACATTCATGGGCTGGAAATGTATTGATTTAAATATGCCTTAGCGATGAAGGTTGATGGATGTAGTATGTATCAATGGTTGTATTGTCCGTGTGCACAGTGCTTCTCGTATAAAGGTACGTATCGATAGGGTATGTAAACAGGCACACTCGCCACAGCGTTGTTTAGCTTTAATGATTGTTTTCCTCTCTTTTGGGTGCTGGATGAATGCGACCAGTATAGATGATTCGAGTGATGGTGGAATTTCTGTAAACTTTCCTCTGATCAGGTAACTCTAGCGGGCCGAAAAGTTTCCGAACAATGCGTTTTGTATAACACCATAACCATGGAACAATTAACACTAAGACTTCGTATGATTATGTTATTATTAAATAAAGCCAATGTCCTCGGAAGTCCCATGGGGAAAAATAAAATAAATCCATTTATGAAACTCGCGCACAGGTATCAATCAAGAGACGGAGAGATGACAGTACAATCAAAGGAGGCAGGGGGTGGGAAAGCATAATGTGATATCATGGAATAACAATATCCACCAATAAAAATTAGACAATTAAAATTTAAATAGTTATAGACATATATATGTATGTATCAACGAGCGAAAGAAAAGTTGTAGAAAATATTCGAGAAAAATTAAGACGCGAGGGATATATTAAGGGAAACAATGCAATAATCAATCAACATGTGCCGTATGGGGAATATCGCAACGAGGCAAACAGAGAAGCAAATAGTAAAAATGTTTGATTTTAAAATGACGTCAAATGCAAAAGGCAACTAGAAGGAGAAGCCTCTCATTTAACCCCTGGGTCATCTCTGTGCCATCGAGTAAGTGGCACCGTGTTCGAGTGATGAATGACGCCCGGCAGCTTTCCCGCTGCAAGGGACGAGAGCAGACATCCTGGTCAGGACCAGGGTGGTAATTAAAACATGGAAAATAACGAGGGGCGTCAGGAAGGTTAAAAGTGGACAACATACTAGGAGTAAAAGAAAAAGAAAGTAAGGCCAGCCAGAACCAGGAGCGATGGAATATAACAGGAATGTCCCAAATTATGATAAAAAGATCGACAAAATGATCAACATCAAGAGAAGATCGGGAAAAAAAAATTAAAAATAAACCCAGGAACTGTAACAGTGATAAGAAGCAATATATAGCAACTAATCATCACCGTGGTATCAATGAAAACGATGGCGGAAATAACCTTGGAACGAAGCCAGACACACGTGCCAAAACGCAGGGAAATCAAACGAAGTACAAAACAAATGACGCAACAGGGTTAAAAAAATAAATGCATGAGAGAAGCGACCGGCCCTAGTCTAGCGAGGGTATATATAGTGTGATGAGAAGGGGAAAATAGAAAAAAAGGAAGAAAAACTTATGAAGCCGTACCGTCTCTGGATGTTGATGAAAAAAGTAAAGCGTGCGCCTCTACCGTAAAAAAAATGAAACAGGAAAAGGAAAATGGATGAAGGAAAAAGCAGGAGCTCCCCTGTACAATCGGGTGAAAATCCCCCCAACCTATACCACCTATACCATCCGAACAAAACAAATTTTCCTCACTGGGGTGGGTATCTTTTGAATCTCCCGGCCGTGAAACAACTTCGAATCCACAACTACTCGTGCTGGGTGAGAAAAGAAAAAAGGGGATAATTTTTTTCCAAAAAAAAAAAAAAAAAGGGATTATAATACAAAGCATTATACGATTTGGGGTAGAAAAAAGGAAAAGTGAAAAGGTTTCCCGGCAAAATTATCATATGGCAATGTGAAAGCCACGATAATTGTCGAGTGGGAGGCGTAGTTGGGGAAACAAACTAAAAATGAAGAAAATTAGAATAAAATTATGGATTAAAGACCCAACTTGGTGTCAAATTTTTTTTTCCCCCGCAAGCATGTTGGAGTGGGTGGCCTTGCTGCAGCAAGGCCTAAGATGTCATTAAGAAAGTCGATGAAATTTTTTAAGATGGAAAAGAGCGAGTGCGCAGAGTAAACCCATATGGCAGAGGGGTTGACTTGGCTTTGTCGTGAGGAAAGATTTCACTCTTCTTGCTGCTCAGGAGAGCCTGACTCCTTTTCGCCCTTGTGGACTTTGTTGTGTCGACGGAGATTCGATACCACAGAGAAGTGACGCCCACAACCTGGGAATTCACACGGGAATGCTGTTGGACAGAAAAGTGGCGATGTCAGTACTTTATTCGTTGATTTATTTATTTTCCCACGGCATACTTGCAAAGGTTTGCCTGGATACATAGAATAGATCTGGTTGGACTCACGTTTTTCACCCGTGTGACTATACATGTGAGTCTGCAAGGAGGAAGGGCGGGTAAATCTTTTATCGCAGACTTTACACTTGTGCTTCTTCTGCGTGTTGGACGGGACTTTTGAGCTGAACTGGCTCATCATTGATTGAGGCCCAGATATGGAACTATGGATCAGGTTGGACGGTCGCGGGAGCGTTCGCGATGGCATACCATCATAAGATTCTGAAGTTGTGGAGCTGTAGTCGGTGACGGAAGAATCGACAGAGACAACTGACGCACTGTAATATGGATAATTGCCCGCAGACGAAATTGACGAGGCTGAGGAATGTGTCGCGGGGAACCCGTAGGCCTCTCTAGGTCCTCTAGAACTCTGAGAGCCATACATATTTCGCGGAGTTGCGAGATCTTGACTCAGGGCAACCATTCCTCGGCTAGCATCCAAGGCATCTCCATACGTGGATGCCGGTGGTGGTTGCGATGGAACAGCTTGCGACGGAGGCTCGTTGCTGAATATCACGTTAGTAAAATTGCCCTTCATATCCCCGTTATCTATCTTCTTTTCTTCTATTAAAAGAACCCAGAATCTATAGGACAATCACTAAAAGAAAGGGGAAGAAGAATTAGACTCACCCTTGAGGCATATTTCTTGAATTTGAGTGTTGGTGATGGTGTTGCTGTTGTTGCTGGTGCTGGTGCTGGTGCTGCAGTGATTGCGCATAGTCCATGGGCGGATAGTTAGCGGGAGTGAATGAAGCTATTGGCGATACCGAAGTATAGCCTTGGGCTTGATCAAAGGTAGTCCGTGGAATCTCTGGAGGCAGAACAATGATCTGTTCCGAACCAGGGTAAGTAGAAGCAGGGTTGTAATTACTGCTCGGGGAAATTGATGGCGCGGGCACCGGCACAGTTGAATATGGCATGGAGATAGCCGTAGGTCGAGAGACTTCCGCGCGCTTTACAGGGTGATTCAGTGCGACAGAGCTTGCGGGCATAGATGTGGGATAGATCGGCTGCGGAGGATGAGGGGATGAATGCGCTGCCCAGGGTTCATTGAATTGGGGTGTGCTGGGATGAACCTGACTGTGAAACGCATTGTCGTAGCCCATCCCACCGCCATACTGGCGGTTTCGGTTTTCGATAACCATAGTCATAGGGAAGGCTGGTGGTGGTGACAGTTGCCAAAATCACAAGGGTTCGAGATTCAGAAAATCGGCGGGTTTGAACGACAAGAAAACAAGAGGGATGCCAGAGGGCCGATCAATTGATCGGTCGAACTTCTTTTTTCTTGGTTTCTTTTTCTGCTTGTTGCTCTCCTCTCCTCACAGGCTTTGGGCCAGTTAAACACTCGGTGCTATGCAGAGATCTAGCTCATGTGTGTTGGTGTGTGTATGTATATCAATATATTATACTGAACTGCAGGAAGAAATGCAAGACTCGACAAGGCCAGTGTGTACTGTATGGATGTATGGATGTATGTAGGAAGCCGGCTCAGGAGAGTCTGGCTATGTAGGACCAGATGGGGGGACAGTTCGAGTGGTTCCTGATGTACAGCGCGCGGAACAAAAAGATGAAAACGAGGTCAGATCAGAGGTCTGGGGAAAGGGGATCGGCGCAGTTAAGAAGAAAAACCAGCGTCCACGACTCCACGAGAGGAAGCACAAGGACGAGGTCGTACTGTGCAGGATAGTTACAAGGTACACGGCACAACGCCGCCGCAAAGATAGTTTAAGTACCTAGCGTATTCAGCACACCCACCTTGGCACATAGGGCGGTATGTATCGCTGGGCCGTATATGTAAGACCGGGTGTACTCCGTATGTCATTTGTATTCTGTACAGTAACTCGGGGCAGATCTCAACTGGGTTAATCGAAAGAAAGAGAGTATCAGATGGAGTGGAGCTCTGCTGTGTAGTAAGCGGGAAGATACGAAAAATTGGAAAATTATTCATAGCCATCCACACATTGTCATGGTGGCAGGAAGTATGTCCTCAGTCATTACGGAGTGCTAGTACTCTGTAGAGGAGTTAGGATGGGAGCCGGAGCACTCCTCTCCTCCAATCTACGGGAGCAGGAGAAGAATAATGGAGTTCTCCTGCACTCCTCAATGGCAGATGGGAGAGGAAGATTGCGTGTTGTTGACCTGGCCGAAGTCAAAAATATGGGATCAAGGAGCATCCAGGTACCAGCCAGTATAGCCAATATACAACACAACCCACACGAGCCAAATTCTTGAGCCGGTGGAGGAACTGAAGTTGTTCCCAAACGAGCTCCGAGCGCGGGTTTCCGCAAGGTTGCTTTCCAAGCTCGGCACTATTTAGCCCTCGTATCGGTATGTAAATAATAACACACTTAAATTACGTGATGTGGTAATTTGAAAAACATTATTTCAACTTCCTGAAAAAAAAAAATAGACCATGTAATTTTACCCTGTACAACTTGATCAGATTTTCTTCTTTCATACTACAGTGAATGCAAGATCTCAATTCAAACGCACGAAAAAAAGAAAAAGAAAAGATTAAAAAAGAAGAAAACCAGCCTCTAAGTTGCTCTTCTTTTCTTTCCTCCCCGGACAATATGCAGGTTTTCTTCTTCTTCTTGTTCTCCAAATAACGCCGCTTCCTGAAATGCCCATAACAGTGGTCATTTTGGGTGGGAGTGGGGAGAAATATAAGTTTGCGGGATTGACCAAGGGCTGCCTGTCGTGGTTGGGCTAGCGCCACCGACGCGGATTTCTTTTGGGGAAAGCTGCAGATCCTTACTTTGGTGGCTGAGAATTCAACGGCTCCACTGCACAGGACGGATCGAGGAGGGGTGGGTGGGGTTCGTTGGCGGCGCCCCCATTCTGTCCGGGCCCTGGGATGCTTGCTTGGGGGAGCCACTGGTGAGGGATGAGGAGGAGGATGATGATGCTGATGATGATGCTGATGACAGGGATGCGCGGACGCTGCGTGAAGCTCGAATGCATTCCTTACCTTCTGCTCAGTCCCTCAGATTCGGAACGATCTTGGATGTTGCAAGTTTGCTGCCTTTTTACGTCTTGTGCCAGGATTTCTTGCTTGCAGCCCTGCTAGCAACATCGAGTTGCTGCTATGTAAGCAACTTACCACAACACTGAACTGAGTGGTGAGCACTGGGGAGCACGCAGTTGAACAGCAAAAATTCAGGGGTATTTTCAAGTCACCCAATTTAGAAATGCTTATCCCAGCTTCCTTGCCCGTTGATTGCCGTGTTGCCTTGAATAGGTAAATGTGGAATTTTCGCTCGCTAACTACCCCTGTACTGGAGGAACAGCATGCCTTGTTGAATACAAACAGCCGGCTGAGCAGCTCAGAGGGAAAGAGGGCTGTAAACCAACAATTCCCTTGATACTCTCCGTCCCATTAGGTTGGGGTTGAAACAACCATGGACGTCACCATACCCCATCTCAAGACAATGCCATCCCAGTCTATCCGTGCATCTCGCATAGACCATATGCCTGACGGTTGTTACTTCGACGGGGATGCAGGAAACGGGTGGTAAGGCGCAGCATAGGAAAATTTCGTAGTTGTTCCTTTCCAAGCCAGTGCAATGGCGACTGTGATGACATCTGACCTCCTGGCAACAGACGGGTAACACAGCCAAAGCGACCTACCTGGTGGTGAGCTTGACAGGTGTCGCCCGTCTCACCGTCTTCCAGGATTCCGATGGCCACGCATCAGCTCTGTTGCACGTTCGAGCTCCTGGATTTGAGGATGCTCCTGTATTCTGTATGCCCCATTGTTCCCACTTAGCGATTGATGCCAGGGATTGAGCAAAGATGACATTCTTTCTTTCCTATCTGTTGATTTGGTTGTTTGATCTTTCTGGCTGATGTGGACCAAGTTGATATTTACCTATAGCTTTTCTTTTCTTGCTACTCTCTCGATTCCTTCAGCGATTCCTTGTCTCCATTTTCTATATACTAGAGTCCTTAATCAGCAAAAGCCACACCCCAAACAGGTAAGATCCCCCGGTACTATTCAACCCTGCCAAAATAATCTACGAAGGGGCGAAACTTTGTTTCAGAAAAGATAATCCGAGAACTACTAGGCGGCTTAAAATATTCACGACAATTGCCCCCAGACGAACGACAGGGTTCAAAGGAATGGCGTCCCATTGACAGCAATCGGGTGCTAGGGGGGCTGACGCCCCGATCTAAGATTCTCCAAGGTCCCCTCAGCAGCCCATCCACGAACGAAGTTTGCCCCTTTTCAAGCTCCTCTGTCTGATGTTTATTTTTATTTTTTTTTTGCAATTCTGACAACACAGTCTTGGCAGAAAACAAGGGGGGTTCCCAAAATAGTCAAAATGCTCAAGTCGATGATGTACCTCTGCCCAACAGGTGCCCCGCCACCACCTGCATCCAAGGGGGAAGAAACACGAGATGAGATGCGATGCCATCTGCTCCTAAAACATTAAAAAACAAAATAAATTAAGATTAACCCAGGGAGGCGTTCTGGAGGGGGAAGCAGAGGACAAGATAAGTGGGCGGAAAACACCAACCAGAGGAAATGGAATTGTTCACTCCTTCTACTGGAGACGCAGAGTGGGAAGGTAAGTTGAACAAAGAAAAGGCCCATACAAGATCTTTTTTGTTTTTCTTTTCCCATTTTTTGGGGCCCATTCTTGCTTCGTCACATCGCATCGTTTGTTCAGTCCAGAGTACGAAGGACAGGTAAGTCAATAATAAACATGCCCAGGCGTGGACCGAACAGACTGTATGTGTATGCCTCCTATCTCACTGGAGGTGAACATGCAAAGAGCAGGAACAATTGTTTCTGACCTTTTGACACGAACTCCTTGTTACGGTTCCTTTTTTTTTCTTTTCGATAGCTTCCACAACATTTCGATGACATTATGGACATCAGCGACGAAAACGCGATTCCAAATGCCCATTCCCCACCCAAGAGAGTTCCACCTCAGATTCCATCATTTTTCGGGCATCCCAAAGTGGAAAAAGGTCACAAAAAGGATTGGAGCAAAAAAAAGAAACGCAACGAACGAACACAGCACATGACTGGACAAGAATGCAAAAAAATAAGAGAAAAAAAAAAAGGCCGCGTAAGCTCAGCAGGGGTGTGTGCATAATCGCGGGAAAACAAGCACTTCTTGGTTTGCTGCTTAGTGGATGCGATGGTTGGGCGTTGGCTATGAGGGCTTCTTGTGCTTGGTCGTCCAGTGTTCTTCCCAGCGCTGCCCAGCCGCTAAGGGCCTCAAAAGCTGCTGCTGGGTGGGGGCCAGGGCAGAATTTCACCCTTCCCAAATCCCCGTTGAGATCGTTTCCTCTCTCTGGTTACTGCGAAGAACGAGTCAGCAGCCATCCCCGGTTCCAGAGAAGGATTCTTTGCTGTTGCTATTGCTGTTGTTTGGGAGGATTGGTAAGCTCCGTTCCGGGCTTACCTCTCTCCCTCCCGCATGTCAGTTAACTCCGTATGGAGCTTTTTCATGAGAAAACCCAGGTGGTTCAATAAGTACGGAGTAGGGACAATAGGATCAAAAAGGCAGAAAAGAGAAAAGAAAATTATTCTCCACTTCTTCACGGAGAGCTTTCTTTGCTCTGCAACCCAGCGTACTGGATAACGCTGACTGGAGTTTTCTTGTAGTCAACTACTTGTAAATGCACATGTACTTTACGTCATGTTTATTTTGGTATCCATCCATGTACGCAGCATGTACTCCGTACCGATGTACCGATGGAGGTGAAGTGGGCAAGTTTAAAAGAAGGTTACAGGGGTAATCCCAGAAAGCTTAGCTTTTTTTTTTGGAACAGCCCATCTCTTGCCAACATGATTGATTTGTGCTGTACTTCCGTACATCGTACTATGGATGTATGATTGGGAATCCTTTTTGCAAAAGAAAAGAATCCGCGATTATTACCGACTACACATACTTATAAAAATTGACAGTGTATTATTTCAAGATTCGAAAGAAAAGCCGTCCCTTCTTCGTTCAGTCGACCACTGATATTTATGTTTCATACTTTTTGGATTCAACCACCACCTCACTGGCGTTTCCTCTGGCAAAATTTGATTTTCTCCCTCCCACGGTGTTGGGTTCCAGCTCGGCACCAAGGCGAAGTTTAAACAGTAGTAGTACCTTGTGTGGGTTTTTCCTTGACCTGAGGAGGATCAAATTAGTGGAAATCTCTCTTATTTCCACCTTTTTGTTTTGTTTTTGTTTTTGTTTTTTTTTTTTTTTTTTTTTTTTTTTCATTATTGATAGTGATGCATTCCAAATTCCATGCCCATTTTTCACTGAAATGATTTTTGTGATAGCCCAACAAAAGAAGAGAGAAAAAAAATTGAGAAGTGAAGGGGGGAGAGAAGAAACGAACCCTGATGCGATTAACTTTCCGTCAAACTTGAACCATCGATGCATGCCGGTACCATCAACCGCCCCAACCCTGATAATATGTGCCCAAAGCCCCCCGGTAACTCCTTGGAGTTCGTCCCATCCCATCCTCTGTCGCTATCAAAACATGAGACGGCCCACGGAAATCCGCTTGCATCTTAGCGCTCCAGCCACTTTTAGTTTGGCCCCTTCTCCTGCAACACTGCGCACTGAATGCTGGACAACGAGAAGTTACCGGTTTGCCCCCGCCAAGGCGCCGAGCTTCACGTACTCCGACCTGAACGTGCCATTTTCCATTTCAGTCAAAAAAGGGGGCAATGTTGCCTCTCGTCCTGGGTCGGTGGGCGCTACCACTTGTTGCGGAGCGCTCAAGGCTCTTCTGTTCTGTGTTCATGAATTGGATGCATGGGACAGAGTAAAGTAACCTCTCCTGTGCATGCTTCACCGCCGAGTTTTTTTGCTGTTTTATTTTCCCTTTAACCCTTCATAAGTTTTTGCAAGTCTTGAGATAGCCGTCCCTGGACGTTGAATTGGGGTTGTTGGATGGATAGATGGATGGCGGGTCGTAGCATGCAGTCAACGATTCTTTGTTCAGGAGAGAGAAGAATTGCGTCTCTTCACGGGTCCGTCATCTGTACGCGACAATTATGGTTTCTTTTATGCAGCGCGAGACAGGCTGCATGCTAGCATCCATCGCGTTCAACCTCCATCTACCTTACCTCTCCATCAGCATTTTCACCTGGCCCTCTCTCCGCGGGCTGGTTTTTTTTTTTTTCTTTTTTTTTTTCTGTATGCACACAAGAAAGTTTAATCGGCCATTCCCATCGCCGCCTTCTCACTCACTCTCTCTCATAACTGGTTGCTGAATTCACGCCACGATCTCCAAATCAATCGTGCATTTTTCTTTTTTTCCTGTAAGGATTCAAGCAAGATTCGCGGCGCATGCAGTTGCACATCCATACATTCCTACATGCATAGCTCGAACCTAAAAGTGTTTTAGCTTCATGTCCACCATTCATTCTCTCTTATCACTTTTCTGTTCTACTCTCTCTCTCTCTCTTTTTTTTTGGTTAATTTTTGCCCCTCGCATGCGCAGTGCGCACCCAGGATCGAAGCAAATAAATCCAACATTCCTCCGTTTTGCAATAGTAAGTTACCATACCGAGGGCGCAAATCCTGAGGTTCGCTGAAGTTTAACAAAACTAAAACCCACGCACACCAAAGATCCCTGGCTTGTTCGTTGGAATCAGCACGCAGGGGGAGGAAGGAAAACAGGGACCAGTTTCATGTTCTTCCGCTGCAAGGTTCTGCTTTCCCTGGCCGAGACATCGGTGTCACAGGAGCTACAGGGGAAACATTGAATGCCTGTCTGTTTCTGTTTTCTGTTGCTGTTGACTTTTGGTGGCTTGGTCCATGGCCGGAGCAAACAAAAGTCCCCACCACATGATTTATTCAGGGGTTGGTGAGTGATGAACTGCCTAGGGCGTAACTATTGATAGTTTGCTTGATGGTAATAACTCCCCAAGCATTTCTTTTCGTCCCTGGCTACTGTTCCATGAGAGGGGGTCACGGTTAGCTCAGCTTCTCTTTTTTAAAATTTTTTTTTTTTTTTCAAAGCTGGCGTGGTAAAGCTCACCTTGTGGCTTTTCTTTGTCACTTCAGGTTTGCCCGGTAGGGAAAGAAAGTAAACATCAGCATCGGTGGAGTCTAGTGATTGACAATGGTAGCATAGCTGAAGGGATGAACAGTAAACAAATTACACAATGCTGTTGATATGTGGAAATATTTTCCTGCAGGTACTTAAATTGTAGTAGGTTATTCTTTCTTCACTATGGAACAAACAAACAAGCCTTGCGAAGACGTGCGCGCAACCGCTGACATCGACTATTCTGTTTGACACCTGCTTTGGATGCCACAAGCCCTCACAGACTTCGACAAAAAAGCTTCTCCCAAATTCCCCAGCTTTGATTCCCGGGGAGGCGGAATATGGCGTCATTGGGCTGCTGCAATAATGCAATTCATTAAGATGGGCTTCACTTATCCAAGAAGTGGCTGCGAGACCCCCGCGAACCTTATCCGGTGGGCAACTTTTAAGTAGGAAACACACAACGGGGATGAAGACAATCTCTGTTTCAAATATCTATCAAAATATCAAGTTGGCCGCCCTTCGGTACATACATTAACATGATCTGTTATCGATCAAAAAAGTAAAGAAGGCGGAAAAAGAAAAAGAAAAAGAAAAAGAGAGAATCAACCATCAAAAAGCACGGCACATCATCCACAGCCAAGCGCCAGGCGATCTGCCGCCGGGCGCTTCGTTCACTAAAGACAGCTTAGCTGCTGGGCTCCAGTCTCAAGGCTGGCAGGTGTGTTTTAGCCCAAAACGCCGCCTTTTCACGTTGCCAATATGCAATCTGAAACAGACAATCTGTCCCCAACCACGTTTTTCTGTCTAATCAATTCTTGTACTATGATACTACCGTTTAACCGTTCTATTTAAGCCTGCGCGGATCAGCGGACGATCAAACCGCAGATTGCTTCGGCAGGTCTCAGGAGTCAGGAACAAGCGTGAGTGTGAGCGTGCGCGTGCGCGTGCTTTTACTAATTCGAACTATGGACCCGCTTTCTATGTAAGTCAGTCTTCGTCGCTGGGTTGCAGACATCGGAGGAAAACGTTCCTGATAGTGTTCAATCCGATGAGGATGGGCCGTTTGAATAAAATGGCCAACTAGATGGTAATTACTTATTTTATATGGGATTAACTAGATCAGCGAGAAGAGAACAAACAAACGGCAAGCATCGAACACTGGGGGCTTCGATAGGGCTGAATAATGAATGACAAGCGATCAACCTTCCTGATTTCAACTTTCCGGGCCAGAGACCCAGCTCCATGACAAATGGAACCCGATGGGGCATGCAATGATGACTACGGCGGAAACATAACCACTGCGCACTGCGTACTGCGTACACCATCCGGAAAAGAGCCAGAAGTTGCATTGGACGTTTCTTGTTTGTCGATCTGCTGTATCTCGGTTCGAACCTCGAGAGTATCAACAGTACCGGTTGGTCAAAACGCCCGCTGCCCAGCAAATGCCCAGCCAGCCCACCCCGCTGATTACGTTGCCCTCCTCTCCCAAGCCGGCGAACATCCCGGTTTAGAGGCTTGGCTAGTGAGGCAGATAAACCAGATCCACGCTGGCTGCCATCGAAAATTGGGGCAAATGGGGGCCATGCTCCACCAGCTGCCACTTGGGCAATGGGCAGTGGGCACAGGGCTATTCAGTGGAAGCTACCCCCTCGCTGAGATCAGAGCTAAGACCGCTGAACAAGCTCGGTTAGCCCAGCACAGAGTGTCGGGTGGAGATCGGCTTTTTTTAAAAAATCTTTATCCCTCCAAGCTTCCTCCGTCGATATTGGGTTATCGACGGCCAGTGCAGTAGCACGTGCGATTGCCAAAATGAAAAAAAAAAAAAAAGCGAAAGAGACGAAGACAGTCAATTTTTTGTGCGATTATTGTGAATGAAATGGAAACCAAATTTTGCTTGATAAAATCATAAACAGAGTAGCAGCCCCAGCGGCAGCTGAACAGGGGCTCAATAATCAGACGAGGTCGTATCCGATGGACGAAGAAAAATAAACTGCTACGACCGCGGCACTTTTTCTTTGGAGGAAACCCGAAAAGGAGGAAGCGGCATTCTCGTGCTCCACCCGACGAGCGCACTAGCGACTTTTGTCAGCAGGACACCAAATCAGGGGTCTCGCTGATCGCTCCGGCCTTCCCCCTTATGCCCCGGCCTGCAACATTCTGAAACGCGCTGTCGCCCTTCGAAGTCCGCCGCCCCCTGGGCCGCCTGCCCCCCATGCATCATCGGCGCCGCCGCTGACCTCCCATGATCGGCCACCGCGGGTGCTGTGCGTGCTCTCAACCTCTGTGGGTTTCGTCACGGCGGAGGGAGGGATGAGAAGTCACCATACATAGCACTTTGGAGGCCCCTTTTTTCTCTGCCTTCTCCCTTTTGCTGACTTTCCTTGGGAGCAAGGTGAGACTGGGATTGTGAGCTGAAAGGTCTTTCTTTTTGGTCTTCCCTCCCTCTTCTTCAGAGATTTTTTTTTCTTTTTTTGCGTGAGCATGCTCGCTCTGACCAATCAAACAGGACCTATATTCATCAATAGTGCCACCTTGCTTTTTTTTTCTTTTGCAGAAAGCCCAGCGCCGAAAAAAAAAGAAAAAGAAAGAAAGAAAGGAAGGAAGAAAAAGAAAAGAACAAAAGAAAAGAGAGATACTAACTACATCCATATCTTCCTCCGCAACTATGAGTCGATGAACTATGAATGGGATTTTGAATATTTTTCCAACGTCTTCTACTCCCGTAACAATAAATTACTATCTATTGTTTTTGCTTTTTTTTTTTTTTTTGCTTCGTTTTTTGCAAATCCGATCAAAAATTAAATACGATACACACAGACAGCGTTTCGTCAGTGACGGATTGCACCTCTTGACACGGTTCAAGAATTTCCTCTGCCATCGTCCACTCCCTTCACGATCCAAACAGCGTTTGTCCGGTGCTTGTTAAGCAGGGCGTATCCTGCCGTAATCAGTCATATTTGTATGGAGTACATGTACAGTACCTTCGTCGGTTCCCATTGCATGATGGAACGACTCGGAGACAGGCCGGAGGACAATGCATGCATGGTCTCTCTCGTCTGCCTCCCCGCATGCTTCTATCGCAACCTTTGTATTTTTTCTTTTTTTTTAATGATCCCATCACTCCCTCTGTGTGAGGAAGAGGAAAAAAGGAATCTAAACCTCGAATAACACGCAGCAGAAAACGAAATGGTATAGAATGAAAGATAAAAATGTACTGTGCTTCCGTCCCATGTATGTACATGTACATGTACATGTACATACAAAAGTGTAGATGGAACCCATGGGCCAAGGACCGTTTTTACTTTGGCTACGATTGCTCCCTCACTTATTCTTAGTTGCATACGATAGTATTCCGTAGTTGCGGAGTGGGATGGGGTTAAGTTATTGAATTGAATTTTGCGCTTTAAAAAGGAAAAAAAAGGTATGTATTTAGTTGAACCACATGAGGCTAAAATGATACAGTATTCTTTTTTGCCCGCATTGGCCCCCTATGATGTCAGAGCTGCTAACCCCCAAGTCGCCATCGTCAAAAAGCCCGCAGCGCATCTTCCACCCTTATTCCTCTCCCGTACAACGTCCATGTCCTATATGGCAGTAGTATCTATGAAGCGCAGGGAATGAGCTCTTCCACCAAATTCGGGCGGGACGATCAGGAGACCGTTTTATACTGGTTTTGGTCGCGTGCTAAAAGTTCATAACTGGCAGGGCAACGTCCGTCGTTGGGAAGTTCAAACTGCGTTGTGGCTAGGAGCTAAAAAAGCATACCCATCTCGAGTTTATTTATTTTCTTGGTAAGATTAGAGAGCTTTTCGTCTTCTGCTCCACTGGTTTTTAGAGTTCCAGTAGTGGGGTTACGCTCATTATTGAGTCCGTGGTTGTGGTTGCGGTTTCGGGGCTAACTTCATGCTTTTTTTTTTTTCCAATATGCAGTCTGTCTGTCTCATGTAACATGGAGTTGGTGAGAATGAATGGTTGGAGACGTAAAGTTGGATCAATGGCTCAGCGCGATGTTTTTGAGCCAACGATATGGTCAAAAAGGAGTGGGGCCCAGGTTGAGGGGGTATGTTTGGGACGGAGTTACATGTAAATAAAATGCAAAGTGCTAGTTAGCTACACAGTTGCTATCCGGTTGATGTTATTTACCACTGCTGCACTCCTCGCAAAGTTCGAGCTGAGTTGATGCAGTTTTGTCGAAGGGAGGATGACACCTTGAGAGTTGCAGGTCAATAAGTATAACTAATCTATACAGTAGATATCGCGCGGCCGGAAGAGGGCTTTACTTCGCGCACAAGATTTTATCACTTGCCCGAGGCAGAAATTACCTAGATAGTTACCAGTGCTAATAACCAATAATAATAGCCTGGAGATTTACCATGAAATCAATGAATGCTCAATTGTTTCTGAGATGGGCTTTTTTGAACTGACTGTCTTGGCCTGAATTCATACTCTGTGTTTTGCATGTGCATACATATATATCTTCGTATATTACTTATCAGATTATACAGGATGGGGATACATATTTCTAATCTCTGATCGTAGAAAATCCCCGCGAGGAAAGCGATTAGATAGGGCTTTTCCTAGATCGTTGAACACCAGTCGATGAGCTTCTAATATTACCTGCCTGGCTTTGTGGATGGATGGATCTACGCTCAGTTTTAAACCTAGTAGGCATCTTCAACATTTCAGAATTATCGATACCAGGGGTCACTTTTGAGAAAAATTAACAGCGAAATGAGATATACAATAGCACAATCAATGGCAATCAAACCCTTTCGATAGAAGTATACAGGAACCGTTAAATGTACAGGAAAAGGCAGGTCAAGAATTGCAACATTAGAACGCCGAACGCACATCGCAAAAAAAAAAAAAAAAGGAAGGAAAGAGAGGGAACTGCAGAAGAAAAAATACTAGTAGGTGAATAACATGTTAGAAATTAATTTTAAAGTCAAAACTATCATCAATCACAGAACAATCGCCAACTCGTGCCTCGCCAAACCCTCGTCCTCGAGTGTGGGATAATAAGGTACCATCGCATCAGCCCCTTGAACGTAGGCGTCATTATATAGCCTCCAATATGGCTGCCGCACTTTCCTTGCGGGATGGAACAAGCCTGCCCAAACATAGTTCATCACAATGCCCGTGCCAACGGCCATGCGGATGGCCTCAATAGCTTCGATTATCCGATCAATAACGTGAGGGCTTGTCTCAAAGAGGTTAGGATACAGCAGATTGAGGAGATGGAGCATTGCGTCTTCACATCCAAGGCCAACAACACCAAGAGCAATATGTTTCACCACGCTGGCTGCTGTTTGTCGATGCACTTGGTCACGATCTATTAATGCGTCTTCAAGCAGTGGAGTGACAGCGTAAACGTAATCTTTTGCCATTTCGCCGATATATTCAAAAAGGAAGGACATAGCTTTGAGTACGCCATTCTGGACATTCAGCTCTGGCACTCGATACTCGTTCATAAGGGCAGGAAGAACCGTGAAAGGCGCACAAGTTTCGGCGACGATACCAATGGCAACAGCGGTACAAACGCGGGATTGGCGTTCTTGCACTCGAAGGTTGTTGAGCAGGGTAGCGAGGACATCTTGCGGGCCAATAGCTTTTGCAATGAAACCAAATGTGTTATTAGCTGCACGGCGTATGCCCTTCTTGTGAGCTTTCAGCATGTCGAGTAACTCGAAGCAGATTCGCATCCATTCTCGGGCATTAACGGATTCAGGGCCTCGATCTGCTATTCGACCAACCAAATCAATAGTGTTCTCTTGTACTTTTTCGTGTCGATTTCGCAGTATCGGGGTGAGACGGGGTAATAGGTCTCGGATAGGCGGCTGCATTTGATTGATACCAACAACAGTAACAATAGACCGCAGAGCCCCGAGAATAGAACCGAGAACTTCAGGATACTCTTCGCCCAGATATTCGTAAAGGACGATACCGAGTTTACCCATGAGGGCGTCCTCACCACACTGTTTCATGACCAGTGCAATGCGGGATATAAGGTCGGCTGCCTGCTGACGAACTGTTGCGGATTTGTTATTCAAACGCCAGAGAATTGTACTGACAATCTGGGGAAGATACGGCTTGCAACGAGTGCCAAGAGCATTGACAACAGTGCCAAACCCGTTCAAGATCACGATATCTTCGATGCTTTGTTCCTGGAAAGCGAACAGGACGCCATCAATAAGCCTTTCCTCGAGCCTTTCGCCAATATCTGCCGCACCGAGGGAGGCAATCACTTTCTCGACAGTTTCCACCGTCATTTTTCGATATGCCTCGCTTTCATCCTTTAAGTTGTTGACAATCTTTTCTACAATCTCGCTGACACCAACTTTTTGGCCTAAATCAACTGTAGTCTCGACGACTTGTCGGTAGTTTCTTTTATCGAGCGCCATGCGCCTTACCCAGAAGCATTTGAAGAAATCTGTGAGCACGTGTTCCTTTAAATAAGCTGCTGTGACACCATCTGTTCCCGCACACTGAGATACAACTTTCAAAACAACCTTCTTCATCTCTTCATCAGGTGAAGAGAACTCGCGGAGAAGAATTTCCATTATCTGGCTCGTGAAGTAGTTCGCACCCTCCTCATCCATAAGAGGAATAATATATCCGACAGCCTTGAGGAAACCCGCAAGTCCCTTGCCACGCTGTTTTCTTGCTCCTGTCCAAAGAGGCCCAAGGATATCTTGAAAACTTTCGATACCATACGGGTTCGCAGCTTCGGCAAGAGCAGCAATCGCCAAGCTAGTTACGGTGCGAACCTTGGCTTGTTCATCACTGAGGTTGTCCCCAATGCAGTCCACCAAGCCTTGCAAATGTGGCAAGACTGCACATCCCATTAGAATTGGAATTTGCTGAACAATCTTGACACCTGTATGTCTTGCTTGCCATGATTTTTTACTGCGACAAACAGCCCTTAGAAATGGAAGGAGGGCAGGTATACCAAGGGCCGATGCAACAACAGCAAAGGCTCTTGCAGTGGTGTTTCGTACGTATTCATCGACATGGTCAATATCAGGGCGCATGGTACTGATCATGTGGGCGAGGCCGGCAGCTTTACTAAGGTTAGAAATAATCTCTCGACCTTCCACACGAGCGTAGTAATCCTGATCAATAAGGAGAGGTTCAATAACAACAAGGATTTTGTGAACGTAAGGTCGAACAAGGTCGTCAAGTTTGTAAAGTACCCGGTCGATTACTTTAACGAGCAAATGCCGTTCCTGATCTTCCAATGATTTCTCCATGAGCAATGGAAGGATCTGGTTGAAAAGAGGTCCTGCACCAAATTGACGGGCATTATCTGTAAGTTGTCGAAGAGCGGTCTTCCTCATTGGAGGGGTCCCATTTTTGACTTTCAAAAGCAGTCTCATGATTTTTCGTTCTTTTAGTTCGTCGACAGACATGGTGTTCTCATCTGCTCCATCGACGAGTTTCCCGAAATATTGCATATCCTCTGATTTAAAAAATTGGAGATCTCCAACACCAGGAATATCCGTCGGCAGCTGCTTCCCCATCATCCGAGCATTCTCAGGCTCTTGCATCACAAAACCCCCAAACCCACTGGCACTTGGCATTGGTGCTGGCGTACTCATTAGCTTTCGAGCGGGAGTCCGAATAGGTGCGTACCCAGGGGGAGGTTCAAGAATCTTATAGCCTTCCGATGGAAGCATGAGGTCCAATTCTTCGTCAGACAAAGGTGCATTTCGACTCGAAATATCAGTTCCAAAAGTCAATGGAGCAACAGGAGCGGCTGCCTGAGATGGATGTATCGGAGTCGCCAGGCCCTCATTTCCTACTGGTGTGGCAGATACAAGAGATGGTGCTTGATCCCATCTTGATCGGCGTTTCGGAGCTTCTTCGGGTGCACTAGGAACGGGCGTTTGGTCCCATCTAGATTTTTTCGGTTTCGCTTCTGCTTGCTTATCGCCTTCTGGAGCAGGTGGCGTTTCGGAGGCCACATCCCATCTTTGTTTCCTTTTCCTTCCCGACGCTACTGAAACAGCTGAACCTGCTTCTGCGTTTTCTTTGTCAGCCTCGTTTAACTTCAAAGTCGCTTCGTGTTCAATAGATCCATTTTTCTGGCCTTGGCTATGTTGCTCGGCAATCAGTTTTTTTACTCGTTCTTCCTCCTTTTCTAGCTCTCGAAGAGCCATGACATCACGATAGGTTTGGCCTTCGGCTTCTATATTCGCCTGGGAATTTGAAGCAAACGGGTCGGCACGTGTCGGAGTAAGAGGGCCACGGTTAAAACGCCGCTTCTGGTAGTCAGTCTCGCGCTCCGAGATCCTGGCGGATTTCTCACGCCCAAGGAGGATATCTTCTTCCTCGACTCCTTTGCCAGCCGCAAACTCGTTCATTTGTTCTTTTGTTGCCGTATACTGCCCTGTCAGTCGGACACCCTCATCCGCCATATCCTCGTCTTCGTCGTCGACGGGGATGGAAGTGTTATATTCCGCATACTTGTCGGTTCCATTGCGATCGTAAAGCGTTGTATCGAAGGATTCAGTCAGGGAAGCCTTGGTCGAAACGTCAGCTCGTTGAGAGGATGGGTCGAAAGTTTTAGAACCTTTTTTGCTCGAGGCTGAAGCGTTCCGCTCAGCCTGAAGACGCCTTATAGTCTCAAAGTCGGCTATACATAAGGGAGTTAGCTCTGGTGTGAAAAGATTGGATTGAGCGCCAGTCATTGCTTACCATCAGACATGATTGTGGCTGTAGGGCTGGCTAAACTCAGCTACAACAGGCGTTGGAGTGTATCATGGATAAAGTAGAGTAGGGTCCACTGAAATTGGACATATGTCGATGGTAGCGGTTATTTTTCTTCGTTAGGTCGGTGATGATGCCTATGGAGAAGATGATGTTGCGGCAGAAGAGGTTGAAATTTGGCTTGCTTGGGTAAGCAGCACCACTCAGCTTTCAGAAAGTAGAATTTGCGTTTTACTACAAAGAGAATAGTCGTGGCGGTGTATATCACCTGACCCGCAGCGCAAGAACATTGCACAATATGTGTGTGGTTCACTTTTCACAACAACCTGACTAAACCTCTCCGAGTCTCATACCCGCGTTTTCAATACTACACCTGACAACAATTGTTAGTACAAAAATGGTTGCGTATCATTGACAGGAAAGAAACTGCATTTCAAGTACTCCAAACCTCTTATGGTGGCTTCGTTGAGGTTTATTATTACTAATTATATGCTGACAGAAATGGTATGCATTTCTGGACATTTTGAGAAGACAAGATATCTGGGAGCATTCAGTATCCAGTGCTGACCTTCATGGTTCAAGGATGCAAGAGGCTCACACTAACTAACGTGAGCACGAAATTACCTCTCTCAGCTTGAAATAGCTCAATAATACCGACATAGGGGAATCCTTAACATGGATTTCGCGTAGATGAACCAGCCAAAAGACTCGATGCACTGAGGATTGGCCAAAGTGGAAAAGAGCTGCTTCGTTCACGGATTTTTGATGTGTAAAATATTACAATATTAATATTAGTAGTTGTTTATTTTGGTTTTCTCATCTCGACATAAGCATAATATACCTGATACATTCATATCGGACGCAATATCAGTGATAGATAAAAGCTCGCCAGCAGAGCACAAAAAATGCAGATTCAAAATCATACAAAACATGCTAAATTCAAATATTCATCAGGAGTAATGGTATCACAAAAATACAATAAATGCAACGCTTGCCAACCTATGTGAAACCCGAGGATATGCGAAAAATCGATGATTGCAAAACGCTCACATATACATAGACAAAATAAATGCACCCAAAATAGAACGTGACCAGCCGTAAGAATGGGAAGAAATGTTAGAAGGAGTTAAATGTACAGAACATCAAAACGAGATGGGCCGCGAGGCCGCTGAGGATATCTTCGTCATGTCTGGCATTAGGGATTGGTTGCCCCGTCTCATTTTTTAGTGTTATAGACCAAAACGGGGAAATCGATCGGTACAATCGTTCATAATTCGTAATCGTATTTTAAATCGTAAAAGTAGAATAGAGATAAGAGGATTCGATATCGATATCTCGTCAAGGCTGTTGGCGTTAGGATGATTGATAATAAAAGTATTCCGCTCAAAAGAAGTAACGGGTTTTAGTAGTTTCACCCCAAAGGAACACCAAGGAAGTCTCGGTAAATCTACCTCCCCTCACTAGGTGTTGTTGGGTTCCTTGCTCTTTCTTTTTAAACACTGGCCGTCCTTCGAGGTTCGCTTGGTTTCTGTGCATAAGCAATGAGCAACCGAAATCCTGTCGCGCGTCTTTGGCATTCCCGAAGTACTCTTCTGTCTGCCCAGATGCTGTAATCCGGATTTCCATCAGGTAGTATTGCAGCTTCATAGCAGCGGGTATACCACCAACGAGCAACTTTGGCTACCATTTTTGCAATGGATTCATCATTCGATTCCGAAGGGGTCGAATTCGAAAGGAGATCGCCAAGAGAAACACTGGGGTCGTCTGATGGAGGCCGCTTTTGTTTACTACCCCCTTGATTGGTGGGTGTAGGATTCGAGGAGTACGGGTGCAACGGTGTGACAGATTGATTAGAACTAGATGTATTAGATGAGCTCCAAAGAGTGCCTGCAACTGGCACACCAACTATGCATCTATTCAAATTCTCAAACCCTCGCTTTCCAAGCAATTTTTGGATATTGTCGCTTGCGGGTTTGAGGCTTGTGCTTGGATCCGCAGCAAATATGCGCTCCTTTAGCATACGAACAGCTTTTCGTGTTCGGTTACCCATATTCACCATATCCAGGTCCATGACGTTCAATTCTAAATATGCGCCCGGTCGTAAGACACGCTTGCATTCTGAAATCGTAGCCCGTAATCCACTCTCTGAGCAGGCAGCCGGGAATCGAATAACTGCTGCCGTAAAGAACCCTTTTGGAAACGGAAATGGATTCCCTATATTCGCGTGATGGATAGTTCTGTGATTGGAGGGTGGCCGCCAGGCTGCGGGATTACTGGAAATTGTGGAGGGCCCTGAGAATCCAAGACTATACACGGTTGCGGTAGAATAAGTTAATGCACAGTAAAATGACCAATCGTCGTTTCCTAAGCCGTCGATAACAAGAACTCGACCCTGGTGTTGGCCTTGAAGATGGTTGTGTGCAGGGCTGAAAAGTACTCGTCCAAACGACAACCAGCGGCTGGTCATGAGGGAGCTAGACCGGAGGTTGATTTGCTCGACTGCACCGTTGCGATCTCGCTCTGCTTTATCAAAAAGTATTGTGTTTCTGCGCCGATCCGCTTCACTGTTCTTAGGTGTAGGAAGTGAAACTTCTCTAATCGTATCCGATTCCAAATCTGGTCGTTGGGCGGATAGTGTACCACCTTGATTTAGCAGCTCTGCGGTATTCGAATTGCTGAAGCCGCCAGAGCGGTTGATGGAAGACATTGAAGGAGATTCGGACATTGACAAATGTAGAGCGGAAATTATCATAGATCTGCGTAGACGTACTGAACTACTGCTTGATCTTGCGGAGGACATTGACCGATGTGGGGCCAGATCTTCGGAAGATATGGGAACAGAACGGACATCATTATTTATTCGGCCTTGCTCCCTTTGTAGAGCCCTGCTGGCACGGGTGGCCATTTTAAAACGTTGTTGGGAAAAGTCTGACCTTATTTCTTTAGGCACCGCGCTAGGCGACAAAACCGTATCGATGAAGTCATCATATTCGTTCCAGATCTCGTCTTCGTTAAGTTTTGAACCAGGTTGTGGTGCAACAGCAGTTACGGCAGTTAGGCTCCTGCAGCCTTCTGAACTACTAGAGCCAGAAGCTATAGATTTCCTGCGCGGGAAAGCCAAAAATTCGTGATTCCTTTGGGCGTATGACCGATTATTGCCTGGAATGTTATGGGTGGAAGGGTCCGAAATTGCACATTCTGAATAAAACTCATGGCTAGGGAGAGCTTCAGTTTGAGATCCCACGGGAGGGCGACCTGGATTACAAAATTGTACAGGTTGGGAATTGGCAGTGGATGTTAAGGAAGGCATATCGGCCCTGCTAAAGGGCCGAGAAAATGAAGGGATAGGCTGGTTTCTCTCCGTGTCTCGGCTAGAGACTACGAGAGGAATTCTTCCTACAGATGCAAGTCGGTTAGGTCGTCGCTGTTCTCGAACATCCGCTTTGGGCCGAGAATCGCTTGCTTCATTGTCGTCGAAGATGTTTTTATTGAAAAATACCTTTGGTGACGAAGGAAGTTTTGCGAAGTCATGTCCTCCCAAAAGCGGGGGTGATGGCAGCAGAACGGAGTGACCATGCTCTCGTTTCAATCCAAGCCCAAGGGGCACTTCTTCAGTATCGTCAAGCTCTTCCTTAGTGGGTGATTCCTCGATCCCCTGGAAAATATCTCTGAGTGACTCCGAATCTATAAACTCGTTTTCGAGGAGTGCGTAGTGAGCTACCTGCCTGGACGCAGGGAGTTTAGATATGGAAACTGGCACTTCGACAGAAGGGCTCGGTTCAGGAAGGGAACGTTTTCGCGAGTTTTGGTGACTCCGTTGAAAAAAATTCCACTTTGATTTCTTCTCCGGCTTCTTGTAATCTTTCGGATCATGAACGTGACCATTCATAGTAATAGATACGCTAGATTGGGAAAAGGATGTTTGGCTAGTGTTGCCACTGTCAATCGATGAACGTGATTTGGGAAGCTCAGTATTGGCAGATAGTGGAACTGTAATTTTTTCCTTCGACTCAAAGACCTGTGACCTGCGAAAAGATCGACGGTTGGCTAGGCTCTGGTTTTCTTCATCTCGATGGATTCTGTGGAGTAAAGAATCAAAAGTTTCGGTTGGCTGGGAGGAACATCCCGTCCCTAGAATCAGTGATTCTGAAGAATCCTCGGTGGCTTTCGAATATTGTGGACCAGGATAGGAATTTGAAATTGACGTGACACTCGCGCCACTCGCGCTTTCCGCACTCTTGGTTCGACTGAGCTCTGCTCCATTGACCCCGCGTCCACTAATGATGACTGGCTCCAGGCGATCTAACAGGAAGTCATCCAAATCCGATTCTGTTTGACTAGCAAAACTGCCCTTCCTAGATGGAGGAGTTGCACTTGTGGATCTTGCTCTTCCATTAGCGCTACTTATGCTGGATCTGCGGCCCCGCTGGGCGTACCTCTGATAACCTTCGTGGCCGGTTCCTGCAGCAGGGCCACGTCGGCTTGGTTTATCTTTCCATCCCGAACCAACTATATCCGTATCCGATTTTCCTTTTCTTGAAAATATCCCAAACCGCCGTGTCCCGCTAATTTCCAAACGCTCTTTAGTTTCCTTCGGGTCTTTTTTTAAAGCTGTATTTGCACGAGGCAGCGAGTCCTTCGTAACCGTAGCAATTTTGGAACTCTGGTTACCAGCGGGATAGGGAAAAGCATATCGATTATGAATCCGGTCCGAGCCTTTAGACTGGAACGATTCCGTCGAAGAATTGATAGTAATATTCCTATGAAACTTGTCATGAGCAGAGTCGCTGGATGCTTGACGTTTATGTCCCGAGTGCTTTAGGGATGCCATATTACTCTGAATCACGGGGGATGGTTTTAGTTCTAGGTCACTTGTACCCTCACGGCTGGGCCGAGGTGGTCGAAAGGTTGAGGCTGGAGCTGGTAGCCGAGAAACATTTTCAACTTTGCGTTGATCTGGCTCGATACTCTGCTTCTCTTTCCGGATCTCCGAGTTTTTATTTGACATCTGAGTGGAATCGTCCTCCTTCGTCTTTGGAGGTTTGAATTTAGTGGCCGTTTTTCGAGGTGGAGGGCCGCGAGGAGGTTGGGAGGTTTTCTTTTTGTCACCGTGTTGCCGTTCGTCTTTTTCAGTTTTGATTGCCGTTATAGGAGGATGTGTCTGAGCTTTGCGCGGTGTTCTTGGGTATGGGGGAGTTCCATCTTTGGTGGAAATGAGAGGAATGGTGGAAGGAACAGGGGCAGTAGATTGTCTAGGAAGCGGGCTTCTCGAGAGAGCGGGACTTGGTTGCCTTAGACGTGATCCTATCTTTGTTGGATGAATGATCCCAGGTGAATACGAAGACATGGAGGTTGGAGTGGACGTTCTGCTACTCCATGGCCCAGGAGATTCAGAATATCTGGTGGAAGGGCTGCTAGTGGATGTGAAATTAGGAGTCGGAGGAGGAAGCGCCGTTGCGTTTACCGCATTTACTAGTCCGGCCAGTTCCTTTGGGATATCCTTGGGGATGCGAGGAATTTGACTTTCGCCGGCCCTGGAGCGCTGTTGAGCATTTGGCTGTAGAAGCTGGATTTGGTCCCGAGTCTGACTCTTCAGATCCTTGTGGGGCCTGTCCGTTGAAATGGGCTCTGAGCTGAATAGGCTTTCACTCTCCCCCATCTTTGACAAGGAGGTATTGGAACCTAAAAAGCCAAGCTTTGACGTATCCGATGCTGCCCTAGTACGCTCCGCGTATTGCTCTATTGACGGAGCTTTTCTTCGTAGAACGTTACGGGATCGCCCTTCTGCCGAAGATGCTTTCCCACACGAATCAGTGGTTGGATGGCCTGGCTTCAATTGAGGCTGGGCAGGGGGGGGCATCTTTCCCATCGGCGGAATTAAGCTAGGTGCCAAGATGGAACCAACTGTCGAAGGCTGCGGAATTCCCAAGGATTGTCCGTTTTCTTTTGACGGAATTTTAGTATTCCGGGGAGTTGGAATCCTTCCTCGAAACGAACTCTCGCTTTCCGAGGTTAACGAACCTCGTCTAGTTCTAGAAGGTAAAAAAGCTCTTTGTACCCCAGATCTAGTTGTCGTTAAACTAGATTGACCCCCATTCGGTATACCCGGGATTCTGGATAGGTGGCCATCTTGAGACAGCTCCGCTGCGTCCTCCTGTCTTAACATCCGCCCACGATCAAATCTATGAGAGGGCATAGTGTGACCTCAGTTCTAATACTCGCCTCAGGTCGGAGCACCAGCTTTCCAAAACTTCACTATGCCTAGAATGCCCCGGAACCATACCGGATGGGGACTTGAGAGCTGTACGGATATGATGTCCGTATCGTATCTGCATCATGGTCAAAAAAAGAGCTTCAATTACCTCCGGAGGTTTGAAAATCCAGCCATGATAGGGTGACTCACAGGCAGAGCTATACTTTTCCATTCCTTTTCGTTTTGCTCTATGGCAAGCAATCATGAGGAAGCACTGATATCTTTCACAGTGGCCTACACCATACGTAGGCGGAGTAATATTTCCTTCACAGAAATAATTGTACAGGAAATGGAATAAACAACGGTTAATGAAGGAAGACGTCAACACCAACGTCAATGTCATAGAAATCTCATGTGTGAGCAAGCCTCTCTTATAATATAGATGTTTTAACAACCATCAGAAATATTAACATCATCGGCGTCAAGACACTTGTACACCAATCCCTCCTATATGCAACTTCGCCACACACGGCGGGTCCGTTAGGGCCTTAATGCAGTGAGCTGTGGCTAATGGACGTGGCAGGGACCAAAGGGAATTGGTAAGGCAAACGACTAGAGGACGGCCACGTCAATGCGTGCCATCATTATGCAGAATGGGTTCTTAGATCGACGATTAGGGCTAAAATTGGTGATAAAAGTATGAGAATCGTGAAATTTTCACCTGGAGGTAGACAGGGGCGAAAAAAAGAGGATTAATGGAAAAAGAAGAGCATTGAAGTGCCGCCGACTTCTCTTTAAGGTCCAAGGAGGGGCCATTGTGTCCTGGCTCCTTGGTTACGGAGTGGACAGGGATGCAGAGAGTCGGGCGCCTGTGAGGTTCAGTAATGGGACAGGGCCTTTTGTGACTGGGGAAGACTATAGCCGAAATCCATCAATGAGGTAAAGGGAGAGTTTCGGAGAACGTTGCGGTACGGACGGCTGCTGGGGGTTTACCGCTAAAAACCAGACTTTTCTCAAGGGCCGGGCTTATTGGCGGTGGCGAGTCACGGGGCGTCGCTCCTCCAAACGACCTCTAGTTCTGTGCGAAGTCGATGGTTGAGTGAGGAGTATCTGCAGATGGCAAGGAAGCTGGACTTCGGGAATCCAGCTCTCTGATATGCTCCCGTTGGTGCCGCAGTGGATACAGTGGGTATGTTGGGGAACGTTAGGGGATTTGTGGCCTACGAACAAGAACACAGCACGGATCCCTTCTGTTGATCTAGTCAAATGCGACATATTGTCCTCCTTCGAATAATTTGAATAAGGAGTAGATTCAATCACGCTGCAAGAAGCAATAAACCCATTCCAGGCCCTAGAATTGTAGAGAATCTATATCAGCCAGTCATTTTCCAGATACTGCATCGCAACAATCGAAGACATCGGCTGTGCTGCTCAAAAAAGGTATCAAGCGACTCAGGGCTGCCGGATCATGTGGGTTACCAGCGGGAAAACGTCCATCATAAAGTCCATCGCAATATACAGATTGCCGGAATTTCGTGACTCCGCTTGCATCTCTCAGCCAGTCTCAACGCCTATGTTTTTTTTGCGCTCCGAGGGTTAGCCATTCATTCTCGACTTATAAAGTCACGGGTCGAAAGTATGGGTGCTGCTACAAGGGTTCAATGCCGCTTCATAGGTTGACTCGATTTGCTCGTTGTTTGTCACCTCGCTATGCCGCGCCCCAGACTAAAGTAAGTTACTTGCATGATCAAGTAATCCTTTAATATAGGCTGCCTATCAGGTTTCAAAACAGGACAGGAGTCGTTGTGAGATCTCCTTGACTACCAGACGTGCCGTGCCGTAAACAACCCGTCTTCCAACTGGGCGATCAGCTAATTGTTCTTGAAGCTTCAGCATGCCAATCATATTCACGGAAATCCAAAACCCTTTCAATTATTACTCAAATCATGCTGCCTCAAATTCCATCTGCTTCCATCAAGTCGTATCGATATACCCCTCATAATCGCTATAGATAGGAAAATAGACCAGATTCTTTGATCTGTCACCAAACCACTCCCTCACTGGGGTTTATACACATATCATCAACAATATCTGCTTGATAGTTTGTGGTAATGCGATGATTTGCGAATTTTGCGGGACAGCCTCCCTGCGAAGAGTCGAATCTTTGTCCAAGGTCTTTACTGCGTAGAGCCCTTCGTTCTGTCAGAGCCAATTGTGTCCTGGACAAGCCAAACGGCGCCGTGATTCGCAGACAGGGTTATCAAGCCTAAGATTTAGCGTAGCGGGGCATGCGAATGCGACTCTGGCGAGGCGCTACCACAGTGATTCAGGGCTCGTTTCTCTTTTCCTTTAGGCCATTGTGGAAAGCGATACCCATCCGAAATCGCTTCAACCCAGATAACCATGATAGGTAACGGATATTTTCGGCTAAGCGTTTTGGATTGTTAGTTTCTCACCTCCTTATGCTGACCTTAATGTCGTGCAGCGAAGGGCAGACGATGACTGTAAAGGACAAAAATAACATTGAATATTAGTCCGTGCCAGAAAAACACGTTTCTTGGTGATAGGCACATAGATCACGTTGGCTCAATGTTTTCAAGGAACTTTAACGTGGGGTAAGTTATCCCCAAACGGGAGAGGCAAAAGCCAGGGCAGATAGTTTATCCCGAATTCAAAACTCGGAGAAATTTTCCACTACGAAGTATAAGCCTATCTCACCGCCTGAATCCTTCTTGTATGGATCCATTTTGGTCGTTCTTACAAAACAGTGTGTTACCTACTCATCAAGAGCAAGGAAGGCAATAATGATCTATCCTTGAGGGCATTCCAGCCCGCATAATACCTATCTTCTTTTACCCCATATGAAGCTGAGTCTGCTTAGTGGTTAATCCGGGGTGGTGACAGCATACCATATTTTCTTGATCAGCGCCTCTTGTTACAGGCGAAAACCGCCCTGCTTGCTGCAATCCTGTGACCATTTGAAAGTCTTCTTCATTAGCTCTTCAGATGGCCTAAATAATGCCTTTTCTCTTCGACAATGATGGCGAGAGGCGAGAAGCGAGGAGGAGTTGAAGTTGACCAATGTGCAGGACCCAAGTTTCGTCCCTTGTCCTGCAAGGGCAACCCTGTGGTTATCCTGCAACCTCTATGATCCATCCATATGCAGAGTACATGCATGATTCAGCTGTGTAGGGACATCGTTGCTCCCGTCAAAGCAACTGCGCCAAGTCAAAGCCTGTCCACTCGGCGCTTAGATGCGAAGGCCCACACATATATCTTGAATATAATGGTGAAATTCCACTGGTTGAAAGAATGGGCCTTATGCAATCTAATTACGGTCTTACGAAGTACGCATCGAATTCATGGGGCTGATTTGCATTTTTCTCCTTCACAAGGCTGACTTGATGCTATTATTTTTAGTGGTGTCTCTTAATATAGCCGCTACAATGTTTACTCCACAACAAAGCTCGCATTATGAGGCATGGCCTGATGAGAGATGAAGGAAATACGGTCGCAAGAAGCAGAAGAGCAACTGAATCGGTCATTTTGTGTGTTTGAAGTGATTCTTTTTATTGTGGTTGAATATGTGGAGTCATGTGTCTTCCACCTGGGCTGTGGTCCCTTTCGGAGCATAATGACCAGCTTTCCTTTCATCAGTTTTCTAGAATCTCCTCCTCCGACGAATGGGCATTTGATGAAAGTGCGTAAGAACCCAGTCACTGAGAGTGCCAGGAACAACTGGGATAAAAGTAACGGGGGAAAAAAATTCCATTTGACTAGCAATGCATTATTTAAAGAAAACCGAATAACAGCAGAAATCCGATGCCGGTAAACTCCCAAACCAGACTACAAAGAAATCAACAAATAAAATATTTAAATGACTGAATTTTGACAAGGAAAGGATAATCTGTGAATAATAAAAAAACAGCAGAGCTAAGAAAAGAAAATGGAAACAAGGCAATTTCAGCAGGCTATTACCGAAACTTTAACCAAACCGATTTTTCCTCTTTTCTATGGCAATACGATCTTGTTCGCTCCAGGAACTGCTGTTCCCTCCCTTGCCTTGTCGCGTACCCGATGCTCGGTGTCCTCCTGATTTCCCCGGGCGACCTTTATCCCTTCTGAAGTCGCGACGTTTCCCACCGCGGCTATTTCCGCCCGCGTCATTTCCACGCTCCCGCTTCTTTGTGCGTTCCGGGAGCGCCTCATCCAAACCCTTGACAATTGCTGCATCTTCTGTAACTGTGCCAAACCGCTTCGCCCTTTCAATAGCTTTCTTGGCTTGCTCCAGTGCGGTGGATGAATCTTCCACGATCCCGAACTTCTCTGCCCGAGCTTTCCTTTTAGCGAGCTCAGCTTCCAGGTCGGTAGCTGATAGACCTATGCTATAATCGACTGCTGGTTTCTCTTCTGGTTTCACGTCGGCGCCGTTAATTTGCTCTGATGGGGTAGCCTTATCTCCGGGAGCCGCAGTGCTAGCTGTCCCTGCCTTGCTTTCGCCTCTCACAACTTTGAGATCATGAGTGGTGGAGGGATCGATATCTACCTTCTGGCTGGGTACCGCAGTGGGATTGGGGACCTGTTTTATAGGAGCGGCAGTTGCTGTGCTAGTGCTCAGTTTCGTGGGTACAGCGGGTTCAGCAAGCGGCGCATCATCATCCCAATCGATGACATCTTCAACTGCAGTTGATTTCGCGGGCGCCGCCGCGGCAGCTTTATTGGCGTCAGATTTATCCGCTTCCTGGAGTCGGGCGACTAGGTCGGCCTTTTTCCCAGTGTGTGGTAGTGAGCGGGACTTGAGGATCTCAATAAGTTCCGCGTTTGTCTTTTTGGCGTACTCCACTGCCATTGTGAATAATGTGGAAGGTCAAGGTAAAGGAAGGCGTCTTTGTATGTAGTATGGTAGGCGAAACCCTGATAGTAGCTTCGAAAAATACTCCGAGGTCAAGATTACTCGCCAGGAAAAGGAGGCTTCCGTAGAGAGTTGGGATCGAGGAAATTTTGAGAGGATTCAAGAGGCGTTGAATCGCATGGCGACATACGTGTGTAAACAAAATATGAAGATATGGAAAAATACAGAAAGATGAGAAGAGGTTGATCTGAAACAAATGACCTTCAATAAAATTGTCGCGGTTGACTCTCGAAAATCTCCTGAGTTCTTCGCGTCAAGGTAAGGAGCAGCTAACCTAAAACGGAAGCAGCTGGCATAGACCGTCACGTGATAAACTGCCAAAAGGAAAGCAGATATCGATTGAAACTTCCGAGCTATCTCGCTTTTTCTCGAACAGGAGCTAGCCGACACACAAAGTATCAGAAACGTCGGTGCCCGTTCTTCGATACCTCTCGTCTCACCTGAGTACAACCTTCTACGCCACCTGGCTGCGATGCAGCGAGGAAATCCGTCCAGAATTATAGAACTGCTTTTCTGACTCGGCTCAAGATGACGAGAAGACGACCATGAGATCAAGCGTACACTGAAATACAACTCACATGGCACCGAGCCAACCCCCACTGTTGCCATTAATCAGTCTAGCTATTAGCCCAGGGCGACGTTAACCTTCATGTCAACAATGTGTGAATGGTTCAATATGATATCCTCGCTATTATTCCACGCTGTAAACAACGTATAGCAGTGAAGAGGGCAGGAAATGAGTTTATGATTGCAGCCTTTGAAGACGAAATGAAATATTCGTTGCTTTTTGTGGTTGTCCCTCATTCCTTACTACGCAATACTAATTACTAAAATCCAAAATGTGACATATACAATCTCCCGAAGATTGGCCAATTTTTTGAAGTGTCAAAGAAACGGGGATTTTCCGCTAATGGTACTACAACTGTTTTCTCCTCCAAGGGTCTACACCACCACGAAGTCACATTACCAAAATGGCACCGAGCGAAGGGTTCACCCTCCGTCCTGTCACAGTCCAGGACTGGCCCCTGCTCTTTCACACCACCCTCCCAACTCCCTGACACTTTTGTTCTCGTCCATTCAAACGGTCAATCGATAGCGGGGCGTCCCAGGAAGCTTAAATAGCTGGCAGGGGGGAAGTAAGGATAGAGTTCCATGGCGACACATCCCTCCTTTCTGCACTCCGTTCATGGATATATAAAAAATCGGCAAGGATACCATGGACAAGCACACGAGATTTATGACCCGTGTGATGAACAGGCGTTAGTTTTATTCACTACTAATAAAGATAAGATCTAGATCATCCCCAATTATTCTACAGTGTCTACAATGAGCATTTTGCATTGACTCCATGCTCGTGCATTCATGCCGCTTGGAGGTTGGCTTGTCTTGAACCTATCTGCATTCATCGCGCAGGCAACCCTACTATCACAATATTGCCGGGATCTCTTATTTTCTAGCCTAGGACTCGCTATTCCCGCGGTTTATAACGGATGGCTTCGGGCGGAAAAGAAGGAACTTCTTTCCCCGTTCCCTGTCAGTTTTGGCCACATGTCGCTCGCATGCGCCACTGGTATGTACAGTACAACTGCAGGCAAGAGACCTACCACAAACATTATGCTGGTATACATGATGGTTCCGCAATGCATTTAAAAATACATTTAATCCAAGTCGCCATTCCTGCCGACGGTCAACACGTGGTAATCAGAGTGAGGATCGGAAAGAGAAATTTTTTTTCAACTCGCAGGGACATCTTCACGCTGAGGGCTGTGCTCTGTACTGCGCCACAATAACTGTGGCTGACAACAATTTTTCACGACCCGAGGGTGCATGCAAATAGCATTGCGTTCAGGGGAAGGAAGAGGGAAATTACTAAATTATGGGGATACTAAGACGATATTAAGGCGGCCACGCGACATACCCCAAGGGATCATAAGGGTAGTGGTTGCGTTGTTTTGGTATAAGATAGTAAACATGGAATCATTAGGAGAAGTCGAAGGAGCAGGCTCACAGAGTTCACTTTGAAAACTTTTAACGGAATAAAGAAATCTCCCAACTCAAATTCCCCAAGGGAGGAACAAACAACAAGAAGCAGTAATACCCCGAAGGTAAACACTTAAGAAGGTCAATAACGCCGATGAGATTATTGTCAAGAGGACATGATGAAGATGATGATGATGGTACAATAAAATAATGATTTCCCCCACAGAAAATAGTTTTACTGAAATATAAAAACTTTCCCCATCATTTCGCGACCTTGGTCTTCTTCTTTGGCCTTTCGTCTTCATCGTCATCAGCCACAGCGTCCCTGCTTTCATCCACATCATCCATGTCAACATCACTTCCGCTGCCACTGCTTTCATGCGCAGAGTCGTATTCTTCCGCAACATCGGATTCGGACTCTGCTTGGAAGTCCTCATCTACAGATTCTTCGTCTTCGTCGGCGGAACCACGATCATTGCCGACGGCCACATCTTCATCACTGGAGCCTTCGTCGTTATCCAGAGCTGCAGCAATAAGCGCAGATGGCTGTAATGAACTGTTAGTATGTCGTGTATAATACAGAAGTCAGGGAAATTAGAGCGGGGTTTAGCTGACATCATCGGCCATCTCGTTCTTAAATCTTATATTCTTTGCCTTGAAAAATTCTTCTAACGGTTGTTGTTCCTCACTACGTCATCGTTAACATAATCCCTTAATCAATCTACCAAAAACGGGAGCATGAGTTGTGGAATGCTTATACCGATTTATGTTGCTGAACTGATGTTCTCCCATTCCCCCTTTAAGAGTCATAGTGATATCGAATGTTCTGCTAGCCGATATGGCACCGCCGACACGAGACATGGTGATGACGGATATATTCTCGATTTGCACGTACGTCGCGGGTTTGGGTACAAACATGAAACTTTTGTCTAAACAGAACAGAAGGCCTTCGTTTGCTTTGATAGAGCATTTGACGCCAGAATGTCCATGGTGACTATATTGAGGGTCAGTTATTTTTGATCTAAGACGTCCATTGGGTGATTGAATATTTTCGGAATATGGGCCTGAGTTTTTATTGCGATATTCAGAAAGGGACTGAGATAAACCGGTTGCTGACCTGACGAAATCCCTGGAAGGCATCACGACCTTTTTCCCGGAAAGACCGCGAAACACTTTGGTTACGACCTGATGAATGGGTTCCTCATAATGGGCCTCCAACTTGTCTTTGTAGCGGGTTTGAAGTAATTCACTGATAAAATTTTATTAGCAAAGGCGAATAATTACTATAACAACGAAAGCAGCATACTCAGTCATATTCAGATCGATGCTAATCTCGTCATCAAGTTTCAACTGCATAACTAGGAATGGATATCGCGTTTGGCCCTGTCGGAGTGGAGGATCCAAGCCGAGGGTAATCAGCGTATGGGTATCATCGTTCTTCGGTAAGAGGAAGAACTTCTTGATCGACTGGTACTGGATTTTATAGTCGTATGTTTTGCCACGTAATCTGAAAGAGCTTTCATACATGTCAATGTCGAATCGACCTCTGAGAGGATGTCAGTAAAAAGTTTCCCACAGGCGAGTGATGAGGGGTGGATATTCTGACCTTGGTGTAAGATGTAACACATCTAGGAAGGTAGCAAAGGTATCACCAGCGACATCTCCAATCTCGGCTTTATCCATTAGAGTCTCATAAAACAAGTTTGCTGCATTTTGTTCCTCAGCTTCTTCACCGTCAACACCATTTTCGTCCTCTTCTCCCTCCGGCTTCTCCTTCTTCAGAGCTGTGCCAGGAATGTAAAATCTCATCTCTACCAGTTCATCACGACCAGCACCTGCTTTCCTGCCTCTGTTTTTAGTGCTGCCCTCTGACTGTCCATTGGCTCCGGTAACCCCATCGGCCGGAAGCGAAAACTCGACCGCAACCTCGTTCTTGCCCGCAAGATTTGTATTTGAGATTTCTGAGTAAGGGATTTCGAATGCCGGCCGGTTCTGGACATTGAATGCGAGTTCTGCTTTTGTGAATTCGGCTTTTCCCCAGTTCCATCCTCGAAGTGCATGTTCACGGTTTTCGAGGTTGATGCCATACCAGATCTTAAAGGCCTTGCTCGTTCGTTCAAAATCCTAGGGAGCCCGTAAATGTTAGTCTCACAAAAACAACAAAGATGGTAGGTCACACAGTTTGATTAAGTACCTCTTGTTCAAATCCGTCAAGTTGGATGACTCCTGAAGAACGGGACAGAATCTTCAGCTCATAGCCCTTGGCCGCCCGACTCCATTGCGCTGCGCCAATGTTGCTGCTATCAAGAGTGAACGTGTCACCGCCTCCCGATGGTCGCCAACCAAGGCCGCTCTCTGCAAGCTTACACTTGCCTGGATGTTTTGATAAGTCGAGGTAAATGTTCTCAAAGCTCTCCCTGTTCTGAGGTCAGTTGACGGATACTCGACCGAGCAAGCGTAGGAAAGCAAACTGACATGATGGAGTTTTATGGGACAAAATACAGTTATCAGCGGAACAAGTGGGAGAGGAGTTGGATATCAATTAATTGATTAGAGTTGTTTGTTGAAGGCGCGAATGGAAGTTGGGGGTGAGGGCTGTTCAAATTGATGCCTCCCATGAGCTTCAGCAATCGCGTGAAACCACCAAAGATTCGCGAGGTTAACTTAAACTAATTGCGGCCCTGGCTTAGTCAGCCGAGTTAAGTCAAACTAGAGGCTGCCGTACAAACCTTTGAATATCTCACAGTTTGTAACATCCCTGTATTACAGGAATATGCGTACTGTATTTAAATAAACACCAGTTTGTTATTAAGAGAATGGATATAGAGATTTTATATGTCCATCAGGCTCTAGTATGTAGCTTCTTAATCACCCACTGCTTGCAAATAGAATATTTTAATGAAAATAAGACAAGCAACCCATGTTAATGTGGGATGAGGACTGATCGCATCTGCTTCTCAAGTTTTCGTCTCCGGGATTCACATGATATATCTTACTCCCGATATTATATTATTATAAAAGAAAATAGTACTTTGTGTGCATCTTCTTCGAACTACTAATCGACCGAACCACTCTGGCTGGGCCTTCTTGATGATTGCGTCCGTAACCTCATTTTTTGAAGGAACATCATCTTTGACTCACAGCATCAGGCTACCAAAGCACATCTCACTTGCAGCATGCGGCTGCACTGTATCTAACAAATAATGAATTTAGAACTAATTAATCAGCGAACCAGAAAATGAGGATTATCACCGGTTGATTTAATTTGATATCTTCATTCAGCTGTTAGAACCCCTGATAGTCAAAATATCTCCGATAAACCCCGCATTCTCTTTCTCTCTGGGCTATTTCGGCGATCATTATGTGAAATCGTGATTTAGTTGGCTCCTCTCTACGGAGATCGCTATCATATCCTTGGAATGATCTTCAAGCTTCCCTTTACATGAGCATTAGTAGTGCGTGGTGCGGAGTATTGTTACATCATGGCCCACCACAAGCACACATCGCGCTGAAATGTCACAACTGGAAATGTCGATTAAAGCGTCGTTACAGCGCTGGGAATCCGCCAACCGATTAGCTGGTAGTATGCATTCTAAGACAGTTTATAAATGCTCGCACTACCTGCGTCCTTGAAGACTAAGATACATCGCCAGAGACTGAAATATATTTGCAGTTCCTTCCGTCCACTTCATCCAACATAATGGTAGTCCTGCAGGCTTTCGTCTTAGTTTGGTTTTTCTTCGTTTCTTATGCTCAAGGAAAGTCCAACTATAAATCACACGCAGAGGCCGGTTTAAAAACGTTACAAAAGTGGTACAATACAACAACTGGGCTGTGGGAGACGACTGGATGGTGGAATGGCGGGAACTGCCTTACAACCATCGCCGATTTTGCGATTTTTGATGAGCAGGCTGCTTCCGTCGGGCACACTGTTTTCCTTACAACATTCGCCAAGGCACAGAAGGCGAATTTCCGATTCCACAAGAGAATTCTCCCAAACGGCTTGGTTGACACCAATTACCTCAAGCCGTCAAGTGATGGCAGCCAGTTACAGAATCGCGGCAACCCTGGCTTCATCAATGATTACTACGACGATGAGGGCTGGTGGGCACTGGGATGGGTCCAGGTTTACGACTTGACCGGCGACCCGAAATATCTGAACATGGCAGAAGATATCTTTGAGGACATGACTCGTGGGTGGGATGACAGCCGGTGCGGTGGTGGTATATGGTGGGATAAGAATCAAACAGCATTGGTTGCAATTGCGAACGAACTCTTCCTGAGCGTGGCAGCGCATCTCGCCACTCGAGTCCATCACAAAGCAAACCATTACCACAGTTGGGCAACAAAGGGATGGTACTGGTTCAAGAAAACTGGCATGATCAATGAACGGAATAACATAAATGATGGGATAGACCTGAAGACCTGCCAGAACAACCGTGGGATTGTATGGTCATATAACCAAGGTGTCATTCTTGGTGCGCTGGTTGAGCTCTCCAGGGCTTCCCCTATCCCCGACTACTCCTTCATTGCTCAAGCACACACCATTGCCTTTGCAGCAATAAACACCTTAGCGGATGAGAAAGGCATCTTACACGACCCTTGTGAACCGGACTGCGGTGCTGACGGTCCCCAATTCAAGGGAATTTTCATGCGAAATCTTCAAATATTGCACAAAGTCGCCCCAAGAGTAGAGTACCAAATATTTATCGAAGAGAACGCACGGTCAATTTGGCAGAACGCTAAAAACGAAAAGGACCAGTTTGGTGTGAACTGGGTTGGGCCATTTGCGGGTCCTGCGCTTGCATCGACCCAAAGCTCCGCACTTGATGCTCTGGTAGCGGCGGCAGCAATACGTCGATGAGCGTCTGCATTCTCCGACCAGCTCATTTATACACGGCTTAACCTACCGGCAACAGAAATGAAAAATTTGAGGGAGACAAATTGAGGGGAAAGAGGTTAAATACTAGTATACTAATATTTCTCAGGGAGCAAGTCTTACCTAGCGCTAATTGATATTCCGAGGCTCCAGTCGAGCTGATGAGAAGTTAGTATATAGAATCAAACTTCTATTCCCTATGCAAAAGTAATTCCGATAGTTATCGTAATCAAATCAAGCACTCATCTTTGCTTTCCTTTCTCCACCTCCTCCGTTTTACCTAACTACGCAGTCAGTAGTCAAATAGGGAGTCTGGTTATGATGACATCATCACCAGCACAAGATCATGTGCCGCGCTTTGCCGTTTTCGACGGCCCAACCAACATCAAAAATCAAAAACGCTCCGTTTTCTCTTTTGCCTTTTCCCCTCACTTCTGCGAATGCCAATTTTTCGAGGTCTAATTCACTTAGCCCTTCATCCTCCTCAAATAAATGTTTCAGCGGCGCCATTTATCCAAGTTATCAGGTCTTCGGGTCCATTGTGCAGTCGCCCCCACAAGTACACGAACCATTCTCAACCCCAACCTTCGCTGGCGCCGGAACCTTCATTTTGGTAAACCTAATTCGTTTCTCACTCACCCCTGTGCAACCCACCGGACAATAAACTTCATGGCGCCTACCGAGGTCTCCAAGTATCTCAAGCAATCTCACGAACGCATCTTCGAGAACAACAAGAAATGGGCAGCGGAAAAGGCCGCGAAGGACCCGCATTTCTTCGAGAAGCTCCAGACTGGCCAGAATCCAGACTACCTATGGATTGGCTGCAGCGACAGCCGCATCCCTGCCGAGCAAATCACAGGCTTGGGCCCCGGTGAAGCTTTCATCCACCGCAACATTGCCAATTTGGTCTGCAATACGGATCTGAACGTGATGAGCGTGATCAACTATGCGGTGCGGCATCTGCACGTCAAACATATCATTGTCTGCGGCCATTACGGATGCGGCGGTGTCAAAGCCGCTTTGACGCCGGCAGATTTGGGTCTGCTAAACCCCTGGCTGCGAAATATCCGCGACGTCTACAGGCTCCACGAGGCAGAGCTAGATGCAATTGAAGACAGCAAGCGCTGTGATAGACTTGTAGAGCTGAATGTAATTGAGCAGTGTCGGAACATCATTAAAACGGCAGCCGTGCAGAAGAGCTTTTCGGAAAATGCGTATCCCGTTGTGCATGGCTGGGTGTTTGATTTTAAAGATGGCCTGTTGACGGATCTGAAAATTGATTTTGAGGAGGTATTGGCGGGAATCCAGAAGATTTATAACTTGACGGATGGGAAATGAGGTGAAAAGGGTTTAGACATTTAGGTGGATAGCAACATTGTATACGGTTTGCATAAATGATTAGCCACCGTTGCGCTTCAGCTCTTCCCGCAACTCCTTTTTTCATCTTGGTTATTAGATGAGGGCTGGTAAGTGATTGACGGATAGTTATTCCGAGAGTAATTATTAACTTGTCAATCCGAAGGCAACCCAACTGGCAAAAAAAAAAATAAAAACATACAACAGCCGGGATTCGCTGGTGGTCACCCACCCAACTACTAACCGGCCGGCGAGCGGCTTAAGTATGGCTGAGCGGACGGGAAGCCCTGTTTTCCACTCCCTATGGTCGTATGTGCTTGTTTGTTCATGGACAGCTAATTTATAGCGCCTAGTTCATCCCGAAATCGCATTCCAAGTGTGAAAATAGGATGTGGTCCTAAATGCTCTATTGCGGAACTTGAAGGAGGTAGTGCTGTACATTCAGTCCTCCAAATATTTCCTAGCATCATTAGGTAGAGTTGAAGCCGATACCGCCCACAAGTGCCATAGATGCACAGTTCACCATCGAAATAATAACAACGATCACCACCAGCGCCATGGTGGTACAGAGGGGACGAATCACCCAATCCCTCCACCAATAAGAATACAACAATGTTATCCTCCTCACATTACGGCAATACCCGTACGTAGTCCAGCTGTGTTGGGTGCCGCTGACCACAACCTTTCTCATTCTATTCCCAATTCTATTCCCAACGATGGCAAGTCCTTTAAGACCACTCCAGATCGCCATTCAGCGGTATCCATCCACGATCATGACTGAAACGATGTCGAGTACGCTGGGGCAGAATATCAATCTCAAGTCTCGCTCGCCTGATCGCCATAACCTGTCCGACCGTGAAATCACCGGCACTCGCTCCTTATTTAAACTTGTTCGTGGTTACCTTTCTGGGCTGGTAGCTCACTTAAAGTCGATCGTACAACGGTGCATATATATGATCGCATGGCCAAAATCTCCAGTATTGGACGAGAACGTAACAGATGTGCCAGAAAGCGGCGAACCATCTTTGTTGCTCCTAACGGCTTACGGCCTCCGGCTAGATTACAGTAACATCAGTGGCATAATCACCGTCTATGCTGACTCGCGCTCGCATCTCCAGAAAATTAAGAGCGGGGAAAAGATGGAAGCTGGAATAACCACATCAACACGCTATGGTTATCGGATATTCCCCGACTGGCAAACTTCATACCTTTGGTATGATCCTCTGTGGCCCCAGAATCCCAGCGATGAAAGCCACGTCGACGAAAAGACGATCGAGGATCGTTATCCTACTCTGGCACCTTTCTATTTGGCCTGGAGAGACGTCTATGAAAGAGCATTTGAGCAACAAGGATGTGATATGGGCAGTGGGTTGGAGCCCTTCCCCGACACTGCTGATCGTGTAGCCTGGGAGGTAGAAGGCTTTCTGATCGCTTGCTGGCTAGGGCTGCAGGACGATACCGAACAAGTGTTGTATACACTTCCGACGGGCACCTATCAGATTGATATGAAGACCAAAGACTTGGTTTTGCGGCAGTTCCTGATAGATGAGGACAACCTCCTCAGACGTGACGATCGCTGAGTCACCGCTTCACGTTCGGCTTTTCATTTGCCATATTGTTGTGTCGACATGATTGGTTTTTTCTTTATTCTTTATTTTTCTTATTTTCTTTATTTATTTGTTTATTTTTTGGTGTAATGACCTCACGGGTCTCTGCTGGTGGCTGACGGATAATTTAATGCGGCAGCTAGGAGTGATTTGTGGGGCGGTGCTAGCTCTAAATTGATGACAGCAAATAGGGTCCACATAGTTTCCGTGTCAACAGAGTGGCTGAATACAGATCGAGAGCATGATAGCTTGTATGAATGCTCGTCCAAGCTCTACACCTGCCAGGTAGCGAACATTCGATTGTCATTTAACCAGCATACTGTTTTAAATACACCACTTGTTTCTTTTCCCATGCCTAGCAAGCGCCGTAATTATTAGACTTCTTAGATAAAGAACAAACAAACGAGACCAAAAAAATACCATACCATAACAATAGTGCTCTAGGCTGGACGTGCAACTACTTTTTAAGTTATGGAGGGACGTTACTGTTCCCACAAGGCCGATGGCCAATCATTCGGCTCAGCGCTTTAGTTGTCCATCAAAACATGTCCCCGCTCTGAGCCATTAAAAATCCGGCAATGGCTCTAGAGGTTGAGTCAGAATAGATGGTAGCCAGACCGACCTCATGTGATCTGTGATCGAAGCTGTTGTATCCTCATATACATCCTCAAGCCAAGATTGCCAGTCCCAATCAACCCAGGCATCAAAGACATGCCAAAACCCCCAAGCCTTATTCCAGCGGAGCAGCGGTGAAATTGAAACTTCAGGGAGATATCGTTGCTCCTCTTCTGGATATGGCGTCCTCCCAAGTCTTGCTTTCCCAAAATCAATGATTGTTATCTTCCAAGTTTTGGCTGTGTTCTGTAAGAGTATGTTCCGCGGATGTATGTCCCCATGCCGGACATTACATGTGTAGAGCAATGTTTCAGCATCAATTATAGCCTTTATAATAGCCTGACGATCTCTCTGCGAGAATTTCATGGGACTCAGTTGCTGCATAGATGTCCCAGAAACAAGCTCAATTAGGATCAGTCGAACCAAGCGCGTGGTAGTTCCATCAATTGGCCACTGAAGCGTATATGAGCCGAAGTAATTTGGTATGACAGTCCCATAGAGCTGAGGGAGTGCGAGGTAGGCGGCAGTCTCACGTGCATAATCGCGGTCAACACAAAGGAAAGGGTCTACATCATCTTGTTCATGATCAAAGTAGAGAGGGTCATAGATCTTGGCAAGGAGATTTGTGTCTGTTGGCAGCATCTTCGGAGGTGAAGTATGTAGGATTTGAACAGTAACTAGCTGAGCACTGTGATTATCTCCAATTCTGACAGCCCCATCTATCTTCAATTCAGCAGTTGTTGGCCCATCTGATCCAGCAAGAGGGGGGTGTTTGATACAACGATCCAAAGGGTGCAATGATTCTCTCTCATATGCAGCTTCAGAGGTGAGCGAGCAATCGTAACTTGTGCTTGTGGGTGAAGGAGGCCTATGTGAGCGAACTGTAAACACCGCGCCAACAGCATAAGGCAGGCCTGGCTTTGAGCAGTTAAACCTGGAGCAAAAGTTGTCACTCAAAGGATAAGTCATTGTTGTTGCATGCAACGTAAAATGAAGCAAGGGAGAGCTGAAATGTTGGAAATAAGACTACACAATATTTAGACTAGTGTTAAACACTATCTGAACCAATTGTAGACTAGTATTAAAGTCAAGTTCCCACTTTTTTTGTGCTGTGGAGATTATTTTATTTACATGGGAGATCAATCAGATATCCATTGAAATTCAACCCAATGAAGCAGCTTTTGTTCCCCCCTCTGAAGCTTTGTATGATTCTTAGAGACTTTGCTTCGCTCTGTCTAATAAAAAGTGGAGTATTATCATTCTATAGCAATACTGAGTATTGATAGTCTATAAATATAACATCACAACTATCGCCGTCTCTGAAATATGATTGTTGATGAGAGATGTAAGACGTGTCACTGAAATAAAAGTGGTGTGGGTTTTGTATCATGTGATCAGGAATGCACTGAAAATAAAGAGTGGCCGCACCCATGTAATTATTGATCCGGACTGTAATAGGAATAGTCCCCCAGACTGGCCCAATCCACCCAATCATAACATCATGGGTACGGTACGCACCCAGTCGCGGCTGATTAAGCAGCTTGGCTCGAAACTGGTTGTCCCCCTTTGCAACGCTTCTCTGTGCAATTCCTCTCTCTTCTGGCTTCCTCACTCCCGTCCACTCCTTCACACCAGCAGCCGCCCTGCTCTTCGGGCATTATCGCCCCTTTTTCCCTTTGTTTATTCGACAATGGTGTGAGGATATCAGCTAGACGGGTTTTTTGAATATCGATTCTTTCTCACCACACGCTCGTTTTGAAAATAAACCGTCCTGTATGTACCTTTGTTCTGCTCTCGCCCGATAACCAAGCCTTTCATTTTGGCTTTGGATTAACGCTACCTACCTCTACCTTCGTAGGTAAGGCAGTACCTGTGTCGCTGCCGGTGGAGTGGTGGAGCGATGAGGGCCTCTTCACTGCTTGAGCCAGCGACGGCGAGCTTTGTCTCTCTCCTCTATCGTTCCGCTTTTTTCGCCCTCGCACGCTTGCCCTCGGCGATCAGTGCTGCGCAGTTCACCCCTGTTGCTCTGCCAGATCTTGATATTGGGCCCTTGGGTCGAACCTCCTTGACTGGCAATTTTGACGCCATAAACCTGTACCAATTCGAGGAACAGAGACCGAAACACGTCTTACCAAATGGATCCCGACCTCATTCCCTCCTTTCCACGTTGCCAAACGGTGCCCTGGCTTCAGTCGCTTTGTCCGACGCAGATATATTGTCACTCTGCCCGTTGAGAGCGGATGATGGTACGATTACTAGTGTCGTTGTTGGGGGAAACTTTACTAGTCTGGCTGGAGTCGAGACTCACGGAATTGCTCTTGTCGACGCAAAAGATTTCAGTAAAGTTACCCCGATATCTGGTCTCTCGGGGCAGGTCTTCGCTCTGCTTTGCGATGAGGCGAGCGGAAATGTATATGTGGGCGGAGCGTTCAAACAATCTGAATCCCAAAATGCTATTATGTGGTCGCCAAAGTCTGGCTTTTCTTCTCTTCCCTTCGCTGGCTTCAACGGACCCGTAACAGCTATCGCCAAAACTTCTGACGGCCACGTTATATTTGGAGGCTCATTTGACGGTTTGGGAAACGCGACAACACCAGCTCTGAAGGATCAGCAGGTCGTTAATCTCGAAACCGCATCAATTACTTCTGGGTCTGCGTCCAGCGATCCTCGGAATGCAATCTGTAAACAGGGCAAGACGGGAGACGCTGCTAATCCATGGCTACTTCCAGATAACTCCCCGGGATTTTTGCGTGCTGAGATGAAATTTGGATTCCAGCCAACGAAACTCAGGTTACGAAATGCGCTATCGGATGGAAGAGGGACGAAAACTTTCCTCTTTAGGGCAGTGCCTGACAATGGAATATTAAATATGACCTACATCGATCCTGCGACTGGTAACACCATGGCTTGTGATGCAAGATGCCCTCTTTCCAACGATCTGTCGGAAGCCTCTCGTGATTTCAAATTTGTCAATGTAGTTGGCATGAATGGTTTCCAAATCGAAGTCTCCGAGTGGTATGGTGCAGGTGGAGGCTTTGACAGTGTCGAACTCTTTCAAGACGGTATGTATTTTCAAAATGTTTGAATAAGGAATGCCAAGTTAATGCTTTCCTAGATATTTACATTCATGCGGTCGATGGGTTCAACGAACCTACATGTGCTGGAATCGCTTCCCGATCCCAAGCCAGCGCGACAGGCAATTGGGCAATTACGCCATCTCACCAGAGCTCGTCCGAGTATTTAACAGCCAATGTTGCATCGACCGATCAGACCCCAACATCAGTGACTTTCGAGCCAGACATAAAGCAATCGGGAAATTATTCAGTTCTCGTTTTCACTCCCGGATGTATTCCAGATAATACTTGCCCCAAGCGCGGAATAGTAAACGTTACCGCGACTTTATCTCCCGATAGTGACAAACAAATACAGACGTTCCTAGCCCAGACGAATAATTTTGACAAATATGATGAAATACATCTTGGATATGTTGATGCCAGTAGCCACAAGTTTCGACCATCAGTGAAACTCGCCCCAAAAACTGGTCAGCAAGATGTTACCGTTGTTGCCTCTCGCGTTCGATTCCAACTCATATCATCGACTGGAGGCCTGAATGGCCTTTTCGAGTTCGATCCGACAACCAAAGAAGTTAATTTAGACTTTTCAAAATCCTCCATAAATAAAGCGGGAACTGATTTCAACCCCGAGGCATCAATAACAAGTTTAGCTAGCCGTGATGATACTATTTTTGTCGGCGGTGCTTTCTCTGGTCCCTCATCCGAGAACATCATGCTTTTATCCAAGGGGAAACTTTCTTCTTTACCAGGTGGTGGCCTGAATTCCCAGGTGAATGCCATGCTCTTGCTCGACGACACGCTTTTCGTTGGGGGGAATTTCTCCGCCACATCGGCCAATAGCGAAGGTGGCGATAACGAAAACAGGCTAAATAATGTTGCATTACTTTCTCTGTCGAGCAGAGCGTGGAGTCCTTTGGGGGCAGGAGTAGATGGTCATGTGGAGTACATAGTACAATTTTCCGTGAATCTAACAGAAAACCAACCGGAAATCGCCGTTGGCATCAGTGGAAACTTTACCCACACCCTTCCATTTGAAGATAATCGTTCCGGCCCGGCTCAGGGCTTTGCGGTCTGGGTCCCTTCTAGAAAAAATTGGTTGCAAAATCTCGACGTTAGCCATCATGTTTTTACTGGAGAGCTCACCGCAACAATTACCGACAGGAATGTGACTACCCTTCTCGCTGGCAATCTTGTGTCAAAGGGGCTTGCCGCTCACGATGCTGTCGCCTTGATGCACAATGATGGTCTGGGGCTTCAATCCCTTCGTACCAAAATTCAGCCAACGGCAGCGAAATCATCGCTACAAAGGAGGGTCACCTCGTCCCAAAATGTTAGCGGTGTTGTTGCAGGACTTTTCTACAATGGCTCAGGTCGTAATCTCACGATTTTGGGCGGTCACTTCGTTGCAATTGGAGAAAATGATACGGTCATTGAGAACCTACTTTTTCTTGATGGCTCAAATAAAAATGCTGTCACTGGTGCTGGGCCTGGTATTGACGCGGAATCGAATTTCCTAGCGATGGCACTCCGGGAGGATACGCTGTTCGCAGGGGGGATTGTCAAAGGTCATGTTTCCTCATCCAACGTACACGGCCTAATCACCTATGATCTCAAAAGCGCCAAATACGCATCAAGCCAACCACCTGCTCTCGAAGGTGACAACGTCGTTGTAAACTCTATAGCTCCACGTCCAGGATCTGATGATGTTTTCATCGGTGGCCAATTCGAGTCAGCTGGCGGACTGCCCTGTTCGAGCGTTTGCAATTTCCAGCCAACTTCCAACCGTTGGACTGGGCTAGGTGACGATATCAGAGGCGTTGTTTCTGTTCTACAGTGGGCTACAAAGGATAAACTTATTGCTGCTGGGGAATTCACGGTTGGAAATAATGCGACAACTTTAGCTATCTACAATGCAGTATCGCGAACTTGGTCTTCAGTCGATGGAGCATCATCTAAAGATGTTATTGCAGGTCCCATTACGGCATTTGGCCTTTCTAGGGAGGATGGCTCCCGCTTTTGGGTCGCTGGAAAGTCAGCTGATGGTTCCCCATTCTTGGCCTTTTATAATGGTTCAAAATTCCGCTCACCTGGTCCAATTTTGGGGAAGGAATCTACAATATTCGGAATCCAGGTTATTGGCCTACGAAAAGAACATGACGAAACTGAGATGCTTGATAAGGACCAAGTGCTCCTCATTACTGGTCAACTCGAAATTCCAGACTTTGGGAACGCGTCCGGTGCGCTCTACAACGGAACCACATTGACGCCTTTCGTTCTAGCTTCAATGACAGACGGTCAACCAGGCATCGTTACAGAACTATTCTCTGAGAATAAAAATACGTTTAGAGGTGGCCGTAAGTATTTTGCCATCTGTACTACGAGAACTCCTGAGCTGACATTCATCTTTCTGTAGGTCGGCCACATTCTAGAGGAATTGTCATTCTGGTGTCCTTCTGTATTGCGCTGGGTTGTGTATTCTTGATTGTTTTAATCGGAATCATCCTGAATCGCATCCAGCGTCACCGGCAAGGCTATGTCACTGCACCACGAGGCACAGACCGACGACCGGATCTTCAACGTGTCCCTCCTGAACATCTCTTGGATTCCCTGAGACAACGGGCATCAGGGGCGCCAGTCATGTGAGCGCTATGCCCCAGCTTCGTACGTGTTTGGAAATATTTTTTTATCTTTCCACATCTTCGTTTTTTTCTTTTTCCTTTTTTTTTCGAATTATACCATGGCGTCTGGGCGGGAAGGAAAATACCCTTTCGAGCAGATTTTAAAGCTTGGCGTTTGCTTTTTCGCTCTCTTTATTCTTGTCTCTTTTCTTTCTCATTTGTCATCTCTCTCTTTTGTGAGCATTCTGTACGATTTCTCTCTTCCTTTACACCGTCTTATCCATCGGACATTACCTATGTCCTTAGTACCTCAGCAGCAAGGTAGACCCGTAGCATATTAGCTTTGTCTCCTCTCCCGTGTCGAATATTCTTCTAGCCACAGAACAGTCGTATATTCTCCTGGACGACAGGATTTATTTGCTCTTCTTGCTTTTCCTATCTCATGTTCTACATAATATTAATGATATCTCCCATTCCAGGGAATAATCTTTCATTTTCCCCTTGACGTTTTGCTTTATAGATAGGTGCTGGAAGTTCTAGCTAAGTGTGCATCAACAATGCAGCCTTGTCACATAGTGCGAATACTCTTGAAGGTGAATAAGCCTCCAGGATCCGCCGCCAATGGCATGTGGCAACTAAGATAAATTCTTTTAGTCCATCGAAAGTGAAATAAACTCTGTTCGCTGGATTTGTGGACTTTCGATGTCTCGACCGGACGCTTCTGTGCGGGTTTATTTCGTGAAACCTTTGTTCGTGGCTGATCAGTGTCTTACTCAACCTCAAGAGCCCATGGTTGTTCTGTAGCTGCTCAGAGATATAGAGGGTGAACTTGGATGGGTGACGGAATACCGCGTTAAAATGCTGCTGAAAAAACGAGAAGGGGATGAAGCGACTGGAAGTATTCCTGAACCTTGAAGAATATGTTGGTATGCCGACAACACCCATATCCATGCCGGGGAATGCTTTCTGGGAATTCTACATGGAGCTTCCACAACTAGGTGTTTGCGATCGTGCCAAATGGAAGCATTCATTGACATATTCGGTTGCCCCGGTTGTTGGAGCAAGGATCTCCGCCGTCCATTCGGTAGACACGCCGTGGAACTGGTTTTATATATATATCACGCTGTCGTATCCCACAAAGCTGGCATATCCACTATCTCAGGAACAGCAGTCACTTCAACTATTTTTGATAAAAATAAAACAAAGTCGCCGCAATGAAAGAGAAGGTATGGATATTCAGCAGTGGAATAGTAGTCACTTCCCCATTTTCCCTCATATCATTGTCTACACAGAAAAACACTAACTCCAAAATTAGACCCAACGAAATCAAGGACGCTCTGAGAGGTGCCTCTCATCACGACCACCCCTTTCCCGTCGATGGAGACCCCGTCGCAACCAAGCACGGCATCCTCCAATCCTTTCCCAAAAATATTGGGCAGGGACAACTTGCGGTCAGCATAGTCACGGCAACGGGATCGTCGCACGAGATCATATCCAACAGGCCAGTGACCAACCTCTACATGTGTACAATTTCCTTCTCCAACGCAAAATCATTATTACTCATGAGCTCAACCTTCTCAACCGGTATCTCGAAACCTTCCAGCCTCCGCACAGCCCGAATGAGATGGACTGGGAACCCGTTTTGCCACTGGAAAGACATTGTTTGCAGCAGCAGCATGAGCAGCGAAAACAGCCGTTCGATGCATCATCCTTAGAGTTGTCAGGGGCGAGTGTACCGTAACAAACTTTTATGTATGGATGACCGAGGCCATTTCTTTTTCAGAAGTATCCCGGAATTGGTTGCGGATTTGGTTTAAATTCGAGACTCAATACAACAAAATCTATCTTTTTTTTTTCTGCCAAAGAAGCGGCAAAATTGTTAAAATGAATACCATGCATCCCCTATTCGTAGCTACGTATCTTTTAACAGAAATTTTACATTTCGACGGCATTGGATCCAACCATTGGTGGCGGACAGTTTTTCTTTTCATTGCCTAACCTAACGAACATGGTGGTGTAAATTTCCTGTCGATCTGAGGGGTTTCCCGATCGGTCATGCTCTATCATTTCGTCTGTCTAACTTGCTCGGATCCCTCGAGCCATGCTTATCTGTAGCCCTCCAGATAAAAGTATTTGAGGAGGTATTGATACCAATGTCGCATTTCGTCTTGTTTTCTGGACAAAGTCTTCAGGTATTTTACTCTAGTCACTTGAGTCATCGAACAGTGGGACGATTCCTGGATACAAGCATCTGGGAGACTTATGTGGAAAAAATAGAAACCTGGTGGTGGATATTTGTCTGCGAATTATTTTTACCCACAGTTATACTTGGCTTTCGAAGCGAGATCCGTTAGGTCTTCAAACTCGAACATGGCGCAACAATCGGCCGCGTAAGCTAGATACTCCGAGTCAACGGAAGGGGCTCAAGCGTGAAGAGCTGCTGCCAGTGTATTGGCTATTAGTTATCTTCGTTGCCGTCGGTAAGATGCTTCATCTCCCTTGGCTGTTCGTCGTCTTTTTGTGACGCGCTTTGATTCGGTTTCCACCTTTTCAATATGTGTCTTCGTCTCCTCAAAATCATCGGATATTTCTCTCTTGATTGAAACCTGCTTGGTGGTCTCAATCTTTATTCGGTGCTCCTGCTTCTCGATATTCTTCACATCCACTTCAACTTTGGAAGTTAAACGTTCCGAAAATGTTTTCAGATCTGCCGTGAACAACACGCTGTGGGCCCAGCCGGCCTCCTTTCCCCAGAGACTTCGGAAGTGGTTACCCACGGCATCATAAGTTGCTTTCGTTAAGCTTTTATGCTTTCCTTTGCCGAACTTGTAATCGCGCTGCGCAATTTGCCATACTATGTAGAAATAACGCATAAACAAAAGAACGGACTCGTGAAACGATGAAATGGAAATCCGTTGCTTACCATGAGTATCGACCGGAACGGCCTCTCCCCAACCTAAACCCATGAGGCACGCACAATCTGCAACTTTGGGGCCAACCCCTTGAAGCTCAAGGAGGCACTCATGAGCCTTTCGATACCCCTCTCTACCTCCCTCTGACATTTCCCCTGCATGCGCGGGGCTTTGGCCAAACGATGGGCACTCAGGGTTACGGAGAGAATTCAACCAACCTTCCTCACGATCGTTAACAACAATAAGGGCAGTTTGGTAAATATATTTTGCCCGATATCCGAACCCAAGCTCACGGAGGCGTGCTTCAACATCACGACCTACAAGTGCCTGAGGAGTCGGGAAATCGTGATATGGTTTCTTGTCTATGTATCCGATCAGTGGACCGTAGTTCAAACACAGTTTTTCCACCTAACGCACAAAAATGATTGTGTTAGTCCGAAAGAGATATATCGCGCTGTTATAAGACATATACATACCATTTGTGAGATTCGCGCTATATTATTATTGCTACTGCAAATAAACGAAATAAGTGCCTCCCAAGAATCCTGCCGTAATATACGGATACCAGCGAACTTGGGAGCTTTCTTCTTGAAGTTTTTATCAGCAGTTGACCATTGTTCATAGAGGTCCGTAAGATTCAGGTCCAAGTTGAAGTAGTTGTTGATCAATGCTTCCGTATCATCAATCTTCTCACACGACTCTTCTCTTCTTGATGCTGGTACGGAGGATGGAGGAGTCGGCAATGCAGGTGGAATTGGGGGAAAATATGACCGATAATGGAGATGGGTGGGATCTTGTCGCAAGGACACAATGCGACCATAAAGGGCGCAGCTCCATTCGTTGTCTCCGGACTGCTGCCATCTGAGTTTCTCGTACAAAAGGCTCTTGTTAGTTGATGCGCCCTGATATTCGATAATCGGACGGAGAGTTTCTCACCGAAATGACTGTCCACAGCGGAGAGTAGTATTGATACAGAGCTCAGTCAAACTTATCGGCAGCTTTCGCCATTCAGAAAACGCACCAATAGACATGTCTGTGGATCGAAACCCAAGGTCATGGCAATAGCTACGGTAACCTTTGTACCGTGTAAATATTTTGCCCCTTTGATATAAATAAAACACGTGACTGTTATTGGCTCGCGCGCCAAGCCATCTTCAGCGCTCAATATCAATTCCTCACGCTCACCAACTTTTTATATTGGCAGCGAGCTGGGCACCCGATCCATTCCCAATCCGTTCTCAACCATTGATTTCTGTGAAGCTTCGGCTTGTTACAATTAATTCCAGGCGTCTGATCTTCTCAAATTACGCTGTTGGACCTGCCCCTTGAATTTGGAATCCTTCCCTCAGTTTTCCGTCGAATTGACAAGATGAACGGGGATAGCTACGCAGCTAGAGGTAAGGGTAAAAGTTTGCCTAGAGTGAACCGTGAACGATAGCATAGCTGACTTGCGACGTCTTATAGACTCTGGACGATCTCGGGAATATTACGTATGTTACCATAATCCTTTCTACCTAGACATTGGTTTCTGTACTTTGCTTATACCTTGTATTTCTCCAGGGGGCGGCTCGCTCTGATCGAGAGGATCGAAAGGACCGAAATGACCGCAGTAGCCGTGGCGACCGCGGCGACAGACGGGAGAGAGAGAGAAGAAGATCAAGGTCGCCTCAACATCCATCAAGGTCGGGACGGCGCGAACAGGAACCGGATTTGTACTCCTCAAGTCGTGACTATCGCGCAAGGGAGCGGGAGGACAGATATTCAGGCCGACGAGATGAGAGAGAATGGGATAGAGACCGAAGTGACAGACGGCGTGATCATAGGAGGGACGAAGATGACAGATCTGCTCGACGCGACAGAGACGTGCCAGATGACCGGTCCCGAGGAGGTAGAGGTCGAGATCGCGATGCATTCGGCGGGGGTCGGGAGCGGAAGCGAAGTGCGAGTCCACCACCAAAAAAGAGGGAACCCACTCCAGATTTGACGGACGTTGTTCCTATCCTTGAGCGGAAACGTCGACTGACGCAGTGGGATATCAAACCGCCTGGTTATGAACATGTAACGGCGGAACAAGCAAAGCTCTCTGGTAAGTTGAAAAGCGTATTGATATGATGCACATCTGAAGTACCTAACGTTACCTGTAGGAATGTTCCCTCTACCAGGTGCACCGCGCCAGCAGGCAGTTGATCCCAGCCGATTACAAGCTTTCATTCATCCACCTACTACTAGTACTGCTCCTGGCACATCTACCAATACCGTCCTAAAACCTTCGAACTCTCGCCAAGCGAAACGACTGTTTGTTCATAACCTCCCGTCTTCAGCCACGGAGGAGAGCTTGGTGCAGTTCTTCAACCTCCAGCTGAATGGTCTTAACGTCATCAAAGGGGTTGATCCATGCGTGACCGCGCAACTATCCAATGATAAAACATTCGCTTTACTTGAGTTCCGAAATGCTGCAGATACCACTGTTGCGCTGGCTTTTGATGGTATTACTATGGAAGATAATGATGATATGGATACAACGAATGGAGATTCGAATGGGTCAAACCAAGGACTTTCAATACGCCGACCTAAGGACTACATACTTCCATCTGCAGTTGAAGGAGAACCCCATCAGGAGGGCGTTGTTTCCAACGTGGTTCCTGACTCTCCAAACAAGATATGTGTATCGAATATTCCACCATTTATCGAGGAAGAGCCGGTCACTATGCTCCTAGTTTCATTTGGGGAACTTAAGTCGTTTGTCCTTGTGAAGGATAGTGAGACGGGCGAGTCTAGGGTAAACGTGCCATTTTGAACCTTTGCATTATAAACGCTAACTGGTATATAGGGAATTGCATTTTGCGAGTACCGTGACCCGATGTCGACTGACATCGCTGTTGAAAACTTGAATGGCATGGAACTTGGTAACAAGAAACTTAAAGTGGTTCGTGCAAGTATAGGAACTACACAAGCTGCTGGCCTTGACATGGGCGTTAATGCCATGTCCATGTACGCCAAAACGACATCCCAGGACATTGAAGCAAGTCGTGTTCTTCAATTGCTGAACATGGTAACTACTGAGGAGCTGATTGACAACGATGATTATGAAGGTACGAAGCCTTATGTTCTATATTATTATTTCATGGCCACGCTTTTCATATTCACTAATGTGTGCTATAGAAATATGCGATGACGTCCGTGATGAATGCTCAAAATATGGGGAAGTTGTGGAGCTAAAAGTACCAAGGCCAACGGGGAATAACAAGCAATCTGCTGGCGTTGGCAAAATCTATGTTAAATTTGATAATAGCGAGTCAGCCACGAAAGCACTCAGGGCGCTTGCAGGAAGGAAATTCCAAGATCGCACCGTTGTTACTACGTACTTTTCAGAGGTAAGTTGAGCGCTCCCAATTGATAATTTCTTGGCAAGGTAAATCTTTATCTAACGTAATACAGGAAAATTTCGAAGTCAATGCATGGTAATCGATATGGCAGCGCCGGAAATTTGAGATTCTTAGTCATTTCTTTGTTTTCATAACGAGTGCAACAAACCTGCGACTTTATCATCCAGCTACTCTCTCAAACTGGGCCCTCCCGTTTTCTGTTCACCTTCTTTCGTTCCGCTTCGTTCTTTTTTTTGCGGAATGTCCTTCGCGTCAAATGCGGAGAGCGACTGGCAGGAGCATTAGGCAAGCGCAATTTCACTGTACCATAACCCAACATTGTAAGCTCCGTTCTCAAAAATCTCTTTTATCTCTTTTCTGTGACATGTGAAGTATAAGGGCTGGGCGCGGATGATCAAGGCGATATAAGTGTGATACGGACTCTGGTGTATATCTTTTTATTTTCGATGTTCTTAAAATCAGTTTTGACTCCGCAATTTAGCTCGAAATACGTAAGAATGTGACTATCGCCAGAACATTATACCTGATCAGAGGAAGAAATTATTCTTGGTTGCTTGGTATCTCTCTGGCAAATACTACTATGAGCGAAAATTATATACGGATGGTATTTAATCTTTTCCTGCCAACTGCGATTCAAAATTTAAAACCCAAAATATTTCTCTACCCATCCGGAAGAAAAAGAATACAATAGACTATCCATCTGACATTTAAATCATAACATCATGTCGACACTTGTAATGGAAAGAAAAGGAAGAAAATCAAACCTGGATGCAAATATGATACACGGCTAGGGTCTCGTGTCCAGGGGCTCCCAGAAAAGGAAATTAACGAAGTTGGCATTCCCCATACCTTCGCGCTACGTACAATATTATCCTACCTTGACCAAATCGTTCTAATATAAGCAGACCGGCCTATGCCACATGTATCCTACTCCTACGTTGGGTTGAGCCAATTGTATGGTATCATGAACGTTCTATACAATCGCGGCTGCCGCAACTGCTGGGCTAAAATTCCTACCGCTGAATAATCGAGACGACTCCCGCGATGTCAAAATAAGAAACCGCCACTATAAAAGATGAGACAATCACCTCTTCTATCACATACGAACATAGGGAGTGGAAAATAGGGCTTCCCGTCCGCTCAGCCATACTCAAGCCACTCGCCGGCCTGTTAGTAGTTGGGTGGGTGACCACCAGCGAATCCGGGCTTTCGTATGTTTTTTATATTGTTGTTATTTTTATCTTTATCTTTCTCATATTTTCCTCTTCTGTCCTCTATTCTGTTTTCCCCTTACTTTCCTTACTTTCAGGACTATGGCGGCTGGAACCAAATATCACCCGTCGCCAGTCTGATCTTCTCCTTCCAGGTCCTGCGATGCCTCAAGCCAGGGGAAACTGATTCCGTTCCCTCTGGTTGCGGAGAGTATCCGAATGCGTGTTCTCATTAATATTTCACTCGAGAATGATACGGTTGACCTAAATCTCTAAATCAGGTAGCAGCTCAACTATGTTGTCCGCGGAAACTGAATTGTTCAGTGAGTTTAGTAACGCTGCTCATTTGCTATACAGATGTTGACCGATGGTCGAAAGTCAACTGGTTTTCTACCAGGTAGTTCAATTCGGTTCAGCAGCTGCATACGAGAGGGCCTGCCAATATGAAGCTCTGCGAACCTTCAGAATGGACGGTTTCTCGAGACGAAATTTCCTATGAAAGAGGGTTTATGGAAAGAGCACATAGTTACCCAACATGAGTACGCTATCCAGCGCCAAAAAATGAAAAAAAAAAAAAAAAAAAAAAAAAAAAAAAAAAAAAACCCTCAACAAACTGCTAGCTTGTGCATGATGAGGGGTCATTGGAGTTGTTAATCTTCGTCCGCTGTTTTCATTGCTTTGTTTGACCTTAAGTGTCAAAAAGGGGTTGAAACAATGCGATTGTTGGGGCGAAGGGGTTTACAGGTAATATCAACAGAAGAGGGACGAAGAGATGAAGGGTATAAAATCTTCGCTTTCTAGGCTCAATTGTGCCTCCTCTGTTTAAACCGTTTCGGCAGAACGTTCTAACCGGGATTCTTCACATCCTTGTATAAGGCAGACTCCCCCAGGAGCCGCCAATCTGCAGGAAAGTTGGTTCATAGCGCCCACAGGGATAATTCGTGGCCAGAACATTTGGAAGCTATTCAACCTTGTTTCCTCCCTAGATTATACACACAAGATTTTACACTGACTTGTTGTCCCTGACAGATTCTTTGCTTTTTTTGAACGTTATACAGTAATTGTAATTAATTTGACCCCGGCGTTTGGCTCTCGCCGAGTGTCAAAAAGGGAAGGGAGAAAACCAAATAAATAAAAATATAGAATACCCAACGCCCATTTCGCATCCAACCCAAAAACAAACAATAATAATCAAAGGTAGTCAAACATAAGGACTGGGCCAGGCTAAAAAATTCTTCCCACGCCAGTCACACGCCATATGTAGCCCCAGAAATAAAGACCCCAGAAATAAAGACATTGGACAGTCAAAGACCAAAAAAAAAAAAAAAAAAAAACTGAATATTTGCTAACGGGGTTAGGGCACTTTCGGTATCCCCTTGAGAAGTAGTAGTAATACACTTGAAATCTTTTGCAGACGCATATTTTGTTTCCCATTGTTCGTCTCAATCCTGCCTTTGATCGCTGTAAGACATAGAATGGAGGAGTAGCCAATACGTACAACGTACATGTGCAGAACAGGTTGAAAAGATAAAAAAAAAAAAAAAAAAAAAAGTGGGGAGAGAAGAAAGGAAGCTGGTAGAAGCAGAGGGGGACTTTGAAGTAAATCCCTAAAGAGAATCAAGTAAAAATGAACGAAATACTAGTAAATGGTGACACGCAAGCGCTGAAATTTCGACAATGATGAAAGTGGACAAGACTTATTAGGCCCTGGGTATTGTAGCAAGTAGAGATAGGTATAATAAGTAAAGAAGCAAAGTTGATTTGGGCGTTAGGCGTAAACCCTGACTTAATGATTAGAGGTCAATTAACTCGAGGGAAAAGTAAGGCGTAAGGTATAAGGAGAATGTAACAGCATGCAGAGGGTGAAGAATGAATCTGCATTACATGCCAAGTAATAAAAAGAGTTATAGGTAAAAATTTTTACACGAATGAGGGTGGTAGGTAAAAGTAAAGCTTCTTTGCTTTTTGCTGCTTTTTGCAGCTGAAATGAAAGACATCACCGGTCGCTATCGTCATACCAGTATGAAGCCTGAGGGTTTCCCCGAGCAAATGATGTCTGTGGATTCCAATCGCGACCGCCCGGGGAACGATTGTTATTACGGTTGTGTGAAGCGCTCGGAGGCCGAGGCGTAGAAAAACTCAATGCGGGACTGGTATATCTCACTTCCGGAGCATATGTTTCTGACTCTCCTTTTCCTGCGGAGAGTCGAACAGTGGACATCGAAACAACCGAGGGACTTGAGGAATGTAACGGCTCGGGGCTCTTAGCGACCCCCTTTCGTGATGATGGATTAATCATCTCATAATCGCGCGTGGATGTTCCAGCACGAGCATCTGCGGAGACAAATTCTCCACTGCGCAACAGCTTTCTCCTGAAAAGGTCTATCCAGCCGAGAATCATGGAATATCTACCGAGGAAAAGAAGGGTCCATATTCCACTCATGGACAGCATGACCAGGACCGCGAAAATGGATGCTTCATTGGGTCCCAAATTTGAAGTCAGGGGTGCGCATTCATTCTTATCCCCTTTGCTTAATGCAAGGCAAATAATCCAGGGTTTAGATTTCTTCACCAGTTCTGGCGTCCGTCTGGCACTGCTATCCAAGGACAGGAATATGACTGCGAAAAAAACGACATTGGCGATAATTGTAAGGACCACAGCAATTCCTCTCCATTGCAATTGGATAACCCTCTTCACTCGGCGGTACGCCTGGCGAGCTGAGACGGTCCGGACGCTTCCAGCGTGCGATGGTAGTACAGAGCTGTTATCAGTAGTCGGATTGTTGTCCAGGAGTGACTTGATGTAAACATGGATGCAATACGCCAACGTCACGAATTGGATCATCAACGCCAGGGCTGCAAGCCCCATCAATGGGCCCCAGAAATCCGCTAGGCTGTTGTCGTGATTAATGTGGCATATATTGCCGAATCGATATGATATTCCTGTTATGAATAAGGCAAGGGCCAAACCGACCGCTGGTATTACCCAGCCCAATGTCAGCGTGGTGAAAAAGAATTTATGTCCAGGGACAACATCCCAGCAAATTTGCAAATGCAGCGATAAGGCGCGACAAAAGCCTGTGTAGCCAGATTAGCATTGAATACGGAATATTTGGGATAATATATAGTGGTTGAAAAAATTTTGAGAGCATACTCCATACGATGACACCCCAACCACCAAATAAGATAAAGGAGCCTGAGAACGCGCAAGCCAAATCCGATTCCATATGATTTGGAGTAATCGCATTAAAACATTCGTCCGGTTTTGCAATCAAAGGGACAATAAACGAGAGCTATTTGATGGGAGTCAGCAGGCTTATTAACTTGAGAGCCACAACCAAGGTCACTTGTTCGAAAGGGGTTTTCATGGGAGGAATGGACTATCAATACCTCCATAAATACAATCCCAACAGTCAGACACACGCCTAAGTAGTGGCGGTGCGTCCACTTCACGGGTAATACCGCAAAGCTAATCAACAACAGGCAGTTCAAGGTGAATATTCCTACCGCAATCCAATTGGCAACTTCGGTTTTATTCATGAAATCTTTTGTGTATGTTAGTCTAGGTCGACGCCGCCGCGAATAGGAGAGATATAAGTACCGTTAGGGTATCTCCAGTCAGCATGTGGGCATGGAAGGCAGCACGATGCATTTCCATTTTTGACTGGGAATGGCTCGCACCATCTGCCGGTAACAACTGCAACGATTCAGTACATGGGATTTTTATACATCCATTATCACTCTGAATAAAATAGGACACGAGGTGGTTTGACATACATCCGCCTGTAGATGGGAAGAGGTCTTCCTGCATGAACGGGGCTGGGCAATTCCCAAACATATCCGAAGGCCCTGCCATATCTGCGTGCCGACGTGGCGGCGCTGCTGCTGTTGCTTCCGTTCCTTTTGTTTAAACCTGCCCCGCGGACGTATAGACTGTCATATCCTCACTTGGACGCATCAGAACCGGCCAACGGTAATACGTAGATGGTATGCGAAGGGCTTTTACCCCCAATATCCGCAGCCGGAAGGCCACAGCCTTTAGGAGTTCCAAACGTTGGGGGGGACAGGCGAAAAGAACCAATTGCTCAGAAACATAAAGTTCAGGCGCTTTTGCAAACGTTGTCTAAAATATAGAAAAGATAAAGATCTTTAGAAATGAAGAATCTACTTCACATAGAAATGAAGTATTAAAATACGGGGTGTTAAACGAAAGGAAGGGAAACCATCAAGGTTCCAAAAATCCAAATCCAAAGGGGACATGCCAATATAAGAAGAACGAAACTCCGGAGTGGCCTCAAGAAAGAGTCGAAGGCCAAACAGTAGCCATGGCTAGCCAAAACTACAGCGCAATATTATTTTGTTTTGGTACCAGGCTCGTGTATCCACTAATAAAAACCGGACAGCAAGATACTACAAGGGACCGAGGGTTACTCCCCTGCGCCGGCCCAGCGTGCCCATACATTTCAGAAGGTGACAAGAAATCGGACTGGTGGACTGGAGGATTCGGGAAAGTGGGACAGTCCATCCAGGGTCCCAAGCGTGCGATGTAGGAGCCTGGAGGAGGGATGAGCGCTATGGAGGGACAGTTCCACCAGCGACAGCGCCTCGCCTATCAGCGCCAGGAATAGCTATCCCCCAGAACTTACTTCGAGGAAAGTCCCCTGTCAGTCCCATGCTCGACATGCTTGTTCCACCAGGCACAGCAGGAGGATCCAGCTGGCCGCACGGTCTCTGGGACTTCTGCACACATCATTTGTTGGCGCGAAGGCGTCCCGAGGTGACTTGACTGCGGAGGGGCAAGCCGATTCAGGTCCACTGACTGGATTTGAAAAGGTTGCGCCAAGCCGTAAGCCCCAGGGGCAGGTGTTGAAAAGTTCTGTTCCTTACACCTGACTCGCAGATAGGCGTAGTGTGCAGACGAAGGGAAAACATCCATTCCCATGATTGCGATTCTTACATAGTGGCGAAAACAAAAATCGGCACAGAGTGCGGGTACGTTGTTGAGCCAAGCGGCTCGCACCGATTGTCGGTGGATTTACGGTTGGCTCTTGGGTTGGAAGCAGAAGACCGCCAGCGATGATGGCAAGAAAAAGGATTTCTAGATGGCGACAGGAAAAAAGAGCAAAGGGGAAGGTAACTTGATATCAAGGACTCCGAATGACTCCGACTCTCCGAGTGAGTCCGCCTGCGACATTTCAGTTAACCAGCAGCCCTGCACATTTTTCTCGAGAATATTCACCCGGGCGAGGAGCCGAAGGGGATGCTTGTGAGTAGCCTTGTCGCACCAGGGTAGTCCCTTGCTAGGTTACTTGCTGGGAATCCACAAGGGCGAGTAACCAGCGCTGGAGCACAGCGTCCAGACCGTTCACTGAAAAGGCGGAGTGGAGCGGCGTTGCCTTCTTGGCTCCATTTTTACTTTTTGCCGATGTCAGTTGAAATCTCTGTGCCCGTATTTTGATTCTACCTCCTTTTGACGGTGGGGTCCAGAAGAAGAGGGGAAAAACGCCCGTGATGTATGCAACTCAGGCGTGTGAGGTTCGGGGAGGTTTGGCCGTTTGGAAGCTCAGGGCCAAAAAGTGCTGAGAATCGTCGCCACATACGTATACAGCCGATCAGACTCGATACAAAAACCAGACAGAGTGATGAATTCCTGACCCACCGGACGATCTGTACTCAGCCATTTATGACAAGATACTGTCTCTTTTCTAGCACTCCGAAATAGGCTTTCTACACTTTATTTTGTCTCAATGATTGAAGTGTCCGACCTTGGAGGATGCTCTTGTCCTGCTCGCGACTACCGGCTTTCTCTGTTCTGGTAGGCGAGCTGAACGCCGTTTGGTCTTATAACTTTTTTATTTACTCCGTTGTCTGCAGAAGGAATTTATGCTATACACACAATCTTAATTCTGACGGTTTGTACTTGTTCGTTAAATTGATTTGATTCGTTCTTCATACAACCAACGATGTATTCGGATGATGATCAGATCACTGCACGATTTCTCTCATAACCTCGGCGGCTTTCTGGGTCTCATTCCAAATTTTTACATAAACTCTCCATATGAATTTGATTCCCGATGCATGCTATACAAGCCCCAAAGATATAAAACTATCCGCGGTCAGCGTGCATGTCTCAAAGGCTTTGGAGCAATCAATTAATAAATACCCCATTAGCGCGAGGCGGTAAAAAACCCCGAATTTGTTTTAGCTAGGACCTGGAGATGAAACGTATGATATGGGCAGAGGAATAATCAATGTTCTCATTTCCGAGCCTGAGGGGAAATACATGCGTCCATCATGCCGCACCTCTAGTAATTGGCAGATTCCAAAGCCCGGGGTGTCTCCAGTTCGACCACAGCATCTCAATTGGCAAGAGGAGAATCTCTAAGATCCTATTTTCCCGCAAGGAAGAAAAAAGGAATGGTTCCAGGAAGCGCTAACCACACATTGGTTCCATGGCTCTGGGTAAAACTTCCAGGGACTGTACAGTACAACCACATTAACCTGGACAGAAGAGGCCAGTTTTCCCATGACGGACATCCTGATACATCATGGGGCCAATATGGGAGGGGCGCACGCCGCCAGACAGGTTGATAACATGTTGTATGGAGTCATTGGCATCTGAGATCTTGAGCCTTAACCTGAACCATACGAGTATCCATTTATCTGAGGAAAGCTGGAGAACATTGGAATTATGTTTTAACAAGAGCCAGAGGAAACAATCAGCGTTTGATCTGCTTCTGGAGCAACAGAGTGTGAATGACCAGGGCGCTGGTCAAACCCACCGCTCAACAGTAATAAATAAATACCTTAAATTTGGCAAACCTTGGGTAAAAGTGACAATTTGAATCGACGGGGATATCCTTGCATTATTGGAATTTCTGTTTTCCCCAACTTTCCCTTGCGTCAACGAGATATAGTGAACTAATGAATCCCACGTGCTGAAATCACCTAGACGCAGTATACAGGCAAAGAAAGGCGCGCTATTACTCCTCGGATGTCCCAGCGATGGTTTTGCCTTAGCCGATTGCAAAGACCAATTACGGAGACTTGCGGGAAATTTTGTTGCTGACTTGATAATTGGCTCGGTGCAGGGTGAGAAGGCAAAAATTTCCAAGTTCTGCGAATCTCGATGTCAGATTCCTTCAAGAAAGAGTCGAGGCTTGCGGAGCGGCCTTTCGGAGTCCTCTAACTGGCTTGATAATGCTTGATAATTAACTAATTATTCTAGCTAACTATTATCCTTGAGATGATATTATTAATAGTCGTTTTATAACTGCTAGTTTTAACTGATTGGTTGGTCTTTCGGTAATTCTCAAACTAGTAGAGAAAAATAGCTCTTGTTTAAAGCTTGTGAGGAGTTAGGGAAAAGTCCGGCGATCACCCCCGCGACAGTTCCAGTCAGACATTTCGAGAAAAGGAAAAGTGGAATTTCCATGTGGACTGTACTATCTATGTAAGGACCAAGACGGCATCATATTGTTTGATCTCCCATGGAATCTGAAGCCCTGGCTCCCATGTATATACAACGCTGCTGTGGAATGGCCCGGGCCGCATGTGCCAACGCTATCCAAAATAGAAGCGAAGGATCCCCAAGGTTAAGTAACGTAAGGAGCAACGCCCTGCCTAGTAAGGGCTTATCGAGAAAGAAAAACAAAAAGAAAAAGAGCGAGAGAGGGAGGGAGGATGAGAGAGGATGAGCTGGAATCCTGTCCTTGTAGGCAAGAATAAACCAATGCCGTTTGCTCTGATGGTCATTCCTCTCAAGACATTCATTTGCGGCGGAGGCACCACAGCATGATTCGCATCCCTAGGCTGCGGCAAAATGTAAGAGGCAACAGCACCTCCTTTCCCAGCTACAGTGGGCCATCTGGGAAAGACAGGCATTTGCTGATGTGGGGATTCGCCACAAAACAGTCAGCACTCCTTAAACGTTACGGCACAGCGAGAAATTTTTCCAATTTTTCATAGCTGATGCCAGTGCTTTGCATTGTCTAGGAGAAGAAGGATTGAATTGGCGAAACCCTTCTGAATCTGCGAATACGGCAGTAAGCCGTTCTGTTCTCCTTCCCCTCAATCAGACGCCGCATAATATCTTCGATGATATTATCAAGTGGCGAATATCATGGGCGTTTAAAAACGGACCATTTTCCAAGCTAGCTGGGACAACGAATGTCATAGGCTTGCCTGCGAAACGAGCACCCAATCAACAGCTGTCATTCAACCCTTCCGTTGACGATGCTCAGAATTGGCTCTTGGAGCTCTCCACAGCACCGACGCAAGGCTGAGCCGGTGCAAGATATCTGAGAACCAGTGAAAATGAATATCGTGGTTGTCGTAGTCGCTTGCTGATATCGTCATATTTAGCTTTTGGCCTATCAACGGGTAATTCTCCGTTATCAACACGCGCTAGCTATTGTTGGCACTCTCGCATTTTATGGCTGCGGCATTGCATTTAGATTTGCGGGGGCTGGGCTTGGAGAAAGCCGTTTGAGTGGATAAATCCGTCTCATCAGTCTTCTGACTCCACTGCTTCTGTTTTTTTTTCGTTTCCTGGCCGCTCGCCTCTTCCAGTCGATATTTACATCCCATGTTTGCTATTGGAGGCCATCGCGAGCTGAATCTCAGCATATCAAACAATCATATATGCCTCCGCGGCCCATAAATGGAAACATCATTCGAATAAGGGAACCCAATGTGATATTGAGCAAGGTTAATCTCCAATCCAAACATACAGAGTACATCTTTTGATGTCGTTACCACTCCAGATACAGAACTACGAAGTAAATCATGCGCAGCCAGTGATCCCCAATTCGAACATGTTGAGTCTTCCCCACACATGGTTTTTTCATTATTCGCCCTCTCGAATCGCCTAGGTGAAGAAGCTCGTTGGCACGGTTAATGCTTGTCCACTGGGAGTGAAGGACGTGCTCAACAAAACTCAATTTTCAAGTGCATTCAAGATCTACAGTACGTACCCATCAAAAACAATCACGACAGATGCCCATCACCGCCGATTCCATCTTCTTTAGTTACCTCATAATGAGGTTGGGAGCTGTTGCGAATAGTTCAAAATAGCTGGGCATCTATAGTGTGAGTGCGCGCGAGTAACATATTGGTATCTTGAAGAGCTATCTTCGAGCTTCTAATCCATGTGGTGCCGCAAGACGCAACTCTTGTAAATTTGGCCAATGGACATCCCTCAGTTGGGACGGACTCGAGCACGGATACATGGTCAGACAGGCCCTACGTGTGAGCACTGCATATATGACCAGCAGAGAGAACAGGTCATCAGATCTCAGTGATGATATTATTGAGCTTTATTTTCCAAACTTGGGTTCTGATCCATTCGAGAGGAAAAAGAAACTCTCCTGGGATGCATGCACCCAGTGATATATAGCTTTGGGGCGACCAGCATTCTTTGCAAAACGTGGTTTACCTGCAGTGACCCACTCCCCGCCTCTCCTGTGGAAGAACTTAAGATCAAAACATAACTCGAAGCGTGGTAGCACAAAGAGGAATGAGGGAGTCTTTCTTGTTATTTCCCCTTTCCTTCTTTATTGACATTAAATTCATTTATAAGTACGAAGGATCTGCATATCCGTCCGCCCTTATGCCCCTGATCTTCCAGTGGTGCATTGTGCGTAAGACACAGCAGCTTTAGTATCTACACCTCACTTAACTGCCTCGCAGCTTGATGGTGATGGATCCTCCCATGTGGATGGCGGAAGTGTGAACATGGGAACAGTGCCCAAATCTCACGGAAGGCCAGCAGGCAGCACTTGTCATTGTTTGAATTACGGTGATGGTGTATTTTGGTTGCACATTGACGCACGGCCAACATATATCGACATGTCCATTCATGTATATGGCCAAAAGGGTAGGCGATCAAATAGGGGGTTGATTCTAACCATGGCCTCCTCCCTAACTTGTTTCCCTAACCTTTTTGGCTGCCGCCCCAGGTTCCAAAAACATGGGGGCACGGCATGGCATGGCAGTGCGGGGTTCTTGCCAAAGGTCTCGGGCATTCTACAAGCCTAATAGAATGGTGGTGTGTTTCTGAGAATGAGGGATTATCAATTGCGGACGACGGTAGTGAGGGTTGGGTATTGTCAACGTACTCCTGACGAGCATCCTTATCCGGAAATCATTGATGATCGCTGTGCTAACGATAGAAAATAGAGATCCATCAAGCAAGAGTCAGGTTCTTGACTTCGAAGAATTTCCTTTCCTATTGTTGGTAGCTTAAAGCATAAGACCAATATGCCAATTGGTCGTCATATAACAGCGACAATCGATTGTCTGCACTATCAGACAACTTGCAAACGATGCCAACGCTGGGAGGCTGGAGTATTGAACAGGGCATTGATCATAGAAACATCGTCCCCTCATCACATTTATTGATCATAGATAACTACTAAATAGGAAATGTAAAAGCAGGTGGCCTCGGACCGGCCCGCAACCGCCCAACGACAATTGGTTTGCATTAGAAGCCAGCACTGACCAAACATATGGTCAGTGCTACAGACCCGATAAACTTCGGCATGGTTTGGATGCATGGACTGATGTTCGGCAAACTGCAGGTAGCTTGTTTATCTAAGTCCGGCAAACACAGGGTCACGAAAAGGGAAATTGACCAGCCGTGAAACGAGCTATATCTAAGCAAAGAGGGGTTGCGAGTAAATGTTCATTAGAGGAGCAATACGGGTTAGCACGCTCAACGAAAAAGGAAAAACAAATACTTAACTGTTATTGAGGTAGGGTAGGTGGAAAGCATGAATTAGGAATTTGGAAAAAAAGATATAAGGAACGAAAATTGGTGCCTAAGGGTGCACGCTCAAGAGGTTATAGTGTAACCTCGAGTCAACCATGTAGATATTGAGAAGCAACCTACACAGGTAGCTATCCAATGAGGGATGAACATGCACTCAAAAAATATATTGATTAGGGAGGGTCATATGTAGTATAAGTAGATCGTTGCTGTATTGATTTAATTGAAGTTTTGAAATAGAATCCAGGAACGGACAAATAAAGGAGGTTTATGGGAAGTAGATGCAACCACTCCGACCTCCTCTTACAAGAAGATGTCCCACCTGTTCGTAGTTAATCATGAGCTTGCACCCAAGGAATCTTGGGCGAAGTATGCTGCTTCGTACCACGCCGGTACGATGCTGGAGCGGTGTCTATGCGCTTGAGGTTCGCCGACAATGCATTTGTGTGGAACAGGGTAAAGAACGGCACGTCATCTGCAATACGGACTGGGCATATCATCGGAGACTCAGGGAAAGCACAAATATGGAGGTAGCTAATAGTATTTCAGAGGGCTATTTATTTAATATGTGCCGGAGGAATATTTCTCGGAAAAAGTCGAGGCACGCATGTGGAGAGAAGGGAAAGTGCGTAACACAGAAAATGAAGCTCATGGGATTTGTGGTCCTTCGATAAGTTATCATATATTAACAGCTTCTGACCTAAATCGGAGCATGTTTCACACGTTTAAACATTACATATAAGTCAATATTATCCTAGATGAATTAATTCATCGAAGATGTTCAATATCATTTAACGGCACATAAGTGGAGGGGTGAACCGATAAATTGTGGGATAACGGAATGCTAGACAGCATGGGATCTCTTCCAAGTACAATTTGTCGATGGTAACTAAGTACCCAATCTGCTTTTCAAATAGTTTGGGGAATCTAGGTAATCTATATCAAATTTCGAGGTTAGCCCTGCAATTAGAACAGCTGCACAGTAATGTGCTGGTAGTTCAGAGAATCGACAATGCTAATTAGGATGCAAATCAGAAGTCCATATAGATCATCGGAGAGAAACCATAGGTTCCACCCCTGACATAAGAGGTACCAGAAAATTGTATTTGGTGTATATCATCATTGGCAAAAAGGAACATCGGGGGGGGGGGGGGGGATTTAACAAGATGCAACGTACCAATTCAAGAATTCAAGCCAATTTGTTAGCTGGTAGCTTCCTGATTTTCAGTGTTAATGATGTTAGCGCATAACGACATCGAAATCCAACAACGGTTGATGGTGGTGTTATTCCGTTGCGGGAGAGTATTATTTTTGAATTTGACTGTGTGAGGAAAGAAAAGATGTTGGAAAAAAAAAAAACTGTAGCTCAAAAGTAGAACGCTAAGACCTTTCTGGACAGTATCACGTGGTATTGCAAAAAGCCCTGCATGCAATGCCATGGCCATCGCCAACTAATCGTATCGCAGAATGGCGAGCACGTTTTTGCGCCCTGGATGGCGGAATATGGGGCGGGGTTGATTTCAACACGGACGATCCAACATCTGCATAAGTTGCAAAGAGAGTGACGCCGTTTGGGTCTTGACAATCGCCCAGAAACTATGACCTTTGAAATATCTGCGGAAAATCCTAGTATGTTTGAAGACATTACATGAGAAAGGCCTACCTCTGGCTGAGCAATTTGTTATACCTCATCTTGCGGCCCATCCTGCTCATAAAAATGCCTTTGAACGCCCTGTTCAGAGGCTGGTATTTACATTTTCATGATTCCTGTGCACCCTACGAGGCAAATAATGAGAAACTCACACATCGCTTTCTGGATGTGATTCACCGCAATTGGCATTTGGGATTTACCTCCTTTGGTGGCCCTCCAGTTCATTTCAGAATTTTCTACCAAAAATTTGTCGAAGATCAAAGAGGGATAATACCATGGATCGACGAGCAAACAGTAAGGGACTTATATAGAAATTCGAAAGCTTCTCAAAGGGCAGTCATCATGCTGACCTTTTTTATTGATGATTTTAGTATCAAGAGCTATTTGCTCTTTGTCAGGCTTTACCAGGGCCAGGCAGTACAAAGATGCTATTCTGCATCGTTCTCATCCATGCCGGTTTTCTACCGGCTCTTCTTGCCTTCATGATGTGGAGGTTGGTATTGATCTAAGTGTTATTTCCTGAGGATTGGTCTGATCTAGCTATCCTATATAGCCTTCCTGGTGCAATTGGAATGTACGGGCTTTCCCTCGGGGTCCAATGTATAGCTGAAGTGCTTCCTGAGATTGTGTATGCTTTTCTCTCCGGTCTAAATGCCTCTACTGTTGGGATAATCACTTTCGCAGCTGTACAGGTATACATTCATATATTACCTTTCATCATCTTGTTAACTGCTGGATATAGCTGATTCAATGGCTGCAGTTAGCGGAGAAGGCAATCAAAGATCCGCTAACTAGGATTCTCGTTATCATAGGCGGGTGTGCTGGCCTTTGTTTTAATGCACTCTGGTATTTCCCCTTACTTATAATAATAGGAGGAATATGCACTATGAGTTGGGACCTCTTCGGTCTCCAGAATATCACTAGAATGAGAAGGAAACTTCGTCGTCGAATGTCAGACCCTCGGCAGGAGGTTGAAGAGAGCGTTGGACAGTCAATCACTCTACGTGAGCTTCCACAGCCCACAGGCGGTGTTCAGAAACGATCAGCTCCTGCTCGTAATATCAATCCACTCAGTACTAGTGTTAATCCAGGCGTTGTTAATGAAGAGGAAGCAAATCGAACTGCGAGTGGAGATACACGCTCGCACAAAATCCCTACCAAATGGGGAATTTTAATCATTGTTGGCTTTTTTGGTAATGCCCCTCTTTACCAGTACGCTGCACTATCATCAGCACATCAAACTTACAAGTCACTAGCTACCTTTATTGCGATCCTTGTTGCACGTGGAGTTGTTCAAAAGCCCCCGCTGGAATTGGATCTATTTGCGAGCATGTACCTTGCGGGCACTATCATCTTCGGAGGTGGTCCTGTTGTTATCCCTCTTCTCCGCGAGTACGTCGTTGGGCCTGGTTGGGTGTCTCCTCGAGATTTCTTGATCGGCCTCGCCATTATCCAAGCTTTCCCAGGACCAAATTTTAATTTCGCCGTTTATCTGGGCGCTTTAGCATTAGCCCCTTCCATGAATCCCACTATTCTGGGTGCGTTCCTGGGGTTTCTAGGTATCTTCGTCCCTGGTATTACTCTTGCGGTGGGCTTCCAGAGCATTTGGAGAAGCATTCGAACCATCTCTTTTATTACTAGTTTGTTGAGAGGCATTAATGCTACGGCTGTCGGTTTAGTATTCACGGCTGTATATCGGCTCTGGGAAATTGGGTATCTGAGCGCTGACTCTGTAGCGGGTCAAAGCTTGGGAAAGGAGCCATTTTGGCTGGTCGTGGCGGCCATCTCATATGCTGGAAACGCATGGTTCAAGCTCCCTCCAGCCGCTGCTATTCTTATGGGTGGCGTTTTGGGCTTGTGTTGGTATGGCGTCGTGGGACGATAATAATAAGATGGAAAGATTTGAGAAGTGGAAATCCTTTGTTTGGGCCATCCAGGAGATGGTCATTTTGATAATTTTAGGTTCTACCACAGACTAGTATTATATGATATATATTTATTACACCCTGATAACTGTGGATTTCATGAAAAGCCTTTTGATCCACGAGATGTGAATTCAGCTTTTCAGCTGATCGTTTTTTGTGCAACTTGTCATATTCTTTCCCATCTGGTGGCATAGTCTATAGATAATATGATGAGAACTTGAAGACATCTATAAATTTTATTATGTCTTCTTTCAAATAAATTATTATTATCTCTTTCAAATTCTAGACAGTGTCTCTATGTCAGGAAACTTATGGTTATCTGACCATTCTTCCCGCTGTTTACACAGAGCTGCTTTGTCCTTTATATTCATGGACAGCATAAGTTTGGGTAGACAAATAGTACCGAATACCGGCTGTTCCAACTCAAAGGGTATGCGCTGGAAAGATATTCTTGTAATCTTCCAAGGTTGGAAGAAGGTTGAACTTGGTTTGTTATCATCTATCTAATAAGAGACGAACCAATACAAGGCTGGGACGGATTACAGTTAAACTAAGCGAAACGGCAAGTCACATGATCCACAACTTCAACTTGCGAATTTTTTTGAGGGACAAACTTGCCGAAGAGAACTCGATCATCATCACATCCTCGCTGTCGACAAAAGATAAAAAGGGAACTCTTCCTTCGACTACCCAAACAACATCAAAATGGGTCGCCTCCACAGCAAAGGAAAGGGTATCTCCGCCTCCGCGATCCCTTATTCGCGCAACCCTCCCTCATGGCTGAAGACGACCCCCGAGCAGGTCGTTGACCAGATATGCAAACTGGCAAAGAAGGGCGCTACTCCCTCTCAAATTGGTGTTATCCTAAGAGACAGCCATGGAATTGCACAGGTTAAGGTTGTTACTGGTATGTCTGGGAATCCATTCAAAAACGAAGAGCAAGGTAAAGCTGGCCAGCGCCGCTAACAACATGGGATTGCACAGGTAATAAGATCCTCCGGATCCTGAAGTCGAACGGTACGAAATCATATATTATCACAGTTCCCCAGATGGTTGCCGTGGGATGGGAGATATGAGATAGAGGAGTTGGGCGGAAATCAAGCGGAGCTCTCTCTGTTTATAGCGGAATCTTCGACTCACCAGCTTGATCCCATCTCATGCCTCGTCGATATCTCTTCAAACCCGGCCATCATACCTTGATATTTTTTGTCACCCCAACACTGCCTCTGCTTGGTCATTCAATAGGCTGACAGAGTGTCTTTTTTTTGGACAACACGTAACAGGCCTCGCTCCTGAAATCCCTGAGGACCTCTACATGTTGATCAAGAAGGTAATTTATAACTAACGCAAACATTCCTTCCATCAATTTATGGCTTTGCCCTACAACCCTCTTTGTGACGCTCTTCTGTCCTTTTCACTAAACAATGCAAATTAGGCCGTCGCTGTCCGCAAGCATCTTGAGCGCAACCGCAAGGACAAGGACAGCAAATTCCGTCTCATTCTCATCGAGTCGCGTATCCACCGCCTGTCCCGCTACTACAAGTCTGTTGGTGTCCTCGCGCCCACCTGGAAATACGAGAGTGCCACTGCCAACACTCTGGTCGCATAAGCGAAAAGACAAAAGAAAAAAGATATGAAAAATCTTTGGTCGTGATATTCGGGTGACAAGTTTCAGGTTCAGAGGAATTAATAGCTGGGTAGAATTTGTTAGGCGGCGGAATGGTTTTGTTTGGCTATGTTAAGTAGCTATGAGAAACATTTAGATGAAGCGACGTTCTCGGCGTTAAACGTATAGGAGCCTCAATACTCCCGGATGTTTTCTTTTTACATTCATGCCTTGTATGATATTGTATGAGGATGTATCTACCTCCCACATACATTATTCGCCTTTCACAAGCAGACTCGAAATTCATATTGATACAAGTATTTTCATATTTCGTATTTGTGTTGTATCAGTGAGGGTCAGCAAGTAATCAGAGAAACAGGGTATAGTCCATCTCATGTTGGAAGATTTGAGAAAATAGTCCAAGTGTAGGCCGAGCCCAAGGTTATATTATATGTATCCAAAATTTTACTCTTAGCAACCTATCTATATACGGCTATCCATGTACGGAATAAAGGTAGTCAGTATGTCAATCAACGTTGCATAATTTAAGCAACAGAGGTTTCTACTCTAACCTCCCTTGCAACAGCATTACACAACTCAACCCTCACACCGGCACCAGTAAGCACATGAATCCACAATCGTTGGGTATCACTTAGCCGGTCATTCTCCGACTTTACCTCCACAAACATAACCTCCTTCCTCTCCATGCTCCAGAGGAACAAGTCTGGGATGCCTCCACCCCTTTGCTGGTACTCCTGCGCCATAACTTTACATACAGTAGCTAGGGCCTCACCGCGGAAACACTGCACAATCTCAACTAGATCAGATAATTCGAACGACCAGTCGATGCCGATGACGCATGTTTCTCTCTCCGCTTCACGGTCATGTACTTCATGAATAAGCTTCTCCGCATCACCATTGGCGATCTGGGCAAGCCTGTGATTGATTTCTGAAGCACGAGTGGGATAAAACGAATCTGTGTGTAGATCTAAGGGACAAGTTTGGAAGGGCGTTTGGAAGACGTTGGGAACATATGCGTAGAGGATGTCATAGAAGAGATATCCAAACTATGCATAACGGGAAGGTGGTAAGCAAATCATGGGAAAGTCTGATCAGGGTTTAGATTGTCAACATATGTCGCTTACCAATGTTCGGACTATGCCGCTCTCGCAATGGAAGCCCTTCCATCCCTTGTCTCTATACCAGCTTAGGCACATGCTTTCGACTCTACACTCGCCTCCGCCTTCTCGTTCATCTACCCAAACCGTAGGTCTACCTCTTCGAGACACGGAATTCGGGGTTTCCTTCGAACCAGACTTAATGGGAATATCTTTCTCAATCCGAATTCCTTCCACGATCCGTTCTTCTGGTTTAACCAACATGACATGTCCAAAATCGTGCTGTTCCCGCTTTGTGACTTTTAGCGACTTCTCCAACTTTGTGATTCGTTTCTGTAAATCATAGTGGTATACCAAATGGCAATCAGGATCCTCAAGGCCCTCTTCACACGTACGAAGAGCTGTTCGTTTCCATACCCTCTTTTGTATCTCCTCAGAACGGTTCTCAAACGGGGTTAAAGACCACATATAATGTTCTTCCAGTAGAGCTTTGCGCTGGTACCACGCCCCTCGGCGAGCAGCATGGAATAAACGCTGGTCAAGGAGTTCTGTGAGTAACTCATGCTCCCGCTTATAATTTTTGAAACGGCCCAAGGCATAGAGGCCTTTATGGATTATCCGGGTGTATACCCATGCTGGGGAAAATCGGCGGAGGTATGCACCCTCTCCAGTTTCGTACACGTGTTCTTTGTGTTGCTCTTCAGCGATCAGAGCTTTCCATCTTTCATAAACACTTTCGGATAAAGATTTAATGAAAGCTAGCTTCTCCATGATTGGCAGATCCGGTGACTCTAGAGTGTTGTCAATATCAAACTGCACTCGCAAGGCAGCTTCAAACTCCAGTAAGGCAAATCTCGAGGGGAAAATGGAATTGGAACGGGAAACGATATAATTTGGGTAATTCCTCCGCGAAATTTTCGCCAATATAATGGTTGTTAAGGACTTTTCTGTCCATTCCGTAGACCGGTAAAATAGCAAATGAACCCGCTCAAAGAGTCTCCGTGGCGCGGAAGAGAGTCTGATGCAGTCACCAGTGTGATCCAAGATCTTTTTTGTGAAATGCAAATCTCGAGTGTTCCCTCGGCTTAACGAATTGCTCATCCGATTTAGAGAAGAGTCGCTGGGTACTTCGTCGTCTGGCTTGCATCGTGGGAGCCAGCTAAGTCCTGACTGCGTTGTACTGGACTCGCGCAATCCTTTCAACAGCTCCTTCTTATTTTTCCCCTGAACTTTGGCTTCCTTTGAAAAGGATTTCAATTCATCTAATAGGAGTAAGGAGGATGCTTCTTCAAGTGTATCTATTTCTTCTAATCCTTCAGCGAACTGAAAATTTTCACCAAGAACGACATTTTCAGGAGATTTCAGTGCAGGAATATATGGGGGTTGAAGCAGAGTGGATGAGGATGGGAGCTTTCTACTGTGCCTCAATTCCTTTACGGCCGCAGGCATATCCGCAATATCTTGATAGTAACCAAGGCGGTTGACACGATGCCATGCAGATGTTTTGCGTAGAAAAAGGCGCACATATCTATTCAATCATTAATTACATCATTACATTTGGAGTTGGCTACAGGGCAGTCACTGACAAATATTGAGCTTCATAGCTTAATCTTCTCCAGTGATCGAAGACTGCCATTTCCGTTTCGTCAAACAAATGGGTTTCGTCTACCAAAACGCTTTCCAATGCGACGTTAAAGGCATCCACATATATGGAACTTTTGCCTTTCACCCATCCTCGTTCTTCATAGCGGTGGTGCAGGTTCGCGGCACCGTTTTCGGTCGTCAATTCTTGGGCTTTTGAAGCCTCATAGTCCGCGATCGCTTCATAGTCCGTTTTGATAGGGGGAAGAGAAGATTCCAAATCAGTTTGGGTGCTCGGCGGATAATCTTCTACGCTGCTTTTATTGTTGATTCCATCATCATCATTAGATCCAGCCTCCGTTTTTGATGGAGGTATATAATTTTCTAATGGAAAAACTTCTGACTCAGATTCTGCATTCGAAAAGAGGTCACCGGGGCTTCCTGTTCTCCTCAGTCGTTTAGGAGGCGGATCTATATCCTCCATATTGAACTCTCAGGGAGGACATTGGAAGAGTTCCCCTACACGCAGTTACGCGCGGATGGTGGCCCGAATACCGGTTGAAATGTATGGATAATCCCAGTATTCGAGAAGCGAGGGGGGTAATTCACAATGAGAATTCAGAACCTTCTATCGTTGCAGGATGAGAAACGGTCGTTTCTCCCGCAGCGAAAGGTTTATCAGGCAGAACGCGCTAACCCTGTCAGGAGGAAAAACGCGTAGTCACATGACGTATTAGCCTTGGCCAAGTTGTTTGTATCGTTTGCAGTTAGTTAAGCTCAACCTCAAGCGTCCACCGAAATAAGGAATGCGATAACAACAATGATGCCTTAAATCTGTCTACTCCGGCGTGACTGAGGCATTCAAAGACCAACCCAATCGCTGAATAGTCTGAGGCCTATCTGCGCTCGCCTCTTCCTCCTCCGCCTGCCAGCAAGTCGCGGTTGTCCCACTCAATTCCACAGCTTGGCGCAGAATCGCAGCTATCCGAGCCGCCTCTATCTGAGAATAATACCGCAACCATGAAGGACGTAGATTCTGTACGTAAAACCAAATATCCTATGTACTTTGAAAGATGCTCTTTATGAGTGGTATCCACAGCATATCATTGTCATATTCACTCGTTCTGTATACCATACCATTCGGTGATCTGAAATGCTCCCAATCTTGTAACAAGCAGAAAGCTAACGGCATTCCCCACTGTAAAATCAAATATTTAAACATAGCCCATGCAGCCACTCCCTGAAGAAACTGGTCATCCTCTTCCCACTCCTCTCTCGCAACATCCGCCTGTGCCAACCGATCTCATTAGCACCCACGCCAACAACACCACCGTGCAATCGAATCCTGACGAAAGGTGCGACATCACAATGTCCGGAGGCGGGATGAGTAATGACAACCAGTCGCAACCTCAGTCTCAGCCTTCCGTACCAGCTGTGTCCTCTGCTTCCGCAACTAGCTCCGCAAATACCTTTCACTTAAACACCAGCAACAATGCATCCACAACCCCGATACCGCAAGTGCGGCTCGGCGGGGCACCAGCGCGTGTGTACTTGAACGAAAAGATAGTGCCGTATTTATTAGAAGGAATGAAGACACTCGCGAAAGAGCAGTTAGTACTTTTCGCTCTTAGTTTGTTCTTTATTCTTTTCTCCCTTCTCTTCTCTCACTCCGACCTTGCGCATAAAATCAACGAAATGTTTCCCCCACTTTGCCCAGCTAGGCATGAGAGAACTAACAGTGAAGTGAAAATTCCCTCAGACCCTCAAAACCCCTGCGAGCCCTTGGTGAATACCTTATACAGAAGAGCAATGAGGTTGAGGAATGAAGAGATAGAATTACATGCGTGACGCATGAATATTCATTGTATATCATACGCCAAATACGCTGAGAAGTAGTTGTCGACCTATACGCAATTTGGCGATTTTATTTTCCAAACGAAGGGAAAATTAGGGCGATTGTTACAAATGGACTATTGAAATGATCGGATAACACTGGGGAAAGAAAAGCTAGCGATAAGCAATCTTATTTTAATTGGTTTAACTAAAGGCAATCAGGAAGATTATTTATGAAATGCGCTGAAGGACAAATTCGGGTTCCCAGCGATCGGCGTTGTTTGAAAATTGTGTCATGTGTATATATGAATGCTTTCTCAGGGGACTTGAATACCCTTATTGTTGTTATGTTCTACATCCCTTTAATCAGTTGATAGAGTTCACTTGATTGATCTCATTCTTCCATCACTCAATTCGGTATGGAATGGCACTGGTTGATTTGTGTTCCGCAATGCAGTAAGCTAGGTGAATAGGAAGGCAGGGCGTTTGCGGTTTTATCAACCAAAAAGCACCGGGTAAAGAATCAAGCCGAAACGGATATAGGGCTAAATTATGGTAAGCTTAAATAAGGGTTCAAACAGGATTTGTTTCCCATGTAAGGTCCTAATGTCAAACTTCAGCAAACCAAAAAGGTGCAGTAAGCCTCAGGCGGCGGAAAAAGGTAGAGGAACTTTATCCAAGCTGGTCTCCATGCGTATATCATCCCTGCCGTCCAGTGAAGGCATTTGCTTTCCACATTTACTTGGTTCCATCCTTGGCTTAGCCCTTTTGAGGATGTCCTGCCGCAAATGGAAATCACCCTGTGAGGATTTGTATTATATCGAGCCGCGGTGGTCATTAATACAGCCAGAATTTGCTTTGTTAAAGAGATGAGGAAGCTGTGATAATTAAGAATAGCATTGACAATCCACAGATTCATGGGGTTAATGTAGAAAGAAATGTAGGAACTTGAGAGTATCATCAATACTTGTAAGGCTGATACAGCTCGCTTGGTCAAAATCTAAACGCTTGAAAGTTAGCAAGACATGTCAAGTTGCCAACTTACCATTTTGTGCTAGGTTGGAAGCTCCTTCCCATTTCTGTTGAAAACATTGAAGCATGGAATATTTTGGATTGGATGTACTGCAGTTTTAAATACGGACGAATTCTTTTCATGTGGTTTGTTCGTAGCCGAACAGGTTGCCAAAAAAAGCGGGAGGTAGACACGTAGGGATATGGAGCTTTGACCAGTTATCGCGGTACATAGACAATCTTTACGGCGTATTGAAACGTTGATTAAAGGTGACTATTATCAAAGAAACCGACCCAAAAGGAAATGGCGACTACGAGTACACGCATGGCGATATAATGGCAGATTTGAGTCCGGCTCCAAGAAAATTGTGTTTGGTCTTTGGAGACGTGAAGCGGGAAGTTTTCCTGTGGTACTTGGGAATATTGAGCTGACATCTTTGCTCGTCTTGGGCGAACCATTGGGAAAACCGTTATCTGAAACTGAATAGAGGATACACGGCGAATAAAGTTGACTAGCGACAACGACCATAGCTGAAACTGAAGTATAGTGTTGACCATAAGAAAAACCGAGGCTGTTACAGGTAGACATTTTGTGTTTGTTTTTGTTTTTTTTGTTCAATCCGCCGCTAATTTGCGTTTCGGTGCGAGAAGAAAGAGGAAAAACAACCAGATAGACGGATCACAGCAATAAGTTAGCATGCAGCTGATCGGATCGTACGAGGTTGGAAGAAAACTTTCCGTATTCGCCGACAAACCATGAATGTGTGAAAAGTTGACTTTTCAGAGACAAAATAGAGAAGCGCCGCCGTAACCGTCGATCTTGACCCTCAATCGAGAGAAGTGACATAAACCATTCCTGGAATACAGAAAGAGAAATGGAATAGAAGACACAAGTAGAACAAAAGAATGTAGAGAAAAAAGAAAGCAGTCTAAAAAGCGGCTAATGGCCATGATGCCAAGCCACGATTTGAAGCTTTCTTAATCCCTTTTACCTACCTATCTCGCGCCGTATCGATCATCTCCACCACGGCCTTCGTAGCCACGGCCTCCGTATGGATCGCGGGACTCGCGGGGAGGTGGTGGAGCGTCAGGATAAGCGGAAGAATGGTGTGAACGAGCATCGTCGCGATCGTAATAGCCACGACGATCATCCCCACGGCGGTCATCACCGCCACCACGACGCTCGTACCTCTCTTCACGACCTCCTTCACGACCTCCTTCGCGACCTCCTTCGCGACCTCCTGATGTCGCATAACGATCGATACCACGGTAGGATTGGTCGTCACGGAAGTCACGGCGACCGTAATCTCGACTACGTTCGTTATACGAATCATAACGGCCATAGCGGTAATTATCATCGGATCGACGCCCTCCTCCGCCACCATATCCTCCCCGACGGTCATCGTAACGGTCATAACGGCCGCCACGGGGCGGGCCACGAGCGTCTATATAGTACGTCAGCCACGTGATAAAAAGTTTCCAATTTCAGAGAAACACGCACAAGATGTCCCACGTTTAGGAGGACCAAAGTATTTGCCTGGGGTTGGCGTTCGTGGACGGCCACGACGAGCTTTCTCAATGCTAAGAGTTCTCCCTTCAATGACTTCACCTTGAAGGCCTTCCTTTGCAGCGTCCGCTTGCTCTGCAGTTACCATCTTTACGAAACCGAAACCACGCGACTCCTTGGTGTGGGGGTCAACCATAATCGAGCAGCTCTCAACATCGCCATATTTTTCAAAGAGCCTGGAAACATCCGACTCGGTAAGCCGCGGGTGGATACCGGTAACGAAGAGATTGGAACCAGTATTGACGCTTCCTTCATCGTCGTCGCTTATTTTCATCAGCCGATCATTTTGGGGTACACTAGGATGATATTAGCTGTCAAAACTCCGTTGTTTTAAAATGAAAACAAAAACAGACGTTAAACTTACCGGAGATGATCACCACGGCCATTTGGAGACATGCTTCGGTTTCGAGCTCCGCCTCTCGCATTGCCTCTCGGTGAGGCGCTGCGCTCGCGATCGAACCGGGGTTCGTCTAAAGGATTAGTCTACAGACATATGTGTATTTTATAGATATCAGTGCATACCGTCAAAGCGACCATTCTCCGTTTCGTATTCCATAGTAGCCATTGACTTGTGGTGATTTTAAAGGGGATGGAGCGAGAAGAAATGGAGTAGGACACTTTGGCCACTTGTCGAGACAAATGAGATTCACCCGAAGGGACACAGAGGGGGAGGAGGGAAGAAACAAGGACGTCAAACAACGAATCTTCTCGAGAGGAATGAGACGATGAAAAGAAACGAGGAGGAATTAGTCCCCTTTGTTGGTGGTTCGTTGATGGGTTCGTTGATGGAGTGAAAAAAAAGGTCAAGGGTCACCTTAGCGCTTTGGAGGATCTTAGGTTGACCCAGTAAGGACTAGCGTCATCCGAAGAATCCAGGCCCAAAACAAACCATGCGGCTCCGCGAAAGGGCAAAAAGTATTGGCCAGGGCCGTTGAAATGAGCTGAGGGTAATATGGATGATTCCATGTTGAATCAATGTCTTGGATGTGATTGAGGTATTCATCTAAGGACCACAAATCAATTTAATTCATAGGTTGCTAACTACCAGCTACCCGAAACTCCTCTAATTAAACAAAATCCGAAAGTGTGAAATCCTAATCCCTACCCGCCCCAAAATTCAAGTACAAAGTGGGTATGGAGAAAAAATAGGAGACAGGTAAATTGCGGAAATGGATAGAAAACACAAAAATAAAAATGGGAAACTGCACTCAGTGCCTAGAAGAAGCTCAGAAACTCAATATTCTCCAGGCAGCCCGCTGTGATTTAGTTCTTTTTATCTTCTTCTAAAACCTTTCCATCTCCTTCGCGTCTTGTGCGTTTTTGGTTTCAAAGCGTCAGCGACAGCGGCATCCGCAGGGATGTCAACATCACGATTAGTTCCAGGGACCCCGCTTAATAAATCTGGAGCGTAATCTGGAGGCTCGTCCCCGACGAGATCCCGTAGCTCGTCTTCGCCGATTTCACTTAGCTCTTCACTCATTCCTCTGAGTACTTCTCGGCCGGTCCATCTCTCCTCATGAACGGTAGTCCCGATAGGATCGAACGGCTGCATATACCACTGTATACCACCTAAAGATAAAGGAAGTGGGTCTTTGCTACCCAGAGAATCAGCCGGGGAGACCGGGGAGGTCGGAGAAGCCATTCGTCCATCACGGGATGAACCAGCCGCTTCATTATTGATTCTGCCATCCGTAGGCTGAGATACGGGAGAGATCTCTGTAGGAATTGATATAGCAAGCCCATTCATTTTTGAAACCGGAACTCCCTTTGCCTCATGGCCACTAGCTGTTTCCCCATTCACATCGACTATAGTAACATCTGGATCTCCATTTTCAACCTGTTCAGCAGGCCGAGATTCTGTCGCGGTTTCTGGTGCCGGTATCCAATCATCTTCCGGATCAGTCTTTTTTCCATTCACTAGTTGATATCGTTTTGTAATGTCGACGTCATTTGCCGTCTCCCTGGGCGTGGCAGCCATGGAAGCCCTCCGTGAGAGAACACTATTTTCCAACAAGTCATCCAAATCTTTCAGTTCCTTTTCAAAAGGCTTTCCGCTCAACTCGCTTTCCTTTCTCAGCGAATCTTCTAAAGCTGGCTGTATCGCCTTGATGATCCGCTTCGCAAGTTTTCTCTTTTCCCTTTGCTCCAAGCTAAGTTCTGGCGCTCGTCCCATAATCTGCAACTGTAACTCAGCTGTATCACCCACAGATTCAACCCCTATTTCAGAGGTAAAGACATTGGCAAGATCACGAGAAAATGATGAAACTGAAGTATACACGCGTTGCTCCAGTTTTGAGCGGATAGATAGCAGCCCGGAGCGGAAAACCGCTTTCCCATCGAGTCTAAAAAAATGTTAGTGGCCAAAAATAGTATGTGCTTCAAGGATTACAGTATACGCACGCAATAGATTTTTCAAGTAATGGCCATAGCATTGGAGGAATGGGGAAATAAACCAGATCAACTATGCTTCGTAGTATCTCCGCGTCTTTCAGCTTTTCTCGCTCTCGCTTCTTCACTTCATCGCACAGCATTCTAACTCTGTCAAGATCCAAGTAAAGCCTATCTGCGAATGCTATCCTTCTCTCAAGTCTAACGGCTCCGACCACTCCCATTGCCGCAAAATTCCGTCGTGTAATTTCCGCTGATGAGAAGGTTTCAAGTTGCAGCTGCAACCGTTTCAGCAACGCTGCACCCCGACGAGATTCTCGTTTTAGCGTCCAATACTTGCAAGCGTCCTCAGCATACTGCTTCCTTTGTCGGACGGTAAACCGCTGTAAAGACGCGATAACACTATTCAATACAACTTGAGGAATAACCGGTGCTCCAGAGGGTAACTTCCAAATGGTTTTTGGAGCTGTGCGCTTGCGTTTGTTCCCGCCTACTGTAAGCGTAATCCTAGGTGTAATCGCTCGAGTGTCCTCTTCAGCAGGGTCATCTTGAGAATCCGTGCCCAAAGCCAAAGCAGCAGCCTGACTATCACCCCACCTTCGGCCTTGCATCGTGTTGCGATAATAATCCAAGGCCTCTGCAGTTGCCGCATCGGTATTATGTTCTCTTCTCCAGTCTGGTGGGACATGCTTGTCACAAAATGCTTTCAGGCTGTTCGATTCCATGACTGCAGGAGCTCCTGGTATTAGTTTCATCTTTAGATAAAGGTGAGCCCGCCTCGCGCAAGTGACATGAAATGCAACAAAACAATTTTTGTTGCTGCATTGGATGCATGCTCCCATTTTCTGACGGCAGATATAGCATATAAGCTTCCAACGATTCCTGGGAACCTTTTCAACCTCATTTACCGGCTCCATCAACGATGGGTTGCCAATTGAGACTTCGGGTATCCACACTGCACAAAGCAGATGTGACCACTTCGAGGTGTTCGTTTGCTTGAAAGCTCCTTCGGTGTTGGGGCAGAAGATGCACGACGGAGATCCACGTCCGATCAGCTGACACTTTCTACACAACCATTGGCCTTCAGGGATGTACGGCACGCCATAACATTCTTGGTGAACCGCGAGATCGCATCCATCACAGAATACTATTGCATTCGCATTCTCACAATCACCGTCATCACAAATTGCGCATTTGCTATCCTGTTCCTCGCCAGGACCAGTATGCTCGCCGTTAACAGCCGCAGCAGAGCTAGAGCGGGGTCGTTGTGTTTGTGGCGGTTTGGGGTTTGGTTTGGGTATACGCTTCTCCAAGGCATACCATTCCTTTTCAATTTTTGTCATGGTAATCTCGAAAATAGCAGGTTTGATGGGCTCAAACTGTCCCTCCCTCCTCTGCGCATTATATGTCTCTAGCCACTTGGCGTCCTGTTCATCCATATCATATTCCACTCTACCAACTCCAATATTTCCAATGGCAGCGTTGGCGTCACCGTCGACGGGCGTCGGCGGATTTAAATCCAGGTCTTCCTCAGCGGCACCTTCAGCCATACGAATTAACCGCCGTTCATGACGAAGGAAAATATCACTTTCTTGGTAACCAACGCTCGCCATGGTGCGGTCAACATAATTTTGTTGTCCCACGCCTTTCTGCTCGAATGGAAGAAATGGATCCTTAAGGACAAACGACGGTTTCGGCAAGGTAAGTTTTTCACGGGGATTAGGTCCGGGAGGGGGCACAATTTTCGGTCCGCTAGGCGTCCCAATTCCATTCGTCAAGGTCTCACTTAGCCGTGGACGCCCTGGCCGTCGTTTTGCGGGAGTAGAGCCATTTGTTGATAATTCGACAGCGCTGTCTCCGCTTTCGTCAGTCCCTCTGCTTGAGTTTCCATTTGGGAGCGTAGAGTTAGGCTTGATTCCGTCGACTTCATCAGAGCTGAAAACAGCGATTTTGATGTCGATGTCAAGGTCTGGATGGAATTCCTCCCAACCCCTCTCTTCTCTAGGTTTGTAACCGTCGCCTTGTGCAACAGCAAGGGCAGCGGCCGCAGCAGAACTGTACCTTCTCGTTTGGTTCTTTTCGCGCCTGGGTCGAGTAGAAACGGGAGAGGTGGCGGGCTGTGTTCGCCGCACGTTATTGCGGGAAGGTTCGCGAACAGGTCGAACTCGAGGAGTCGTATAGTGCGAAGCAGTGGTTTCCTTTACTAATCCCGCAGGTGTTTCGTTCCCATCAACATCTACATATCTTCCTCCACCACCTGGTCCCCCGGGAACATATCTCCGTTTCTTTGGGGGAGGTTCACTGTTGGTGGCTTGATCTGCATTCTGGCTAGCTCTCAGGCTTTTTGATTGAGGTCGAGGGGTTCGCGGGATTGTGGTTCTCTTTGAGGAAGACAGTGGCGCCATAGTTGAGGTAGTGGCTTCGGAAGAAGAATCGCGAGTCGTCAATACCGGTTGGGTTTCGTGGTGGTTTGGATTGAGATGGCGAGTGAATTTGGCGATTGGAATGCTCGTAACGCGACGTTTGAATGCGAACTCCTTACCATAACGGTATAGCCACGGATAGGGAACTATCCGCACCAGATGCCACCAGTTCTGCAGTTGTAGCAGTTCTCTTTGTCTCCTTGTGGTTCTGGATGCGCGGGTTTGAATGGTTTCTTGATATTGGAAGCAGGAGAAATACTCTAACTGTATTAAGGTTAGCGCCAGAGGCTCCACAAACGCAAACCACCTGACTGTTTAGCACAGGCACAACCCGCAAGCGCTGAGATGCCTCCTCGCCTGAGAGACTACATCCTCAGAGCTGAAAGGCCATTCTCTCCACCAGCTCTAGTGCCACAATGAGCGGTGCCGGTGATGATCGGTATGTGTGCATACGATCTTTCAACTCGCATTTACAATTCACTGAAATTTGGGCTTGCTAACAAAAAAGCTTTCCTGCCAGGTGGCGCGGTGGGCGTGGTTATGACCAGAATCGCCAAATCGGGCAGCGACACCAAAGCGGAAACCTGCGCGACCGGTCAATAGGAGGACATCAACAAGATCGGCACCCACACCGGGGCTATGGAAATAATGCGAATGCGACCAATTCCTGGGGCCCTCCGCATGGAGGATCCCCCCATGAACAACATATTCCTGTGAGATCCTTCAACGCTGCAGAGTCGAAAGGCGCGCTTAAGCAAGGTATTTTCACGTCTAAATAGGAAACATGAGGTTATTTTATTAGTTCAGATTGCTAAGATTCGTATAGGATATCAGAATGTCGACTCGCATGGTGTGTACAACAAAATCGAACTCTTGTCTCTGCTACTTTACTTCCCCATGATGATATCAATACTCATTTCCTTTGACATAAAACCAGCTCCGTTCGTTTATAAACCAATCGGGAAGGAAGCGAACAGCTCCCGAGCGGCCAGTGGTCCTTGGGGCTCAAAACGTACGTTCCATTCGTCCCGGAGAGCATAAAGTAACAGTTACTGAAAGCCAACAGCAAACTGTATGGTCAACGGGAAGGACTTTTTTCTCGAGCTTCGAAAGCAAGTGTCTGCTTTACGTCAAAGCGGTAATAACGTTGCCGGTGGCTGATGCCAGCCATGGACTCAAAAAGATTTCTGACACCGTGGACAGACATATTTCATGCATTTCGTTATGACCAGCCCGTATTTATCCTGCACAATTCAAAAATAGATATTAATCATGATATACCCAAGTGCATTAGTTTGAACAATATTTCTTTTCGTTTCATTTACATTAGGGACAATGTAACAAGGACTTTTTTTAAAATGGCCTCTGCGCGTTTGTTTGTTTTTTCTCGCCCTCAGATCAAGCACCGCCTCCGCAACAGTCACATTCTGCTCAGGATGGAAATTTCTGCTATTCTTACTGAATTTTTTCCCCTTCAGATTCAATTCCATCTTTTCTTTTTATTCTTGCTTCCTAGTGGTGGTAGGGACTCTCCGCGAGTTCCGCTGTTCCCTTCAGCTCCCCAATGTCACATCGAGACGACCTTCAGGCACTGTATTTACATATGAACTAAGGCGATATATCAATTTCCAGCTTTTCTAAGCACATACAAATCCATAGAGTAAACATTCGTACCTGTCCACGCAGTTCTACAGTTCGCATTTTTTCTATTTATCCCTTGTGAACTTGCTCTGTATTCACTATGCACTGTATGTGGGTAGTCAACGGTGGCACGTCCACAATTGCTGTGTTACCTCTCTTCCTTTCATTTGCTAAACGCCCAAATGTCCAGTTGCGTTGCCAAAACACAAGAGCCAACAATGCACTGCTTCATCCACATTGTGATATTGAGCATCTTTCCGATAGCCAAACCCAGAAGGATATTCCTGATATCAACGGACGATATTTCCACTACCCTGCTCCCGCGTCTCTCAATAGAATATCCCGATGAGAATGAAATATCCCGGGTTGATTATTACAACTCGATTCTATCGCTAACATCAGACCAATTTGGTGAGGCGATGCTATTTGATGATCTTAGCGCCCAATTGACAATGGCTCCTTTCAGAAGTCAAAACGGCCTCCGGCGAACCCAGATACTGGCCAATCAAGATTTACTCGGTACGCCAATCTGACTCTGATTGGGTATATATACAATATATCTCTGGAGTGAATGGATCTATTAATATCTTTGCAGCGGATCGACACCATTCAACTTGCGATGCAGGAACTACGTACTCTGTGAGACTGTGTGGGATGGCAATGCACTGTCCCACCTGGAGGCTGTCCAAGGAGAGTCGCATGGGCCTGCTGAGACAGCCGCGCTGTCAAATCATGACTGTAGCAGGGAGCCGGAAGACCAAAAGCAAAAAACAACAAAAAAAAAAAACAAAAACAAAAACTGTAACCGGCCAAGAAAAGGCGCTTCTGATGCCTCCTAACAACAATACACTGTACACCTGGGGTTCTCGCGAATTCTGAAACGGCTGTTGGCTTCGGGGTGGCAATCGCTGAATGCCACTGAATACAACCATCCCATATCGGGGTTGAGCGGCTAAGCTCGACTTCTATTGGGCGGATGAGGATAGCGCCCAGCGGGCCGTGCGGCAACTTAAATCCCTGACAAAGGCCAGCTGAACCGCCTGGCTCAAGTGTTCTACCTCATATGCACAAACCGCGGGGAGTCCAAACCCCCAAAAAAGGCCAACAAAGAGACGTCTAAAATCAAACTGGGATCGTGAAGCAAGGATGGAGAGAAGCCGGACCTAAAGGTCTTAAGCGGAAAATAAAATCGTATCCTAACGAATTATTCACCGGCGACCTAGGCTTCTTAAAAAAGAAAATATAGTTTACTACAAAGGCAGCCAACCCCTCTCACGGTGTGAAAACCGACCCCTCACCAGACCCGTTTATTCCATGAGCCATATCCCTGTAACCATTTAGCTAGATCTACCCGAAGCCTTCGAACCCGGCATAGCGTTGGCCAGTTGGCCAACAAGTGGGGCGACCTCACTCTGTGTCTGTGGCATGTATGTACAGAGTAACCCACAGAAAAGATCTTCTCACTCTTTCCTGTCCTGGGAAAAGCCACGTCTCTTTGGCCAGTATATTTAGAAGTATAAAATGTGCCGTGCAGATATGAATATGGCTAAACGCCCACGGAGATCTCCTCGAGACGAGAACCTACACTGTACGCTTCGTGCACACAAGAGTGGAGGGTTTGAACTAGTTCCCACACTTTGACCCCCTTGTCTACCCAATGCCCTCCATTGGGGTCCATCCAGGTGGCTGGATACAGAAAGATCGTCTCCACGGTTTGGTACCAGGGTAAACTGCAAAAAGTCTCCATTGGTGGTCCGTGGTAAATTTTCCTCGTTACAACAGGAATGGAAAAGAAACAACTATAACGGTTTTATGCGATACAAGGTCAAGAAGCAAAACGAACCGTGCTAATAGTTTACGCACATCCATTGTTCTAAAAAACAACGATTTGAACAAAGGGAGGGAATTAAATAAGCGCTCTTTTCCCAGAATTCAACCCGCGTTGCCTTGAACTGAGCCGCCATTCTGCAGCCTGCAGCAGCCCCCTCCCTGTCGCCCGCCCCCCAGGATCCAATGAATTCTCCTCATTCCTCAGGTTAGTGGAGATCAAGACATGCCAGGCCACGACCGCCCATGTAGACGAGCATGTAGGGACTAGCGCCCTCCAGGTGGGCCGGCGTTTGCCGTCCCCCTCTTCGCCCCCGGGGCCTCCTACCTCAGCGTTCCCAGCGCTTGAATCCACCCACTAGCTTCGCTGAATTCTTGCATCTCCAACATCCAATGACACAATTCCGAGAAACCCCTGCATTTCTCCCTTGGCCTTGCTTCACCACCCCCTCCCTTTAAGCTCTTGTCCTGTGTAGCCTTGGGTCACTCGATAAACGATGGCTCTCTTTCCCAACCCTCCAATTTCACCCCTGGTACCCGCCCATCCACGGATCGGTCCGTTGGCCAACCCTCCAACCCTCCCTTAGAAGCACTGCGTGGTCAAAGCATGTTGTTTTGTTTTCTGCATCTCATATGCCTTTCTGCTTTTCAGGAAGCGCTGACGACCACAGATAGAACCAGCGCATAGCCCTGGGGGGATTGATTGGAAGGGCAAAGTCAGGAGTAAACGGGATACGGAGAAAGTTAAGCGAAAATGTGTAAAAAATAAAGAAAATAAAATAAACATACAGTTCTAATATCTCGAGTATTCAAAGAGATTAGAATTGGACTCTCAAGAATTCATAGGCTTGACTTCGCCCTGCCTGCAAATGCAGTTTCATATAAGAACCCTTAGCATGTAGCTTATCACCCAACCTGGGACTGTATTGTCGCTTTCTCCCCACTCTCTTCCATTTCGCTCACCGCATGTGTTTTTCGTTTCGAATTTTCCTTTCCATTGCCTTGACAAGCCTCCATTCCGTCCTTTGCCCTCTTGCCCTTTCCCACTTTCACTGCACTCCATTTTTCCTATCTTGTGCTTTTTGCACCGTTTCCTTCTGAAGTTTCCCCTGCAGCGGCTTCGCTGAAACGAACATACATACTTCTCCGGGTAACCAACCACCTACATATATCTATAATTTTGTATACCTATTTAGTCAAACCGGTTTCGTCTGTCTCGTTTCATCCTTCCTCCCAACGGTTCTCGCTCCCCTCCCCGCTGCCCCGTTTTCTCCAGCTTACACAGGCCGCTGCATATCGCATACACATAACGCATAACAGAACGCCATCCCCGTTCCTCTCCAACCCACTGGCCCCCTTCTTCCTTGCTGGCAGTTGTCCCCTCGTTCGCTGAAACATAGAAAGGGCGCGCGCGTGCCTCCTAAAAACAGAACGGAAGCTAAGGACCAAGCAAAATAAAAAGTAGCAAGGATAAGCACAAGAGGCGCCTAGATATCCCTAGAAGCTTGGTACTCTTCGACTCTCTCCCAGAAGGTAAATATCAGCTTTCTTTTCTTTTTTCTTTTTCTTTCTTTTTTCTTTTATTTTTTTTTTTTTTTTAAAAAAAAAAAAAAAATCAGGCGCGCAAAGAATTTTGTTTCGTTTCATGTTTCAACGATAGTTTTTATTTTTTTTCTTCTGTAACTTTTTTTTAATTTATTTACTTTATTTGTTGTCGAAACTGGTGTGGTGTGGATGCCTTGATATACAGCCTTGCTAGGATGCCGTGCGGATTTCTTTAAAACCCTTCCGCGCGGACGCACAAACACAAACCAATCCATTATCCAGAAATCAAGCAAGAGAAAAAGTGACAACAAGGCGACAGAAGGAAGGAGAGTAGGGCAGACAGGTGTCGGGACAAACTGGACTTCTGCTAACCATCGTTGAACGTTGGAAGTTCCTTCTACAGGCCCTTCACGTGGTTATTCTGTCTGTCGGCCTGGTCTCTTGTTTGTTTCCCTCTTTCTTTCTTTTCTTTCCTTACACTCCCAAAACCCACAGTTTATTGCACGGTCATCCTCGTTGCATAATATATCTCGTATCACCGGTCGTTTAATTTACCAGAATCTTTTTCTGTTCACCCTTTCCCAATCCCATCTACTCCTCCCCCCTTCTTGTCGATAGCAGGAAGATACATGACGCCGGCATAGACAAAGCAGGGAGACGATTCGTTCTATTCCTTCATGTATAAATATATTGTGGATCACTGTTCCACGACTTGTTAGACCTCGGGCTTCACTCAGAGAGCATATCCTGACAGCTCCCTCACTCGTTGTGCTCGAAGCTGAAGCCTCGATTTTTTTGTGTCCTTTTGGTTGTGACCTGATACGAACTGAAATGCCGAAACAGACAATCCCCCGAGGATCTAGACGATCTAGGCCGTACCCTGACCCGAAATCGAGAGCGGCAATGATGTCCACAGCCATGATGCATCAAACGCGAACACCTGCGGCTGCAGCAGGAGCAATCACCCGCCATTCTCCAGCATGGGAGGACCGAAGTTCCCCTCGCACCATGCCACCACCACGCATTTCCACGTTAGATCGTCGAACCATTCCCGAACGGCCTGAACGCGCAGTGCCTGCTTCTCCCGCCACACCCTCCACGCCAAGTCAATCTGGACCATGGTCACCACAAGACGATGAGATTCTCATCTCTGCTCGTGCCCAAGGGCTTGGCTGGAACCGAATCCAGGAGCAAAGTTTCCCATTCAAGAGCTCTAACGCGTGTCGGAAGAGGCATGAGCGGCTCGCAGCGAAACGTCGGGGCTCTGAGTGGGTAGACGAACGAGTCCAGAGAGTGACAAGGCACTACAACCAGCTGAGGCCCGAAATTTGGCGACCACTAGCAGAAGCCACAGGGGAACATTGGGAGGATGTAGAAAAGCTTGTAAGTTATCCCCAGTCCCCTTTCTAAGGTGATCCGCATCCTGCCTTCCTCCCGGGACACCGCCGGCAAAATGTGAAGATGACGAATGTTGGCACTAACTCGGAGACCACATAGTGTTTGGAACGTGGCCAGCGAAATCTTCTGCCCATGACAGCCCCAAGCTCCTTGAGGAGAGCAAGCTCCGATAACGAGAGTCGAGGGAGTCACGATAGTCATGATGAAGAGAAGTTAAAGATCCCCAACCTCATACGATGAAAGTTACACCAGACGCTGCATTCCCGATGGGATTAAATGGTATAATGCTTGGGTGAGTTAGACGTGTGGTGGTTGCTAAATTTGTAGTTAGCGGGTCCTTCATATTCAGTTTTTTCACGCATCCTAGTCAGCTTGCATCGGGTCTGCCATTTGCTTTTTTCCCTCTTTTCTCTTCATTTTCTCTTCGGTTATTAATTTGAGTCAAGATGCATACATATGTGGCCATCTCTTGGGCTATTGCCCAAGATTAAAAAACATATGAAGGGGTATTGTTAAAGGAGTATGTGCCGAGTCGTGGGATTTTGTCTGTCAACGCACTGATGCGTTTCTCCTAATATCGTTTCATTTTTTTCCTTTGTTGAATTTTTAGACGATTTTCATTGGTTTTGATCCGTATGTTTTCCGTTTTAGTTCCTTATGAGTTGTCCTTTCTCCTTCTTACCAACTTTCCAGTATTCCAGCTTCCCAATGTATTTCCTTGCGTTTTTATACAGCCTTATACCTTTATAAAGTCTCTTTTTCCATATCCAAAACGCACAACTCAAGAAATGGAACGAAACGGGTTGGAACAAAGAAAAGAGGCATTCATCTGTGAATTTATCCCCAGTAATGATTTCTTTCTCTTTTTCCTTGAGGGTGTTAGATGGAGCCGGATTTTATCCAATCTCCCGGCCCTAATATACCGCCATCCTCAGCACGAGCGTCAAGAGACCATTTCCGTAATGGCCGACATAGAAGATCGGAGCGCCACCCAGCTTCAAACATTTCAATCCCCGCCCACCCAATCATCGCGGCATTGTCAGTGCAAAGATAGGGCGGCGGAGCAATAACATCGACATCTGAAAATCCACGAATGTCGAGAAAAGAACGGAACAGCCTCCTCAAGAACCGATTAGCACCAACTCCTCCGCTAATGACAAGGTGTTTCACATCCTCAAACTTTTGACTTTCGCATGTTTGGTCTTGCCGCTGTTCCCTTTGTCCTTGCTGTTGTTGTTCGCGTAAGTTTTGCAGAGCAATCATTGTCCGAGACGCTAGATGTTCGAAACACACTGTCATAAAGGTACGCGCGATATCCATCCTCTCGTCATTTGACATGAAGCCATCTCCGGTATTGCCCGCAGCTTGCCATGGATCTCGTTTGTTGGAGATAATAGTTTGAGCCTGAGATGCGACCCCTGAAAAACTAAATTCCAACTTTCTGGTATTGGCAAACGGCATGGGAAGTGACCATCCCCACCGATTATCCTTCGATTTCATGACTTCCTCCATTCGTGTTCGTGGAGGTTGGTAGTCTGCGTAATCGCTAGGGCCATCGGGGAACGCAAATGTTTCCAACATTTTTCCGTACATCGTAGTATTCGACTGCTCCAGGAACGACTGGGGCAGAAGAGATCTGGCAAGTTTATCCAGAGCATCTCCAATGGCAATGTCAGATGTGGAAGCGAGTATCTCATGATCCACTATTGACCTCGAGAGTACAAGCAGCGTGTGTCCTCCAGATACAAGAATGGACATGAACGGGAAATTCGGCCTACTGCTAGTTCCTGTATCTGGCTTCTCTCTAGCTGTTGTTTCGCCATGCTGTCGTTGCTGGAGAGAAACTGCCAAGCGGGGTGTAAGAAGGTGTGCTTGCATATGATGCACGCCGACAATGGGAACCTGCCAGGCCACCGAGAGTCCCTTAGCCGTATCCAGACCCACGGATAGATTCGATCGCATTCCTGGGCCCCTTGTAACTGAGATGAAATCAGGCTTCCTTCGTAATAGCGGCCCGTCCCCACGGGCGGCAGAGGAGGCAAGGCTGATTATCCGTCCCGCATCATTCGCGCCCGTAAGCTTAGCTGCAGGCAAATACGTCAAAGACTTATTGACCAGCTTTGCTGTATGCTCCTGGTGGGAATCAAGAGCCACGACAGGGTGGATGCCGTGGTATTTCCTCGAGTCCGCTGTGATGTTTTCCAGGAAATGGACGGTAGAGCTGGCGGGGATTGACGACGATGACGACGATGACGATGACAGCTTGCCATGCTTCTCGACAATGGCCACGGATGTGTCATCGCTGAAGAAGTTTCAATCCGTGGGCAAGGCATTCAAGCTGGTCAGCAAAACGTTTCTTCCCTGACATCGATCATGGTTCAAAGAAAGGTTATAGGCATCCCATGTAACATATGTAACCTACCATGACGATTCGATGGCGAGAGTGAGAAGATATCGCCGGTCAGAGATGGAGTGACTAGAGAACAATTTACGACAGCACAGTCCCCGCAATGGTTGCCGGAGAAAAAACATTGATTGTGTTGCTGCGAAAACAAAAGGAGTGTAAGGAGCGGTTGGGCACGAATGGCGATGGGCAGCACAGCAAGCAAGCTTTTTGGTTCTTTCGAGTCCGAAGAAAGTTTACCCAAGGATCTGCAGGAACCAATCACTTGGGCGGAACGGGTTCTTACATGGAATAAGAGAGACAGACAGCCCGCCAGAACACTGAGATTGCGCATTATCTTCTTCCTTTTAAGAAACTCTCCTGCAAGTTTAATTTGTTCTTATGTCGAAAGTTTCGGGAGATGCATCCTAAGAGTTGTTTTAAAATAGCTTCCCAGCGATTTTATCCAAAGTTGTCACTATTCCCCCCCCCAATCCCCAAAGTAGATACTCACGTGAATTCTTTCGCATGCACGGTATCACATACAAGGTGGCACAACTTAATTTTTAGTTTGTGAAAGGACAGGATCGTTGCTATTTTATCCAATTTTCAATGTTACACCCTGAGGATCCAGGCAGGCATCGGACAAGTAAAAGAGCACGATCCAGGATCGTGAAGAAATTTTTTGCAAGGAAGTCCCTGTCTAGGCTTGGAACATCCAAATGTCCTTCCTTGCAAGCGCTAGAAATTTATATGTTACGGTAAGTATGGTACGCACCCTCATAACAGTTTGGGGTTTTGGGTGGGGGAGGGGGAAGGGTTGGGAGGCTTGGTGCCTAAAACTTGGCGGTCAAGTTAGGCACCAAGGCCACATCAGTATTGAGATTTCCATTTAAATTTCTGTACCGGATTTACAGAGAACAACGAGTGTGCTGCTTGGCTTTCACCGCTTTGCCAGCCCTTCCCAAAAGCTTACATCAGAGCTACGCAAGAAAGCAAACCGTTACAATGAAACAGACCATGAAATGAGAAATAATTGTCAATATTCGCTTGGGAGGGAAAGAAAATATCCGAATCAAAAAAATAAATAAAAGTTTAATTTATCCGAAACGAAGAAAGGTTTAAATCAATAGAGTTCGTGAGGGGCATAAATTCCGAAAAGGCATACATGTCTGCTGCTTTCATTTCCCTTCTCTAACACATCACAAAAATGTCCCAGCCACCACCCCTTTAATATTACTAAATATAGCTACTATATCTCCGCCTCGCAAACGAAGGAAATGTGTCCCCCTCCTTCCCCCTCCCGCCTCCCGGCTCCCGGGGCGCGGACCCTCTATTCTCCTGAAGCTGCTGCTCGCTCGCGGTGGGTGAAGCATCGAATTCCCGTGGTGTATGGTTTCATGGGTTTCAATTGAGCGAGTGGCCCCTGGCGCGTGAAAGAGGGGTGGCGGTCCGAGCATACAATTTATCCAGGGACAAAGCTCGCATGTCCACCACACTCAGACAGAAAGGAGAATTGAGTAAGCGGAAAAGAGACCCCACCCCCATTTTCCAAGAGGAGGAACGGAAACAGAGGGATACGACGGGGTCGCGCTGGATAAAGTCATATATATAGAAAGTCATTCAATTTTCCCAATACGGCGTTTTCTGTTATTTTTGCTTTGATATCATTTCACATCCGTCATTTAAGAGCGCAGCAGCCATCGTCGTTCGTCTCTGGACATCTTCACGTAGCCACCATAATAGTCATCTGTGTTCTCAATAGGGGTCACACAGTGGATGGTGGGCTCGCAATTGAACTGGATTCGCTTAGAAGAAGCGCCGCTGCCTGGAGAGCTGGAGCAGGAGCTGGCGCAGGAGCTATTCTTCTTGAGGATGCTTTTCGAAGAGGCAGAGTTGGCATATGCAAAGGTAGCTTGTTGTTGCATGGTGGAGAAGCCTCGTTGGTTGAGCTTTGTGTTGCGAGCAGTTGGGCTCAGAGGAGAAGGCGATAGTGGTGTCCGAGGAGACATGGTCATAGTCATGGCAACGGGAGATTTGAGGGATAGAACAGGACGTGATGTGTTGCTGGTCGAGGCAGCAGCGATGCTCAAAGAGAGCTTAGGCTTAGCGGCGCGTGCAGCGTACATTATGTCTGTGGTTGTCTGTGATCGTTTGAGGGTATGTTGAAGATAAGGGAACGCTTGAATAGATAAGAGGATAGATATAAAAATATATGCTCCTTCTTCAGCGTCGATCAGGGCGAAAATGAGTCGTCGACTCTGGCGCGGCCACGAGACAAGACCGAACGAATAAATAAAATGAAGACACGGAGGCCTGCTGAAAATAACCGGAGACCACTTCAAACTGAAGCGTAGAGACAGAGGATAAAAATAGAATAAATATTAGAGAGGCGCGATGATTGGGCCAGCCAATCAGTGCAAATTGGAATAAAAAATATGAGAGGAGGAAATAAAGAGAAGAAAGGGGAGTTTGAAATTCGAAACAGAGACTGCAGCAAAGAGAGCAGGACAACGAGGGAAACCTCAGCGGCTATATAGACCCTTGAGCTGCCCAGTCGCCCAGTTCGGGGGAGTTGGGGTCAAGGGGCAAAGGGGCAAAGGGGTGCAAAATAACGGTGGTTGGCTGATCGCTGCTGCAACCGCCTGGAAAGGTCCGGGATGCTGAGATGCTTGGACCCAGCCCTCCCTGTCTCGGCCAATAAGGCCCTGGATGTGCAGGGAGGGCGGTGGAAGCGCCCAACCAATGCATGACGACACATCGAGATCACGCATATCTCACGTTGTGGCCACTTGCGGATTCTTGGTCTGGTCTATCAGATGCCAACCCCACCCAACCTCGTCTGCTGGAGTTTGTGCACGGGTTGGACAAGCTGCATGAGAACAAACCGAACAACAGAGGAGGGCGAATGTGTGACCGATGTTGGTGATTTGGCGGTGATGGCGTGGTCGATTTTTTCAAGCCAGCCTTCGTTCCTCTCCGGAATGACAACAACTCAAGGTGCGGGGTAAAGTTGCGATGCTGTGGATCAGCAAATTGCACTGTACTTGGAACCGACCGGATTATTCAAATTTAAATCAACATGTGGAGCTCTCTAGCAAGAGTGCTTTTCGTCTGATAATTCTAAGAATCCATTCCGAACGTTTTTCTTTATAAATTCGAAAAGTCAGTGTAAGTTAGTTAACTTTCAATCAACCACTCGCTGATTGGTTAATTTCTACTCTGCCATCAGAGAAACCCGTTCAGAGTCTTTGGCTTGGCCAGTCATTTTAACTAAATCATATTCTAATAGCTTCAAAGATGACCGTATAAAGTTGTATAAAATGCTTGCAATTTTTAATTTTTAACTTTTTTTACTGCGGCCCTGAGAAGGCTTTTCAAGGGAATTGTATGGAAAAATAACAGGCGTGCTATTAAATCCAAAGGATAAGAAAATGTTGGCGGTTTGGATTGGCCCAGTGGCCTAGCAGAAAAGGGGTTTGCGGGTATGAGAAGCTTTATATGTCATACGGAAGCGGAAAGGTGGAGAGAAAGAAAATATACTCACTGGACATTAGCCAGGTGCAAATCCCATTAATTTGATTGTCAATACTCGAAGCTATACGTTGTAAAGTATGAATTTAAGTTTTCTAAATTTTGAGGGCTCTCGTTTAGATATTGAGGCCCTGACTTCAAACATACTACTAGCAGTCCACACATGATTTCAAAAAATAACTATGCTACTAAGAGCAAATAAGAGTTGGTGAGTCAAAAGGTTACCTCGATCTCAAAATAAATAAAGGGCCGAATCCATGAGTACAATAATGGCAGCGCTTGGGAATTGGGAGATAGTAATAGTCATAATCAGTTGTACAGCGCAGATATACCAACACCAGTAAATGTTAAATTGCTGTGATTTACACTTGTTTCTGTAACATTGCTTGCTTTTGCCTTTTGAAAAAGATAAATAAGAGTAAATTCCCAGGCGGACTTCCCAGATCTTGCTTCCCCCCAAATGCATGGAGCTAGCAAAAGTTTTTTGTTCCATGCGCAGGCGGAGTATTTCGATTGATTCTCAGGGCAATAATGGTTTGAGCAAGAGCACACAGCTCATGTAGCCAAGACCCATACCATTCCTAGTGTCCATACTAGCATTCATCAAATGTAAAAGTTCGGTGGCACTGTGTATAAATTTTTTTACCCTCTCAGATAAATCCGCTTCTGTAGCTATGAGAGTGAGATCCGGCCATTGAATCAAGAAAAAAATAACCAGGTCAGAAAACGAATTGCAGCGAGTAATACTTACTGATCTCATCCAAGTCATTGAATTAAAAAGGAGGTTAAGATTTTCGATCACTGACTGACACAACGTGCTTCATAATTGTTTGATAAAAGCTACTAGTAATGTTGAGAATGTGGAAAGTGAACTGGTATATCTCAAGCCGTTACAATTGAAATACGAGACATTAATCCTCTTAACCACATTTGAGGGGTCCAGGGTAGCTGGGGCTTAATTTACAATGGAGATAACTATCCTGGTCTTTCCTCCATTTCCTCGCGAGCAAAATAGATTTTGCCCCGCAACCTTACGCACTATTGATAGCATACAAGAGAAAATAGACTTCCCTATAAGCATGGAGCTTAATCTCGGATTTCGTTGCCTTGAAGTTCAGTAGAATGGATGGGTCAAAGCAACCCCTGCCAGCAAGGTTTCCTGCATTATTGGGATTGGGTTTGTACCCCTGCCAAGAACCATCAAAAAGACTCAACTTTGACGACAACCAGGACTATGTAGTCTCCCCTTTTTTCTCTTTGGCCTGCGGATTTTGCAAGGCGGGAGAGAGAGACGAGAAAAAATGTTGTCTTTTTGCCCCACTGGCAGTTTACGAGGTGTGGGATATCAGAATTGGCCGATGCGGGGAGGGCGGGTCCGAGCTGTGTAGCTTGTGCCGATAACGGCTCCTTAGGCTCTGCGTAGTGGGCAGCTAAGCTCGAGAACTCCAAACGATGCTCTCCGGTGAGCACAATGCCAGGGGAGATACTCTAGCTACGCATGGAGTCATCAGCCTCGATACATATCACGGGTATCGTAGAAAGAGAGAAAGCGCGTACTGGTCGCGGTCTTCAATGCAGGAACCAAAAAGCTTGTGTAGGGCTCGGGAGTGCTAAAAATAACTAGCCACGATGAAACCGAGGCTTCTTCCCTAACTGCACAAAACAATGCACGTCTTGTCCGCTGTGGCTAGATACGCCGTAACTCAGTAGTTAGTTAACTAGGTATATAAATAAGCCAATCTGACACAGTCAATCGCCTCATCGGCCTGGGACAAAACGCGGACGCGACCATTTTGTCACATGGTTCGCAGGTCCAGCCAACCCACCGCCCACGCCTTGCCCGATCCGGCCGCCGTTACCGGTGGGCCAGATCCGTTGAGTCAGCAATCAAACACCTGCTCCGGCAATTCTATTGGCTGGCCGCTGGTCAGCAGGCAAAAAAATCTGTCACCTTCAAAAAATGACAGTTTTATTTCATTTGGCCTTCCAAGCAAGGTTCTCGATCTCCTATTGCTCTCTGGTGTTTTTTTTTTGCAAGACCACCACATCCCACCGCTCACACGCACACTCATTCTCTTTGTGCATATTATTATGAATCGTTGGAAGTGATTTTTCATATTTCTTCATTTTCCGCTTTTTTGTTTTGCAGTTGGTTTAAGGTGTTGGTTTTCCAAGGTTGTTACGTTTCGACTTTCGTTTCTCCCCTGTTCACTCACTACTGGTAGGCTGGCTAGCTCTAATCTTGCCAGAACCTCTTAGCTGCATTCCTCGGAATCGCGGCTGTTGACCTTGTCGAAATACCCAGTTCGTTTTTTCTTTTGGCCTTTTCTTCAGCCTCACATCCTAACTCCAACAGCTCTCTCACCTGGATAGCTTCGTGGTACCGTGCATGAGTGTGTGAGTGTGTGGCTATCGTTGAGTTCCAATTACCAATTAGCCTGCTCACCCCACAAATCTTTCAATCATGGCTGGAGTTAAGGATAGTATAAAGGATTCCCTCAGGGGAACCATTGTGCCGGATCCAACCTTGCCAGTTACATCCCGGATCAGGGCACACTTCCACCATCATTCTAGAATTGATAGCGAGACAGAAGAGCGATATATGAACGAGGAGGATTTCATCAATGCCATTGCCCCCGTACATGAAGACTATGTAAGTAGTCTTTTTTATTTCCATGAGCTACGTAATCAGAAAAAAAACATCGATCCGCTGACACCTCGATTTTAATTCACAACCGACAGCACAAAATTAAACGCGAACAATACGGTATCCTATTCCGAGTTGCCGACCGACGAAAGACTGGCAAAGTAAACCTGCATGATTGGGCCGCGTTCGAGAATCTAATTGCCAAGCCCGATGCGGAATATGAGATTGCATTCCGTTTGTTTGACGTTGAGGGGACGGGCGCGATTAAATATGAGACGTTCCAAAAGCTATATAAGGAGAATACGGGGAGCGATAGTATCCCCTTTGACTGGAACTCGGAATGGGCATCATTGTATACAGGAACGAAGAAGCGACGGCATGACATGACCTACCCTCAATTTGCACAGATGCTCCGTGGCCTCCAGGGCGAGAGAATACGCCAGGCATTCCACCTTCTCGATATGGATGGGGATGGATACATCGAGCCGGAGGATTTCCAGCGTATCATACTGAAGACCTCCAAACACAAGCTTTCAGATCATGTGCTAGATAATCTACCCTCCCTGTGTACTATTAGCGCGGGAAGTAAGATTTCGTATGCAAACGTCCGCGCTTTTCAGAATATAATACGAGAGATGGATATGATCGATAACATCGTCCGCAGCGCCATCAGCAAGAGTCACGATGGCAAAATCACCCGCACCGATTTCCTCAACGAAGCCGCTCGCATAGCGCGCTTTTCTCTCTTTACCCCTATGGAGGCTGATATCCTCTTCCACTTTGCCGGTCTCGATACACCCTCGGGAAAACTCTCCTTAAACGATTTTGCGAAAGTCGTAGACGCTTCATGGCATTCTACAGCTGCTGCGCTCGGTAATGCTGCGGTGGAAGGCGCCACGCAAGCCGCAGACAAGGCCACTACCAAATCGAAACAGGTCCTCCATAGTATCTTGGAGTCGGTGCATCATTTTGGTCTGGGCAGCATTGCAGGTGCCTTTGGTGCATTCATGGTCTACCCCATTGACCTTGTCAAGACGAGGATGCAGAACCAGAGAAGTGCACGTGTCGGAGAAAGGTTGTATAGCAATTCGATCGATTGTGCGAGGAAAGTTATTCGGAATGAAGGTGTTCTTGGCTTGTATTCGGGTGTGGTACCGCAATTAATTGGCGTTGCCCCTGAAAAGGCCATCAAACTCACGGTAAACGATCTGGTTCGCGGGACGTTCACGGACAAGCAGACAGGGAAGATCCCATTGCCGTGGGAAATTTTTGCAGGTGGTGCTGCTGGTGGATGCCAAGTGGTATGCTTATTGTTTATTTTCTTCGTTTCCTTTTTTTGTCTGTTGCTAAGTTTTACAATTAGGTTTTCACAAACCCCTTAGAGATCGTGAAGATTCGTCTGCAAGTCCAAGGAGAGATCGCCAAGAGCGTTGAGGGTGCGCCACGTCGATCAGCCATATGGATCATCAAAAATCTGGGATTGATGGGCCTGTACAAAGGAGCTAGCGCCTGTTTACTACGTGATGGTGAGCAAAAATAATAAAACTACTACTTTAATGCAACTATCTAACCGGCAAACTCCCAGTGCCATTCTCCGCCATTTATTTCCCAACCTACGCACACTTGAAATCCGACTTCTTTGGCGAATCCCCCACAAAGAAACTAAGCGTAATCCAGCTCTTAACCGCCGGTGCCATCGCTGGTATGCCAGCCGCCTACCTCACGACACCATGCGATGTCATCAAGACGAGATTGCAAGTCGAAGCCCGCAAAGGCGAAACGAAATACACCTCCCTACGCCACTGCGCGAAGACGATAATGAAAGACGAAGGCTTCCGCGCGTTCTTCAAAGGCGGCCCGGCACGTATCTTCCGCTCGTCGCCGCAGTTCGGATTTACGCTTGCTGCCTATGAGGTTCTGCAGAAATGGCTACCGCTTCCGGGCAGTCATGCAGAAGAAGTTACGCCCATCGGCCACATCGAGCCGGGGTTGGGTCAGCGGGCGACAGGGCCTCTGCCGTATATCCGGTCGCGGAACGCGCTGAAACTCATTCTTGATTTGGATGAGAATTTTGGCCGGATCAAGGTGCCCAAGGGCGCGGCGTTGCCTGGTGGTGCTGCATGAACATGATGAAGCAGACAGAGGTGTGTATGTTGATCCACCTCTCCATGCCGTGTTTCAGTATCTCGAACCGCTTTCTTTCTTACTTCCCCTTTGCTCGTAAGCCTACTTTGTGCATTCTCTTCTCGCCTGCCCTTGGTTTGGCTCTTCGTATCGATCAACCACACTGACCAGGCTACGCAACCAAGCAGTGATCCTCCTCTTGCTGCCCCGTCCCCTAACCTCATTTCACCACCGTCTCTTTGCTCAAGTTTTTTGCCATAACGCCATAGATTTTGTTTATTAATTTTATTATTCATCTAAATCTCTTAGTCGACCTCCTTTCTTACCCCAGCGGCGTCGTTGCATACTTCCCATTTCACACATAAATCCTCTAATGAAAAATCATTTGCTTGCATTCTCTTAGATGGCCTTTCCTTTTAAGAACGACATATTCGTTTTCTTTTTAATTTTTCATCTTAATATTGCCTTCATCCACATCTCGATTGTCTCTTTTTTGATTTTTCCCTCTGCCTTTTTTGCTTTTCTTTTTGGAAAACTAACAGGATGTCCCTTACATAACCTGCTCCTGACCTATTTTCGTCTTTGTTTTTAGCACATCGCCCGTTTTTCACGGATAAAAGAGAAATACAATCGTATCGATAGAATGATAGAAAATAGAGAGAGGGAGGGAGGGAGCGAAAGAGCGATAGAACAACTCACACCCCCTTTAATCACTAACCACAACACTAACATCCATTTCTTCTCTCAATTTCTACTTTTTATATTTGTGTTATCTAGACTCTAACTAGACCAGACTAACCTCCTTTACTTGCTGAGCGGATTTTTCTCGTATTGTTTTATATTTTGTACTTGTTATTTATCCGCCTGTGGCTTAACTTCTTCCTCTCTCTCCCCCCTCAATTCTTCCAAAATAAATCAAATATGAGGCTTTTCTGCCTTAAACTGAGCGTTAGATGGTCGCTTTCTAGGACATTAGTTTATTCATTTTCATACTTCTTTCTTGATGCTGCAATAGAACCATGGGATGAGAAAACAATCATAATGTGGGGTGATTTCTGTGCCCATGAAGCCCTACGGTCGAATCATTAATTGGTTTATTCCAGAGCATATGCGCCCCGGTTCGAGCGATGATCTTTCACAGATCAGACTAGGTTCTCTTATGTTTTAACACTCAGATGCGTATTTTTCTCAACTTAGAAACTTTTTTCTGTTCTCAGATCTTCTGAATCATAGTTCATATCTAAAAATATACAACAACTGAATCTTTAAGATTGGAAAGATTAAAGAATATATAATATACTGTATACAAAAATCCACTCGGTTAAATTAATTACTATAATAGATCAGTTGATTAAGGGATGTTAAATGAATACATATATCCCATGAGGTTTGGAGCTTGGTTTTTCACAACACTGAGCTTTTGTGGTTACGTCATGGCGCGACCTCCTTTTCTGCTGAATGAGGGGAATCACATAGGGCTGCAAGATGTTTAATCTACGGAATGGATAATGTCGCTAGTAAGATTTTGTATATTATTCACATCCAATGAATAATAACTGAAAGAAAAGATATCCCACATCAAGGCATCGCTCCACTTTCTTGATAGGATTGTTGCCAAACATATCAATAACAAAAGGTATAGTAGTAAAGTGGGCAATCATTATCATGCATGGCTACCATTACGCTATATATACTAAGCAACATATCTTCAGCAAAGAAAGGGGAATCATTCCATGAACCAATCCTGCTGTTCTGCATTTTAACAAACTCCTCATGCGAGATGAAACCGTGATCCAACCTAGTCCGATCCATGGAGGCGGGGAAAAGAGAAAAAGACAACAAAAGTTTTACCAATTTAGACCTCATCATCCCGAGAGTCGATCTCGTCTGGGGGAGGAAGGGGAGGGCGACCAAGAAAAAAGAAAGAAAGAATAAAAAGGAAACTCAAATAAAAATACCCGTTGTCAAACCAAGAATTGTCGCCACCCCAATCCCCAGCGCCGTCCGTCCAAGATATTTCTTCTTTTTCCTCTTCTCCCCGCCCTCCCGCCGCGCATGCACTTCGCCGTTCAACCGCTGGATATCGCCCCTCAACATTCTCCCACTCTCCTCCACAAGTCCAATCTTCCTGTGCAGATGCGCTTTCATCTCCTCAAGCTCCTGGCCGTACTCGAAATCCTTCCTTCGGAGTGCTTTATCCAATTCCTCACGCAGTGTAGTCAGTTCGCTAGCATACCGTTGCCTCTTCTCCCTGATCGCCGAATATAGTTCTCGACCTGCCGCCGTTTCGCTCAGTTGCTGGTCGTGTGTGACCATTTCACGCTGGATGTCCAGGGGTGCTATGAGGTGTTGGTTGTACCGGAAGCAGGTTTTGATAATCTCCTTCGCTGATGACCTGCTCCCGTCATGACGCATCATCATGCCTCCGTGGCCGAGGATGCCGCTCCAGTAACGATCGCGTAGTTCCCTCTCGCGACTTACCCCCTCCTCGAACGTGGGTAGGATTTCCCACATGTTCGTGATCATGATTGCATTGGATAAACCCTCTGCGCCACAAAGCTTTTTGAACATGCGTAGGCTGTGTAAGGCATGGCTGTCCATGCGCCTAGCTATTATGTCGTGTAGGTATATGATGCCGCCCAGCTTAATGTCGTTGCTGTAGATCTGGCAAAGGAAGTTGGCTATAGAGCTGAGAGTAGTGATGTCGCTTCTACTGGCGTTGTTGAAGCTTGGAATATCTACGAGGGCCACTCGTGTTGCCTGGTTAATTTGGTACGGGTAGATTTCGATGGTGTTCGTGCCTATGCAAGTCGAATTAGAGAAAAGATAAATCGGAGGGAAGATCAGACTGGTTTATTTGCGATGAATCTGATATGGCAAGGGAGTAAACTTGCATCCTTCGAGGCCGATAGAGTCACCCGGCCCGTCGGCCAAAAGGGAAATAAAAGTGCTTTTCCCTGACCCCGTTAGTCCCATTATAGGAATCACAATGCAATTTGGGCTAATATTTTTATTTCCAGGTTAGTGAATGGTCGAAGAAAAATGGGTAGTTTCTATGGAGCTTACCAGGGCCTGGCTTCCTCCTGCCTTTGGCGCAGCGCCAGGTTTGTACTTTCATTTTGACTTAGATTCTGGCTGTGATGTAGCGGCGGCTGTGGCAGTCTAGGAGGTCTACTGTTTTGAGGGGCTCCTGAAGGGGGGTTGTTCGATAACCATTCTTGACTTGACAACGGACTATGATGATACGGTGGGGGCGAGCGACGAACAGATGGCGCAGGAGAAGAGAGCCGCGATGACCCGACGAAGCTATACGGCGGGGGAGGGGGCTCGTGGCTGTTTAGCACGGACATGTTGAGGCTTTCGATCCGACCCCTGAGTTCAAGTTGATAACAGGCTGTGAACACTGCGGAAGCACACGCACAAGGAAACCTTCTAGAGAAAGTAGATAGAGCAGGATCAGAGACCTGATGAGATACTTTTTTTATTAATATCGTCTCCTGATGTGGCGCGCTTCTGCAGCAACGTGTAGCCTGCAACGCGGACAACCCTTGTTGGTCAGTTGAGTTGGCGCCCTTGGTTTCTGGCTCTCCTCTCCTTTCTAGCTATTCCCACGCCCCCCAACACTTAGTTTGAAAGATGATTCAAGTTTAGAAATGACCCTTTTTTCTTTTGTATGGTGGGTAACACGAAAAAAAAAGGCACAGTATCATGTTGTAGATGGCACAGCCACACTTTTCAGACCATGATGTGATGGCCAATAAGATGAGCAGTAGCGTCGGAACATCCTCAGCGCTGCAAACATGCTTGGAAGCTCTAACCCGCTTGCTTCATTGCGTGATCCCAATTCAATGGGATATTGACGTTCGCATCATGGAAGGATTGATAATCCAAATACCAGTGAGGGGCAAAAGACTAACTTGCGCGCTGCCATCGACCTTTACCACGAAGGAGTTCTCTCGGGCCCTTAACGTCCAAGTTGGTAAGGTTGTTGACCCCCAAAATGTTTTCCCCGGGCTCCTGGCATATATGCTTAATGGTCCTGATCTTCAGGGGTACTAGTATGTATTACAGCTGTCCACATGGGCTGTTTCTTCTGCTGATCTGACCTTCCAGTATAAATTCACGAACCCTCAGCAGCCCTTAAGCCAGCAGCAACTTGCCCATCGGTGACGTACGGCGCTCATCTAGAAATCGGAGGCGGGCACGGGATCATCATTTCCTAGATTGCGTGCAATTTTTGTTAACACTTATTGTTAGCTTGAATATTCGCGCGGCTTCGCCCTGCTCCTAGTCCTGGGTCGCCGTCATATCATCCCGTTGGCATCATAATGCTCAACGACACGGGCAGCACTGCTCTAACAGTTTTGACACAGATCTGATTGCATTGGACGTCTCTGCAGATTATTAGCGATGATATATCTACCAATGATATATCGATGTGGATATGGCCCGCTGGTTTCAAGAGCCACCGCAAGTGGAATCATCTAGCGACGTCGGATCACACTTAAAAATACAATTTGTTAACTCTTCAATGGCTTCCTTGTCTGGTGAATTCTTTTATGATCTCTCCCGAAATTGAGACTGAACATACTGTACACTGTATATTATATAATTTACCCTTTTCTCTCTGAATTCTTAACACCGTAGTTTGCTGCGTTTTATGCATGAATATACCTCTCTACCACCTCTTTTCTTTTTCTTTTCTTTTCCTCTTTTTACGGCTACCACAAGCTGCGTTCTCCTGTATTGTCCCACGCTGTAGCCTGACGACAGTATACCGAACCCTGCAGAACCTGGACATATCGGTTGTTCAGCCCTTTGGTATTTAGAACTCATGCAGCAGCGTTGAAGCTAATAGTAATTAACCCAGAGCCTTCTCGGTGCCTTTCTAGTTCTCTAGTTATTAGCTACATATGCTGGGGTCCCGGACAGGTGAATCAGCATAGACGAAACGATGCAAAAGTGAGTGCGTCAGGTTCAACATCAATGCTCAGTGCCCGAGCAAAACCCGAGGCTTATTCCATGGAGGCGGTCTGGATGAGTGAGGTGGTGGTAGGTGCAACGGGGCCACTGGATGGAACAGGCCAAGCATGGTCAGGGATGTAAGTTGAATTTTGCGTGTCAAGCAAACATAATGATGTACGGGCTGCGCTAGGAACATGTTTCTGACTAGTGGGGAGGTATTTTGTCTGAGATTATTTCGGGAGCAAGGACATTTTAAAATTTGTAACAAGGTCGATGTCGAATTCGTATACTAGTGTGGGACGGAATGTTTAGAAGAAACTGGACGGTCGTTGAGGCTTGCTCCTTTCCGCAGTAGATACATCATTAGAAGTGGTTGGTTGATACTTGGTTGTCTCACCCGGTTCCCCATGCTGTTGCGTAGTTGACTGTTGGGAATCATCAAGATCACCATCGGATTTTGATGCATCTCCGCGTTGCGTCCGCTTCGACCTGGAATGCCATAGGGATTCTTCCTGCTCAATTTCTCTCAACACTAAAGGATCCAATCAATTAATATTGGTTTTCTTCACATATATCAAGCAGTATAATTACCTTCTTCCCACTCCCTTTCTTTTGCTTCGTCCCCGGTTCCCAATAGTCTCTTCACATCCACATCTTCCCCCTTCTGAATTCGCTCGATAACTTCTTTCAGCAGCCGCATTTTCGCATCTGCACTCCGGTTATAATTCGCACACTCATTTCGGAGCATAATCATACGAATTGCCTGAGAGCCGATGAGAGTGAACATGATTACATAAAATGTAGCTGGATTAGGCGCTCTAGATTTTCGGCCTGCGGCCTCTGTCCCACGCCAATTCCCGTTTCGAAGGAATTTCGGAACCAAAGAGGTCCACATCGAAGGTTCCAGGATCTTGGGAACTACCCGGCTCGTTGCAAGACATCGGAGTTGGGAAAGATGCTGGGTTGGCAGACTGGATCGGAACAGGATGGGATTGGGAGGATTTGTGCGGCAACAATGCCTCAATAATAAGGATCGGGAGGACATAGTAAAATATGATTCTTCCACTGTAGAGAATGAATATTATCTTCTCAATGTTGGAGTAGAGAGGGAAAATGGGATAATGTCAAAAGTCGTAGGTCAATATCAGAAGAGAAAAAAGACGCTAAACCCATTGGAGATTTTTTGCAATATGGTTGCTTATATAATCACTTTGGTTGCCCGGCAACCATTAACTAGCTAGCTAGACCAACTTCTGCAACTCGCGGCCATCATCGCGGTAGAACATGGAACATGGCCAACTTCATTGACAATATCGGTTTTAGAGCGCACAAATGGATGAAATAGCTCGTTCCATGCGCACTCTGGAAGTGTCCGTGAAACAAGCTGTCAAGTTTCCGTCTACATGCACCAGCGAGACAACGTTATTGCTAAAAAAGCTCCTCTCCGCGAACTCCGCCAGCACCAATGCCCACGATGAAGCACGCAAAAGTGCCAAGTCAACGAGACGACCAAAACAATCAACAGGGCACAAGGTTGCCAAATCAGTCCGGGCCAAAACTCCTGCTAAATATGTTCCACTCAAAACATCACTTGGAACAGAGGATGGGCTCTCGCAGAAAGAGAAGCTTGTTTTAGCCACGGACGTATTCAATTCCGCGTCAAAGGCACTTTCCGATTATGTGAAGCTCTCCTCAAAGTGTCAAGAGTCTCGAGAACCCCGGAAAAGCAGAGTTGACACTCCACAAAAGGCGTTGACTCCTAGACGGCCACTGCAACCTGTCTCGCCGAATTCGACCACATGCTCTCCCGTAAAGACGAAAGTTATAGACAAGTCTACGCCGAAAACGAGAATTCAAAGTTGTGGGGTTGTGGAAGTTGCGAATTGTGCTAGATTGGCGTTGTCATATGTTCGAGACCAGAGGCCACCTCCCTCAGTGGAAACCCTGCAATTCAATAGCCAACTAGAGCAAGGTTTTTGCGTCCTGATCGGGAAGCTTCTTGCTGTTGGTCTGATTGAACCCGCAATAAGCGAACTGAGAAAGCTGAAGAGGAGGATAAAAGGATATATGATGAACGAAACATCGAAAGGGAACCCTGAGCGCGCGACGAAACACGCCAACACCGACCAGTGGGACGAACCGTCTAAGGAAACACTAGCAGAACTTATCCTATTTGACAGCATACCTTCTGATAGACAACTCCTGAATTTAGTCATTTCGTTTCAGGCTCATGTTTTAAAGGCCATCACCACTGAAAAGAAAGTGGCCATCGTGAATAAGCTTTCGGATCTACTTTTGCTGTCACAACCAAGCAGTCCTGCTAGTATTATTCTTACAGCTTGGAAAAAAGGCGTTTTAGAAAACAGCAAGGCGGCACAGCAGTTATTATCTCTTTCGCACACCGTCCTTTCCCTCTCTTCACCGTCGCCAGATACCGAAGATGGAAAACGTCACCTTGCAAAACCTCCCATTAAATATAAGGCTACTTTGAATCTTCAATTACTGGCATTGGAAATACGATGTGTATGGTGGAAGATTTGTGGACACAAGTGCGATATGGAGAAAGAGTTGTGGCAACCGCTAGCTCGTTATCTCACGACATTCTCCAAACGATGTCCGGCCATAACAAAAAGCGATTTTGAGTTCGTGAAGCAAGCTTTCCTACGCCTTGAATCAACAGTAACGGCACAAGGATATATTTTCATGCCCTCTGCCAACAAGGTTGGCCCCGTATCAATAGTGATGAAAGTTCTCGGCCAATTAGCACAGAGTGCTGAATGCAAACCCGACGCGCTGAAATTTTTCGATGACTGCATTTCTTCTCTCACGTCTGACCAACCGCTCCTCCTTGGTATTTGCCATTGCAAAATCGCTCTTTTACGATTGGAGATGTTGCACATTCCGAAAATTGGCCGCCCATCTAAAGCTGTCTCAGCAGTGTCGGAGGCGTTGAAATGCTTGGCATCTCCTTTAAAGGGGAATCAATCTGATCTAGAGGAGTTAGTTATAGAATCAGCAAAGCTTAAGAAGGCAGCGATGGCTTTTCTGAATACACTCGGCGAAGATGCCCTAGACGAAAATGAAGGTTTCTCGGGGCAAAAGACTCTAGCGCTTTACATCATTGATTATCTCCACAATTTCGTGAGATTCTTGACTCGTTACATTGGACAAGCGGTCCCAACTCATTCGGATTCTGGAAACGATGCCAATTGTTTATTTCATCAACGGTTTCTGAAATGCAAAAATATTGGACTGGCAGCTGTTGATTCGGTTGTTGCGGTGGGGAAAATATCAGTTGTCACCAAACGCCCGGCATGGGCCGATATCCAACCTCTTTTGTCCGATTGCTACACTCTCCTTCAATATCTACATTCTGCAGAGAGTGTTGAGAGTGCAAATGATTATACTGATCTAACATCCGCCAGTTTCGTCAAATTATCTAACCTGTACTGGTCCCGCTATGTCAAACAAAAAGAACTTGGGGCATCGTCTGCTGATCTCATCACCCTATTGGAGCGGTCAACAAGTCTTCTGCGGACATGTCCACCCGAAAACAAAGCGGGATTTGTGGCTATCAAATACGAACGGCTAGCGACTATGTACTCTGATGTTTCTCAATTCCAAAATTCCCAAGCAGCGTATCGGTCTGCTATTCAGGCTCATATAAACAGTGGTGTTTTGAAAAGCACGGCTCGGAATGCTGCGACCCAACCACTATCTTACATCCTTCAGGATCCTACTTTTTTTTTGGGCCGGGTTTTGTCGAGCTATACTCGGTTCTATTGGAAACATGGTTATGATCCTTGTGAAGCGGTTTTTGACGATGCGAATCTGGAATCCGACGAGAGAGGAATCTTACTTGAATGCCAAGTTATGGCACTTTTAGATACATCTTCAAGTGGAGAATCACATTCGAGGATATCGCCGTTATCCTTTTTAGTTTCGGCTTTACTTGATCGATATCCACGAAAAACTTATCCAATAAGGCGATTGCGAGTAGTCCTTCACACTATCCGCTTTTGTTTACAAGTTCCTACTCAATTTAGGCCCGAACTTCTTGAAACGATCCTAGAAGAAGCAAACTTATTTTTATCGGACCAACTCGACATCGGGGAGGATTCCGGCCTCTTCTTGTTCAAGGAATCCATGCTGACCTCTCTCCGTCTAACCTTGGGATTCTTTCACGGAGAGCTACCTCCCGAAAACTTGCAGGTAATCACTCACGCTTGGGCTGCAACTGCACAAAGTTGCCGGACATGGGAGTCTTTACTTACAAAAGTCGATAACCCGGACGCTTTGTTCTCACAATTAAAAGTGCTTGTCACTTATTTGGAAGTGCTCGGCTTATGGAAACTTAGGATATCGGCGTTATCAACACTTCGACATCTGCTGGAGATTCAGCAGACAAAGGACTTTCCAGAGATGTTATCATGTTTGTCCCACCTTGGCCTTCAGTATAGTCGCCTTGGTTATCTTGACATGGCGGGGCCTATATTTAACTGTGGGGAGGACCTTCTCCGTAATATCGAAATTCCGCCTTTGGTATTAGCTTCATGGAATGTTGCGCTCGCGGAATATCTGATAGCTATAGGAAATACTGACCAAGCGTGAGTTTAACTGGCCCATCTCCCCTTACATTCATTATGCCGTTAATTTCCAACTGAGCTGACATGAACTAGAATTGACGCTTTGTCATGTGCTAAAGTCATCTTTGAACAAAATGCTAGCTGTGCATTGAATTCAAGCTTTCAGACTAGGCTAGCTTGGGAAAGATTGATATCTGAAGCTGCCTATATCTCTTCTCGAATATATTTCGAACTTGGATCCGTCAACTGTGCCATGTTTTTTGCCAGGTGTGCTGTTAAACTCAACAACAGAATATGGGCAAAATTAGACAGAATCTCGGAGATGAAGCGATGTAAAACCCTTGATACTTCCGACTCAGATATCGATGATCTCTCCAACAAGGTCAATGTGATCAGCTTAACATCAGATGGTGGCGGCACACGGGATAACTACCGTGAGGGCTCGTTGTATTGGCCGCTTTTTACTTCACATTACATCGGACTTGTCAACCTGTCCAGGCTTTCCGCTCACAATGGCCTTTTTCAGGATTGCATCTATTTTGGGGAGCAGGCGTTAAAAATTTGCAAGGCTATCGGCGCCACGTCCTCTACTTTCCTCACCCAGGCTGAACTGGGAAACTCCTGGCTCCGCGGCGGCCACGTTAATAAAGGCCATGAGCTATTAGATATTGCCTCGAGCGCATCGAATTCGCTTGATCAGAATCTAGATACGGTGGCTTTTCATATGACTTTCTCCCTGTTTCACCGGCTTCGGGGAAACCTGGAGGAGAGAAACAAATCGCTTCAGTTGGCTCATCAAACTTTATTGGATATATCAGGATATACCACAGCCGAACCAACAGACGATCTAGCTTTGGAGCCCGATTTTGAAGTAAAAATGAGCCAGCTGACAATAAAAACTACAAAACAGCGTCAAAAAGCCTCCGGTAGTCGGAAAACAAAGGCAAGATGCGCAAAAACGCTGGAAAGCCCCCCTGCCAATTCCAGAGTTCCAACTGGTTCGACTGGCGAAACCGCACTCCAACCGCTCTCGTTTTCACAGTTCCGAGTTGATTTGCTAAATCAGCAGATAGCGGATTTGTTGTCGAGACAGGATTTTGCGGATGCGTCTGCCCTTCTTGAACAGGCAGAGCGGCTCCCGAAATGCAAAACTCGTGAGATGTCTTATATGATCACCAAGGCGCAGTTCTTACTTGCCAATTGGATCCAACAGCTCACTACCCATGCTGTGTACTGTGTTCTGCCAGAATCTACAATATCCCTCCCAACAATAAATCTAACAAATGAAGTTGTGGAAGAAAAGCCATCTTCGACGGGCTCTCGCAGCACGAAAAGGCTCGTTCCGACAACTAGAACAAGAGCTGGGGCATCGACTACGAAAAGCCATACTCGGGCTCGCCCCAAAGATTTCGCTGACACGATACTCACAGCAAGTAGCTTACTTCCCACTATTGCTTCTTCCGCACCTGTTTACGGCTCAACCAACGACAACCACAGTATTTCGTACATTTCAAGCCAAATATGCATGGTGTCGCATGCAACATCATCCAAACTGGAAGGGTTCTCCGGCCCGTTACAGGCCGCAGTTTCGATAGGTATGTATCAGAAATATCATAATTAAGATGCGACCCATGCTAAAATAAGAATTATAAGTAGAAAACGGACGAAACTTGGCCTTCTTGAGAGAACATTCTTCTATTGCAATTGACAAAGAGTTGTGCGGCTCCGTTGAACCTTTGAAGTGGCCAGCTGTACCCAACAATTTCGCGAAATCCGATGAACTCAGATCCGCTGAATTTATGCTAGATTATGTGGATACCTTGCCAAATACGTGGAACGTCCTTTCTTTAACAGTAAGCGGGGACCATAAGGAGTTCATCATATCCAAGTTACGCTCTGGAAGGCCACCCTTTTTGCTCCGTCTTCCATTAAAAAGGGGAAACTTGGAGGAGATGGATGAGGATGAATTTGATTTTGGAGAAGGAAAAAAAGAACTCCTAGAAATCATTCGGCTAGCCAATGAGAGCGCACACAACGCCCGGGCCAGTATCGATAAGAGTGCGAAAAAGGAATGGTGGGCTACGCGCCAATCGTTAGATAATCGCCTGAGAGACCTCCTTAGCAATATCGAAACAGTTTGGTTTGGCGGTTTCCGTGGTATATTCTCACAGTCCCCACGAAATACTCCTCTTCTTTCCCGGTTCATCGACTCTTTTGGGAAAATTCTCGACAAACATCTTCCATCAAGAAGACAACGTGGGAGAGGCCGAGTGCATAAAACGAATTTCCACCGGGATGTTATGGAATTGTTCGTCAACATCGGGAATATTGACGACTGCTCAGATGCGGAAGACCTTGTTATGGACCTTTTGTATTTCGTTGTCGACATACTCCAGTTCCACGGGGAAAGGAATGCATATGACGAAATCGATTTCGATATGATGGTTGTTGAGACTCTCGATGCGATTCGCTGCTATAAGGAAAATGAGAAAAGGGATAGGATATCCACTCAGTCAGGCCACACAATACTCATTCTCGACAAAGAACTTCACTCCTTCCCATGGGAGTCCCTCAGTTGTTTGCGCGGATCCTCTGTTTCTCGAATGCCATCTCTACATCATCTGAAAGTCACGCTGTCAAGCCTCCAAGCCAACAATGATCTTGGAGAGCGGTTTGATGGATTCCGCATTGACCGAAACCTTGGCTCATATATTCTCAACCCTGGAGGGGACTTAAAATCGACCCAAAGTACTTTTGAAAATTCGTTGTTAAGCTTGGATGGGTGGAGCGGGATCACCAACCGAGAACCAAGTGAAGATGAATTCAAGGAATATCTGGGAAGCAAAGATTTGCTTCTCTACTTTGGTCATGGAAGTGGGGCCCAATATATTCGGGGCAGGACTATCAAGCGCTTGGATCGGTGTGCTGTCACCTTCCTCATGGGTTGTAGCAGTGGTTCGCTGACTGAAGCGGGCGAATTCGAGCCGTATGGGACACCGATCAACTATATGCATGCTGGGGCACCCGCTCTTGTAGCCACACTTTGGGATGTTACCGATAAGGACATCGACCGTTTTGCGCAATCCACATTCGAGCAATGGGGTCTCATGGACAAGGCGCCGGTTGAGACCAATCAAGCAAGCAAGTCTAAAGGGTCAAAGACTATGAAACCTCCTCTTCCCAGGCCAATGAAGCCGTCCCAAATGGGTGGTCTGGTAGGACTTGATACCGCAGTTGCTAATTCCCGAAGTGCTTGCATTTTGCAATATCTTAACGGAGCAGCGCCAGTGGTGTATGGTGTTCCGGTGTTTTTGAAATAAAGGGTTTCTCTTTGGTTTTGTTCGTAGAGCTTTATCACTTGTTTTTCTCTCTCTTCTTCTTCTTCTTCTTTTATTTTCAGTTTAACTTTTACTGCTTACATGTTTACTGATGACCATTTACTGTAAAGTTATTGATAGACACGGTTGCAAATCGGACATGGCATTGGAGCATAGCGGTTGATTTGTTGCATTGGCAAGCAGATAGATTATCCTTTTCGTTGAAGCTATTGTCATTTTCAGGTTCCCCTAGTATTGAATCATATAGATATTAATTCTTCGTACTGTTACTCTTGTGTAGCTCTTCAGAATAAAAACTCTGACAATGGTTTTGGTATATGTATGTGCCGTGCGAATTCAAATGCAGTTCTTGGTGAGGGGAATCTAGCTATCATAGGAAATTTGTTGGAGACTTACTAATCCCGCCCCGCTTCCCCGCATGACGTCTGTCCCACTCGGCAATAATATTGGGAATCAGTTAGCAGCATTCCTTGTTTCCCAGTAAAACTCCGAATAGCATTCCTCAATTGCAGCTAGCTGGAAATTTCTCTACATCTATCAATTAATTATAATTCCTTTCAACTGTATAACCAACTACCATGTCCGTCACAACCAAAGCAACAATCGCTTCCTTTGGTGGGAAACTGCTCAAGCTTGCTCACGATGCTACCACTACCAACTGCGAAATGACATTTAATCTCTATCTACCTCCACAAGCTATCCAAAACCCAAAACAGAAAGTTCCGGTCCTGATATACCTTTCCGGCCTCACTTGCACAGCGGACAACTGCTCCGAGAAGGGGTTTTTCCAGCATGGAGCTAGCAAGCGGGGGATTGCGATTCTCTATCCCGACACGAGTCCTCGTACGTGTGATTTGTGCTCAAACGTTTCTATTATGCTAATATATTTATCCTGATTTTCTGTCAGATATGATATAATCAAGAATTTGAACAATTGGCTAATTCTCAAATCGACTGAAACCACAGGAGGCCTAAATGTCGAGGGCGAGAACGACTCTTGGGACTTCGGCACAAGCGCCGGCTTTTACGTTGATGCCACCAATGCTCCTTATGATAAAGGATATAACATGTACAGCTACGTCACAGAGGAACTGCCAAAGACAGTATTTGCTGTTTTTGACCAATTGGATTCGACACGGGTCGGTATTACGGGCCATAGCATGGGCGGACACGGCGCGTTGACTTTGGTAGGTAGTCATTCCCAACCAAGCCCCTAGCTTTATCCGGGGAAACTTGAAAGGCAGAAAGATAGGCTTAGCATGGCTAATTTTTAAATTTTAAATTTTTACTATTACCCAGTTCTTAAAAAACCCAGGAAAATACAAATCCGTTTCTGCCTTTGCTCCCATTTCCAACCCGATCAATTGCCCCTGGGGTCAAAAGGCGTTCAAGGGATACTTGGGCAATGACGTTCAAAAATGGAAGGAATATGATGCCACTGAGCTTGTTAAAAAGTGGAAAGGCCCTCTTAATGCACTGATTGATGTGGTATGTACCTGATTTTTCTCTCTCACTTCTGGCCCATTGAGGCGTCCGTCTGTGGCCTTTATTGATCGATCTGCTTGATTTTGCAGGGTACTGGCGACGCTTTCTATGAACAGGGCCAACTGCTCCCGGAAAACTTTGCTCAGGTGGCCAAGGAAGCTGGTGTTGAGGGCATAAATATCCGGTACCAGGCAGATTACGACCACAGCTACTATACCATAGCGACGTTCTCGGATGACCATATTGAGCACGCGGCTAAGTACCTATTCGCATAATATGCTTATTACTTAGTCCTGTCGGGAAAGTGGCTATCTATCTCATCTGGTGAAATCACAAACGTTCTACCCCCCGTGACAGTGACAACGCTACGCAACAACCTTGAGCCATACCTAGCTACCAGAGAAATAGATTTTGTATATTTTCTTTCGCTTTGCTACAGCTGAGAAAAGTTGAAATGGTATTTCCCAGTTCTCTGCCACTACCGGTTGAATATTTGTATGAATTTGAATCTATACCTTTTATATTTGTCGTCAGCATCGCCACTCATCGACTAAATACGTTTCACTGCAACATTTACCAAAAGTCTTGCTATCTATTCAACATTGTCCTTGGTTGGCTTTAACCGTACTACCACCACCTTCATTTCTACCTCCACCCCCGCCACCCCGCCCTATCACCCCTATTACCACCTTAGGCTTCCCGGCTCGTTATCGACGAATTCGAGTGGTAACTCAAACCAACACTCAGCCCCCACTCCAGGGGGCCAACCTTCACCCCAACAATTATCACCGTCAACCTGGTATAAACACTACTCCATAAGTAAAGGGCTCAAACACTATCTATCTCCTCGCCCAAAACAGTCGCAAAAAGCAAACGAACAGGTATCTGCTCTTCCTCGGCTTACATTGGCATCATAATGTGGCATAAAATGGCCATATAAAATGGAATAAAACAAATAACGCGAGGAGGGGACGACGAATAAAACATGTTTCTTTCAAAACAAAGAAAGGAAAAGGAAAAAGAAAAGGAAGAAAGAAAGTAGTAATATTAAATGGGATCAACGCCTAGAATGCACATGCATCTGTAGGCCTGGTATCGTGGCCAAAAACATATAAAGGAAACATAAAGGGGAGGGGTGCGATTGGAGATGGGTTGAAGTATTGACATGAAGATCATCGTGTAGATTTTTGGGTGTAGATTATGATGAGTTAAGGTTAGATACATGACTTTCAGGTTTTAATATGTCATCTTCCTTCTCAGGATTGAAAGATGAAGAGAAAGAAGACGGAGGTTTGGTGGGGAGGTCGTTCAGGTTAAGAGTTAGGATATAGATAATAGGGAAGTTGTTGTATAGATAATCGTAGCGGGTAAGACAGTGGCAGCTTTCGTGATATCATGCGCTTAATCGTTGGATGAATGACTGCAAAGGGGATTCAGGTTAGATATTGTGTATGTCCATTAAAACGTTTTTTCGGGGTTTTATTTTTTATTTTTTTTTTTAGAAAAAATCATACCTGGAAAAATTGTCGGAATCCTTTTATATCTAGCTGCTCCAAGGATCCGACATACTCATTGATAAGATCTCCTCCCATTCCCATCTCGGGCAATTCTTTCCCTCTAAGCCAATCAACATACTCCTGCCCCGTCTTTAAATATATGACTTTTTGCAACGTAGACGCCTCTCCTAGGACTTGTTTTGCCTGTGCATCCTTTGGATTGAAGCTGGGAGTCATGGGAAGTGACCAGCATAGGGGGGAGAAGCGGGTGATCATGAACTGAGCGAAACCTGGCAGTGCAGGCTGGATGGAGATATTGCCGTTGGAACCGTTGGCCGGTTGGTTGATATCTGGCCCACCCCATAGGCTGGACATACGGGACAGGACTGAGAATGCCATCTTAGCCGTAGGGAAATCATCAACGTCCCTTGCAAAATGTTCGATAGTGGTTATAACGGTTTCGAAGATTGATTGGTTTGCTAATTATCGGAGCAAAAATTTATCAGCATCAGGGGATTTGAAATATGATAGGTTTTGAGAACATACTGCTGCTAATTATGACCGTTCCAAGGTTATTGTTCAGGAGAATTAGCAAAAAGTGGAGATACTCCCGCTTTAGTTCCGCAAGTTGAATCTCATCGTCCGTGCCAGTTGTGGGATCAGAAATTCCCGCGAATACCCGCTGGAGGAAGGGAGTTAAGAGGGTGTCGAGTATACCGTAAATCTCAGTCTTGAAGCCAAAAACAATCTGATCTAGTAAGCGCAAAAACAAAGCCATCTCATCTTTTGAGGATGTTTCGGTCATTAACCCATCAATCCACCGTGGCAGTTGATGTAAATCCTGGGAACCGCGGACGCCAACAAGTCTGGAGAACGCAAATCTCGCTGCAGTCCTAATATTAAACGACGACTTCAGAGACTCAAGAGCCACCAAGGTCGCCTCGGATACCTGGCTAAAAGAATCAGATATTTCTGGTGCTGGGGGTGACGTAGGTGTCGTGGTACCTGGGGTCCAGTCCGAGAATCCCCGAGCGAGCGTTCCCAGCGCCATTATATCATGGTGAATTTGTAAGATAGATCGCTCGTCGTTTTCCTTTGCAGCTCCCAGGTGTCTTTCCATATCCATAAAGATCGGATTCATGACAGACTGGGCGTAGACGACTTGTTGGTCAACAGGGACTGAAGTGGTAGAGCAAATAAGGCCAATAGCTTCAAAAAGGTATAGCTGGCTGTTGAATACAGCATCGGCAGACCCTTCGTGATCTTCCGATGACATGTCATCACCATCAGATCCTTCTTGAGGTACTTCTGCCCGGATGACAAGAAGATCACTGAGAGCTTTGATGACGGTTTCCGCAACATTCCCAATGCGGTTTCGTAGATGCTTAACGAGCCGATGGAAAAGGTACCACGATCTCGTGCTGACCTTCTTAACTGGGTGATGAACTAATTGTAGGAAGCTTTCTAGGACGCCTGGAATAAGATGGACATGATGATCGAAAAAGGAGCTATAGCGCACACAGATTTCCATGAATTGGAGTTGGGTTACCGGATGGGTAAACGACCTAATATCTGTTAAATAATAGCAGCCTCATTAGCCAACGACCCAAAAACTACATGGCCGGCAGCAAAAAACTTACCAGCTTCAACCATACTTCGCATCATTTCCACCAGCCTTTCCGCTGCGGGATTATTCAATTTATTTTTGACGTACAAGCCTCCCGATTTCACAGCTAGGTCCCCAAAAAGGAACATCTCATGCAAGGCAAGATCTAGATCCCTCCAATCAACCTGCGTGCCAGGCTGCCTCATACCGTCAAAAGTGGTCCCGACCACTCCACTCACAACATCCATGTAAAGCTGTTCGTTTGTAGACGCAATGATTTGTTGAAGTACGTTTAGCCGTTTTCGGAGCTCCTGGAACTCGGCTTCGTCCGTTTGCTCATCCTCATCACCCCATGTCGAGGTTTCATCATATCTCATTTTAGTAATGATAGCCTTTAGGATTGGCATTAGCATGGTGGTTTGCTGAGGGACAAGCGCGGGATTCTTTTTCGTGCTTTTGCGGAAGTAGGAGAGGAGGTCGTTCATAGAGGGGATAACAGTGGAGCATATCTCATCATACTCGTCTGCGAAATATCGGAGGATATGTGGAAGAAATCCTTGTAGAAGAGTCTCGGCCTTTTCCTTAGTGGTGGAGTCGACTATGTCATTATCCAAAACCCGGACTATATCAATCGTTGTCATATTAACTAGCTTAGCCACCGTTTCTGCTAGATCGGTGTCGTATTTGGAGGTAAAGCGGTGATCATGCAGCGGAGGGCTCGCGGTAAGTTGAGCCACGATATTCTCCAAACTGAGGAACACGATCATATCGATCTTATCCGACGGCTTCATCTTCTTTCCCACGATCTCCGTAAATACATCGATTGCTGCATCCCGGACTTTCTCCCCACCCTCAGGGAGATTAACATCCTTTGCTCTGACAAGCTGTTGGAAGAGCAGGTCAAGCATAGACTGATTGACGATTAGCGAGATATCGATCCAGCTAACCCAACTGCCAATGGCTCTTAGACATATCTCCGCTATCTGGTCACTCCCATTCTGCCACTGAGATAGAATTTCCTGCCAGGAGCTAACAATTTTCTGCACATCCCTCTGGCGTATAAGGTCCTTCAGCAGATTTGCTTTGTCCTGTTCGACCCGTGATCTCGAAACCAGCACATCTCCGATCTCGGCATGGATTGAGTTGATGACTCGGAGGTAGAATACGATCCCCGGGGAATTATCCTTGGACGAGCTCTGGGGGCTTTTGTACGTTAAACGAATAAGATCGTCAAAAAAGGTTTCCCATCCGTTGACATAGAGGGCGGAAAAAAGATACGTCAACGTTTGGGCCACCTTATTTTGGATACTAGCAGGGTCCATCTGAGCGGCTGGGCCGAGGCCATACATCCGGCGGAGGTAATCCATCATGGTGTCCTTGATATATCCAAGCCCCTGCATGTCCACTAGGCCGGTCTGTGTAGCACTGCTGACGATTTCCAGAGCAGAATGGCGGACAACCTCCGAGTGACGGGGTAATTTGGTGAAGATGGACAGGCACACGTGCCATCCTGAGGGGCTTGTTCGGAGCTGGTTGAGGTATTCAAATGCCTGTGCCTTGAGCGCTTGGTCGGAGGAGGGGTTCCAGGCAATTTCAATGGCATTCGCTACCTATTTATCAAAACAAGTCAGACCTTTGTATGGTAGCCAGTTGGGCTGCATCGAGTAAAAGTTCGATCGAGGGGCAATGGCAAAGAAGACAAGGGACACCGAAAAAAAAAAAAAAAAAAAAAAATCCTTATAGCTACCTGGTCCTCCATGGTGTGGCCAGCAAGTTGTCCAGACCACTTAGCTCCCACACGGCCTGGTATTCTAGGGGGAGTCTGCCTGCGAGAAGCTTTGCTGCTTTGCGCAGGAGAAATCTGTTTGAAGCTGAGTGTTGTAGTGGAGTGTCATATCACGCTCGTCAAGCCATGCCAGGCCTGCAGTAGGCGCGAAACGAATAATAAGAGCCTCTTTGCAATGGATACAACTCAAGGCGGCTGGCTAGGCGTTGGGGATTGCAGAATCACAATACGCTATTACAATTGCGAGGGCACTCTCTTGCTTGGATGTGCGTTCTTCTGCAGTGGGTTGACGGGAGTTGGAGGGCAGGTTGGCAAGTTCTGGCGGGGGTTGGGATGGAAGATGCCTGTTGCTGATAAGAACTCGCGGCAGTATTTAATTTACCCAAGACCGCCACAATTAATTACACCGCACAAAGTTGTGTGCCCTGGCTCCACTCCGCAGAAGGTCTTCAAAATGTACGGAGTATGTCGAGCCCATTGGGAAGAGATTTTCAAAACGGATTGACTGAGAGCTAATATGGATTCTATTCTTTTATATAAATATGATTACTAAAACTGTTTTGTTCTTCTTATGCATGGTGAACAGGGGGCAACCCATATCTGGTAAAATGACCTTTGGATGTCCTGACCCGTTTTCACGATGAAACAAAACGGCACAGGCTCTGTCTGATCAACGACGTTCATCAACGGCCACTTAGCGGATAACTGCTTCATTAACCACCTTCTTCAAGATATTTTCCTGCTGCATACACTCAATTTTTTCGATTAGCTCACTGCCACCGAATCAGAAAGTCCGCTGCATCACCTACAGCGGCCATCATTGAGCCTTCGGACTGAGAAGATGGGCAGCACAACCCAAGCTACACAATGTCCTATACCAGATGGACCAACAACAACTGCCTTCTCCATGCCGACCCCTTTGCAAATATGCTGCCAAACTACAACAAGTAGCGGTGGTCGTTGTTTGAAGACTATCCAAAGCTATGATCAGTCCACTTGCAGTGGTGCAGCGAATCAAGCCCGCAGCTGTGCTGCGACGCCCTGAAGTTTGGCATATCAGAGGGCATCCCCACGAGATTCAGTTTGACCTGAACCACATCCACGCCACGCCTTGCTGCTTTTATGCAGCTGCTCATCGAGCTTCGGTTGCAAGCCTATAGCCGTCGATTCCTGTTCAGCCTGTAGCTGCTTTCTGTACAAGTCATCCACTCTCGGATGGCAGTGGGGTTCAATTGAATCCTACGGACCAGTCGGGAGATAAATAATGTATTCCGATGCTGTTGCAGAATTCAATCGTTTCGCCTCCACAAGCACCCACAAAAGACAATCGAAACGCGGGTCTGCTTATATTTTATTGAACCGGTTATCTTTGAAAGGAGCCCCTGTTTACTCTGCTTAGCTTCAAGAACTCTGATTGAAAATAATTTACTATCAAGCTGTCAATAACTGAAGACTTGAATCATTTAAGTGATTGTGAGAATATAATGAGCTCACTGTGAGATATAGATTATTGAGAAAGCTGAGATTGTTTGATAAAAGATTGGTTTGATTGATCTGATATCTGACTGTGAAGCTGCTGTTGGCCTATACCTTGGGTCGAGTTTCATAATATTCAAGACAAACCCGTTGTCCCCATGGAATCTCTCTCGCCAAGTAGCGAGGGAGAAGAGCTTCAATTTTTCAGGTGGCACATCTGAATGACGAGTGACAGGATTTTCAAAGTCTCCATATCAGCAAGGTGAGCATGTGGCTGTGAGTACCGTCCAAAATAGAGTTGGATACTTTGCAAAGATCTCAATTTCATAGCCATTGTATCCTCAAGGAGCTATCGGTTGGAATATGAAGAGAATGCACCCCCAGGTCACGGATATGACCCGTTGATGAGACAGTCAGCATCAGAGTTTTTCAGGGGCCAGGGTTCTAATAGCTCCTATCATCCCAAATGACCAACTGTCAGTCGACGAAGCTCTCAACTAATTTTTTGTCTATATTTTTGTACCTTTTATCTCACCTGTTTTCCAGAATATAACCGCGCAGTATTGCACACTATATTATGCCCTGTAAGTTGAAGAAAAGGGAGATAGGGGGAATTTGCGACGGACTGTTAGATTGAGATAAGTTGGGAAATCATTATTATATACTCTCCGCATGCAACCAAACCTCTATGACCAAATAACAAACAAACAACGCCGGGGCCCAGGGCTAACTTCGCTCGGTCATGGCGGTTTGCCATAATTCCTGACGAAAGAAGATCGGACAATATGTCCAGCAACCGGGATGGAGAGCAGAACGGCGAATGACACAGTTAACCAACACTCCTCCCCTCCCCCTCCTGCCTCAGAATCTGCTTCTCCATCATCTCAAACCCTTCCACAGCCTTCCCAAATCTCTCAAACAGCTCAGGCTGATACCCTTCATCGATCTTCTCCGCAAATTCCTCCTCCTTCCACCTCTTCCCAATCAAATCCTCAAACGTCTGGTTCGGCGCCCTCTCCAACGCCCAGACGGCTTTATACGCCGCCCCGAGCGCACACGCGTTCTCTCCAACATCCAGCTTGTAAACCCCTTCAACCCCACCGAGGACCCCTCCGGCCACTTTGGCAATGGCTGTATTACGGGACCCCCCACCGACAAGATAGACCCGGCGAGGCTGGGGGGGTACGTCCTTGGATGGGCTGTGAACTAGACCGCGGGAGCGCAGACGTAGTGAAAGCATCTGGCTCTCGACGATGGCGCGTGCGTCATCTAATGGCCTGTCCCAGCCCTGTTGGGATTCCTGTAGCGTCTTTTTGTTTGAGTCGTAGTTGAAGCGCCATTCGCCGTTGCGGAGATTAGGCACGATTTCGGGCCTGGGGAAGAAGAGGCCCAATTTCATTAGATCGGCATCTGTCTTCTGGCCAGCGGCTGGTCGCTGGAAGACGGCTTCGTTAAAGTTATTCCACGGGTTGGAAGAAGAGGTAGCAGGGGATCGGGAGTCCTTGCTAAACTTATTGTTAATAGCGTCGCGGATGTGTTCTCGGGCTAGGCCGCCGTTTTTGTAGCACAGCATGAACATGTAGAGCCCCCGTGTTGTTGGATGGTTGAAAAAGTGCGTCGAGGGGTCTGTTTTATATTCCGGTGTCGACATGAGGAAGGTGGTTGAAGTCCCTAAGGACACCACTGCATCCCCTGATCGCAAGGGCAGGGCCAGGATTGTAGCTGGGTTATCTCCCGTGGAAGGAGTTATCACACAATCCGGGTTGAATGAGTACCGCTCGACAAAGTAGCGGTTAATTTTCCCCAGTCGCATCCCGCCATCACCTAGCACCTCGCCTAGTTTCTGTTTTAAATCGGCCACCCCATACGATCCTGCGCATAGCTCAAGTAACCGTCCATTCCACTGGTCCTTTTGAATGTCCCATAGGTTCATCCCGCATACATCTGAGATATCAAAGGGAGCAATCTTGCCTAGAAATAAGGACGCTAAGAAAGACGAGACGAGTGATATTCTCGAAGTTCTTTTATACGCATCCGGATACTTACGCTGGAACCGCAATATTTGTGGTCCCGTAAACCTCTGAAAAGGAATCCTAAATTAGTATAGCCATTGACAAATAACAATGAAGTAAATAGCAAAGAATCAATTTGTATTGCCATCAAAAGCATAAAAGAAGAAGCAGAGAAGAGAAGAGAAACACCTTACATGATGAGCCTTGCTCCCCGTCACCTCTGCTAACTCCGCCGGGCTCCCCAAATACTCATCAAACTGATCACACTCCCGCTGCGTACTCGCGTCCTGCCAATTCGGACTATATGGATGCGACAGCGCCGGTGCAACCTGCTCCTCCAACCCCTTCCCCGCATCCAAAGCAGCCAAAATCTGCCCCGCGTTTGAATTCCAATAGACACTGCCATGCTGCTGGCCCGCGCCGCTGATGGCGCTGACACGCCGAAAATCCATCCCCTGCTCCTTCAGGCGGAGCAGCACTGCATCCAGCGCCTGCAGCCACATTGCGACGGGTGCGAAGACTTCATGTTCAGCCTCGTTGGTTTGCACACCGTTCTCGACGGGGAAACCGCGCAAGTCAGCGTCGAAGTCGAATTTAGCTACATGGACGACTTTGAGGGAGGAGGTTATGACCAGGCCTTTTAGCTGTTGGGTGGAGAGGTCGAAGCCGATGTAGAGGGGCCCTCCTTCGTCTTGAGGCTCCATTTTTTACAATATATGGAAATATGGAAGATTTGAAGATTTGTATTGTATTGCATTGGCGGGTACATGGGCTCCTCTTTTTTAGTTCATGACCTACATGGTTGGATATGCTTGGTTTGGTGGAGATAGTTCAATGAAGGGACTAACTACGTCATAGGACTAAAAACTGAGGTCGCATGAAAATTGAAGCAGGAGATTGCTTTTGATGTTAAAATTTTATTGCTGGACGCAAATACAAGGTTACAACGTAGATCTTGTGATAACTTAACCTATCACAGCTATGACGCCCAATTGCTTGTTAGAGCTATTCCCTTTCAACAAAAAGAACGACGGGTAATTCTGACAAAAAGGCTTTGAAAATTATCTTTGATCCGCGGGGAGTGAAAATAATGAATCAATTAGGAACGACTACGATAGCCACCGAAAACGAGGACACCAAACTAGCCCAGGATACTATCAGAAAATAACATGGAGATGAAAAAAAAAAACCCTCTTCGAACGCCAGTAGACCATGTAGCTTTGCTTCTTTTTTGCAATCTTCTTATGATACTGATCGTTGCCAATAAACTGGTCAACTCGCCTCAAACCACGGTATATGATTTACAGGAACTGTTATGTGGACAATCTGCCCGGAGGGAACAAGGAAAAAGTGGAAATTCTCGAGCTGAGGGTAGAGGGTTGAGTGCCCCAGAGGGATATATAATCTTGCCTTGGCCTAAACTTGACACGGCATTTACCTTTGTGAATAAACGAGGTCCGGTAAACCAAGAATAAAAACAAAAAAGGGGTCAAGAAGGGAGTTTCGCTTCACGAGAATATGGATGGGATATAGAAGGTTTAGCGTCGCTTACTGGCCATCCCTTCATTCTCAGCCTGTGATTCCGAAGTTAAAGCCCCAGCTTTGCCATGGTCATGGTGACTATGGTGAACAGATCCATTAGCCTGGTCGTCTTCTGGTTCTGGGCTGCTGCGCGGGCTCGCATCCCGCGCAATAAACTCCTCGAAGAAGCTTGCATCCCGCTCCGTATTCGGCGTGAATCGTATCTTTAGCCGCTTCACACCTCGAACCCGCGAACCAACACGCTGCCGAATAGCTTCTTCAACCAGCCGTGTCTGTCCAACAGACCACGAGCTGGGGACTGCCAACTCGATCTCCATGAGATGATTCTGACCCGATTTAATCCCCTGCACCTCCCGGATCTCTATCTCGCTCCCACCGCCATCCGGCAGCATCGCTATAGCTTTCCGAGTCGATTCCTCCACGGACGCGTTCATTTCCTCATCGATGGCAACATCCGCTAGCTCCAGCAATGAGGTCTTCGTGTTTCCCCATCCGGCTCGAATTACCATTAGCGAAATTATCAGCCCGCCCACTGGATCGAGCCAGGAAGCGTCGGGGAGGACATGGGCGCCGCCAATGGTGAGGAGGGCGACGAAGCTTGTGAGCGAATCGACGCGGTGGTGAATGGCGTTCGATGCCAGGACGGAGGATCTTCGCTGGAGAGCAACTTTCATAGCTGTTCAGGAGCGCGAGGGGTTATGAGTGTCGGTGTCTTTTGCTAGATATTACGGGGATACGGTGATAATGGACTTACTGGCATGGTATAACGATTCCTTCACTAAAATGGAGCCCGCCGCAAGCCATGCCGCATTAATATTCGGCCCCAGCAGCTCATGGTCATGGCTGTGGCTGTGGGAATGTCCGTGTCCCAGTAGCCCCAGGTGCGCGAACGACTCAGCAATGGCTGGGAAAAACTGCGTGAGCAGAACCTCCGCCGCATTTAAGCCCATCAGGACACCTCCACACAAAAGCAAACTGCTCACGCCCAGAGCCCCGAGACTCTCGACCTTCCCGTAGCCAAAGGGAAACCGTGAGGTTGGCGGCTTGAGCGATAGGGACACAGTAGCAAGAGTCATGAAGTCCGACACGAGGTCTGTGGCAGCGTGGTAGGCATCTGCTATTAATGCGGAGGAGTTGAATACGTAGCCCCCAAATCCCTTTCCTATTGCCATGGCCAGGTTGGTAAGGAGGCCGATTCGCGTGATCCGCACGCCAGGGTCGTTTTTGTTCTTGGATGTTAAGTATACATTGTCATGGTGGTGGTGGTGGCCGTGGCCATGGCCGTGGCTGTGCCCGCCGTGGGATCTCGTTTGCGTCGCCGTCATGAATGCGAGGAAAGGTGGAGAGGACTGACAGAGGATGGAAGGGTGAAGAGGTGGTAATCTGGTGTTAATTATATTGTGGGCATAGGACAAGGGTTGTGCGGTGGGATTGGAATAGGGCGAGACACGTTGCTTTAACGATCTGGGGAACCGTCTTGAAGCCGCGGGCTGTGGAGGAGAGACCTGGGCCAGTTGCATGGGCGGTGGAACCTGCATGCAACGAGAATGAAGCGAGAGTTCGTGATGCAGCACAATGGGAAGAGGCGCCTTGAGGCGCAACCTGGCCAGTCGGACTCGGCCCCTCCAACCCGCAGGCTGTGGTAAGATCATGACCTGAGTCGCAGCATCGACCGACTGGAATAGGTATCTTGTCTGGGAAAATAATATACAAGATAATAGAGAAAAGATATTTAACAAATGATCTCGAGAATAAGCTCTGATAGTAGCTCCCGGAGCTAAGATAAATCGACAAGCCAGCAGGCGAGACAGGGTGCCATTATTTACCGCCAGCCCTCGGATGCAGAATTCAAAGGCTTCCTCCGCACTGGTTACTATTAAGGAGAAATAAATCGGGTGAGAATTGGGCTGTGGGTAGTTAGTTACTTACGTAGCACTCAGAGGAAGAGAAGACAGAATAATAGAATATTTAAAGCAGAGGAACGACGCAACAACCTCTATCCAGCTCCGGATGCCCACACCACCGAGGATCAGACCACACACTATTCCCCAACGCCAGCTCACGTTGGAACTATAATAACCGCTGACTGCTGCAACAAAATAAGCAGTCGATTAATAACACCGATGTTCTTATTAGCTAGCTAGTTAACTGGTAAACTATATAGAGGTAGGGAGTAGAATTGCTACCTCTGGGATCCGGGGCTAAACAAGGGTTCAAGCCATTGATGTGCTGAATTATTTATTTAATACTTTTTAAATAGTTAGTTAGCATCATCGATCACGGTTCTCCAGCGTGGTTCCTACGCAACACCACCATGCCGATCTTCTCATGTCGAAGCCCTTGATCAGAATCCCCTTCACGGGCCCTCTCCCTCCTCCGCTTATATACCCCCGCTCAGCCAACTCCATCTCTGGCGCAATCGACGCCATCTCTAATTTCCTCACCGCCCCTCCCCCGCCCTTCCTCAGAGGCACAGATGTCGGCCGCAACGAACTAACTGTCCTGCTCACAGGCGCCGGCATCTCCGTCGCTTCAGGCCTCGCAGACTACCGTGGAGAAAATGGCACCTACCGACGAAATCTAACCTACCGCCCCATCTTCTACCACGAATTCGTCTCCCAGCACGAGGCCCGGAAGCGGTACTGGGCCCGCAGCTTTGTCGGATGGCCCACGCTCGTGAACTCCAAACCCAACGATACACATGCAGCTATTGGCAAGCTGGGTAGGAAGGGTTATATATCCTCTGTTATTACGCAGAACGTCGATTCCTTCCACTCCAAGGCCCATCCGCATATCCCAGTTGTCGAGTTGCATGGCTATCTACGCTCGCTTGTATGCGTTAATTGTCGCCGACAAATGTCGCGGGAAGACTTCCAAGCCGTGTTGCTACGGCTTAATCCAGCCTGGGCTGAGTTTTTGGAACAGATTGCGAAGACGGGCGCGTTGGATACACATGATCGGGAGGAACAGCAGAAGAAGGGGCTACAGATGAATCCAGACGGCGATGTGGATCTCCCCAACGCCCCGTACTCGAAGTTCCGCTATCCGCCGTGTCCCCACTGCCTGGAGAATCCGCCCTTGCTCCGCGACGGCACGCAGGGGAGAGTAGAGGCGGAACCCGATGGGGCCATTTCTCCCACTTCCAATGCGGGCATACTGAAACCGGCTGTGATCATGTTTGGGGAATCGGTCGATGAGCGTGTCAAGGAGCAAGCTGAAGATGCGGTCGATGAGGCGGGGAAACTTCTTGTGCTGGGGAGTAGCCTGGCAACCTTCTCCGCGTGGAGATTTGTGGAACGCGCCATCGCGCGGGGGATGTCGATTGGAATTTTGAATGTTGGGGGCGTCCGCAATGAAGCTAGACTGTTCCAGGAGGCGGATGGAAATGGATTCATTGACCCAACGATGCGTGTGAGATGTAGTGAGCGGGCGGAGTTTGTTCTTCCGCAGGTTGCTGCTCATCTTGACCCAATCTCTCTGGCTTGATATAGAGGAACCATTCATTGTTTTATTTTGGCCAGTAACGGGGCCTCTTGAAACTACAGGGGTTTAAATTCCTATTTCTAAAATTTCTTTTTAAATACGATGATAATATGCAAAACACTTGTTTGAATAGACCTCTGTGCACTACTCCTCTGGAAAGCCTGTTAGCTATTTATATACAATATTATGGGACGCCTTCAAGAGTTTCTGAAACATCTAATCAAAGAATGGGCGGCAATTTTCATAAGATGAAAGGTCAGAAATCTCGACATTTCCACATAAAACCTAATCGCCCAGGCGGTGGCTAAATGCCCCTTGAGCCAAAGAACCAAAACCCTAAGCGCCAGCAGCTCTCGCGGAGTTTCGGGGCATCCACCCAAAGACATGGCCCTGCTACTCCAAGGCCGACCCTCTATCGTCTGCCATTTGTTGAGCATAGCACCTTGGGGTACATAACCTGGTTAGTTACAGGGGATGACTCCAACCCTCTCACAACACAAATATACCCCGCGACAATCTTGCTATGGACACCTCCACACCCTCCCAATCCATAGAACACCGGGAACTTCCTCACCATTCGTCATCCACAACCGCCGCCGCCGCCGCCGTTACTGCTGCGACGACGGCCTCTTATTTAAACATCGCTTCCACGCTCGTCGCTCCAAGCACCTTTCTGGCAAACCATCGCTCTCCTCAAGATCCAGTCTTCCGTCCGTCGCCAGCACGAGCGGCACCCAGTACAATGGACAAACGACAACCACCCAGTTCTTTTCAGCAGCTTGAGAAAGTATGCAGCTTGTTGGTTTTGAAATTTACTGCACCGAATATTTTCTTTTGAAGTTAAACTAACTCGTATTTCTCATTTAGCTTGGTGAAGGAACCTATGCTACAGTATGTGACGCGATCCTTCTTATCCCTTCACCCGCTTCCTACTTTTACTATGGACTTGGTTTAAAATGCGATATTTGTGTGAATAGGTCTTTAAAGGGCGCAACCGCCAGACTGGCGAGATGGTCGCGCTGAAGGAAATCCACCTAGACTCAGAGGAAGGCACACCATCAACAGCCATCCGAGAAATATCACTCATGAAAGAATTAAAGCACGAAAACATCGTCTCCCTCTACGACGTCATCCACACAGAGAACAAACTCATGCTTGTTTTCGAGTTCATGGACAAGGATCTAAAACGCTACATGGACTCACGCGGCGACCGCGGCCAACTAGACTATGTCACCATTAAATCCTTCATGCAGCAGCTGCTCCGCGGCATCGCATTTTGCCACGAAAACAGGGTCCTCCACCGCGATCTCAAGCCGCAGAACCTCCTCATCAACACCAAGGGCCAGCTGAAGCTGGGTGATTTTGGCCTGGCGCGCGCCTTTGGAATACCCGTAAATACCTTTTCCAATGAAGTCGTCACCCTCTGGTACCGTGCCCCAGATGTCCTCCTGGGCAGCAGGACATACAACACCAGCATCGACATCTGGTCCGCCGGCTGCATCATGGCAGAAATGTATACAGGCCGCCCCCTATTCCCCGGCACAACGAACGAGGACCAATTGCAAAAGATCTTCCGTCTAATGGGCACTCCCTCCGAGCGCTCGTGGCCCGGTATCTCCAATTTCCCTGAGTACAAACCCAACTTCCAAGTCTATGCGACACAGGATCTCCGCCTAATCTTACCACAGATCGACCAGTTGGGATTGGACTTGTTGAGTCGCATGTTGCAGCTTCGGCCGGAAATGCGCATCAGTGCTGCTGATGCACTGCGCCATCGCTGGTTTCAGGATTTGAACCAGCTACAGGCTCAGAAATCCGCGCAACAACAGCAGCAGATGTCGGCTGGTGGGTACGGGGCATCAGGACTTGTTTCGCAAAGCGGCTATTGAGAGGTGTTTTGGCTTTCTCTCAGTTTCTATCTACGTTTCCCCCCGCTTTTCCTTGAACCAATAGGCTTGGTGTGTTGGATTAATTGATTGATTTGACGACTAGGTAAATGGAGGGTGGACTGAGCAGCGCGGCGTTTTTTGTCGTTGGACGGGGATCTATTATTTTCGTGTTACCTCCTAACCTACGATGGGCATCTATCTTTTTATGTTAATGTGGGAACTCTTTAATTCCATATGCAGTTTTAATTGGTCATGATATGACCTTGGATCCGCTTTAGTTTTGATTTTTGATATATGGTTTCAGGTTAGGGATTGATCAGGCTTCGTCTCTGGTCAGAGTTGAAGCTGATTTCGCAAGATTATACAGTGAAAGACTTCTAGAGAGTGTAAGAATCGATTATTCAAGATCATGTAGCCACTGATCTGCATTTTATTCTAGTAAATTACTCTCCAACCTCCTGGGAAACAAAGGACTACATATTTGCCTCTGTTGGGTCAAGAAAGCGCGCATCCAAATTTAAGTCATGTGATCTCGCGCTGTGTAGCAACCTCGCAAAAGCGTCGCGAGCAATCCTATCTAAATATCCCTCCACCCTCATCCTCCCAATCGCTCAATACGTGAGCGACATCTCCCGATTTCCCCTTTCAGAGGAAATAAAATGCCACCAGAACAAACTTCTTCAGCGCCAAACGGCCACACCCAGCAGCAAGAAGAACAACAACCACCACCACCACCACCACCACCACCACCACCACCACAAGACCCCGCTTCGCCCTCCCCTCCTCCCCCGGCCCCTATCCCTCTAACACCCGGACCCCGCGCCTCCCGCCTCCAACAAGTCTTCTCCGAAGCCCTCTTGCGCACCCTCCGCGCCAATTCCTACGCGAACTTCTCCGCCTGCTTTCCCACGCCGGCCAAACATGTCCCGCACAGTCTCGAGTCGCTATGGAGGCAGTTAAATGCGAAGCTGGAACAGAGCGCGCGCGCGGAGTTTGAGGACGTGTTAAGGGAGAGGGAGGTGCTTAGGGGCCTGAATGAGTTGGATCGGTTGGTTGGGGAGGCGAGGCTGAGGCGGGAGAATGGGGAGGGGGAGGCGAGTGTGCCGTGAGTTGCTTTTCTCTTCCTTATTCTATTTCCCTGTTCCTGTTCCTGTTCCTTTCCTTTCCTTTCTTTTCTTTTCTTTTCTTTTCTTTTCTTTTCTTTTCTTTTCTTTTCTGTGGAGTGTCATCCCTGAAAATCCAAATTGGTTTTACATTGGAAATAACAAAAGTGGCCTGTTTTAATTAATGATTTTGTTATAGTCCTCACACTCTCGGCGCAAACGAGCTTTACCAAGCGCACCTTGAGCCGTATCTCGCAGAAGCACAGTCGTCGCTAAATACGAAGCTGGAAAGGGTGCAAAAGGAGAATGTCCAGCTTTCTGAGAAAATCGAGTCTCAGAGACGGGAGATTGAGCGATTATTGTCTGGCCTTGAAGCAGTCATTAGCGACGTGGAGGGCGCAGCAACTGCTACGGAAGAGTTTGATGCAAACCAGGGTCTTCGTAAAGAGGCGCAGGAAATGGACAATGAAGTCAGAGCTGCTCAGCGCTCATGATATTATGCATATGTTTTACGTTCGACGTTTACGAGCTGAACATGGATGATGTGACGGAGAGTTGTATCTCTTGTGTGAGGATAACCAACAATTTCGGGTCTTAAAAAATTTTACAGGATATATCACTGGGTTTCAGAACACGATCTCATCCGGGACAGCTTTCCGGAAAGCCCATTCCATGTCCTCAGCCGAAACCAACCCGTCGTCAACCATATCCTCCGCTATCTGCCTCAATTCCTTTTCCGAGCTTGCTGTCAATCCTTCCATTTTCTGCATGTCGTCCGCGAAGGCAAAGGCCAGTGCTTCTTTTGCTGCCCCTTCTCGATCCTGTTCGTCTAATCCGTCCCTTCTGGCAAGAGCAGCCGCTCCGCGATAGTATGTCTGCGCGTTTTTCAGGAGGGTGGCGGCATTTGCGTTGGATACTTGATAGTTCCAAGGCTGCCGACCCAAGCGCCAACGATACATCTCCACGTCCCCTCTCGCAAGGTGGACCTTGGGTAAATTTTGAGCTTCAGGAAGTTTCGTCGCCGCGGTAAGCGAATCCAGGGCTGACGATAGCGCTTGCCATCGTAGCGTTAACAGCCTATTGAACGTGTCCTCGTTGTATGGCTGGTCGCAATCTGCCATGGCAGAGTTGAATGCCACTAGCGATTCTGCTTGGCTACAAAGCGCTCCCGGATTCGCAGACAAATCCTTCACATCTCCGAACGCTTCGCTCAGCTCGTTGTTATATGTGTCAAAATCAATCCTCCCGCTCCGAAACGAGACTTCCGCCAGCATTGAAATGAACTTGGCACGTGCGAGCGCTACCTCGTTCTGCCTCTCTGTCCCCTCTACATATACCGCAATTTTCTCCCTTAGCAGGTCTGCAGAATACTCTTCTATCCATGCAAGAGTGCTTCCAGGATCGAGCGTAAGTAACCCGCAAAACGTAGCCAATGTCTCCAATTGCGCTACAGCGGTGTCAACAAGTGTATCTTTGGTCACTGGCTCGATGACTGTGGCCCACTGCTCCGACCGTGTGGGCTCCGTCGTCCCGCTTCCACCTCCAGTTTCAGACCCCTCCATCGGCTGATCTGTTATCGAATTGGGTTTTTGCTCGTCGCGATCAACGATACCAGCCTCCGCCATGGTCACATTCTCAGCTTGCTGATGCTGCCCTTCCGTAAACCGCAATTCCTGCACGCCTAGGCACCGCTGGAAGAGGTCCAACGCTTCCTGCAAATATCTGCGAGCTTCATGTGTATGTTGCTCGGTAGCCCGTTTTCCATCCGTGATCGCCTCTGCTAAACTCGTCAATACCTGTGCGGTGTTGAAGAGGATTTCCGCATTATCTTGCTGGAGGGTTAGGGCGTGTCTGTGGGATTTGAGGGCGATGTGGAGGATTTCGACGGCCGGGCCGGGGAGTTGGGTTGCTAGTTTTGGATGTTGGGTTATTTCGTATTGTATTCGCGCCCTGTGTAATGTGAATAAATTATGAAGGAGAGAAATGGAAATGGCCAGGAAGCAGGTTCAATTTAATCTAATTCCTTCGATGGCGAGGAAAATAAATAAATAAAAAAAAAAAAAGAGGAGGGGTGTGGGGTAGTCTTTGCAAATGGCACTTGGTTACGTACTTATTGTATGCCAAATCAAACGAATTCGGAAACCTCCTCAGACCTGTATCATACATTTCAATAGCGCGCATGAAAAACCGCATGGACTTGACGGCGTCTCCGGCTCGCCATTTTTCTCCAGCTTCTTCTAACTCGACGCCGGCTGGGACGGGTGGAAATAAATAGATGGGTTAGGGCCGTTGGTTAGTTTCCATGCTGGATATAGCTCGTTATGGCTTGCGCGGAGGGATAGCAATTGCCAATGGCAATGGGCAAATGGGCCAGCCATGTCTATGTGTATATCTGTGCTTACCAGCAAGGTATTCATCCGCGTTTTCAGGTTCCTGGGAATTAATCGCGTTTGTGGTTAATAGGAGATGATTTGATTCCATCGGATATGGAAATCAGGTAGGGCAAAAGGTGGAAAGAGGGGAAGGGCGAAAAAAGCTATGTTTATCGAATTTTGCTGGGGGATAATAATTTTTAAAAAGAAGGCACACAGTATTCGAACCACGCTGCGCGAGAGAAGAGTAGCTGGGGAAGAAACCCAAATGGAGACTGCGAAGTAAATTCACATAGATGCTCTTAATACTACATACAGTATTCCTTGATTTCTTTTTCGTCTTCATTTCCTTTAGCAGTGTTTTTGGTTTTGGCATTGTGCCGGCGGGCGAGGGGTCGTTACCCGGATAGATTTGCTGTGGGGATTCGGCTTGTCTCTTACAGCGATTGACTGTTGAGGGCGGCAAAAATAGATAGCGCGATGGCGAAGGAGGTAGATAGCAGTAGGCAGCAGTGGGTCGAGCAAGTGAAGGGTTAATCAAACAGCATCTGATTGCTTATCCTGTGGCCAAAGAAGCGGAACTGAGAAGATGGCGGGGAGAAAATCGATAGGATGACGCTGGTGGATGAGCTTAACCAGAATAGTGCGAGAAATAAAGTTCAGGGGATTGATAAGATTAGATCTGAGGTACTTGATTTGGCCTAGGCTTCATACAGCATGCTTTTCATCCATCAAATATTTACAATTTTTTTGCTCCCGTTCATTTTTGATATCAATAGAGAATTTAATCGCTAACCAAGGCGTTGGCTAAGAAGGATAGCATTAAGTACTACTTCAGACAGTGTATGTCCTTGGGGTTGGGATCAACCTGTGGGACGCTTTGCGTATATCTGAAGAAGACGACTGACTGGTTTATGAAAAAAGCGAGAAACTTTTTACTTTTTCTTTCTTTTTCGACCAGCTTGGATTTCGAATATGGATCGAGAATGAAAATTTTTTGCTCCTCAAGCTAATGTGCAGTACAGTCCTTTTTCCATTTTCCAACGTAAAAAGCGACGTTCTCGATGCATCGATTCAGGAGAAAAATATCAACGAAGGATCGATCCATGGGTCGAGCATAAAGAAATCTGGCAGTGTTTGTTAAGCCACCTATGGACTCAAACCGAATGTGAAATAATTTTTCATGTATACGGAGTATAGTTTTGTGAATTACTCGTGCACTTGACATCCATTTTAGCAACTGAATGAACTGCTTTTATCTAATTGCCTCCTTTCACTTCTGTAATTGAAGGCCGGTCCTGTAGATAAGCCTTCCTTTTTGCATCGATGCCTTCAATACTAGAGGAGACACTCTCCAGGTTCATAATATTTGATACTTATTACATATGTAATGCAAGCTTTAAAGGATAGTAATTAATACTTTGGCGGAAGATAAGATCATTGAACTTTACTGTGTCAACACTAATTGCAGGCTAAAATTTGAGGCAACTACTATTTCGATTTATTGTTTACATTGAGATCGATGGTGGTAGGTACATGGATGGATGGGTATCTGCATGAACTGCAGTGTATGTATGAAGTGAAGCAAAGTAGCAGATGCAAAGAAGCTGAATGGAAGACTGCAGTTGTGCGATGTAAATGAAGTTTTATTGGCCGAAAGAACACTTGACCCCTTTGTTCAGCGTGCAACACACCCAGACCCGCAGCAATGTCTATATTGAGTCGAAAACAGGTTTGATGGAGTGTGAGTTCGTAACATGGGTGGAGGTATTTACGCTACCAAGCCGTGGTGGATGCGTGATATCTTACTGCACAGCATCCTTGCACTAAACGACACCCCTTAGATTTCTCCAATAGGGTAAACAAACAAACTCGACAGAATTAGAAATAGGATGGGAGACAGCCGAGAAATCGAAGATCTACGGTTTATTCAATTCCTATCCGGACCCTTCCCCTTCCGTCTGTGTTTCCTCTGTTTCCCACCTCTCTTCTTCGCCCAGGATCCGATAGACGTGTACCAGTACTATGCACAGTACAATGACAGGCTATTTTATCATTGCCATGACCATGACAATCCTCTTGTGAGGGTCTCACTTCATGGGATAGAATGGCTGGCGACAATGCATTCGATTCCTTGGGAAGAAGCTCGGGAAGAAGCTTGGCCCAGCCGATGACATATGCCCCGTGCATCCACACTGTGGCGAGTTGGTGCCACCCCCTGTGGAGGCGGAGATGATGGAGGCAAATCACACGTGGCAGGATAAGGCTAAAACGACAGCACGGGGCATCCACCGCGCCAAGTACCGGATCCCATTGGTTGGCCCTGGCACAGGTTGGTTTTGAAAAAACCAGGGGCGTTTTTGGTGGAAAACAAGTTCTCGTGAGAAATTCCTTACGAGCAATCCAGCCTTTTCTCTTAAATGCGTAAATAATAAAACGAGGGATTGGTTGTTAGCTGCATGGAAGGAACCGACGTCGGTCGAAATATTTAAGAGGCGCTCATCTATCTCACTTCAGGTGCCTTGAACACACAAGGTAACAATATAATCCGGCAACGAGCACACAAGCACACGACGGATCAGGCAACTCGTATCAATTACGGATCCCGTGAACAGTCGGCAGGAAAAGGAAGAGACGGGCGACCACAATTTTCCATGCTAAAATGTGGCCAACGAGCCCCTGCATATGTTCCCAGACCGAAGGACTTCGATTGCCATAGCCGATCGTATCACCTCCGTGGGGATGTGGAAGGGGCAGGAGCTGAGCATCAGAGCATGGAAATCAGCATGGAAGAACAGTGGCATGCCATGGCATATTGCAGGTGTCGAGTACATACTAGTAGTACTGCGTAACTCAGATGGCCCGTATCAACTGCTGCATTCATTCTTGACTACCAGTAGTACTAGTAGTCAGAGGAATGAGCGGATATAGGCAGGTTCAACAACAGTAGCATTCTTCATTGCGTGGCCATACTTATTGGAGAGTCTAAATGAGTAGTTATTTCTTGACCTCTCTGGCCAAGGCAAAGAACTTGCAGGGACAAATGGAATGCGCAGCAGGTTTTTTTATTTGACTGCCCTGAAAATTACCGCGTCACTGCCATACGCAACCAGTACGACCAGACTTCCCGCAACCCGAAACGATGTGCCCCGTCGACCCGCGCCCCATGGAGAGATTGCCCAGTGCTGCTGTTTGCCAACGTCGTTCGCCAACTTTTCTGTCTCTTCAGCGTCTTCACCATCTTCATCTCCCCATCCCAAGTCCACGCGCCCCCCGATCTCCCTCTTTCCGGAATATCTGACACGTTCCATTTTGCCCGTAACCTGACTGTGAGCCGGCGAAGATCATCTCCCTCGTGCGTCAGGCATCGTCGATTCTATTGTCAGCTTCATTTGTCGGTCAGACCCTCCTCTCCCCTCCTCTCTCCTTCCCCCCTCTCCAAGAATTTACAGTTAGGAAATGGCGTCTTTGCGGCTTTATGGGCTTTCTCTCTTCCCGCCGATTGGCGACTGCAAGATTCACCTATTAGTCTACATTTATGCCATGGATCCGAGGACTTTCTTTCTCTCTTGCCCTGTGACTTAACTTCCAAGCCACCTATCACATATTTCAGCCTTCCGCTGATTGGAGTGGAGGCGCTCATCCGACTGTGCTAACTTTTGTGATACCAGATCTCAACCAAAACTTCGATCACCTAGGGCACGCAATCTTAAAAAAGGAAAGAAGAAATCCAAGATACTAATAACAGGGAAATCAAGCCAATTGATTCGTTCTTGTACGCTCTCCCGACCCCATTCCCAGATCCATCAGGTTCTAGGGTTTATATATAAAACCCTTTCCATGAACAAGGGTCTACCTTATACTTGGGAAGGCTAAGTGACTGACGCACGGCCTGTCTCATCTCCTTCAGAAACCCTCGGTGGCTTCTTCATGGCTCGACCACAGTCTCTAGATTCTCAACGGCCAATAATGGCTCCTTCTGTATGGTTTTCCCAGCTCTCTCTTTTCCAAAATTCCTCTTGCCTCCACCTTTTCAAAATCCCCTTCTTCTCCTCTACCTTGACATCACGCCATTCAAAACCACGCCGGAGCAAGAATAATAATACTGAGTTTCCCCCCAACCCCACGGGGCGAAAACAGGTCTCCAACTCCCAACGTTTCTCCACAATCAGCGGGACAGCCTCCCTCGCTCTATCCGACCACACGATCTCCAGCGCAATGACTGGCGATAGCCGTCTGGCTGAAATTAAAGAACTCGGTGCGGGTCTAGAACGTCTTGAGAACAAACCCCTCTCCAAACAGCGATTTGTGCCTACAGCCGAGAAAACAGATAATCTCAACAAGCTCGCTCTGGGTGCGAAGGTGGAACGTGCGCTAGGTAGGAGAATGTCCAGCCAGGACGCCATCATGCGCAAGCGCACTTCGGTAGATGAGGAAAAACAGGCCTTCAAGATGCAGGCGGACGTCTGAAAAACAACGATGAGAAATTATGACTGCCTTTGTTTCGTTTCGATTTTGCATTCTCCTTGCTGCAAACTTCAGATCTTCGAAGAAACAACCGCTCTACGCTTGTCCATACATGAATGATTGCGAAAACCGTATCATTAACCGTGATTCCGTCTACTTGGCTCTGTTTAATTCTTGTTTGTCTCTTTTTATATCTCCTTTATATCGTGTCTATGCCCCATTCCTTTCCCTTATGATGTTTCACCTTTTTATGTTACTCTTCTCTGTCCCATCTGCGAGTATACCCGCCCTGTCTCACTTCTCTTTCTCTTCTTCCTTCAGACTCGGGCGTTCCACAATGGCATATTATACGACTCTGCTTTTATTAAACACCCGTTTTTATTTTTTTTTTGTACATGTGCACACCTACAGCTTTCTGAGACGTTTCTGAGCTTCTCTTCTATTTTTTATCTCTATATCGTACTTATTCCAATACCCTACACTCTGCTATGTTCTGGGCTTGGTGTCCTCCATTTCCTCCTTATGCCTCCATGAGATTTCACACATTTTACCTAGGTAGATGCCCCTATGTTTCATTTTGGCCTTGCTTGTTTGGATTTTAGTGTTAGTGTGGTTGTTTTGTGCCAGGGATATTGTTCCCCCCCTTATAAACGTATTTTTATCACCATTAGCTAGTGGTGTTTTACAGCAAATGCATATTTTAAATATTCCCGTCTGCGCGTAGATATCCCAAAAGGTGATGGGATGTATATATATACATATATATGTATACATCAATTGATGGTAGGATGTATTTTGCGGAGATTCAGCGAGAACTATATGGCAAAATTTCTTATTCTATTAACTGAGGAAATAAATAACTAAAGCCTAAAATTCAAAAGATTCGCTGCTGATTCTCTCAACCCACATACGGAAAATTCATCCGGCATAGTATACGGCTCAGATTGTCTCCTTCAAGTCTCACAGGGTTTCCCTCTCTCTCATGCTAGACGTAGCCTTAGATTTCCTTTTTCTATTTTTCTTTTTTTTGCCTTACAGGTATGTTAGGTATGTATATACATGGCATACTGCTTACATACAGCGTAGATAGAAACAAGAACTGGAATATTAAGTGTTTTCTAGAAGATGATGAAGAAGGAGAATGGCGAGGGAAATGTGTAGGTTTTCTTTATTCTTTATTCATTTTTACTTGGATTGTTTTGCTTTGTCGATAGTAAAGATTTATTATTTCTTTGAGTGGATTGGTGCTTCAAGGGATAAAGAATTCAAGTAACAGTGCTGGCAACTGAGTTCAGTTCTGGTTGGAGCCGCGCCCCAGGCTAAACTCGGCCAAACCCTTTTTGAGCTTCCACAGGTTTTTTCCCTTCGCCTCCCCTTCCTCACCACTTCAACAAAGTCCAACAACAGACATCTTCCACCACCACCACCACCATCACCACTCATATACCTCCTCCATCGCCTCCCTTCCCTCATCTTTAATCCTCCCATTAAAATCTTCTTGTCTTCTGCTGTCATTCCCTCTAACTACAACCTCTTTACCTTTCGGTTGCTTAGCCCGCCGCTGCTTTGAACGGTTCCCCATAGCCGCAGAAAATATCATATCCGCTGCTTCTTCCCGCTGCTGAAAATAAAGAGCTTGCAAAAAGTTGATTTATCCTATCTCTCTTTCTGTCTCTTCATTTTTTCCTCGTATATCCCAAACAGCTAGCAACGTTTCTCTTCCTCTTCTATTTGTATATTTTACACTGCTTACCGTAAGTTGCATTCGCGTGTGTTTTCTCTGCCTTCTCTACCCAGCCATCCGTTTTATTCCCCAAGCATCTAGTAGGTGCTTTTGAAGTTAATTTGCTGATATTCTCTTTGCATGGTAGCATCCTTGTGTGGTTTCTACTTCTTCTTTCTGCCTCTTATTCCTGTAATTCTTTTTTAGAAAAACTTTTCATTCCTGTTTTTCCTTTGCCGCGCCCTTCTAACGACGACGTATTTGACTTGACGTACTGCTTCATCTTTACCGTCTGCTGCTGATCTTTCCCTCTTTGTCCCTTGACCTATTTCGCTCGATCTTCTATCATTTGTCATTTTACGCCCAAAATTCCCCCTTGTTTAGATTTGAGAGAAAAACTGCTCAGCATGGCCGTCGAACCTACATCCAACCCAACCCTCGTCAACGGGAACTACCACGCCCATCACCAAGCCATTCCTTACCCTGCTGACGCCTACAATCCATCCCACGCTCCCGCCAACAGCATCTCCTCCGCGAATTATAGCAATAATAATCAACAACATAACAATTCTTCAGCTCCTGCTGGTGGTTCTGAGCCCAAGAATGACATTCCCAAAGATGAGGTGGGATGGTTTTTCGTTGAGCAATACTATACCACTCTCAGCCGTAACCCTGAAAAACTGCACCTTTTTTACTCCCGTAAATCTCAGTTTGTCTCTGGTATGGAGGCAGAAAAGGTTACGGTTGCTGTTGGACAAAAGGTGAGCGTTTTTTTTTTTTTTTTTTTTTCAAAAAACAAAGTTTCGGTTTCTGAATCTAAAATCTAATAACTTTAAAATCGTTGTTTTAGGCTATCAACGAACGGATTAAGGAACTTGATTTCCAGGACTGTAAGGTCCGTGTCTTGAATGTGGATTCCCAGGCCTCCTTCGATAACATCCTCGTTTCAGTGATTGGTGAAATTTCAAACAAATCTGAGCCCTCTCGCAAGTTCGTCCAGACATTCGTGCTAGCTGAGCAACCAAATGGATATTACGTCTTGAATGATATCATTAGATACTTGGCCGATGAAGAGGAAGAAGCCGTTGTTGAGGAAGCGCCTGTCGAGGTCGAGGAAGCAGCTGGTGCTGTGGAACCTACCGCGACAGCTCTAGACCAGGAAACAACCCCAGAGGTTGCCATCGAGCGGCAGGCAGACAATGAGACCGCGGTACAAGAAATTGACGAGAAGCTTGAACAAATTAACGGCGACACAGCTCCTACCCCTGCTGCTGAGCCGCAGCCCGTAGGTGAATCTGTGGACGATAAAGTCACTGCGGCTCCTGCTCCATCCTCGACCGCCGTACCCCCAACGCAGGTAGCTGCCCTGGTGGTTCCCGAGGTCGCACCCGAAGCCGAAAAGGCCAAGGAACAAGAGCAAACTCCCGCTGTACCTACTCCAAAAGCTTCAACTCCCGTACTAGAAAAGGAGCCTGCGCCTCCCGTTGCGAAGGTACCAATGAGTTGGGCGTCTATTGCTTCCAACCGTGCTGGTGTCCCGGCGGTAGCAACACCCATCGCGGCCACACCAACCCCAGCTGCGGCAGCACTCGCTTCTCAGAAGGCCCCTCCCCCCACCCCTTCCCAAGCTGCAGCGACATCCGCTGCGCCAGCCGCTGCTACTCGCGCTGGAGAAAGTGAAAACCTTACCAGCCAGTCTTCAAGTGGATCCGAATGGCAGACTGCTGGTGCGGATCATGGCAGGAGACAAGGCCGCCCTCAATCCGTATCTACAGTTGGAGAGGAGAACACCCGCGGTCTCATCAAAAATGTCAATGAAAAGGTCGACGCGGCGCTCTTGAAACAGGTCATGTCCCGGTTTGGAAAGCTTAAGTATTTCAATGTGAACAGACAACAGGTATGTTTATGAAAAAGAGACCCCTCCATATTTCTATATATACATGTTCAATGGCTCTAGGCTAATCCAAGGAACGCAACGCAGGGTACCGCATATGTCGAGTTTGCGGATGTAGCCGCCTACAAGACTGCTCTCTCCTCGAACCCCCACCAAATCGGAACCGAAGAAGTAACCGTTGAGCGTCGTCGTCCCGGCGGTTTTGGGGGGAATTCCAATTACGGTTCTAGTCGGGGAGGCTCCGGACGTGGCCGTGGTGATGGTCGTTCTGGGAGCCAGGGGGGCCGTGGCGGTTTCCACAACGATTCTGGCCGCTATACCCCTCGCGGCCGTGGTGGAAACATCACACCCAAAGGAGGCCGCACTCAGCCCCAAGCTGCGTAGAAGAGCGAAGAAAGAGGAGAGAAAAAGTCGAAATATTTCAGATTTACACATGAGGTCAACAAAGTCACGATGAAAGAAAAGAAAAATCCGGTCCTTTTTTGTCTATTTATCTATATAGGATACGTTCAGCGCTTCACATATCTCCGTTCAGCTACCTACCTATTTCCTGGCTAGCTACCTAGCTAGTGATGCAGGCCTACATTATCAATACTCATGGCACCACTCACGCGATACACTCAGCGTCTATGACCATCAGCACTACAAAAACCACATACCACAACGAACTTTTACATCCAAAGAACCCACAACACAGCTTCTTAAAGCTCCTCCTATGTATCTCTTCCCAGCATATGTATTATTTTCTTGACTACCTCCTTTATTAAATCAGCATAAATGATATATTTTTCCCACCTTTTCATTTTCTGTTTTATTTTCATTCTCAAATTTCATTTTTCCTTTCATCATTATTTTTTCTCTTAATTGTTTACAGGCACCTTGAAAATTAACGATGTCCACCCTTTTTTGTTTAATCGCATGACGCCTTTTCCTATCATTCTTCCCCTACATGTTTCCTTTCTTTGACAGCATATTTCGTGTTGTTTTCTCTATTCCGTCCCGCCTCTTCTACCGCTTTCCCAGCCCGACTTGCTTCACAACTGCCAACCTACGCTATGAACCTGTATCTACTCCTAACATGTACATATCGTATGTCCCCTCCGAATTTTGCGATACCAACCCAGTTCGATTGTCAGCGGCCTATGCTGCTCGCATTTATATTCTTCATTAGCGATTGGAAACCAAAATAAAGCTCCATATTTTAACGTTATGATTATATTTTCTCTCTCTCTTTGCAAAAACATTGTCTGTAAATCAGCAACAGGATATGTAGTCTTAGGATAACAGAACTCGCTTTTTTGTCTTTTATCCTCGTCACCGACATCGTCACCGTCACCGTCACCGTCATCATGTTCATTATATTCTTCTTCTATTTCTCCCGGTTTCCTTCCCTTATTCAATCACCTCTACCACTACGATGAACTGCTGCTAACTTTCTTTACTTACCTCTTTTACGTCGTTTTAGTTATTAAAAAATCCCCGGTTAGTTCTTTCACTGCACCCGCTTTTGGCTCTTTTCTCCTTTTCCCTTTTCTTTCTCTCCCTTTTTTAAATATAATAATAAATATTCAATGAAGTAGAAGAAAAGAAAAGAAAAACCACACAATTCGACAATCACGCACACACACACACACACACACACACACACAAAACATTGTCATATGGTTGGTTAAATGATAGGATAGATGATAAATTCCCGAGGCATTTGGTAAACGAAATAATAATAATAATAATACTAATACTAATGGTGGTGGGTGGTAAAATGGGTAAAATGGAAACCCTTTTCTTTAACCCTAATCCTTGATCAAAATACAGATCATCTATATATAAATCGTCGTCACACCCACCCACCCTACATAAAAGTGAAGCTGTTACTACTTTTTCAGCAGTAGCAGGTTTTATTATTTATTTATTCAGACACAGCGTACATTAAGTTCTTAATTAAATTAAATTTTTATTTCTTCGAATAGCACAATAGTTAAGTTAACTAACTAACTAACTACCCTTTCTCCCTTTCTCCCTTACTCATCTTAAAACCCAGAACAGAGAATTGATGTAAAAAAAAAGGGGGGGGGCTGGGGTGTTGAGGAGGGTAAACAAAACAAAAGAAAAAGACCAGGAGAATCAACAACATTAACTAATGCATATTAAACAATTAACTATTGTCATAATATCAAAGACCAAACCAGCCAACCACACAGCAAAACAAATGGCACAGGAATTAAAAAAAGAAAAAAAGAAAAAAAGCGGAAACGAAAACGAAAGAAGAAACAGGAAAGCCAAAAAAAAAAAAAAAAAAAGAACAAGCAAGAAAGCAAAAAACGACTAGGTTATTATTAGAAGCCAGATGAACTGCTGCTGCTAAGAAGAAATTGACTTGCTTGCTTTTTCACTCCTCTTTTTAACAGTAAAAAAAAAAAACACGCGACACGCGATTTTTGAATTTTTTTTGTCCTTAAAATTTAACAAACGAGGGCTACTTTGAAGGTTTGTTGTGTTGTTTGTGTGCGTGTGCATTTCATTTCATCATTCCACCATACGCTCATGATTTAAAAACAGGATTTTTGTTCAACAACGAAATTTAAAAGGATGAGAGAAAAAGGACAAAGGAAAAAAAAGGCTAAATTGAAGGAAATATCTAATCAACCTCCTCCATAGCGCTCTCACCCGGAGCTTCAGCGACGACAGTGTCTGCCTCTTTCTCCTCGGAAGTCTCAGCATCCTCATCAATGTTCAAACCAAGAGAAACGAGCTTGTGAATGCGCTCCGCAAAGCCGGAAGGCTCCTCGATGGTGAAGCCCGAGACGAGAAGAGAGGTTTCGAAAAGGAGTTGGGTGATGGATTTGACTGTGCGGTCGTTCTCGCCGTCGGCCTCGACCTTCTTCTTGAGCTCCTGGATGATTGGGGACTTTGGCGAGATTTCGAAGGTCTTTTTGGAGGACATGTAGGAGCTCATGGAAGTGTCGCGGAGGGCTTGCGCTTTCATGATACGTTCCATGTTGGCGGACCAGCCGAATTGGCCAGTGCGGATGGCACAGGGGGAGCCGATAAGTTTGTGGGAGACGACAACCTTCTCGACCTTGTCACCAAGGACGTTCTTCAGGCTCTTGGCGAGGCCTTCGTATTCCTTCTCTTCGGCTTCGCGGGCCTTCTTCTCCTCCTCCGTTTCCTCGAGCTCGAAGTCCTTGGTGATGTCGACGAGCTTCTTGCCATCGAACTCCTTGAGCTGTGTCATGGCGTACTCATCAATGGGATCGACAAGGAAGAGAACCTCGAAGTTCTTCTCCTTAAGGGTATCGAGGAAGGGAGACTTCTGAACAGCCTTGAGAGACTCGCCAGTGATGTAGTACATCTGTTTCTGGTGCTCTTGCATGCGGGTGACATAGTCGGTAAGAGAGGTGGTCTCGTCACCAGACTTGGTGGAGTTGAAGCGGAGGAGTTTGGCAAGAGCGGGGCGGTTCTGGGCATCCTCATGGATACCGAGTTTGATGTTCTTGCTGAAAGCAGAGTAGAACTTGTCGAATTGCTCACGGTCTTCAGCAATCTCATTGAAAAGCTCGAGGGTCTTTTTGACGATGTTCTTCTTGATGACCTTCATAATCTTGTTCTGCTGGAGAGTCTCACGAGAAAGGTTGAGAGGAAGGTCCTCAGAGTCGACAACACCCTTGATGAAGCTGAGCATTCGGGAATGAGATCGGTAGCATCATCGGTAATGAAGACACGGCGGACGTAGAGCTTGATGTTGTTCTTAGTCTTCTTGGTCTCGAAGAGATCGAAAGGAGCACGCTTGGGAACGAAGAGGATCGCACGGAACTCTAGTTGACCTTCGACGGAGAAGTGCTTCACAGCAAGATGGTCCTCCCAGTCGCTAAATCAACAAGTTAGTAACAATCACGTGATTATGATATCCGGGGACCAGGGCATTTCGAAGTAAACTTACTTGGAAAGAGTCTTGTAGAAGGAAGCATACTCCTCCTGAGTAATATCAGCAGGATTGCGAGTCCAGATAGGCTTGGTCTTGTTTAGCTCTTCCTCCTCGATCTTAGTCTCCTTGATTTTCTTGGTCTTCTTCTCTTTCGCTTTGTCCTCTTCGTCGTCATCGACCTCTTCGACCTTGGGAGCCTTGTCGTCACCCTCGTCTTTCACCTCCTCAGCATCTTCATCGGGAACCTCCTTCTCAGTCTCCTTGAGGACATGAAGGTAGATGGGGTAGGAGATGAACTCAGAGTGCTTCTTCACGACTTCCTTGATCTTGCTCTCATTCAGGTATTCGGTCTGCTCGTCCTTGAGATGAAGGATCATCTTGGTACCACGGCCAAGTGGCTCTCCATCGGTGTCCTGGGTGATTTTGAAGGTGCCGCCAGCACTGGACTCCCAGATGTACTGTTCGTCATCGTTGTGCTTGGAAATGACGGTCACCTTATCGGCAACGAGGTAGGCAGAGTAGAAACCAACACCGAATTGGCCAATCATAGAAATATCCGCACCAGCAGTGAGAGCTTCCATAAATTGCTTAGTACCCGAGCGGGCGATGGTACCCAGGTTGTTGACGAGATCCTACAAAAACATCGAGAATGTCAGTTTAACTGCTTCCTCGTTCTTAACTTCTTGGCAAAATCAGGGAGAGAATATAAGACTCAATTGGGGATAATTTGATATATTGGGATACATACAGCCTTGGTCATGCCGATACCAGTATCGCTTATAGTCAGGGTCTTGTTTTCCTTGTCGGGGATGATATCGATGCGGAGATCCTTGTTGGAGTCGAGTTTGCTTGGGTCGGAAAGCGCCTCATAGCGGATTTTGTCGAGAGCATCGGAACAGTTGGAAATCAGTTCTCGCAGGAAGATCTCTTTGTTGGAGTAGACGGTGTTGATAATGAGGGAGAGGAGCTGAGAAATCTCAGCCTGGAACTCGAAAGTTTCAGACGACATGGCTGCAGTTGGTGATAGGATGGTAATCTGGCCAAGCTTCAGTTAGCTTCGTTTTTGATTTTTTTTTTTCCTTTCCCTGCCTCGTCACCTGCTTCGCCCAGGAAACTACAACAAGGGTAAAAGAAGCGAGTAGATCTGAGTAAAACGAGACTAAGTCGATCAAGACACAGCTTGATTTTGCGTTTTTACAATATTTCTTGTGGTGGGTTCTTGTGGTGGTGGAAGGAGGCGAGAGGGTAAACAGTCGCAGAAAAAAGCAAAACAAACGGTAATGGAGGCAACAGGAGCTCTCCAGAGAAGCACTTACCAATAGATTCCTGAGGGAGATGGGAGGGGGGTAGCAGCAGTGAGCAGCGAGAGAGGATGATCAATGCAAGAGAGAGGGAGTAGCCAAGTAGAGGAAGAGAGAGCTGAAGCCGAGAATTGGAGTTCGAGGAGAGAAGGAAGAGAAAGAAAAAGAGGCTGGCGGTTGAAAAAGAAAACCAGAGGAAACCAGAGAGAAGAGCAGAGAACTGCGCAGAAATCTTTGAGCCGCGCTCCTGCAAACTGCCACCCACGGTCGCCAGAACAACCGCTGGGCCATCGAGCCTTGGCGAAGCTTCCACCGCTTTCCATGGCCGTGGCCGCTGTGTCTGGCGCTAGGCCCAATCCATCGCCGGCTTTCTAGAACTCTCCACGGCAGAATGTTCCCCGGCCTGGTTTCCGCTTCGGGGAATTGCAGTATCAACACCTATGAATAGTCAATGAATACCGGAGTTTCTCGCGCCCAGGGCTTACTTATTCGGGAGATACGAGATACTGGACACTGAGCGAAGGGCAGACAAACACCAGTAATATTGACGACGGTCAAAATCAACTTCATATGATGTAGATACAACACACGTTGTTGCGCGGGGTCAACGCCAACTATAAAATGAAACTTGAAAACAAAATTAAAAAAGCCACCTGGTAAATCGCCTTAAAAAAACCCAACTGCCTCCGTAATTGCAATCATGTCCTCATATGTTAAATTATAGAGGTGGTTTTAACTAAAAGGATTGGTTTTTTTTTCCCCTATTGCCCCTCAATCAATCGGCCAGTCAGTTGGTCGGTGGAGTCAGAGGCGGTCAGTCACCGCTAAACGTCCCAAAATTCCATTCCGCAAACCCCTGAGATGAGGGGAGTCCCCACGCCTTAGCAACCCACAGCGCAAGTCCACCAACTACCCCCATACTTCCAATAATCTGTATCACTACCCAGCCCGTCCGCTTCATATCGTCCTTCCACCGTATCAGGCCCAGAGGATCCCCCGATGAACTCATATCTGCAACCCGATACTTAACAGGTCGGCCGTCGGGTCCTGGGATTGTCACGGTCTCTCTGCCGCCGCTGCCTCTGCTGCCGCTACCGTGGCCTTTTAGCCCCCGCGGTGCTTGCATATGAGAGAAGCCTGGAGTTTGGATTATGGGGAGGAGTGTACCGTCCGCCACACATTCGCCCAATCGTTCTGTTAGCCAGACAGCCCGCTCGCTACGGGCTAGAGATTCGTATCGCTCTCGTTCGTTTTGGAGACTTTGTTGCAAGTCCGATGCCCATTTTGCAAGTCGGATCTGGGCAAGGTGCTCCTCCCGCTGGGTATGATCGGCCACGCGAGACATGAGATACGATGGTGGACCATTGTCAACACCTGGGTATGGAACAAGGACCTGCGACGGGGAGACGGATGAGAGGGCTGATGTAGATTGAGATGGGTTCGAAGTGATTCCAGCAGGTCTGGAGATCAAAGATCCTTGTAGATGTTGACGCGCAGGGGAAATCACATGCAAATCACATGCTTGTATCAGCTTCTTCGCGGCCAGATGTCGCAGCCAGGCTATGTTATCCCGGTCAAACAGCTTTCCCAAGAGCAAATTTAGCTCCGACGGGGCTAATGGCTGCATATAATCGGGACTCATCAACAGACTTGCATCCATGGTGTCATCTTCATTGGAATTCGCAGAAGAAACAGCAAATGGTAAGGCTGGGATAGTTTCTTCATCGCCGATACTGCCAGCGAGATCACCAAACAGAAAGGGTTGAACGCCCCCGTCGCGCGCCTGGGAGTGGAAAGATCGTTTTAGGGATTGAATTTGGCTTTTGCTGAGAAGGTCAGCCTTGGAGATCAGAGGGATAACATTGGCGACCTTGGACAGCTTCTGTATGCATGATATGTCCGCGGACATCGAATCTAGGCAAAATAATTAGAGTGCATCATTCTGAAAACAAAATTTTTACTTACACCGACCTTCAGAGACAAGATATAAGATGGCATCCACCTGGGAGCCACCATTTCCACTCAAAAGGCCCTGGAAATCAGTGTTGAATGAATCCAGCGCGTTTACAGACCTCTGGAACTGCCGGCTGATATACTGTATGATACATTCTGCCTGATCTTCAAGACCCAACGTTCCACAGGATGTGTCAACAAAGCACAAGTTTCTTTCCAATACCAAGTCTCCCATACTTTTCCGCCTTCGAAGGACTCTTGAATCTTCCAGGTCTGACCACCACGATGGATAAGGCTTAGTGCTGGCATAAACCTCTGCTATCGAGGTAGCCTCTCGTAAGTGGTGAGATCTATGCGATCGTTTTGGACTCGATTTGTTGGTTCTAATCCGAGAGGGCCCACGAGGGAGCGGATCAACGTGTACTATATCTTCGACCACTTGAACTATAGATTTTATAAGAGATGTTTTCCCACAACCTACCAGCAAAATAGCATATCAGTAAGACCTCACACGCAAAATTAAAAAAAGGGAGGGTTAGGGCGAAGGGTTCGCCTTTATTACCAGAATTGCCAGCCAGGAGAATCTTGAACCTGCCCATAGATTTCCCCGCTTCAGTAAAGGGCCTCCGGCTGGGCATTTTGATACTTGGCATTATCAGTTGCGTACTATCCTGAACCCCAGAAGAACTGAGACTGTTATCGCCGTCATTTTCCACCGTCCCTCTGGGGTCAATTTCCGCATACGGCATGGATATTTCATTGGTCGGTAGGAAGGATCGTGTCGAGGTTGACTTGGGGCTGTCTGGAAGGGAGACGGGCTCTTCCGGCGACCCAAGTAAGAAGGGCGTCAGGGGGCAAGATGTAGGAACATTGGGCGGCGTTCTGATGTGTTTATGTTTAAAAGGCGACGGACTCCGTCCTTCTCGATCTCCATCACCAGTCTCGGCAGTTTTAATCGTTGTTTCTATCTTCGCAAGGGTGTGGAGAGGTGACGTATCACTTATTTCTCCCTCAGGTTGAGAAGCCTGCCATTTTGAGGAATTGTCAGCTGTGGATTCTTCGAGACTCTGCACCCCATATGTCCCATCCCCTTCATCGTCTGCGGACGCAGCTTGAGAATCTTGTATATCGCTATCTCGAGCTAGGAAAAAGGTCTCAGAGGACATGGGGCGGAATTCGTCCTCAGGTCCCGCTGGTGTGGGGGATTTGCGGGGTCGTGGCAGAAAGGTATCAGGAACCAAGGGCCGCATGGCTACGAGGGAGGAAAAACTGCAAGTAGGTATTGAAAAAGGCCACTAACACCCGCATCTGGTTGGAATACGTTAGTTGTTAGATCATGTAGAAGGCAGGTGGATATAGATGGTGGGATGTGCTATTGTTGGGAGAAGACGATAGATACCCAAGGCTGCAGCAACGTGGGCTGGGATGTATGACGTGTGACCCTGAATAGTAGTTAGTGGCCACTTCCCACTATGGAGTAGTGCCTTTCTAGTGGCCTATGAGCAACTCGCGACAGCTAAAACAAAACAGTTTTCAGATTTCCGTGTGCTTCGATCTGGCTTCTATACAAGAGTATTATTTTCAACGCAAAGGCTTCCTCCCTCCTTATATCGTTTCACCCTCATATATCTCCACAGCGGAAAGTATATCCTTGCTGCCGCTAAGGCCGAGTTCCAAATTAGAAACAATGAGGTTATCCATCCTCTGCTTCATGCGAAGTCGAAGAGCAATAGACCTACAATTTAAGTCAGTAGGGGTCGAAAGCCACAAAAATTGCTCGCTTTTAATCTCGATTTTTGGCTCTTATCTAGTGGTTATATGAAGGTGGATTTGCCTGTGTTTGAACATGTGTTCCTATGGTGTTCAGCCAAGGCCCCTGAATAACCCATACATGTTCTGTACAGTGAGCTATCTTCTTTGATCATATAAAAGTGGTAACTTTTCTGTAATATTATGTATGATGACTGTATCAGCCCCTCTCTGAATGTGTATTTAATAATTATCATCTCACTACTGTATTCTTCTCTCTCTGCTCTTGTATTGATTTCTATTCTTAACTATTCTTATTCTTACTTATCTACTTTGAAATCCTTGCATCTCTGTATAAGTGAGAAAGACTGATAATGATCTCTGCTACTGATACTGCTGTTGAAGCAGCTGCTGTATAGAAGCAGCTACAGTATAATCTTATTATAGAGATGACAGTACAGAGAGAGAATACACTGAGAATCAGCAGATAAAGCAGATCAAAGAATACACAGATAGTATATATAGAGAAGTAGAATGAATGAATGATAATATATAGATTTATTTTATTTCTATTTCTTCTTTATTTCTGTGTATAAAGAGAGATGAAATTTGATAGACTAACTTCTCACTGCTGCTCAATCTTCATTATCTATATAATAGAAATAATATAATAAAAAGAAGTTTTCAAATGATCAGATTGTCTCTGAGTAGAAGACAATCTGATTCTTTAGTGAGAGAATTCTCAATCATTCACTCAGAGAAAATCATCTCAAAAGAAAGTGTATGAATACTGAAAGAGAAGAGATTATATAGATAATAGAAGAGAGTCTGATCAAGCAGTATTGAATAGTTTTTATTAATCTGTATTATATACAGCAGAGCAGACAGAAGAACTTTTATTCTCATTCAGTTGATTAGATTTTGAATAATATATTAAAGACTTACAGATCTATAAAGTATATATGAAGATATATAAAGTTTGTGAACAGAGATGCAGACACTCTGATGAACAGCTATACTGAGCTGAATATAATGAATTTTATATATCAGTGCTGAGAGAGATGACAGAGAAATGAAAGATATACAGTTGAGTCTCTTTTCTGTACAGCAGCTGACTTTCTTATAAGTTATTATATACTACTGAAAGAGCAGTTCAGATAAGAGATGCAGTTGACTGATCTGTTTATAATTGAGCTATTAAATGAGAAATTAACACTCTGCTAATCTCTTATTCAGATTATGAGTAATAATAAAACAAATCAGAACAACAGATTTGAATATTCAATTGTTGTACAGTATAAGAATTATATTCTTTATTTAATGTCACAGATTGTATTCTATCTGTTCTATAGATGAAATATTGTATAAAAGTCTCTGTCTCAGTTCCACTATCATCAGTTCTGATATAATATTCACTTATTTAAAAGTGAGAATCTGTATAAGCAGATCTTCTACAGAACTCATCTCAAGTGAATAAACAAGCTCTTTATATACACAGATATATCAGAGATGATAAAGAAGACTTATACTGAATAATCCACAGATGTATAGAAGATAAAGTTTAATAAAATGAATGAGAGCAGTATTCACAGAGTTGAGTGATGAAATAATGACTCTTTGATCAGCTGCTATCTCAGTCAGATCAATTGAGAGTTTATACAGAGAATTGCAGAGTTCAATTCTAGCTTACTAAATAATTACTATTTTTCATAAACTACAGTCATTTCATCAGAGTTGTTGAAGAAATCCCTCTGATTATAAATGAATAAATAGTTTATCTGATTTTATTCTGAGAACAGATTCTCTCATATCACTTCTTCTGAGATCTCTGATATGAGTCTGAAGCTGCTTGATAGTGGAAGTTTATTTAACTCAGATGATCTTACAGCTCAGAGATTTTTACAGCTATTAAATTATTTTTATACAGTGATACTATAGAACTCTGCTCTTCTTCAGAGAAAATTTCCAACTCATTTACTATAAACTGACTCAGTGTTTCAGTATACAGAGTATAAGCAGTTTGCAGATGCTGTATGAGCTGCAGAGTCAATTCTCATTTCTTTATAGAAGATAATGCTTCAACAGTCAGTGCTACAGATTTCTGAGAGTCTGAGCACTGTATAGAGATAGATTAATATAATGATAAATCAGATAAAAATCAGAGATGTATGAATGAAGAAGAAGATTGATAGAATTCAGTGTGAAATTGATACAATAACAACTGAATTCTGAATCTTTCAGTCTGTTTCTGTTTCTGTCTATGTATAGAAAGATACTATTAAAATTTTCTTTATCTCTATATCTGTATCTTTATTCTTCTCTTTATCAACTGCTGCTGTTGCTGTCATCACTTCTGCTACAGTATTATCAACTGAGAATAATATTTGAATATATCAGCTCTTCTGTACAATTCAATCAATCAATAATCTCTGAAAAGAATGAAAACAGAGATTGAATAAACAGTTCTCTGTGCAGTATCTGAAGTCATTGTATGAATCTAGCTGTGAGAGAAAGGAGAATGCTGAGGTTAACTATAAGAGTGATGTGAAGTACACACAAGCTAAAAGATAGCAATCTCTATTATTCAAAGCTAATTGCTGATCTTCTAAGATCTACAGATATCAGCAAGCATTATATACAGACATTGTTGCTATATAGCTATTTTCTAATATAGATATCTCTGTTGCATCTATTACAATTATCTTTCTTCTTCAAAGGCCTGGTCTTCAGAGCTTCTTATTATAGAGTGTGAGGTTTGTAAAATATGCTGTATAGTTGATGTTGTATAAAATTCACAGAATAGAATTGAATTAACTGTTGAGAGTAATTTTGAAGTGTTGTTGTCTTGAGTGAAAGTTTCTCTGACTCTGATGTTGCTGTGGTTCAATCATGATTTAGACACAACCTCTGAACCTCTTTTCTTTAACTTTTACATCAAAAATCATATTCTAACAAAATCATCACCACCATCACCATCAATGATTTTTTATTTTAAAAAGAATACATCAATTTATCAAGTAAAGTACACTGTATCTCTTCATGCAATTTTCATTGCAAAATTTGAAGTTTTGATTGTATGGTTGCATTTTCCATTCTGAGTTGATTTTTGTGTTGTTGCAATCCCTTAAGTGATATAGCAATATTGATTTCAACTATCAACATTCATCTTTCTTTCTTGTTGCTTTTGCTCTTCTCTCTCTTTTTTGCAAGATCTTGATACTAATTAGAATAATAGAATGTCAGAATCAGCTGCCTCTGTTGCTGGTTCAGAATCTATAAAAAGTGATATACTGAATACCATTGAGAGCATTTGCTTGGGTTGCTTGGAGAGGTTACAAAACCCTCTGATATACTCTTGCTTTGTGAACAATGAGTGGATATACTATCACATCTGCTATATATCAAATAGAAGTTGTGCTGCTGTAAATGTCTCTGATTAAGTTTGTTGTGAGTACTAACAGGTTATAGATGTCTGAGCATTTTCAAGAAACTGGTCAATCTCTGATTGATGAATTTCAAAAGATGCTGCTCTCTGACAAAGTTCTGAATGAGAGATTTATTATATATCAAACTGCTGTTGTGAGGTTTATACTTGATGTGCAGGTCTATAAGAATGCAGATGGAGTTCTAGAATTCTATATAAACTCTGACAATCTGTTGTCACAGCAGAGTGTGGTGTTTGATTATAGCAGCATTTCAGAAAGTGTGTTCTTATATTCTGTTATAATATCAATGCCAACCTTGCTGAGCAAGAATCTTGATGTGTTACTTGAATTATCTGATAATGTTGATGAAGATGAGAAAGTGGATGATTCTGTTGAGATGTTAGAAAGGGATGCAGCAGTGTATTACTGTTGTTGTATTTGATATCTGATAATATCTCCCCATCATCATTGTAAGCCTGCTGAGGGTTGATGCAAGAAATGCAAGCACTGTTTGATGACAAAGCATGTTTGTGTTCTGATAAGTAATAGTTCTATATACTGTTTGCAGAATATAAAATAATTTGTGTTAGATATCAGCAGACATTATTGAATTAACTCAGATGATTATCAACACAGCTGAGGATTTAATTGTTGCTGATGCAGATGCTTTGAATGTTAATGTTCTACAGAGTACTGTGTCAGCTGCAGTCAAATCCTTTGCAGTGAAGATCTATAAGATTCAATAATATGATTCCTCTGAGGCCTCAGTTGAAACAGTGACTGATGAGATTCTGATGACCATATTACTGATCACAGCTCTCAAGTTATTGTTGAAATGTTGTGCTTTATTAGTTGAGAAAATCTGAGGTAATAAACAGGTCTGCTTCAGTGACAATTTCTTGAATGATACTGATCAAGCTGAGGCAGATCTGTTTTTTAATCTCTGAGTAGAATAAGTATATCTAACAGTCAATATTGCTTTCTTCATTTTTATTTGCTAACTGACTTCTGATAGATTTTATTAAACTGTTTCAAGTACTTCTGACTGTTCATCAAATTTTCTTCAGACTCTCAAG